TTCTTTATTTGATTTAATTGCCACAAAAATTTAAAAATATTTATTCAGAAAACGAACTATCCATTCCACGCACCCTTTTGCTTGCAATAATGTAACCAAACACTTTATTTTTAGATTTCTTATGTCTTTCCAATCAGAAAATGAGTAAGAGAAAGACAACAATCTCCATTGCTGGAAGTCCATTTCTAATTTAAAATTTGCCTCACTTTTCTATCACGCCGTTTCCAATCCAGTTTAGATCGAGTTAGCTGTAATCGACGTATATGAAGTTGACACAACACGTTCCGACGCCTTCTGTGTCAACAACACCTAATCGCCAGGTGATGGCAACTGCCGCTATTCACTCTCAAAAAAATCAAACAACATGCCTCTGCATCTATATTATTACAACCACCCGGGCGTCCTGCAGTCATTACAGAAGAGGTCCTGCCATTGTTTTCCTTTCGCGGAGGACCGGCTTTCACTCCTGCACCGGTCGCCATCAGCTGCAGCAGCCGCCGCGTCGCGAATCCTGTTACGGCAGCAGGACCAGTTTCGCTGCTCCCAAGGGGCGGGGCTCGGGGGACAGATGCTCTCGTTCCATTATTTTGATTTCGGCGTACTTTTTTTAGCCAGGTGCGAATTGACGCACATGTGCCGACTGACTTGAAGGCCTTTTAAATTCCTCTCTCTAGTCCGCGATCGCCATTTTTAAAGGGCTTCGGATGCACGTTTTTATTATTTCAAGTTGAATAACTACCCGATTTTTGTCTGTTTTTTACTGAAAAACGGCATCTAGAACAATTTAATATTTGGGATCAAGTTATTTTTTTATCATGTTCAGCACAAGTCACGATTAAAAGTTTTGTCTCATCACATTTTCTAAGTCAGAACTACAACGTATTTTCATTTACTTTTTACAGTAAAATGACGTCAAACGTCATTTTTTCTTTCATTTACTTTACTTTGATTCTATTTTTACAGCTGTGATTTAGTTTTTTTATTCTTTTTGTTCTTTTTCCTCTTGCAAGCCTTTTTTTCAATCGATTTACAGCAAATTACCGCCCGGTGTTATTTTAAATCAGATTTTTTTAAGAAAGTCACAACTGTAATTTCTCATCCTATTTCTCCCGCAAAATGGGAACATTATTATTATTTTTTTCTATAAATATCAACTGCAAGTCGTTGGCAATTATTTCCTTCATATATCGCAACAATTGCAAAATGGAGTTTTCCATACAATGCGTTTTTGCCAGACGTGTTTGACGGGAAGGCAGTCTTGAGCCTATATATATTGCGGTAAAACGGGAACTACGTCATGCGTGATCGGTTGTGGACTTGTGCAGTTATGCAACGTTTTCAATATCGAAAATTGTTTGTGCTCTTTTTGGGGTTTTGCTTGAATAGCTTTCAAATAAGGATTATACTTTCGATTTTACATTTTTTTTTAATATAAAAATGCAGAAATATAAGTGTGTATATTTTTAAGAATTATTAGTATTATTGATACATAAACTCAAATAAAAACACTTCACTATGTGTAATCACTTGGATGGAGTTGTATACAATACAATGTTTTCAAATATCCGTTTTATTAGAATGTAATAATAATAAATAACATGAAAAAAAAAAGGAACATTTTATCCTCAAGGAGAAACCAAAAGGTAAAATCAACAACAAATACATAAAAATAGTAAAAACAAAATCAACATACATAGAAAACCAACAAAAACAAAACACAAAAAAAACCTATTTTAGGTAATATTAGTTTAAACTTAAACATGTAAAAAGAAGAAAAAATAAAGGAAAATCCAATCTACTAATCCAATCAAGTAATCACTTTCTGGCTCGGAAAATGTTCATATATGGAACTTCTTTTTTATCTGCCGTATCATTTCCATTTCGTCTTCGTCCGTATCGTTAATAATGTCTATTACTTTATTTTTATTTGCACTAATTAATTAAATTAAATGACTCGATTTTTTTGGTACACCAGAAAGTCCTGCTAATTTTCATTGTTCCTCATAATTTCTACGAATAATTTTTTATTTTCCTCTCTTTAGTAAGTCATAACTGCAAGTCATTTTTTATGCGTTTTTTTTTTTGCAAAATGGCATTTATCGCCATTTTCTATCTTATTTTTGTCATAAGTATCAAATAATTTTCAATTATTATTTCCTTCGTAAGTCACAATTGCAGGACATTTTTCCATGTGATTTTTATTGCACAATGACATTTATCATCGTATTATACCTTTTCCTCATAAGTTGTTCTACAAGTTATTTTTAATTATCATTTCTTGAGTAAGTCACAAATGCAAGTCATTTTTCATGCGAGTTTTCCTGCAAAATGGCATTCATCGTCTTCTTCAATCTTCCAACTCTCTTTTTATTATAATTCATTTTACTGCACAATGATGTGTGCCGTCATTATATACATTTTCTTCGTAAGCCACAAACGCGAATCATATAAGCAGGCTGTTAAAATAATACGAAAACGTGCCGGAAAAATCGTATGTAGCCAGAGACAAACATGTTCCGAACTTGCGACCCACGAGCCATCGGGCAAAGTAATGGTTGCGTTATTTCAATGGTCATGAGCGTCCAAAAAGCGCGACGAATTTTAAAGAGCCGGGGGTATTATTCGAAACTCACGTGTTAAAGCATCTGGATCCGGAGGGGGTGCGATCGGGGCGTAGCCCGGGGTCCCCCGAGCTTGACACCGCGACGACGGCCACCTGACCGAATTTTTCCACGTTTAGATAACTTTACACCGTCCGCCGTGGTGTGGGCTGACCCCCCTCCCCCCAGCAACGAACAGTTTCCGGCGTCGATCGCGGTATTGTTTTCGTCGACGATTAAATTTAGAGAAGTAATTTTTTTATGGAATTTATCATTTTTCCTCAGCATATAAGTATGTGCCAAAAACTTTGTTATTTTTAATTTAGTTTTACCGTATAGGTACCACTGACCTAAATGGGAATGCAACAGCGTAATAGAAAAGTGAGGCAAAAATTTTACACTATGAAAACAAGGCTAGTAATGACGATTATTGTCTTTCTTTCGATGATTTATATAGACAGGAGGGTGTTTTTATTACTTCATAGGTATACTCTGATATTTTTCTTTAAGTTAATAACTATTTGTTGATTAAGTTTTTCTAATTAAAAAAAAAAACGTCATAAAATAGCAGTAGACTTAAACTACACACGCACTGACCTAAATATGTACATGTTGTACATGTAATTAAGTGTGCGGAGGTATGGTCTGTTCATAGATATAAGAAAGTGACCAATTGCTTTTGAACGGGATTATCCAAGGGTGGTCATTAACATCCAATGCAACAAGATTATTACCTAAAGTTTCAGAATTTAAATTCAGGTAAAATTGTGGTCCGTAATAGAAAATAATTTTATACTTAACTGTGTTTAATATTCTTTGGTTTGCTATACTACTTGGTTTAAGTTTATTAGTTATCATTCTTATTTCGTGTGTAATACAGCGTCTGTTGAATCGTGTGCGAATTATGCAAAATACGCGCGAGTGTAGTGTATCTCCGGAGATGCTCCCGCCCAAATGTAAAAAACACTATTCTATTGAGACTAAGGAAGTTATAAACAATGGTTATTTGACTCTCATTGAACATGGTGCTAGCAAGCAAGCATCTTTAGAAGAAACGGCCTCCTTGACGAAAATTCCGACACCAACGGTATGGAAAATTATGAATAATCCCATTTCAGCGATGCTGACATTTTCTCGAGTGTAGATGAAAGTGATCAAGTATATAAGTGAGTTATACAAGGAACAAAGCCTGCCTATATCTTAATTAGGAGGGTTGAAAAAAATGAAACCGGTGTTAAGTGTGGCAGAACTACCTTATGAAAGTGTATTCAACACATGGGTTTTAGATTTAAAAAAATTGACAAAAGGCAAGTTTTAATGGAATTTTTTAGAATTCGGAAATGGCGACTGGAACATCTAGAAAAAATTAGGATTTACAGAAAACAACAAAGGTCAATTATTTATTTGGATGAAACCTGGTTCGACACTTATGATACCCCGGAAAAGGGTTGGGTTGACTCAACTGATAAGTGTAAAACAAATAAACAAATAAATACATACATAAATAAATAAATATTGTTTAGTATATTTCCTAACAAAACCCCAAATAATTAAATTCTAAGCAAAGTACGGACCTTTTCGACCATATTTCATTCTTACATCTTCCCCGGGTCTTTCCTTAATTCATATCAGTTAGTCACTTTCTTATATCTATGAACAGACTTTAGCTGTTTAGAAAGAAAATGGAGGAAAGTGTAGGCAAAGCGCGTGCAATTTTGTGGCATGCGCGGAACATCATTTCCTTGTTAACGAAAACATCACAGTCGCTTGGGAGGCATCAATTTCACGGTATTTACCTCCCCTATATCATTCAATAATAAAAAGTAAGAATTGTTTCTGCTTGGCAAGCAAGTCGAAAAAAGATACATTTTGGGTTTTTTGATTTTGACATTTTAATTTTTTTTGTTTTGGTCAGAAATCGGACTCCATAAACCCACCTAAATCGGGGTCGCCCATGCACCCTTCTGCCGTTTGGTGACTCATATAGATAGACCCATAATGTCCACATTGCGACACACCACCTTCTGGCCTTGCGCGCTCTTCACGCGTCAATTAACAAATCGCCCCCGTGACGGTGCGAGGGCTGTTTTTACATAAAATCTTTATTATTTACTAACTTAGACGATATTTACGCAGATTTTATAAAATAAAAAATAAAATAAAGTTTCGGCAGCAAGAATATCGATTTTTCTAAAGTATATAAGTATTTAGTCGAGCACAACACTTCGAGCATAAAGTTAAACTGCGTCGAATAAAAAAATACAAAAAACAAAAACTCGAGTTCCACGTCGATATAATTAATTATTATGAATCGCGAATAGTTGGTTCAAGAGGTTTTCATTGTCTGTACAAGAGCCTGTGGTTGCATATTAAAGGACGAGAAGAAAATTATATCCTCACCTGTGTAACATATCGACACCAGGGTGTGCGAATGGCGGCGGAGGAGGTTGCTCTGGTCGCCCCACGAGCACCTCTCGATAACTTGGTCGATGTAATCGAACCCGGTGACAGCCGACAGGTTGTACTGCAGCTTGGACAGCAATAGGAGCTCCCAGCTCTGCAAAATGACACCGTTCAACCCTAAAGCACATTTTCTTTCAAGACATTTGTTATATGCATATAATAAAAAAGAAGTTCCCAATGCCTACGCCACTGCGTTATGAAACAGCATTTTGCAATATAGAAACATCCACAAAAAAATTTGTAGATATCTTTGTTTTTATAACATTTTTTTGTATAGTTCAATTTTTTACAGTTTTCTTAATTTTTTCAAAAACAAGCAACAGCAAAAAAATAATTTTAAAAACTTTGGTTAGGTAAGTAAAAGTTTCTTAAATAATAAATTGAAATTAGGTATAAATATTAAAATATTTTTTTTGATTTACACTTTAGTTAATTGCATTTTTAAAACAAGTTCCATTGATCCACATTTAACGGAAGGTCAATGATTCTTATGTCCTTTTTTCCTGTGGTTCGAAGACAATTTTTGCAAAGAAGAATACTCTGAACTCTGAAATTTAAAAAAAGACCCTACAAGTTTTAGAGAAGCCTACCGAAGATGATATGACAGAAAATATAAATATAAAAAATATAAAAATGTAAATTTTTATGTAAATACAACTTATTTATGCAATACTTTAAAGAAAAAAGGGTTTAATATATCCCCTAATCGTATTATTGCTTAAACAAGAAATATTTATGTTCACAGAACAAGACAATGTTGAATCACCGCCATTTTTAAAACAAAAAATACTCCCAAGTCAGTTACGAGGCATGGAACAATTTGGCATCGAATTCCATCCAAATTTTGTATCAGCAGGTCAGAATTGGATCGAAAAACAGGTGGTTCAAGTTATGGTGGACGAAATGAGGACAATAAACTCGAACCTATTAATTAATGCCTGTGGAATTATAGCAGGAAATGTAATAAAAAAAGTACCCTACTATTTTTAAGGATGTCCATATCCTTAAAAATGGTAGGGTACTTTTTTATTACAGAATGGCATAACGTTAACAAACGGCGACCATGGACTGGTCTCAAAGCTGCAACATTTCTCAATTAATAAATGGTAGATCTGACTGCTGGTAATTGGCAACTTAAAGAATCTGCCCGCACAATGGACGCTCAAGAATATTTAAAAAATATTCAAGATGAATCTGGTATATTTTGGGAAAAACTAGAGAAATCATTTGCCCACCAGATGACTTTCTTAATTATATCGAAGATATTTTAACTGAATGCCCAGTTTTGTTCCAGAGAAAGGTACTTTGATGGCATTTTGAAAAGGTTACAGGATGTAACGTTGAAAATGTTACTAATGACATACCAGGCAAAGTTCAGCTTATTGTGAAATATTCTCATGCCAAACAATCAGCACCTGGGATCTCTATAGAAAATGAATTTATTTCATCACTGGAACTGCTTGCAGAAAATTTCAAAGAGGATCTCTCAGTTTTTTTTTAATATCTTTGTAATAGTAATAGCATAATAGTAGAAGAGTAATATTCATTAATGGTCTATAATTTTATTGAAAACGGATTCCCAATTTGTTATTTCAAAGATTGTTTTTCCTAGCATGTTAAATAAAAATTTAGTTTCATTATACATAACTACTTATTGAAAACCGTTTTGAAATTCCTCTCAGTGACTTGATAAAAAAAAATCAAAAAATAAAGTTTTTGATTATATTAATAAAATTTGCAAATAATTGAAAATATAATGGCGCCAACTTTTTCAACGTGATTCGGAAATAGTAAAGTAACAAAATACCAATTTTTCTATTTAAACTTGCAAAGTGTAACATGTTTGATACAGATAAAACGTAGTATTTTTCAATGTAATACGTAGTAAAATCCAAATTGACTTACTATGTTTTGATAAGCTGCGTTGTTAAAATTAAATTTTATTTTCGAATCGATGAGAATTAATGATTAATTTGTTGGTATTACCAAATTACCATTTTTAGGTTTAGACTATTTTTAAGTTTATTTTTGTTAAAGATTAAGACTAAGTTTTTTATTTACTTTTCTATTACTCTGCAAGTTTCACTTATGTGCTCACATTTATGTCCAAATTGTGTTTCTTAATTTTATTTATTTTGTTTAATTTGATTATTTAAAGTTTCGATGTGTTTCAAATTAAACTTCACCACATATTGCAAAATGGAGTAAACACCTTCTCAAAAAATATTTTACATAAGACAACGTAATTTTACAAGATTGCATATTCAAAATTTTCATAGCTCTTAAGTAATTTTTTGGAACGTCCACGGTGCGTAAAGCAAATATCACATATACGCCCTTGTAAAATTACATGATTATACTTGCTACGTATCTATCTGCATACAGGAAATAATGAGTGGACTTCGAATGTATTTTTGTATTTTAACATTATCAGCTACTTGAATTTGATGTAGGTAATTCCATAGCAAAATACTTGGAGTAATAAGTATTTTTTACATAACGGACAACTTAGATTTTAATGTAGTGAGATGATAATAAAGATAATTTTACACAAACATATTTTACTGTGTAACAGAACGATAATATACTATTAATCACACCGTTAACCAGAAGCTGTAACAAGTACTTTAGACAGCCACATTATTAATAAGTATAGAAACCGAATCTTTATTACAAGAGTTGCACAGAAACTTTCAAAATAACCCAAATATATAATACGCCTTAGCTAATACTTAAGGTGTGATTTGAACATCTTAACAAATCCAATATATGAAAATGTATTTTACATTTTCTGATAATTCACTAAACTCGGAATACGGAGACCGTAATTAGTTATAACATTGACTTCTCTAGCATGAAGTGTGAATGGTAATGGCAATGATAAGATTTGAGTCACCTTTTTGTGTTGTCTTTATAATTTTATATATGTATCTACATTGATTAGCCTTCGACCGTGGGACACCCAACTTTCTGCAGGACTTGCATAGATTTCGAACTAGTTTCAGTACAATTTCCTCATTTTCTCTGGGATCAGACACTTTAGGTGGGGTAAGAAAAATGTATTGTAGACATTCATTCTAGAGCGAGCAATTAGTTAATATCAACATCTGAACAATGCACTGAGAACAAGAGCTTTTTTTTATGGCCTCCCGTCAGAACGAATAAATTTATCCTCGTTTAATAACCTCTAATAGGTAAACCAAAATTGAAATTATTATTTTAAAATATATTTTGAGAAAAATTGACGAGATATTTTCGTCCCACATTTTATTCGATAGGTATGGATTATTTTTTGATGCGGAATACGCTGCCGGATTTTCCGAAATTAAAACCTAATACAGCCTGTGTACATTAGGGTGCTTCATTTTTAGGCGAGATTTTTTTTTTCTCTGTACTACCTCAAAATTATGCCGCCGGGTAAAAGGCTTTAAGTGCAATAGCAGCTTAGCTCATTTAAAAATTCATTTTCCTATTTAAATAACACAGAAACAAATTTTTTTCGTTTTTCGCTTGATTTTTCGAGGTGAAGGAAATTTTTTTGGGAAAAACGCGTGTATAGCTTTTGTACCGCATAAAATATGCTACAAAAAGTTCCTAGGCGTACATTTTTCCCGACCAACAGCTTTTAAGTTATAGAGCTGTGAAAATAAATGTTCATTATAGTTGATATCAAATCATTTCTAAATTAGGCTTTATTATTTTTGCATTACATAGCAATTAATTATAAACAAAAGGACGCTTTATTTGAGTTATTATATGATTCTAATTTCCAAAATTATTTTGGAATCAAATAGAGAAAATTAAAAGTCAATTATTAAAAAAATATTAATTATTATTGAATAATAATTAATTATAGACATTTAGAAATAATTCATGTTTGTAATCCGGTGAACACTCTAAAATTTAGTGAACGAATATAAATTTTAATTAATAAATAATGATATGTAGAAGTGTATTTTTACGTTATTTTGGAGTTTCTGTTGACTCAACAGAAACTCCCTGCCCCGAATAACCGTCACAAAGTAGGACTAGGTGCAATCAAGTACAAGTATGGAAAAACCGCGGTTTTTGCTTTTCATTATACATACGTCGGGAGGGGGGCAAGGTTTTGATTTACACCGTTTCTCCTTCTGTTGGTCGTTAACCGAAAAAGCCCCTCTCGTCGGAGGACGTTTGTCTAGCCCGCGGCGACCCCACCGAAAATCATTTTCATATTAATATGCAAATCGTCTCTATTTTCGCTAGACCAGCGGGCACACACAAACACTCTATGAATGCGTAATTTGCAACAGTTGAAGATAAACGGCGGCCAGACGGGGACGCCCCTTCATTTCCCACAGACGCGGCGAGTCTTAGACGCTGCCGGGCCCCTTTTTTATTTTTTTTTTCATTGCCTTCGCACCCCGTTTTCAGTAAAAATAACCCTTAACGGCGGCCTAGACGCGACCCTTTGAATGCCGCGAATGACCATAAAAATTTGTCACGGTTTTGGTTTCAAGTGGACACAAAACATACGGTGTGCCGCAATTAGGCTGCGGATTCCGATGACCCCCCCTCCCCATGATCCGCTAATGACCACGGTGCGTGATATACCCCCGCGAAACCTAAATTCCCACAATTAAGGGATAAACTACGGCGCCGCGTAGTTTATGTTCACACGACAGACAAAAATGTGCACAAAAAAAATTATCCTCGTCCACTTAACGATCGCGAAATAGCCAATAAATAGGCGGTTTTATGCTACTTCGAAATGTCGAGTCTCCACCTAGCTTTATCGTTTCAAATGTGGAATATGGGCGGTTTCAAAAATAATACCACGTGTGTGTGACGCCCTAATAGCTGAATTTGAGATATTTGTGTATAAATTAAAAAAAAATCTTTCGACGTGTAGTATGTAGTTCGTCCCAGTATCATCAGAAATTATATCATGCGTAGTGTGGAGCATCGTAAAATTCCATTTTAGCCTCACAGAGATTATCAATCAAATGTCTTGGTGAAATTCTACATGCTAGGCTGTCACTATATAACTAATACTGAAACCTGTCAAATTGATGAACTGTCAGCGGCCATGTTGGTTGTTAAAGGTAGCGAAGTCTAATCGCTTGGTTTTAAACGATTGGTGTTATTGGTTGAATCAGCATAGACCGGGCAGGCGCCTAGGCATCTACAGATGTGTGAAAAAAGTGGGATAAAGATTTTAGTGGACGAGCATTTTGAAAAGCCATTGTCAGAGCAAGTATCCACTAAACGATGGGTTTCGCTAAATACCTGGCACCTTACCTGTAGATACAGTCATGAAGAGAACCAACGGTTCAACATTTTTTACATTTAAATTTGCTTTAACTCAATTAAAATATATTTTCCATTCTGGACAAGAGTTTATTTTTAAAGTAAAAATACTTAAGAAGACTCATTCGTATTTTTTAAATGGAAATTTAAATACACTTTATAGGCTTACATGAAGAAATCCTTTCTTTTCATGTGATAGTATATAATTCAACATCAAGTTTAACAAATGGCATTTTAGTCGCGAGTTTTTTTGGCATGAGCGGAGCGATTTTTTAATAGACTGAAGAATTTTTATTTTGTTGCATACTATATTTTTTCTTCGAAAATTTTTATTGGGTACATTTTTGCAGGAGAGCATAAATAAATTAATTCAGTGACATGTGATGTGACAATGGGAACTGACAAACGTCAAAATACCATGAGTGGCAAAATAGTCCTTTAAACATCTCTAAAAGAAATGTTCTTTTTTTGCAAAATGTTGGTTCTAATTTAGTGCCACGTTGCAGTAACTTGAATTGTCCCGCACCTCATATCCATAAAGATCCATACAAATTTGAAATAAATATGAATTTTGCTTCAATGTGTGTTTTTTAGTGTTACTTTCGGTTTTTGATGGGCCTGCTATACACGGATGTCGGTGACTACTGATTGACTTCACCCCGAGAACCAAGTTCACCGGCGGACCAGACGCTAGTTGCGAAGCGGAGGATGCGGAAGATACGGGGGGATATTAAAAAAGACTTCTTCGACGGTTACGAACGCTTCACGCTCAATTTGAGGCCGACAGATCGGCCGTATGTTTCACGTGGCCAAAGAAAACACGGTTCCTTTTTTCTTTCGAGCGGTCATTAGAGAACAATTCGTGAAGGGTTGAGAAGACGGGAAACATGGGGCGCTACGAGAAGTGGGGCGGAACGGAGACGTTGATAATTATTATCAATTTGCGATGTTGCCTCGAATAAATACAGAGTTTTTTTCAGCCGCAGGCGAGGAACCGACCACGTTTCCAGTTCCTGTTTCCCACAGGGTACGCTTTTTTTTTTCATACACCAACTGACAACATTATGAAATATTCCGCGCAATCACGATATTTATTATTAAAATAAATAGGACGAACAAAGACAGAAACAAAGCGAGGGACGACGAGAACTCCTCGCTTCGATGTTGGCTGGTTTAAACTACTTTGCCAGGAGAAAAATTTATTCTCCCCACCCCAACGTTTAAGCATATCAAATAATAACCTGGAAGTCGCACCGGAGGCCCAATAAGAAGAGGTAATTCCGGTTTCCCTTTTTTTTTTCGTTAAAGAAGATGGGCTGGGTAGGATAAGTCGGTTACAAAGGTCCCGTATCGGAACGGGACCTGGTTTCTCACATTGCACAAGGGTCGGTGAGAATTTTTACCTAAACGGCCGTGGTTATATTTTCGCCACACCTGCCAAATTTTTTTCCCATGGGTCACGGGAATTTCGATACTCAATGACGTAAGCAGAAATCTGTCGACGTACGAAAACAATTGCGATGCTTTACCGCAGGTTACTTCGGGATGCAGATGCGGCAGCTGTAGAATCCTCAGACTTTTGAAAAGATTTTCCCAGACTTCCATGCGTGTTTCGATGAGAAAAACACAAAAACTGCAGTTATAAGACTGATGTTTAAACTGGGTGTCTCCAAAAAGGCGTTACAACCTTGAAAGAAAACAATGCCGATTTTTTATTAGACACGCTGTAACTTTGAGCAATAGGCATCGGTCGGGTAAAATAAATCCCCCGTTATACCTAGAACATTTTGGGCAAAAACTAAAAATCCATATTTTTAAGGAGAAAATGCTCAAAGTTTGAGAGTACAAAATATGACGATTCACAGTCCAAAAGTCGATAATTTCGGAGATACAAGTTTAGTTTGGTGTTTATTTTACGTAAAGAATTTTGCTAAAAACTTATAGACAAAAATTCAAATCCTCAAATAACGTTTTACCTCAAAAGGATACGTACGTATAGAATCGACCTTTAAAATATTTCTCGTAAAACTCTTATACCATGCCCCATGACACGACGCATCTATGCGACAATCGAAAACAATATGTAATTGAGGATACGCGACAACATCGCTTCCGTTTTTCCAACATGGTCTTATCGGCTACCATCTTGGGGACCGGCGCGTGGCAAGAAGTCACCCGAAGATTGTCCGTTTCCTCCAAAATAAAACTCTTACCGCGATCTCTGAAACCCAGCGACCTTATATCCTGGCGACCCTCGTATATATCGCACGATATCCTTAATTTTCCATTCAACGCGGTTAATTGGGGGTGGCAACCACGAAGGAACGAATATCCGGACAATTATATAAGAATTTCTTCAAATTTTTAAGTTCTTAACCTCAACTTTGGACGCGACACGCAACGAATTTATCGGAAACAGACGACCACTCACCTGGATGTTATCGTAGGTGACACTGTAATCGGTGTAAGCGCATAGCAATTCGATCGGCAAAGCGTTAGTGCTGCGCAGCTTGGACGCGACTAGCAGGCAGGTGGCCCCCAACAGCTGAAGCTGCTGACGTTTTATCCTGCATACGCACAGGAATCGATCCAGCAGATTGACCGCGAGCGGAAAAACGCAATCTTCGCACATTTGTTCCTCGCAAACCTGTCAAAACGGAAGAAAAAAAATCCGATCAATGATCCGTATACGTTTTTTTTGATCCGTAACAGGCTACCAACAACACCACCGCTTTCGCGAAATGTAAACACCGCGATCAGGTGTCGTCGCGTGGACGGACGGTAGCTCGTTATTCCTATTGGTCAAACGGTCGTTAAAACTTGCGAATCCAGACGTATTTGCATATCGCAGGCGCCACAGCACCTGCGTGTGCCTATGCGCAGACGTCGGCTTAAAACTTAGAATAGAAACAATATTATCTTTTCTTAAATACGGCATAAGTTAAGCACGATTGCGGCCTATTTTCTTAAACCGCGAGATTGTAAAAAACGCCGCTATAATGATATAACATAATTCAAAGCTGCTCGCACTTAAAGTTACCCGCAAATTCTCAAATTCGCACTTTCAATCCCAAATTATCCATTACTCACCTCCAGCATCCAAGTGGTGACTACCTTTCTCATGAACGGCTGGACGTCGATCTGAATTTGAGTAAAATAATCACAGTTCGGCACAAAAAACACCTCGTCGTTGAGCAAATTGCTAATGACCCTGACGTCGTCAAAAATCGCTCTATCTTTGGCCGCGCGGACCTCGGTAGGATGAGAACAACCCGGTTGAGATTCCATCTTAAATTGACGCGAGTGCGAACAGGTACACACGAAACCCAAGCCTCGCTGTCACGTTAAACTTTTCAAATCGGCAACGTGCCTTTCGTCCACTGATCTTTCTCATTGGGGTGCAAGTGGTTTTGTCCAAATATTGAATGCTATGCGCATGCGCACCGCTTTGTCGTCGACCACCTGGTTCGCTGTACTTGTGTTTATAATTTCGAGTCCTACCTGTTGTTACAGTTTTTGAGCTGCGGCAGATGTTGAGGAATTCTTAATAATAATTGTATTATTTGAACGCACAAATTACCGAAGCTACAAAACTATATATTAAAGCTGTAATTTTTCATATGTGCCTATAAGAAAATATCGACCAGTTGGAAGAAACACCTTTTATATTTTTTATCTGTAAACATCATTTGAAACCGGCAATCCAAAAAATGTTTACATAATTAGTGATGACCTAATAAAATAAAATAGGAAAATTAAATACTTTACATTTATTACAGACTTGTCTCAATGTAGACAACCAACAAAACACTCACGGTTTGCGCTCTGAAAAGGTTACTTGCACTACTACTATACTATCTAGTCACGTTGGTAAACTGTGCCTGACGTTAAAAAACTTGTCTGCGTTGGATTGTTGGAGTCGGAGGTCGGATTGATCCTCTTTTATTTTCTGTGAAGTGACTGAAAACTGGTTTCGCATTTTCACGAGGATGACCATAATAGTGTTTTTAATCGACACGTCCGCATCCATGTTCCAGCGGTACATTCGCCCCATTTCTTGCGAGGTTAGGTTTATTTTATATTTTCAGCACCTACATCGGTGGCCGCACTACCTTGCTGGACGTTGCCAAATCGGCCGTGGAAACATTCGTCAAGATACGGCAACGTAGCATCGATAGCAGGATAGACCGATACATGCTACTAACTTTCGAGGAAAGCCCCAACAATATCAAGGCAGGTTGGAAAGAGAATTTGGCTACATTCATGAACGAACTGAAAAATCTGCAGTGTTATTCGTTAACGACGATGGGCGTTGCCGTAAAACAAGCCTTTGATATACTGAATATTAATCGAATGACTTCAGGGATTGATACCTATGGACAAGGACGGTGCCCCTTTTTTCTGGAAACTGCCGTTATAGTTTTAATTACCGATGGTGGAAAATTAACCACCATAAATGGGGTTCAGGAGGAATTTAATTTGCCCATGACTTCTCCAATCCCTGGGTCCGAGTTAACTCGTGAGCCTTTCAGGTGGGACCAACGTCTGTTTGCTTTAGTATTGCGGCTTTTTGGTGAGCCTAACAGGTAGAAAAGATTCGGTGGATGTGATTGCTGTTTTTCAGGAACTCCAGCTGTTGAAAGGGATACAGGCTTGGTGCCAAGCGACAGTAGCCCTATTGACGCCATGTGTGAGGTTACCGGTGGACGATCATACTGCATAACGTCACACAGGATGCTCAATCAATGTATAGATAGTTTGGTTCAAAAGGTTGGTAATTATTTTGTTGCGAGTGTATATGCTTATAGGGGAAATAAACCAGGTCATTTAAAAGTGGATAGAAATTATAGTCAACAAAATTTATTGTGAAAATTTTGGAAAAAAAAAATTCTTTTTAAAACATCATCCAACTCCACGTGTACACATCCTTTTAGCCAGATTAATCTAAAATAGGAAGGTTTAATTGTCGTAATTGGAAAAGGCCAAAATTGAGTGTTTCTGATATTTCCCGATAAATTGCGTTAATCTTGTGTAATAAATATTCGGCAATATTTAATGAAACCAAAACCCATAACAGTTGGCAATGTGCACTAATGCTGTATTTTCGCGACATGACACCGTACTTTTCATTAAAAACTGTCTTAACTGAGTCTCGTATGGTGAGGTGAGGTAAATCACAAAAGTGCTTTATTTAAAGGTGACATAACACACACATAACAAGCTGCATTTTTGCGATCTAGCGTCCAAAAAAAATTGATAAGCTTCATTCTAGCCATCAAATTATGACGCCATCTAGAGTTTTCTTTAGGACATCTTAACGGCTTTCTCACACTAAGCCACGTAGTTCGGGTCTTTTGTTTGGAGTTAGTTTTGTTTTTATATTTAATGACGTGTTATTCCTGTTCATCTTCTTGGTTAAAATTAAATACAGAACTTTAATATTCTAGCTCTAACGCGTCGTATTTCGATAGTTGAAGAATGTTAAATGGGTTTTGTGATGGGAAACGGCAAACTGCTTGACCACAATTATGATTTTCGTAGTTATATTTGTTCTTCGTATGCCCTTATAAAGGACTTTACAGGGTGCCGTTTACAGGTCCAAAACGGCGTCGTGATAAATTTTGAAAAAATCGGACCCGACCCGCCGCCACCGCAGTTCGAGAAGGAAGACGGCAAAGAGGACGTCGCGGAATTGTCCGAAACTGACAAAAATTCCATATCTGTGCCGCAGAACACATTGTGGCACAACTGTAGGCGGATGATTTACGTGCCCAAAACCAGTAAGTCTTACTGTGTCGGTTTCTGGCCAATACCGGAATCTTTCTGGCCCGAGCTTACGGCTTCGGTGCTGCCGTCTAGGTCCGCCCATCCGAACGTGAAATTCACGTGCACCAACTCTGAGCCGTTGGTCATTGAAAATCTTCCGTTCGATAAGTATGAACTCGAACCATCGCCGTTGACTCAGTATATTTTGTCGCGGAAACAGCCGAAAACTTGTTGGCAGGTAAGTGCGTATTATGTAAATTTTTAAATCATTTCCTTGTTATGGTTTCCAAAATAAAACATAGCCTATACTTGTCCCACAATCTGCCTGACCATCACAGACCCCTAACGATTATTGCGATGGACCACTGATTCACAAATTAGCCTGATCACGCGTAACTAGACGGAGATTACATTTGAAACAACGTAATTTTTGTTGTTTTATTAAAGTATTAAACTGAATTTACCAAAAGCGAGTCAGGTAAGTTAAATGTTGTGCCAGAGGTTCCCAACCAGAGACTTAAATAGACAGGAAACGGTAATTCGTCGCCCTATAACTGTGAAAAAGTGACAAGTTCTGTTTGTCTAGCTTATTATTTAAAAATGCTAGTAAAATAATTAGACAGCTTCCTTCTTTTTAAACGAACTAGTTTAACGTCTAATTTAGTTCTAAGATTAAATATCTCAAAACGCGTTATATTGATTAAGTTCCAAGATAGATGGTATAGAAAACTACTTATTAAAACATTTATTAGTTTACTTAAAGAGATATACCAAGAAATGTAAACATTATTAAACATTATTCCCTTCTCACCATTTTTTTATCTAGTTCTATGGAAAATTTGGAGGCTAGAAGTTAAAAACATGAAAAAAGTTTGGTAGATATGTACTTAAATAATTCAATCTCTTAAGTAATATAACACTAATATAATGTAAAAGCTGACCTGGAAGGAGCAAACAAGCAACAGAACAGAATCACTTATCAATAAAATGAAAATCACACACAATTTCTTCCACCATCCGAACTTCTTCACACTTGAATTTAACTCTTTGTATTCATAACTTTGGACTTTGTAGTTTTTGGAAAACGATGACTTCTGCTGGTTCAATTTTAGCATTCAACTAAAGAGTACGCTTTATTTAATTTATTTATTTAGTTATAATCACTTTTAAAACAATTGGGAGCATGTTAACTAATCCAGGGAATACAAGGCATATTCGTTTATTTAATTTATCATTAGGTATTTGTCGCGAATAGTTACAAAAACTCGGAGGTGGGTCACCCGTTCGGGTACCTCAAGGCGAGCACCAACTTGAATTGCGTTAACCTCTTTGTGATGCCATATAACTATCCCGTTCTGCTGCCTTTGCTCGACGAGTTGTGCAAGGTAAAGGAGCTGCTTTAAGCAGTTGCAACAGGCCCATTTATAAACTTGACTGTGACCGTTCCGGTTGACACTTACCCTAACTAAAAAAAAAATAAACATCTTGTCAAACGTCAAAGAAGAACCTCTGTGTTATAATCTGTTCACAGATATAAGAAAGTGACCAATTGCTTTTAAACGGATTATCCAAGGGTGTTCATTAACATACAATGCAACAAGATTATTATTATTATTAATTAAGTAATTATTAATTTTTAAGGTAATAATCTTGTTGCATTGTATGTTAATGACCACCCTTGGATAATCCGTTCAAAAGCAATTGGTCACTTTCTTATATCTATGAACAGACCATACCTACCAACCTCCAAATCTCTCTCGTCACTGTATATTAAATTGTTTTACCGTCGTAATCGCCGGCAAGTTTATTAATCGGGCTGAATATTTTGTTTAAGCACCGCGCAGGCATTTGGCTAATCCCCGTTTAGGTTCACAGATGGAAACCGACGAATGAGTGGCGCACCGCGTTCCAAAATTACACGCGGACTCTGCCGAATTATTATGCCGGTCCATTACGGAGGGCTCTCACGCGCATGGGTAAGTCTTCAATAGCGGTGTAGTGCTTATTTTATATCACAAACACATTCACTCATTAACCAAGGTTTCGTCTCTAATGACAGAAAAATTTTGCAATTCGACAAATTTTACTCCACATTGGCAACATACCGAATACACAGGACAGATACTTTTTATAAAACTTCTGGATTCTGCTTGCATTTGTTTTTGTTGAGTCGAACTTGCTAACGTTTCGCCAACCTGTTGGCTTCTTCAGAACTTGAGTGGCACTGGCTCGCATTTTACTCCGTACCTGCTTATATATGGTTTGAGGGAGACGGAGCTAAATGAGGGGCATAAACACCGTCCTGGATGACTGATTCCCATATTGGTGACAAGTAAAGACCTGAGTCGGTTAAGATTGTTAGGTTGGTTATAGATTTTTATAGACTCTCGGATTTTTGGTTGGTAGAAGAATTGATTACATGCAAGTTAACGTTATTTATTTGAAAGAATATTTTAAATATTCTATAAAGGACCTGGTTTAACTTTCAAACTTGTGAACTTGATACCCATTGCGTCTTTCTCGAGATTTATGACGTTAAAGTTGGCCATGATGTGACTTTGTAAAGATAGTCGACAAATATTGATAAATTTGTTCACGAATTTGTTCCCGACGTAAATGTTCTAATGGTTAACAACATCAGGCACGCCGGTGGCGCTGGCGCAAACGCTCATCCCCGAGACGTCCGAGAGCTGCCTCAGCTATTCTGTACAGAATTACCTGAAACGTGTGAAGAACCAAGCGAAAATCGAGTACGACAAGCTGTGTAGCGAGATTATCCAGCGACAAGCTACCGTACGTTCGATTGTCCCGCGGATTCGCATCGCCTTTACTAACTGATCGTTAAATGTAGACGAGCAGCCTGAAGGTGATGTTCAGCAGTCCTGAACAAATTCGCGTGGTGCCGAAGGTGACGATGCGCAAGGAACTTATCAGTCACCCGATGCTCCAGGACAAGTTCCAGACGCAAAAGGATCAGATCGTCGAGCAGGGCGGCACGTTTGTCACGACGCTGGACAAAGAACGACAGACAGTCAGCTTTAGGAACCCGTTCGATATACCGCGCAACCGGCTCGTGCAGCAGGTGGTCCGAATGCGGAACAATTTCCTGCAACCAGACTGGATCTCGCAGGACCTGGACAGCGCGCATTCGTTGCCGATCGCGCAGATGGGCAACTACCAAGAGTACCTCAAGAAGCAGACGCCGCAGCTGAGGGAGATCGAGTCGGCGCCGGTCCGACAGCACATGTTCGGCAATCCGTTCAAGATCGACAAAAGAATGATGGCAAGTGTTTTCTATATTTGTTAAAAGTCCCGAAAATTGAAAGTGTGTTATTTTTTTGTTTTCAGGTCGACGAGGCGGACATCGATTTGGTGGGTTCACCAGGTGCGACCGGCCGCAACAACAAGAGGCCGAGCCTGATTGTAGATGGGGGCGTCGGTGGTGCTGGTGGAGTCGGTGCTCGGTTGCCGTTCAAACGCAAACCGGGACCTTTGCCGAAAAATTACAGCGTGCGGCGGCCGAGTGGGACAGCGCCGTCGGACGTTTCGGCCCCGCCCTCGCCCCAACCGTCAGCGGTACCGTGGTGGGTAGCCAACTTGCCAAAAGAAAAATTCCTTTTTTAAGTCCGTGATTTATATGCTCGAAACAAAAAAAACTTTATAAGCGCATTGAAAAAAAGAAGGAAAATCCATTTTTATTTTTAACGTTTGACGCCCCGTGTTAGACTACTAGACAAATTTTTATTTCTATCGACTTTCAACAAAGTATAGGGTAGACTCGGTGATCCAATTTAGATCTTCATCTATAGCAGTGTTTCCCAATAGTTTTTGTGCCATGCCACACTGTAACATTTCAAAAATTTTAACATTAAAAAATTGAAAATTGACTTCACTTAAGAAACATAAATGATGAGTATTAGGAAGATATCACTGTGAAATTGCTATCAAAACACAGTAAATAATATTTCAAAAACTATAATAAAAAAGTGAAATTGAAATTCAAAATAATTTTAATACTGATTTCGTATATTAATTTAGTGTGATCCTTGCGGTTGATGCTTGCTGTACAGAGATTTCATATCAAGTTCCAATTTTGTTAGCTTTAATCTCAAGTCTGCATGTTGTGTTATATCCAGTCGATTTCCTTGTTTTTATCAGTAAATCACTTACGGCACTAAATCTACACTCGGGTAAATATGCAGATGGAAACAGCAGTAAAAGTTGTCTTGCATTTGGGTATTTAGTTAGAGTTTCTTCACAAAGCTATGCCATCGCTCCTCATCTCATCATTTTGCAAGTTCTTGATACTGCATATTTGATATATTGGTCAAATCCACTAATATTGGCTGCATCATCCATGTTGGGAAATCAATCTGTTTTAAATCAGAAAATTTTTCTTTTAAATAAGCGGATGGAATATTTAAATGATTGACAATAACAAGTAAAGCGGTATCAGTTACTTCACATTTTTTGAGTCAATCAAACTCTTCAATTTTTTTGTTGTTAATATGTTCTTGATATAATTCTATATTGGTAATGAAAGCAAATTTTTGCCTTTGCGTCGACAAATGTTTTATTTGTCTGAAGTTGCTTATTTAATATATTTAGATTTTCAGATAAGATATCGGCTAAATAACTTTTTTTTAACGTTTTATTAGTTAATTTAACAAGAATACACTTATTTAAATTTTTCAAACTAAAAAGCATCCTTTCTGTTTTCGATTCGTTCAAAACAAGTGCATTTTCACTGCAAAAAGGTATCATTTTATTAACCGCACAGGTTGATAGTTTACATAAAATATTTAACTTAGCATTTGAGGTTGTGACGACCGCATCGTCTGCGCATAATGTTATCAGAGAAAATTATGAATAAAAGTGACCTCAGGATGCTGCCTCGAGATACTCCACGGATAACTGTAACATAAGACGGACTAACCGAAAATTCGTTTTTTTTTATCGGTTTATCCAACAATAACTAATTCTTAATTAATTCTATATCTATCACGTCAAAAGCTAACCTCAAATCAAAAAGGAGAGACAAAGACTATATCCGTATCTTGACAATGATACATTTTCCGTCACCTCATGTCTGCTTTGTGCAATAACAACACTTAATGAATTAATACTCTACATTGGTGGTGTTCTAACCTATTTAACGACGCGCAGGTTGCCGGTCTCGGAGAAGGAATCGTCGCCGAGTGCCGAAGAGACCGCGGCGGCTGCTGCGCCTGGGGGCGGTTCCATTGCGGTGACAGCGGGAGTGGCAACCGTCAACGGATTGGACGCGCAGGCGCCGTTGCCGGGCGACGAGCGGTCGAGGTCGCCGTCTCCTACGCTCGAGATGCCGACGTATGGCGATTTTGTGGTCCGAGGCGCCCCTCGCTCCTGCAATTATTCCTCGTCGTCAACGTCGAACGCGGAGGTAGGCGCGGCCGCTTCTCTAGGCGATTTTTTCACGGGTCTCATGTCCATCGAGACTACCGACCGGCAGATATCCCAGATCCTGAAGGAGACGACATACGGGAGCGGCGACATAGGCCTCGCGGCTGACGCGGAAGGCGTGGTTTCTGCCGCTTCCCCCGCCGCTGCTCTCGCCGTCGACTACAAGCCCAAAGTAAGCTATTGCTTTTGTATTTTTTACTACCTTTTTAATTTCGTTACGCTGTTCTTTTTTATTGTGAAAAAATTGTTTTGTTTTGTGAAAAAAGTTTACCCTTCCAGGAAGCAAATAAAAACGTAATAAGAAATGAAAATTACAAAAAAAAATAATTTACCGAAAAATAATAAAACTAAATAAATTTTTTAAAAAATGCGTCAGAATTGTATTTTAAGGACGAAGGAAATCAAAGAAATTTTTGTTTGTGTTTTCATTAAAAAGTTTAATGTTTGAGAAATAATAAAACTAAAAAAGAAAAGTTTTTGGAGCATTTTTGGGCATTATGAACATATTTTCAGTTTTTTTTATTAAATAGTTGCACTCCCCCCTAAAAAAAAACCTAAACGTTTTGTTTAGTTCCAAACGGCGGGAAAGGAGGAAGAAAAGGAAGAAATCGACAGTCAAAATTTCGAAATACGGCGGAAGCTCAATCGGCTGGTACGGAAACCGGGGAAAAATTTCGCCGAACTTTTCGAGACGCTCGGCACCCTGAAGGGGGACGTCGACATGCAAATCGAAATCGTCAAGCTAGTACTAAAAGAGTGCCTGAGATTCAAGAGGCAACACCTTGCGAGTCTGCTCGAAGAGCACGTACAGACGATGACCAGTGTCGACACCAAGTGACCCGGTTGCGCACTAGCTGTAAATAATTTCGCAATTTACATTATGATTCTGTTTTTTCTTAATTAAAATTTTAAGCTATTCCGTTGCCTTTTTAAATAATTTATTGCCCCAGAAAATGTCGTAATCGGTGCAGGTAGCAGACAGACAAACAGAAAAAAAAGTGGTACTTTAAATTGGCAATCGAAAATTCCCAAGATTTTTTAATGGTTAAAAAACAACTTTAAAAACTTTTATATTTGGTGATTGGTGATAGCTGCCAATTAACGACTAATTCAAAATGAAGACTGAAAGTCTAGGGCGGAATTTCATCATCGTCCTAACGAAATTGAATGTCTTTGTCAACGGGGCAGACTAATAATTTATTGTTGTTTTTTTTTTTTTTTTTTGATCAGGCCGTCGTTATTATTTTCGTTCCTCATCATTATAATTTCATTTTTTGTTATTGCCCTCAAGTACCGAGAAAGTGAGGCAATTTAACATAACTATCATTCAACAGATTAGTAATAGCATTCATGCTATCAAAACCAATGCATGCGGACAGATGGAAACTTGAAAATAATTTCAACCCTAGAACACTATCGCACTTAATAATTATCATACTTTCGGTATTATCCGAACTCTCAGACAAAATATTGCTTTATTCTTTACTAATAATAATAACTGCAGTACCGCTACAGCTTCAGCGTAAGCTAGTTTCCTTATTCTATTGGATTTTTCAAAAACATTCGATACTTTAGATCTTCAAATTTTCTGTTCGAAATTAAAATGCTACGGGTTTAGTAGTTACCCTTGTCTCATCGTCTCTGAGCGATCCCTCGCAAAAGGTTTTTGTTGAAGATAATTATTCCACATCGACTAATATTCGCTCCGCTGTTCCGCAAGGATTCATGCCGTCGCCTCTGTCGTTCATAATTTATACGTCAGGCATTATGACCTCTACAAAATATTACAGAACGACTCTTTATGCCTATTGTCTTGCTAATCATATTAATTCTGATCTTCAAATATTACGTTTTACATTTGAAGCTCATAGCCTAATATTGGTCAGGTTCTATGTATAGCAAATAAAAGAAAACATAAATATTTTTAAGGGAAATGTTAATATTACGTTAAGGGGTCGTTTACTTCCATTTGTGGAATCCGCTAAAAACATACAAAAAAGCCTTTAGGTTAATCCATGGAATTAAAAAACACATATAATGTGGTGTAGGTTTATTTAAGTAATTTTGCACAAAACATTTTAACCTTGCCGAATACATCCGTTAATTGTTTTTAAAAATAATAAAATTCTACAACTCGCAATAAACGCATATGTGGACGGTTTTCATGTCATCTCGGGTGGGCAAGTGGGGGGGTTTGTCGTCGATCTGCTTGTGTTTTTGGATTTTTATTTTTGAATATATATTATAATGTTTATTTATTTATGGAATATATTTATTACTTTTAGACATTAACTGGCAAATACGAGACACCTGGAACGTAATTTATGTTGATTTTCTCAATTTGGAAGTTTTCACTATTGCTGATTTGTGGTTTAGTGGGAGTAGCCATTGTGAGCCAGACTTCACCACTCACGCATAGGGATTTCTTAAAATGTTTCGTTTTCCTTATTTGTTGAAATGTGTTATTTGTTAAATATGGGAATTGAGTACATAAATTTATAAAAATATAATTTACTTATATTTCAACGCATGGCACATCACCAGAAATAGTTCGACTTTCAAACAGATTTAGCCTTGGTCTGTCGGTTAAGGCGTCTGACTAGAAATCAGATGCTCCATGGCAGCGTAGATTCGAAACCTACCTACTGCAAACGAAAGTTTGTTTTGCTTGAAATATAATTTTTGTAATTAGCAGCTCAGCCCAAAAAATGTGGTCAATTATGGGGATTGAGTGATTGATGATTTTCCATTTGGTAATAAAGGCCCTATTATTATTAAACTAAGCACAATTGTTTTAATTGGATTTTTTACTTTACATTTTATATCAGTGTTAATGGATGCTTGCATACCTGGACATTATTAAATTCTAATTTTCGTTCTGATAAAACTCATGACTAAAGCGGGAAAGAGAAAATGCTGGAAATTGTTTTTAAGTTTATAGAATGGCCGTAAGCGTACATGGAAACCGTTTTAAAGCTGGGATAAATTTCATTCTTCGTTGAACGCTTTTTGTCAAAGTTGGAGTTCTTTAAAGGAACTCTTTTTAGTCTATCAGCGCTGCCCTGAGCAAATTAATTTAAATTGTTTGCACCGCCGCTAGAGGGCCAACATAACTACTAAAGTAAAAATTCTCATCAAAAAAATACATCGATTTCACTTTTATTGCAACAAATAACGGTCTATTACGTTAGTGAAACTGCATTTCCATATCTCTTTTTTCTAAGTCATGTCAGTAAAAAAAATAAAAGTTGAAAATAATGTCTCGTCTGTGGGAATATTTTCAGTATACCTGGACATTACTAAATTCTAATTTTCGTTCTTATGTTTAAAATGTCAATAATAAGTAATACTCATTCAATATGATTCTCTATGACCCTATTGTTTCTACACCTGAGCAGTTCAAGATTAAAACACAAAGCTACATTTATACAAATTTATTTACAAAAATTATCTGCTGCGATACAAAATTATTACTAATAATACTAATTAGTAAAAAACTACTAACTAATCGTTGCTCCGGATCGAGGTTAACCAAACATCTCTTCCCCTTTTCCTGGTTTGGCTCCAGGAGGGTACTCACAGTAAGTAAAGTGTGCCCTTATAATTTTTCGGCACGAATTTTCGCGAGGAAAAGAACAAAATACAGACTACTAGAAACTAAGTTTAAAACTAGCAAATATTATAAATAAATATCGAATAGATTCACCGATAGTTACCATCACTTACAATACAATAAAGCTAAATAATATGTAATTTAACTAAAAAAATATATTCGGATATTGACCCCACCTTTTTTAAACTGCAACAAACCAAGGAGGCACAACAACCAACACAGGTACAAGGGAAGAGATAGGAAGAGGATGATGGTATGCACCCAGGAAATTCACATCCCATAAAAAGGTATACAAAAATAAGACTTTATTTTTGAGCAATTTGGTTGAGTCACGCGAGCCTCCAGCTCAGTTCCGGCATGTGAATTTCCTGGGCCGTATCCTAGAAGCGGTCCTTGGCCGAGAGCATATCATTGTCGCTGAGCATCTGCAGGTCCTGGAACTGCAGGAATTTCTCTTGGTTGCGAATGTGTGCGTAATTTGCCGACAAACACATCAAATAATGAACAAGGCTCAGGATAACCAGTAAGCAAGACACGCTGGCCAGTATAAACATGATCTCGACCTTCTCTACATAATCCTTGCAGAACGCTTTCACATTACTTTCTCCTGACACTTTCATGTGTTCTTGCCTCGTTCCAGTGGGAAAAAGGAAATCTAAAATTTGAACATTTACATTAAGTCAAAGAAGCTTCTTTTCCGTCTCGTATTCCCTTTGGTGCCGGCATTGAACCAAGGTTTTAAATTTCCTGTGCTGACAAGGAAATTCTTAAACTATATAATAATTAACAAATTACAAATTCTTCTCCACCAGAAAAAGTGACACATACGTTGTTCAATTCTTGTGAAATGTTGAAACTAGGTTATGATTTTTCCAAACATACTAATTGTAAAACTTCAATGTCAAATATGAGCTAACTAATCGCGTCGCACTACTGACACCAAAGGGAAAGTTCAAGATGGAAAATGACTAACAAATCCAGTTTCCTTACAAAATTGTGTTAGGTCGATGTCGTCCTGTAGCGTTGCGACGCGCGGATTTTCGCACATTTTCCAAAACACCGTAAACACAAATGTAACAATGACGAGGAAACAAAACATCAGAAGCCACGCGATTTGCAAGACATATGTTATTCCCATAAACTGAAATAAACCACCGCTGTTTCAGAATTCCAAACTAGGTTTCGCCGCTGGTGGCTTACCACAGCACAACTTAACCTGCCCGTAACCCTGGAACCCCATCCCTTATAAACTTTGTGCCGCGTAGCCCCTGTGGCCAAGAACCCCACAAGTAGAATCATCAACCCTAGCGCTCCCATACAAGCTCCGACCAGTACGAAAGTCATTTTCACCGCGTCCACCCTAGAAACAACTCCGTATAGTGCTACTGACTGGGATAAAAAAACATCCAGATTTTACCAAAACAATTGCATGCTGAACACCTCGCTGAACATGAGTACCGAAAGAGTGGCACCCCGGTACATGGTGCCGCAGAATATCACAATTCCCAAGGCACACATAATGGTGGCGATAAGGGTAGCGTAAGGTATGCGGGTCAGGCATTTTTGGCAACAACCTGTAGGGAAAAACACACTATAATGATTAACGAGACAACGTTCAACAGTCTACCTCTATCGTCTACCGATTCTAAAATTGACTGAAGGGACCTAATGGATTTTAAACTCTCTTGCGACCTGTATACTTCGGAATCTAAGTTCGTCTCTAAATATCTTAGTGGTACTTGTTCGCCATTTCTAATTTTGTGCATCTTCTTTTGTTTATCTTTTTAAGTTGACAAAACGCTAAGGAGCGTGAAAGTTTACTAGCATCGAGCAAGGGGTTAGTGATTACTAGAGATAAGCCACGCCTCGATAAGATAAGCTCAATCTATAAATTACCGACTCACCCATGACCAATTACTTGTAGTACAAACGACTAATCGGAGCAACACAATTTCACGATGATTTCACCTGAATTGTTATTGAACACAACCATCTGTGGAATCTTTAAAAGCTTGTTTCACAGAACACAAGGCCATTCAAATGTCATTTTTTTAGTCACATTCAGTTCGATGTCTTGGAAATTATTGTCCGGAAGAAGTGACTAAGAGAATGTTAATTCCGAAATTCTTTAATGATAAAAACTGTAGGTTATAATTTTTAAATTCGTGATGCTGAAATTATGTTAAACTCTTCGTTTTTCCGTTACTAGTCTTTCCCAGGTTAACATAAGAAAGCGTACGTCACTTTCCTTGCGGTTTTCGTTCGCGATCACTAGTGGCGCAGGGTGGGCCAGGGACAGCTCAAACTATTAAAACGAACCCATAATATATTTCGTACAATGAAAGTTTTCCTTATCACAGGCTAATTAAGTAGGCCATGAACCTTCACAAAACAAGCTTAAGTTTAAGTGGCCTTGTTGCCATGGAAACGTCAACAATAATTTTGTAGTTTGTTGTCAGTATCATTTAAGAATGTTTTATTTATACAATTTTCAGTGTGAAAAGTGGACTGGACTTTTTTAAAAGAAATTAGCTTTTGACAAATTTAAGAATGCAGGGAGCCAGTAAAGGTAAGTTTTGAGACTATATTTTATGCTAAGTAAATTACTCTAAAAGGCAATTATCCTTAAAAAAATCTACATTGTTTTGAGTCATATTAAAAAATAGCCCAAAAAAGTATGTTTGTAATTTATTAAGGAATATGTTACAATTTTAGCATAATTTAGGGATGCTGTAGGTATTAAAGTAACATGTGCTGTCACGTGTAAGACACAATCTTGCTCCCACCTGCTCCATTTTGTAAAAATAATTTTTAAAGAACTTACCGGGTGGGCAAAAAGAAAACGGAGAAAAGTTTTTTTCGTTGTAAGTTTTGACCTATGTGTCCAAAAAGCCCGTGAACCTAAAGTATCAACAAAAGAAACTTTACTTGGGAGTACATGTCAAGATTGTAGCAGTCAAAACCAAAACCTAAAATCTTTGACAAATAATTATTTTTTCCAATTTCGAAGAAAATGGCAGGCGAGGAGCCAAACAGGAATAAAAACAGTTTTTTGACGAGGTTTGCAGAATGGCTGGAAACAAATGTAGCAATACCGTGCAATAAACCAAAAACGTCCACTGTGGGCCGACAAAAAATAAATTCTGGCAGTTTAAGCTATGCGGGGAAATATAAAAGAACGAAACAACTCCCAGAATGTGAAACCGACGAACTTGTTTTTGCTGCAGAAATGAGTTTAAGAGCTTCGGGTAAACCAGCAGCGGCAAATTTATTAGCTCAACTAGCAAACTCATCCAACGAGTCAGTCCAACCCAAGATGTCTCCAGAAAAAGCACTGTCGCTAATAGTAGATACGAATCTTTCTAAGCGACAATATCAACTGTTACGAAACAATGCCAGGGAAAATGATTTAAAGTTATGCCCACCGTATAATGATATTTACGCCTCAGAACACTCCGTTTAACCATATTTTTTACGATTTTTGATCTGCGGCTAATAATTTACTCTGTAAAAGAACAATATTTTAGGTCTTTTAGATTTTTGGCTATAATTTGAAAACCCTGTATATAATCGAAAGAATGCCCCAAATAAAAGTTATTGCACTGGATCTTCCGTGTCTGCTGGAGGAAGATATTTTTCTGGAAGCTAAAATTACCAAAAAAAAAATCAATTTTATTGCACCCAATTTCTACAGTTTAAATGTGGACACGGACTTGTACCCTTCTACTAAATTTGAAGTGGATATCTGCAAATTTAGGACACTTAAGACATTTCTTATATAGCACGGAATATCGGGAGTACGGGTGAAAACTTTAAATACAAAAATTTTTGCTGTCTATGTGGGGTATATCGCAATATAGAAGAAAGTGAGATCTGAGTTATAGTCTTCCAGTTATAACCAATTTTCAATAATAGGGGGACCCATTTTTCAGTTTTTATGAATTTGCGGAGCATCATGTATATTTTTGAAAAATTGTCAATTATAAAAGTTTATGGAGCCGTATCTTCTGCGTCTTCTGGTTCAAAAATTTTTTTTGGTCTTGTAAGTGGTTTTTGAAAATGGTTTTTTGAAGACGCTTGCAAACGCGATTTTTTTTTAAATAATTCCCGACCCCCCAGCCAGGTTAAAAAGGAGGCAAATTTCAAATTTTTTAGCTCCAAGGGTTCGAAAGTTACTTAGGAAAAACCAAAAGACGAGAACGGAGAACGGACAGACAAAAAAAAATATTTTTTTTCGACGGTGATCATTTTTGTACCAACGGCGATACCATAGGACTTACCGTTACCGAGATATAAAATTTTTATACGAGCGCAGATATTTTCAAAAAATTCGATTTCATCGTTTTTCGAAAGCTGGAAATACTGCATGCAAATTTTTTGGAAATTATATAAAATCTGCTGAAATAACCGGTTTGAATCAAAATTTAATACATCGATTTTTTGTAATTTTACATGTGATTTAAATCATATTCTTTGGAATCAGCCAAACAATTCGTATTTCTTTATCCCTGATACAAAATGCCCGTCACTATAAATAAAATTCTTATTCATGGGGGAGAAGAAATCATTAAATCATGCCCAGTACCTATCGGATAATTATCGGTGAAAGCTCAAAAAGCTCGGAATAAAGAGTACAAACAAAATGGGGGACATCATATAAGAAAAATGAGCAGAGTGGACATTAACATTGATGTGTTCCACAATTGATTAATCTCTTCGGACCCGCGTATAACAAGTTTAATCTAGTTCCAGACTCTCTAAATTTATTAAAATCATTTAATCCAAACCCTTCGTTTTTTAGCCACAGTGGTGATAGTAGTAACAATGATTCTGAATAGGCATAATTTTTTTTAAAGCCAAAATCTTTATAACAGTTCGTTAATATGATTTTTTTAAAATGTTTCTTATTCATTATTGTTAAATAATTAATATATAAATTGGTGTCCTTTTTTGTTCTAAATTTTTTCATTTCAATAGTGAAAGGTATTGTCATAACTTTTGTTTACTATAGGTTGTCATGCTCTTTTGACATTAACTCTAAATTAAAACTTTAAATGAACGCTTTTATTGCAAAGCAATGGTTTAACTTTTTTAGAGCTATGACTAATGCAAAAACTGTAACAAAAACAGAGAAAAGTGACTAACCGAATGATACTTTAGATGTATAAAAACCCTGTTATTGTTTATTTCGTTTCTGTCAAGCAAAGAATCTGAAATGTTTTTAAAAATCCGAAAACAATATTTTAATTAAGGATTTATTAATTTTAATTTTCAAAACAATAATATCTAACGGCAACTAGAACTCGGCAAATTGTTCATGAAGGCCCGCCTGAAACGAAAAAATTGAACAATTAAAGCGAACAAATACAGACGGGAAATTACCTTTCTGGCCTCCTCCATGCCGCATTTTGCCAAACCGGTGGCAGTTTCGCAAGGATCTTCGTCGATAACAGCTAAAAATATATCGAAAACCCAAATTTTACTTTATCCCTTGCTTGACTGGCCTTAACAACAATGCTTACCGCTGTCGTGACAAGTCTTGTGTATTTGGACGATTTTTTCGTACAATTCTGCGTCATTATTCTTGATTTTTTCCCATGATTCGATGCCATTCGCTACTAAAGAACCGTCATCGTTCATCTCAAATAGAAAGAAATGATATTAAATAATGCTGGATGCATAGTATTAATAGTTTGTTGGTTTACCATGTTATAATGCTTGCTGAAGCAGAAAAGCATGCACTTTCCTTCGTGAGTAGAAGGCATCTTTTTCGCCATCAATTCGGCGATGTCGGCTAGAATGAAATATGAAGAATGCTAAGTAAACACGTAACTTTTAAAATATTTGCGTTTTCACTGTTACCGCAAATTCAATAAAATCAAATAGCGTTAGAGAGATAAATGAAGACGACGAATGAAACTATAAAGTAAAATTCTAATAACTAATAATAATAAAGTTTCAGATAAATGTTACTCACACTGAGCAGCTGAAGTTTCCTTGATGCACTCAACTCCTACCCTTTGTATCTCTTCCAGAATTTCTTCGACAATTTCTTGGTCCAGCTACGAGGTAAAATATTTGACCAATTATTGGCATCATTACTTATCAAGGGTCCAAATAAATGGCTTGATGAAATAAATTTTCTTTTTGAGTAATACGTTATAAAACTTACCGCATTCGCACCCATCGCTAAACACATCAGGAAACCAAAATAATACTTCATATCGGAAAAACTTTGCTTATTGACTTAATTACAGATTGCTCGTTAAAGGATACAATGTAATGTAACAAGCCGATCGGGCAAATAGCTATTTATATACTATAAAAATCGTTACAGACGCGCAGAATTTATTCACCAAATTATCCATTGTACCATTCGGCAAATTACACGCCTAGCTTCCTGCTCAATTCGATTTTTTTCAAAAGTATACGGTTTCGTTTTAAACTTTGGCTTTGTGGTATCAATTAGTCGCGGTAATACGTGGAATTATCGCGCGCAGTATCGGCCTATAACGTCTCCGAAGATTTGGCTTTTGCTTTATTTTTGTTCAGTGACGTTATAAGACCAAATAAATATGAGGCGTCAAATGTAGGAAGGAGGTGGACTCATGTCATTTTTTCTGTTCGAATCACAAAAGACAAAATCGACATAGGCAAAAGTGTATCAATGTGCTAAAAATTATACAGAGTGAGTTCGGTCGAGTAAAATCTAAATAGTTATCTATTCAGTCTTGTTCTGTTTATTAAAGATCACATTTTAATAATATTATATTAATACTAAATACGATATTTATTTTTTCCACTATGAAATCTAGCCTATTATTACGAGAACGAAATTTTTATGGCGACCCTGGCGATAATTTATTAACCACCGTCTTTATGTGCTCGTTAATGACGGCGCCGAACGCTTAATTAACGAGGTTCTCCGAAAGGTGATTCCTAAATATAATTACAGTTTCGAGAGGATGCAAATACGGAGATGCAAGCAATAAATAAAAAGCAAATCATATTTATAACATCGAATTTATTCAACGATAGCAATTACGCGCGACAATAAAATATTAAAATTGTATAACTTTATCGCCTATGACATTTTTTTTCTAATTTAAAAGGCTAGGTGGTGCAAAAAAAATCGGAAGGGATAAATTCGAACGGCGACTATACGGACCAGACCAGACCCTACCAGAGATGGTTCAAATGTATTCCGCGAACATGATCCAGTAAGTCATATTTAGCATGGTGAATAACAACGGGAAAAATATCCTCGAGAATCTGTCTATATTAATCGCCCTGTTTCGCGCCTTCTGGGCCGGTGTTACCGTAGGAATTGGACGGGGGGGCCCCGACAAAAGCAGTGCGTTTTCCTTAGGCGGCATCTCAAAAATCGAGTCACTTTTTTGTTTCGGCGGCTGTGGAGGTTTGGGCAGATCCGAATCGCCCAGGACTATGTTGACGAGGCAGTATTCCATCAGTGCCATAAAAACAAACCTATGAACGTAATATAGCGTAAGGCCCAGTGACCGGACGCATTGCAGTCAACGGACCGACAAGAAGAAGAATTAACGTTTTATAACGAGAATTTTAATGCGATTACAGACATTTTACACCTCTTATGAAATACCACCCTCAGGTTACTTTATTGGTTATTAACGGTTTAAACGTTATTGTTTGTTAACGTTACGTTAAGGCTATGGCCACGCTTGAGGCCTGGTCGTTGCGACACAAACGTAGCGTTGCGAACGCAGCAATGTGTTGAATTGATTGTTATGCAGCCGGCCACTTTTGACAGCGAAATATTTTGAAATAGTATATTATGCAACAAGTGCGGTAAACGTCATTTGACTCACGAGTTTATTTAACACGAGCGGAGCGAGTGTTTAATAAACGAGTGAGTTAAAAAGTTCACCGAACGTGTTGCATACTATACTTTTTCTACGACCGTTAGTTTTTGGGTAAAATCTCCGAAAACATCCGAGTGCTCCCAAACCCGTGCGGTTATATCCCGGAAATGTCCTAAGGGACTCGGATCTGTGGGACAAGTAACTCACGCGCTATAGTGACGCTTTCCGCACGCTAGATCGGTGTATAATTAGGTAGTTTGCAGATGTTGAAAATAGTATACTATGCAACCATGTAGCGGTAATAGTATATTATGCAAAGTGCGGTAGACGGCACTTGACTTACGAGGTTATAAATAAGTAACTTAAAAATTTTACCGAACGTGTTGCATACTATATTTTTCTACGTCCCGTGCGATAAAATCCCGGAAATGTCCGAAGTGGCTCGGATCCGTGGGAAACGAAACTGACGTGGTAAAGTGACGCTTCCCGCACGCTAGATCGATCTGAGCGCGTTTGAGACGCCCCGACGATATTGGATTAATGGAACAACCACGTCTTCAGTCTTTTGTTACTTTCGCGAAATTCAGTTTCAAGAAAGTATCTAGTTGAAACTTCACCGCCGCTTTGGAATATAAAAATATAGGAATAGTTTAATAATAAGCAGTACTATTAGTATCAAACTGACATAAACTGGATAATTCTGAAAAAAATAATACACATACAATACACCATACAGTGTCTGGTTCAAAATTGCATATTAGAAGCCATTAAAATCCGAAAGCAGAAATCCAGTTTTCTGTTTAAATAAATGAAGTTCATGAAAAAAAAAACGATCTGGAATCTGGAAAAGCACAACCATTGTAGTTAGTAATTGCGATTTCTTTATTTTATGTTATAATCGTAGCCATGTACAAAGAACTTACCACACGCGCGACTTCGTCACAAGCGTGACTCTAGCTTACAATCTCAAAATTGCAGGAAATTTGGCAGATAAAATTACCAGCTATTTTTTCCGAATTCGTGCGCGTAAATCGACGCAAAGCGTTTATTTTCATAAACTTGCAAGTTTAACCTCTATTAAAGAGTAAATAAAATTGAAATCGCAAAAGATCACTCTTAAAAGTCTATTTGTTTTTTTTGTTTAAAAAATTATAACTATTATATAAAATATACAAACAATGAAATTTAAAACTTTTATAAAACAAATCAATAAATAATTTGTTAAAAGGAAGAAACTAGTCAAATAAAAATATTGAACTGAAGTGGCTTTTACTTGATGAACCTCCATTTAACACAACTAAATTAGAACAAATAATGTTTAGATTTTCACAGTTTTTAATGTACTTTGTATTTCATAAAGGTTGATGAAAACTGTGAAAATCTAAACATTTGTTGTTTTAATTTAATTGAAAAAAAAAATTAGAGCGGGGCAGTTCAAGTATAATGACATAAGAGCAAGCAGTAAAGGAAGCCTTATTCCGCCTTAGGTAGTGTTGAACTTTATCGGTTAACACCGGTGTGCTTTTGAATCGTTAACTCTCGATAAAAGGGACGATTTCATAAGGTCCGTACGAAAAATTACCATACTTTTGTTTGGAACTTTGACTGTTGTTAGCCGGAGATCGAAATAACATTGACGTATTTCCAATCCCATGAAGCAATTAAAGGTAACAATACGCTCATTAATTAGGTACAAATTAACTGGCACGTCATGCCTCGTTCGGATATTCCTAAATTTATTGAATGCGATGATTATGAAACAAATAATGTTATTTCCGTGTCTATTTCCCGTGTCGGTTCCCATTTGGGGAACGGGGTGTAATTTTTTGCACGGATTCTTTACACTTACACAGTGCAAGCGGACATGAAAGCGTCGACCGCCTTCAGGTAAGAAACGGGCGGCAGGGCCGCTTGGCTCTTCGCGTGTTGCGTGGACAGTGTAAGCAGTGAGGTGACGCCCAAGGTGACCCTGGCTGGCGCCGCCTCCGGTTTTATCCAAAACGAGATCCACTGCAATCGGGTAAAACTAGTTACGCCCCTAAGTTCCAGAGGCACCCTCTTACCGACATGATTACAATAAGACACGTGGGTATGTAGGTGTGAAAGAGATAGTATCCAAGGCGCCTTTTCAGCTGGAAGACGACTTCCAGGCACGTGAAATTACCTGAAAAGTGCAACTTTACAGGTGTCAGTTACCCTACCAAACGGCATTTTACCCGTAGAGTACACTTGAGTGCAGTCTGCTGTATGGTTCTGTACCAGTGCCAGTTGGGGCAGTTCGATGTTTTCGTCGACAACCAATGGGACGTCGGGGTCCCATTGGAAAATCATGTCGTCCGTAGTATGAGATACTGAGGAGGTTAGGATAGAAAAACTCACTTTCCCGCCATATTTTTGAGAGTATTTCATAGAACGGTCGAGATTTCAGGGTAAATATAAAAAATTGCTTCAGAGTATATATAGAAACGTTTCGAATATATCAATTATTAGGTAACGGATATATTCAAAAGTTTTGTTGCTGACGCCTCTCCAAAGCGATGGTAGTACAGTATTAGTCAGCGCACGCGTGAACCTTTAGACGCACAGAGTAAAACGCTACATTATGACGTCTAGCGCGCAGTGTACTTACGACTTTCCATCTGCAACTTGCACTCTTGCGTATCGTGGGGGTATATCATGAAATTCATTGCGCATGACAGCCTGAGTGTAAGCCTGAAAACGGAAAGGATATTTTGTAGTTTATTGAGGTTCCGTGGGTATACCCTGTACCAGCTAAATTTTTAATGAGTTGACGGTTGTTCTGAGAAGTTGCATTTTTGGCAGTCAATAAAAAAATAGTTTTTGCTTCTTAAAACTCACAACAAGCGGGTAGGGAGTATACTCACTTAACCATGTACAATATGGTCTTGTCCTTGTACAGCCACATGTAATGGTTCGGTATCGTCATCGTTTGAAACGTGACAGATTTGGCGTTTTTGAAGAAAGAATCGGGTCGCCACATGTTTTTCAACCAATCGACCTCGAGCAAACGGTATTCGGTGGTCATATTCTCCGGCAACCTAAGTCTGTGGTCTTTCCACGTCTGTGCGAAGAATATATCAGCAGCGTATGTCTGAAACGCGCAAGTTCGACATTTAACGCGTCAATCCAACTCGCATTACCATCGAGTTTTCGTCGATGCTGTCCAACCCCATGACGGTGACGTGGAAAAAGACTTTGGTCGGTTGACCGTCTTTCTTGGGCGGTCTCATTTTGTCATATTTACTGGGATCTTCGGGTAAGATGTCTCTGATAGTCAGGCCGGTACTGAAAATAACCTCGGGTAGACGCGAAAAGGGAAGGGCGATTCAAAATTCTTTACAAAGGATTTTGGGACTTATTTTTGCGATTGAAAAGTTTTTTTTCCGCTTCACTTCCTTATGTATTCAAAACACAACAATTATGATTTAAGACCTTAATGGCCTATTCTGTGATCATCGACGGCCGCGCCCAACGTGCTGTGACAATTACAAGACGAATGTTCTGTGCAATGGAAACAGCATTCAACCTTATCGCAAAAGTGGGTCTTTAAAAATCTTTGTTCAAATTTTGAATCTCCCATGTTTCGCTAAGCGGTTCAGGAAACTACGCGTTTTGCGGAAAAGAACAAGAATCATGCATTTTTGGCGCGAATCACAAATTACACGACAATTTGACACAAAGCGAGCAGGGTTGACGCGTTTCTATGGGCCACACTGTACGTACGCAGGCTCTTCTGCCTCTTGTTCCACCCTGTGATCTGAAAACTGTTCATGGTAAAATTCTATGGGGCACAGGCTGCAAAGAGATACGTTTTTGATTATTTGTATGTATATAATAAGAAAACTTTTTTTACAGAAGAATAACTAGGGATCATTAGAGGTATCTCTGGACAAAGGAGCTTTTAAGATTGATGCATCAAGAGTATGAGTCGAAATTTATAGATTTAAAGAAAAAAAGAGGAATATAGAAAAGAGAGCTTATTATATGTTACACCTCTTCTATGAAATCAATATACGTAGTCCCCCTTCTAGTCGCTAGGTGGCACCACAGCTTTAAAGCAGAGCCAAAAAACTGTGGAATAACTTACCATGGACGGTATATTCGCCATCTATGGTCTTAACCTCATTCCTCTTTTTGTGCTTTGGTGGCACATGTTCATTTTTATTCGGCGTCGGTGTTTTCAGCTTTTTTCAGCGTTTTTGGAAGTTAAATGGAGAAGTACAAGTGAGATTTACGTTATTCCTTATCGGATGAAGAAAGAACCTACCTACGACGAAAGATTAAATCTTTCCATCCGCGATTACGTAATCGCTAGTGGCGTGATTCCCATCAACGAGATTTTCTTACAATTGGGAGACGATTTCTTCATCGTCCGGGTTCCGATCGGAATCCCCAGAACTCGAAAGACCCCCCATCTTTCCCACTTATACGACAGCAGTCGTATGTAAGTGTTTCACAATTGGAAGCAATCCTTTTGTGAGGGGGTCGGCCATACATATGGTTTTATATTTTTTCGACATCGAAAAAATAGAGTTTTCTGGCTCGTCCGGCTATGGATGAGGCGCCCGGGATACTGGGACATAATGAACAATTTTTTATGGCTGTTGGAATGCATTTACTCCATCGTAAGTATATTTTTTAGGCCCTTCAATTAATTCTGATGTCATTGTTGAGCCCCTTGAGACGGATTTAAAGCAAAATGGCCTTTAAGCTATGGGGTCGATAGTCCCAACACAAAGTTTGATGTGTCATGACATTTTGGCAAGTCAGATTAATACCTTTTTGAAATCCGGTGTGTCCGAAGATTGTCTCAGTGACCTTTTGCGTTGATATCCTGTGCCGAAGAATTGCCCGCTCAATAACTCTCCTAAATTGAATGTGCAGATGAAATCTGCCATCAACAAAGGTGGAAAGAAAAGGGATGAGAGACTGACTGCAACAAGGGGTGCTTTGATGGTGGTTGGTAGGACGCTCTTGACCTTGCTTTTGAAACCGGTTAAGGATGAGTAGTACTTACTTCTCATCGAAATGTTGAGTAATGCAATATTTGTTTTAAGCAAAATACACCATTTAGGTTCAGTATATAGAAGTTCAGCCGCGTTAAGCCTTTCGCTGGTCTCAAATGAAATGCAGCCTTGTATGAAGGAAGTGCTCGTTGATGCTTCTTTGCACTCTTGTTTATATGGAGAAGATTTGGCTGATAGGCTCAAATCAATCAGATTAGCTGCAGATTAGTGGCCGAGTTAAAGTCGGGTGCATCCGGAACAAGGCTTTTATAGCATACAAATTTAAACTCGACCGTCCCACTTCGTTCCCGGAAGTTGCAAGGCTGAAGTGGGTGAAAGTCATTGTACCCTCAAAAGAGGGAATACAGGAAGGTTCGAGAGGAAAGGGGGTGGAGTTGTGTCCCCAGGAAAAAATAGTAAGTACTTTTGTTGAAAGATTGCACGAGTTTCGGGACATTTGGAACTCTAGAACTCAAGATGCACAGATTCTACCTTGGTTAGATGGATATAAAATTCCATTTGCGAGGCCAGTTATACAGGACTTGATTACGACAGATCCTGTTTGGTCCCAACAAGAAAAAGATTCAATTTGTAATGTGGTCAAACACCTGTTAGAGATAGGTGCAACTGCAGTTTGCGAACCTTGTAAGAATCAATTTATTTTACAGATCTTTTTGGTTTCAAAATTGGATGGTTCGGTTTGATTAGTTTTAAATTTAAAGTAACTGAATGCTTTTATTGACACTTGTCATTTTAAACTGGAAGACAGAAAATTAGTAGAAACACTCTTCACAAGGAAGTCCTTGATGACCACTCTGGACTTGAAAGAAGCTTACTTTCTAGTCCCAATAATTGAAAATCAAAAGAATTTTCTAAGATTTTATTTTGATGCTCTCTGTTATCAGTTTAACGTGTTACCCTTTGGTTTATGCACCGCCCCGTGGGCCTTTACAGAATTAATGAAATCTGTGGTTTCTTATCTCCCTGCCAAGGCTTTTCCCTCAATAGTTTATTTAGATAACTTTACTATTTGGTGATAGCTATCCTTAAAAAATGTTCAAGTAACTTGCAACACACTGATTAGGTTGGGTTATGTTATTAATTATAAGAATGTTTTACATCCTTCGAAATCCCGTAAATTTTTAGGTTTTGTTTTTTTTGAATCCCACCACTTGTTTTTCTGATGAGTAAGTAAGTTTTGCAATTTGAACCATTGCGAAATAAGAGTCTTTGCCGAGCTTTGTGCTGTGCTAGTTTTCAGTTTGCCCAGCAGTTTGTTATAGTTGGGTATATACTAAGAATTTTTGAGAGAATCAAATATCTAGCCCTTCAAGACTCTGTCGATAATTATGATATTTGGATGATAATTCCTTGTAATTTACGGAGGGATTTTATGTGATGGCTAAAAAGTTTACAGAATCCTGAATGCCCTGTAAGGCAGCAATGTTACAAACTTGAGATTTTCTCAGATGGTACTCCTTTGGGTTGGGGAATTGTGCCAGAGGACTTTGGAGTCCTAGGGAAGCTCAGTTTCATATTAATGCACTAGAATTAACTGCGGCCTCATTTGGTCTCTAATGCTTCGCCTCGTATTTGACTAACTGCGAGACACTTTTGAGGATTGATAAGACAACTGCTATTTTGTATGTAAATAGAATAGGGTGAGTAAAATTTCCTGTTTTAAACGAAATTTCGAGGCGCCTTGGGGTTGGTGTGAAGAAAGGAGGTTATGGGTTAAAGCATCTTACATTCGATCTTCCGATAATTTTGAAGCGCATAAGGAACCCACGAATTTGAATTTTGATGGTGAATGGTACCTTTCGGACAATGCTTTTGCTAAAATAACAAGCAAATTTGGATTCCCATAAATCGAACTGTTTGCTTCTCGCCTAAGTAAGAAATGCAGAAAGTTTATTTCCTAATTTCCAGATCCGGAGGCATCTAATGAAGACGCGTTTACTGTTTTTTGGAGCGACAGTTTCTTCTATGTTTTCCCCCCGTTTTGCTTGTTGCCACTTGTTTTACGAAAAATCAAGGCTGATTGAGCTACAGGGATCGCAGTAATCCCTTACGGGCACAGCCAGCATTGGTTTGCTTTTTTTTTTCATGGGAGGCGTTGTAGTTATTTATTGTTTCTAATTCCAGACAAATTACCTTCTTCTTTTGACAGGAGAGGTCACCCTTTGTGGAAATCCCTTACCCTGGCTGCAGGGATTTTGTCAGGCAAGCATTCCAGAAGATTTGCTGGATATTTTTCTATCATCTGTTCAGAGCGCTACCTTGAGGCATTTAATACCTGCATGCATTTAAACTTTGGTGGAGCTTCTACGAAAGGAGGGGAGTGGAGTGTTATTACTTCTCACCTAGGCTGTATTAGATTTCCTTACTATTCATTTTAGACAAGGCAAGTCCTATGGCTCATTGAGTTTTTTCAGGCAGCACGGCCTTATTTTTGGATCAGATTTATTTAACAATGCAAATCTAACTAGGTTTTTTGAGGAGTTTATAATCTAAGGCCAAGTAAACCAAGATATAACAGCACTTGGGGCCCTAGTTATGTCCCTGACTTTGTAAAAGGGTTACGTTCTAATGACTTGCCATTAAAGCAATTAACTGTCATTAAAACAATTAAATTAGTTTCTCCTACTGAAGTTAACGATTGTACATAGAGTCCAAACGCTCTCTCTTATAGAATTGGTCAACATAAAATCATTTCCAGATGGATTAGAAATTAGAATAACGAATCAAATTAAGATTTCAGCTATAAATAAGACTCGACCTGTTTTTTAATTTTGCATAAATATGAAGATGTAAATCTTTGTGTGGTTTCAAATATATTATTGAGAGGGCCAGTGCTTTAAGAGGCAGTGAATCTCGTTTACTCATTACATTTAAAAAGCCTTGAGGGCAGCAACTATACCCAACAAAAGTAGATGAATAAAGATAACTTTAGAAGATAGTGGTGTCTACACTTTTATTTTTACTGTTCGCAGAACTCGACATGCCTCAACATCGTCTGCGTTTTGTAAAGGTGTTTCAATTGATATGATTGGAAAAACGGCAGATTGGTGAGAATGCTCTAAATGTTTCCCCTTTTTTATAATAGACCTATTTGTACAGCAAGTGCAGGCCTTTTTGTTAATGCCACATTTGGGACATAGAATTTTTCAGAAGGTTTGTTTTCTCGGATAGCCATTTATTTTGTATTTGTACTCGAGGCTTTCATAAACATCCTGGATTTCCTTATATAGCCGAATAAAATCGTTTTATAACAAATTTGCTGAGTTGCCTTTGAAAGTCTACGTATATTGATTTCATAGAAGAGGTGTAACATATAATTCAATGATCAAACGAACTTACCTGGTAAGTGAAGTTCGATCGTAATTATATGTTACACCTCTTCGTAGAAATCACCCATTCCCGCCCAATTTACTGTTCTGAACAGTACTAAAATGCCCTTTGGCAAATTTATTATAAAGGGGCTTTAAAATAGAATGAGGTTAAGACCATAGATGGCGAATATACCGTCCATGGTAAGTTATTCCACAGTTTTTTGGCTCTGCTTTAAAGCTGTGGTGCCACCTAGCGACTAGAAGGGGGACTACGTATATTGATTTCTACGAAGAGGTGTAACATATAATTACGATCGAACTTCACTTACCAGGTAAGTTCGTTTGATCATTGAAAAATCATTGCGTAACAGATAAATGCGCAAAAATAGGACTTACGAAACAGCAGAAACATTAAGCAGTGGGGTGGGGTGGGGGGAACAAAGTCTCGACGAGTTAAAACAAAAAACCCCACCTCTTTTCCGAAATTGAGCGCAACGCGGAAAAGTGTCGCGACTCATGTAGGTTAAAGTTAATTTTCAGCTTTGTTCCTCAACGCCGCACGTTTTAATCGTCCCAGATCAAAAGCCTTTAAGTTTCCTGCCCGGGCAATTACGCCGTAAAAAGTAAAAAAAGAGCCGCGTATAACATCAAAGGTTCTATCGGTTTTGTCATCGCCCGAATAATGGCACTTCGTATATACAGAGAGTTTTCAAAATTAATGATACCGAAAACGAACGAGAAAATTAATAGTCGATGCCGACTTTGCTATCGGTCGATTGCCGCGGCTGCAAATATACAGGGTGTTATGAAAATAGAAGTAAATATTTCAAGAGGCCAACTCGACCAGACCCCTGATACCGAAAACGAACGAAATAATCTCCTACGTAATTAACGAAATCGATACAGGTCGATTCTTACTTGATCGTCTCTCCAGTAGTCTCACTGAGTGCCGAAACGAGAGCACAGACAACTAACCACGTGGTTGTCGTCTTTCTCATTACGCAGCTATAGGAAACACCCTGTGGGCAAATTTTTTTTTACTTTGGCCGTTCACCCGCCTTAATATTATCTAATCTCGTTTGCCACTATGAAAACGTTAATAAACCGTCACACCACGTAGCTGCTTACGCCGCAAACCCTTCAGCAGGACTAAAAACGCCTTATTAAGTAAAAACGACGCCCGTAGGGCGGTGAAGGGGGGTAGTCACGATGATGACGAGCGAGAAAAAAAATCTGAAGTGCTGACAAAGACTTTCCGCGCCAAGGCGAGGAGGACGCAGCGAATCGTCATCGCTGGAGAGCTCGTTGTATCTTCGAGGACCATCTAGAGTGTTACCTTCATTATGCGCGGCTCGCATCGTGGCTTACGAGCGTCCGGAGAGACTCGCGATTCCTCCAATATAGATCCTCCTAGGGATTACGGGTCAATTAATGGGGACGCGTGTAATTAACTAACCGCGTTCTATTTTATTTTTTCGTTATTCGAGTGCTGATATTACCAGATTTAGAACGTTAAGGTCGATTTTTAAATAGCTGACATGAAAGAATATTGCCAACTCCATATTATTATTATAACGTGCGGACAATAAATAACAAGATTGCTTTCGAAAAATCGTCGCTGGGCGGGGCAAGTTCGTAGCGCGTAGCGCGAGGTAGCTTTGTATTTGAGAAGGAAGTCGCTTTGCGTTTCCTAGAGGACCATGGAACTTTCGCAAAATCGATATAATTACATTGTGTACACACCCTATATAAAAAATTGTACAAGTAATAACGATTTCCAACTAAATTATTCCAAGTATCTCGCGCACCCTGTATTACAGACGATACCTGAAACTCTATCTCTCGACACAATATTCGAGACCGTTCAAACCAAATTATCCCATGTTTAATAGTTTTTCATTTACAGCTAATAATTTATCCACGAAAACGGCAATTTTCAGGGTCTTTTATTTTTTTACCCATAATTGACACACCCTGTACATAATTTAAAAAAAATTGAAATCAGCAAATGGAGGCTATAGTCCTGGATCAAGATCCTGGTACAAGAATTTTTCAAAAATACTAAATGGTTTTTTGGAGAAAATAAGTTGACTGAGCTACCGAAATAGCGATTTTAATATGGATTTGGATGCTATCGATGGATTGCGAAAACCGCAAAAAGAAAAATTGTAGCCCTTGATGCGGCCTATGACACTATTTGAAGCGATTAGCCATATTTTTTACGATTTTTGATTTGTGGTTAATAATTTACTCTATAAAAAAACAATTTTTTAGGTCTTTTAGATTTTTGAGTATAATTTGGAAACCCTGTATATAATCGAAAAAATGCGAGAAATAAATGTTATTGCACTGGATCTTTCGCGTCTGCTGGTTAAAGAATTTTGCCGATCGGGTGAACGATTATGGAGAAAAACATATTTTTCTGGAAGTTAAAATTACCAAAAAAGAAATTAAAAAATTAGAAAAAAATACTTGGTAAAATTTTATTGCACCCAGTTTCTAGTGTTTAAATGTGGACACTTAACACATTTCTTATTTAGCAGGGAATATCGGGAACACACTGTACAATAATACTTAAATACAAAAGATTTTGCTGTCTATATGGGCTATATCGAAATGTCTTTCAGTTATATTAAAATTTTCAATAATAGGGGGACCCATTTTTCAGTTTTTTATAAATTTGCGGCCCACCATGTATATTTTTGAAAAATTGTCAAACATAAAAGTTTATGCGTCTTCTGGTTCGAGAATTTTTTTGGTCTTTTAAAAATGGTCTTTTTTTGTAGACCCTTGCAAACGTGATTTTTAATTTTTTTAAAATAGTTCTCGACCTCCCAGCCCCCTATTTTCAATAGGTTCCGCCACAGCCGGTACACCAAATATGAAGTCGATTGTTTCAAATTTCGGACGCTTATCGTGTTCATAGTCAATGTCCAGAAAACAGTCGAAAATCGCAGGAGACAAATTTCAAATTTGCAGCTATAACGGTTCGAAAGTTATTCAGGAAAAACCAAAAGACGAGAGCGGAGAACGTAGAACGGACAGACAAAAAAAATTTTTTTTTCGACGCTGTGCATCTCTGTACCAACGACGGTCCCCTAGAACCTACCGTCACCAAAAAATTTTAATAACATTTTTATACGAGCGAAGATGCTTTCGAAAAATTCGATTTCATCGATTTTCGAAAGTAACAGGTAAGGTTATCCGTTGCCGAACAAGCGCTCTACCAGCGCAAATTTGGCTTTCATCCGCCGACTAAATGACAGCAGCCACCTGGTTCACGATTTTCCCTTGGTGCTCCGAATTTTGGTCAGAAAACGTCTCCGTGTCTTAGGTGATCTAGACAATAGAGGTAACAGTTTCTATCTTAAATATATATATCCCAATCCCATTTCTACCCTGAAGTAAAATTCTTTTTATCTTTAGGAGTTTTTTTGTCTCTCTCTTATCGAGAGTACTCCGATCGAGATTGTTGCTGCCTAGGAAGCCAGCTTGCTTTGCTCATAAAAAGACAGTTTGCAAATCGTTCGTGTGTAATATTTTCTTTTGGATGGTCCGCTATTATATAGTATAATCTATAAACATCGTACTTATATTGTTTCTGTACGTTACTGTGTGGTTCAATCGGACTTAATTTAATTTCAACAGTAAGATATTGTCTAGGTTTAGGTATATTATTTAGAAGCACCAATAAAAAAAAGGCATAAAAATAGCAACATATAAATAGCGAAATGTCTAAAAGACCATTCTCAAACAATACAATTTATGAGTCTTCATAAATGTCAACAGTATTCTATTCTATTAAACGTTAACTGAACCTCATCAACCGTTTTCAAGATTTTTAGTGTTTTTTTTTAATCTCAGCGTTTTACTTCAAGAGAAGTGCATGGTAAACCCTGACTCCACTGGCTAGATCGGCGCATACCTCTATATTAGTAGCAACTCAAAAGTTATGTATAGTCCGTTGGCCCTTGGGTCCGCGACTTCTACCATGAAAAGCCGACCCATTTCTGGCCACAGCCACGGACCACCAATACATAGATCGTGCTACAGACTCCGGGCTCCCCTTTTGCAATGTAAATTGAGTAGCTAATTGTTTGTAACGCCAAAGCCAAGTGTTTTGTAAAGTGAGTTTTTATTGAGAGGTCTACCTCCGAGAACTACGCACTAGGTCATAGCCAGTAGGGTGTGACAAAATCAACTCCGACTCGCGACTTTCGCAACTATGTTCCATGGGGTTCTTAATTTGGTATAATAAAAAACTTGCTAATAAAAGTGCGTTTTATTTTAATTCACTGCATTTGACTGATTCTAAACGTTCAACGAATGAACTAAGCAGTTTCTTTTTTTTCTTTACTTCGTTGCGACTACCTATAGGAATGGGCTGCGAGGATCGAAATTCTGTGATGCACTGGGTCTCTTATAGGTGGTATTAAAACACTTGCTAACAAAGATGTGTTTTATTTGTCATAACATAAAACGAACTCAGTTTGTCCCGCAAGCCGCGACATTGACATTGCGAAAAATCCAGAAGCAACACGAGTATTTAGGCATCACGATGTCGCCCATAAGCAAGTCGATCACTTTGGGTTTAAAATCGGGGAGGCTGTGATTTGACGCGAGAAGGAGGGGTTTCCCATTCAACAAAACCGTTCTAAAATGTTATATATATAGGGTTGAGTTGCGCACGCGTATAAAAGTCACCGCGAAAAAAGGGAATCTGATGTTAACTCGAATGAATCGACCAGAGGGTCTGATGTGACGCCACCAATTTTGACTATTGCCTCCGTTGGTGAGACGTTAACCCCGAACACTGGAAGAAGATATGCTATGAAATTACTTTCAAGACGGCTGTGGCCGTGTTACCTACGAGAGCTGGCCTGGTACCGTTAAACGACGATTTTTTTGCACAGTGAGCATACAGTCTGACTTCGATGTTTTTGTCATTTTGAGATGTTATTACAGTACGTCCGACTAGACGTTTATAAAGAATACTTACCCAGTAGTTCTACATAAAAGTGAGATTAATGCCTCCCAGTTTACAATTCAATAAACTTACTGGGTTCGGATCGTAATCATCATTTAAAAGTGCGTAATGTTCGTGAAATATCGATTGACGCATTACAACGCTGACACCCATTTTGGCTGACAGGCCCAATTTATCCAGCCAGATAAACGAGGCAATAAACCTGTCGGATAAGCCGCGGGCGCCTCCGCCCCAAGCCGTCGCGGTCTCCCCTATATTCGAACGATAAAAAAAAGTAAACATCGGTTAAATTCAAATTCACTCCAATTCGTACCGCGGATAAAATGTGCACTGTTCCACCTGTTGCTAGATTTATATTCTAGCGTAAATACCTTATCAGGTTACAAGAGAGGATCCCATAGAATAAAAGAAAGAAAAGAAATTTTCCAATAGAATAAACCTAATATAAAATATTTTCCACAAATGCTTACCCAACCATAGAGGTTTATCATCTAGTTTAAGGGAACGCGTTACCTTCAGAACCCGTTTAATATGGATTTTTAATAGATCAAAAGTCTCGGGATCTAAAAATTGTTCTGGCGTCGCCGTTCTACCGTTGAAATAATAGCTGCAATAGTTTCAAGGTTGAGAGTACAAGAATATTAAAAGGGATTTAATCCCACTGATGCCAGGTGATGGCGTTCAATACTCGGGCGCCAGCTCTTAAAAACTTTTCAAGATACATTGATATGTCTTTAGTTCTAGGTCGAGTGACGTCTGGTCCAACCAAATACGACGACTTATATGTTTCATATTGATCTAGGATTTTTCTGAGCTCCACAAAATCGCGACCCAATTGACTGGCATTGACACTTCTATTGAACTTGTGATAGAACGAGTTGGGTTCTAAAACATAACTTGAAATACTAGTTAGGTATCTAGTAACTCGGGTAACCATTGCCCAATTCCCAATAGAGTTTGAAATCATTGTCGGACGAAAACTTAATGAGATCCTTCGCGTTACTGGAATCCCAAGCGCCATTTTGTAATCTTCTTAGCGCGTTCAAATCAAAAATCAGATTGACTTTGACATCACTAACAAACTTGTTCAAATTTGTCCACTCTGTTGCTGTCATATTGAAATCTGTATAATTTTGGGCGTTGTATGAAATCTCGCGCGTCCTGTAGTCCGTGCCGTTTACACTAAAGTGCAACATGTCCGCCAAATTACCGCCGACGCGAAAGTAACATGGGCTTAAATTACTAATTAGACTTTTCAGTTTGGGGCTCCTAGAACGGTGCGGTTAGTAAATGGTCGGTTACTTTAATGCCAAACGGTGCCTACGTAAAATTAAAACCTTTAAAATTGGACGCTACAACGCTAGTGTCTAATCCGAGGCTAAGAAACTTTTCATCGACTATGTGCGACTTTACTTCTGTTAAATTAAGGTAAAAACTTGATCCACTCTTTGGTTGGTTCACAATGTCGATAAATATGGTGAAAAATACGATTGCAAAACAAAAGGACACCAGGGTTTTCACTGAAACTTAAGATGGTAGGGTGTTTAAGTGTTTAGTGGGAAAATTAGCGTACGTCTGATGGACCTGAGGAGATAAAACTCGTTTTGTTTGATGGTTTTGACAATCATGATTGCATAAATTTGTTGTCTCGTACCACCGACCTGAAACTCGTAAAGGTTAGGTTCTGTATTTGTTTTTCATATTGAAGTATTGAGACTGTTATTCAAACCACAGAAAACTGCTTCGTCCAGTTACAAATTACGTAACCTTAGGCAAGGTTTTTAGGGGTACTAACCCAAACTTTGTGTGGTTTCATTTAAAATAGTTTTTTGTGTATTTGTTATCTGAAGTAGTGGAGTCACTGTGCCTTTAAATTTGGAAAATAGTGTTCGCCTTGAGCGGATGTATATGGATTTGTGATTAGGTACATGTTAATACGATTTCTGAATGTCTTATATTCACACTGGTAACCAGGCTAGATGGGATCGGATATTCCATATGAGATAATTGCAGCAACAGTTAACCGTTAGAAGTTGTTCCACTGTATGAACATGTTGACAAACCTGAAGGATGATGTATTAGTACAGACCTTTTCATTACGATGGCATCCTTTAGGATTTTTTGTCTACAGTCATCTATTTTTGTAACCTGGCCGATTGACTTTGTGGACATGGCCATTAGAAGTAAAACAAAAAACAAAATTCCACCATATTCCGTGATTGTGTCTTTCCCATTGGATATACTTACTTTCATGACGTAATCGATTATTCAACGTCATGTGTTAGTACCCAAGATCATCAAATGTTGGCAGGTAAAAATATAGTAAACTAAATCGTTTCCCTTTAATTAAATTCTAAATAATAAAATTATAAAAGAAAATAAAATAAACTGGTTATTTCCTTAATCTTGTTTTGGGGCCGTCACCTGGGTGGCCCCTAATCTAGACGGATCCTGCGACGGATAATGAACGCTAGGTTTAACCGCACTTTCCCCTTGACCCGCCACCGACGTAGTGGCAGCAGCGACAGCAGGTGGGAACGGAGGCAATTGAGGAGTGCTAAAAAAGAAAGGCGGCAGCGGGGGTGGCCCGAACATTGGTGGCACAATGATCGGCTGAGGGGGCGGCATACTCGGCAAAGGAATATGACCCGGTTCCAAATTAAAGAAATTATTACTGATTTCTGGCAGGGCTCCGGGTAAACCGGGAACTGCGGGATAAATTTCCTCATTGCTTAGGTGGGTAATCACAGTACGCCCTTGTGATCTGCCCCATTTTATTGTTAACCTTCGACCTCCCAAAATGAGTTTGTTAAATGTTTTTTCTGCAGCTATTTCAGCTGCCGCCCTTGTAGTAAACTGCACAAAAGCGCATTGCTGTTTTGCAACTAGACTCACAGACCGGATTTCTCCATACTGATAGAAGTGATCCCTTAAAATAAAAGATCTCTAACATTATCTAATCACAAGAAGGTATAGTTTGCTAATCAGGTGATTCACACTTTGATATTTGGTACGACAATGAATACAATATTATAAAGGTTGCTGTAAGTTGCTATGAAACTAACCTATTTACACTTTCTATGTTGATGTTATGTCAGTGGTGCAATATGTGTCTCGCACCATAACGAAATATATAATTTTATAATTAAATTTTTAAGAATATTTAATTTAAATTTAATTTAATTAATTAATTAATTAATGTTTTAGAATTTTTTGTGAGCGATAATTGAAAACCAGTCCCTCTTCTTTTAAAAATTTCACTCACCTTATATCTTGCTCAGAAAGATTTCCTAAGTTGCCTATGTACAAAGTAGTGATTGTTTTGTCATCTGGGGGCTCCAAAACAGGCATAGCGGCCGCACGTTTCAACAGTTTATCAGCCACAGGGTCATTAACTCCGTAATAACGATCCTTAATATTTTGATCGGCCAGTGGATCATCTGGATCCGTTGGTTTTTCATGCCTGTAAGGACATTCTTCACCTCGTCTACATTCTCCTTTGACCCAAAATGAACACACGTGGGGCCGGTTACGTTTGTAATAAGGCGCCGTCCGAGCCAATCTCATTAGAAGGTCGTTGGGTTCATTTAACTTAGAGTTCAAAGTGCCCGGATCTGATCTGGCCAACTAAACAACAACCATCTCAATATATTCAGGCAAAAAAATAGTTACACTCACGTCTTTCTCCATGTTTTGGATATAAAACTCTTTGTTGACGTCACTTTTGGGCAAATCATCTCTTAGCTTCAGCGCCGCATCTCGGACTTGTATGGGCAAACCATACTCCAAGTCCAGAAGGCACGTCTGACAGACATTCTTTAGTTTGCTACACGTCTGGCAGACTTCTGTCTTCTTAAAGCGCATTCTAGCACCGGGACACCATCGGAATACCGTGAAGGGTCTCGAGCAAATTTTGCACTCTTTGCCGTATTTTTCCTTCGTCATACGTATGTACGGATTATCGCCCAGACACGTCTGGCAGAGAATTGGAAAGTCCTTAAAACAAACTTCACTAATACCATGTTTTATTTATTTAACAGTGAGCACATACCGCATCTTCCCAGTTTTGTCTGTTGTACGTATTCGTCGTCTTCGACGTCGCCATGTTTATGTTGGTATGGGCAAACAACCGTAGGTAAGCGATTTGAATCCTAAGCACTGTCGACCAAAAAAAAAAATTGCAGAATGCACACACCGTTGACACTTTTCAGTCCGTTCGCATTACATAGCATTTAGCTATAGCACAGAACACTAAATAAGAGTTTTGTAGGACTCTCTACCACAGTATCAACATTCTGTGGTGCAAGAACTAGTAGAGACCACAAACTCTTCCTCTTTCTTTTCTATAAACGCTTCGTTTGTCGAAACGTCATCATTTTTTTTTTAAATGCGGACAGTGGTGACGATGGTATTCGCTTTATCTTTTCAATGAAGTGGGTACAAATTTTTGAGTGCTTGCTACTTTAGTGATCCGTTCGACCTAGTAATTACATCAGCACAACAGATTTTACGAAATGGTAAGTGACGTAAAAATATTTGGAGTTGATTTGCGAAACTTTCAAAAAATGTTTTCATTTTTCAATTGCAGGCTCAAGTACACCAATACAAAGTGACCATGACCTGCGAAGGTTGTTCCGGGGCTGTGCAACGAGTCCTGGAAAAGCACAAAGGTAACAAAAATTTTTTGCTGTAACTTCTTAATTTATTTAGAGGTGTGGTATGTAGTTTAACATTTGACTTCCTATATAGATAGGATCGAAAATTTTGACATCAGTCTCAAGGATCAGCAGGTTAAAGTGAAGACAAACCTTTCAGCTGAAGATGTCTTGGAACTTATTAAAAAGACAGGAAAAGCTGTGGAGTATGTTTCTTCATCTTAAAATAATAAAAATATTTTTTATATTACAAAATTAAGCAACTAAATATATATTATTGGATTTTTTATGTAGGTTTTTGTATTTTTATTTATTCAGTGTGATACTGTAGGTGCTGTAATTTCTAATTTATTGACTAATCTATGATTTTAAATAAAGAGTAAGCTGCACAGTGCTTAACATTTTATTTAATAATTTCATTAAGAATTCTTCTTGCTTCAGCCCTGTTAGTTTCCATTTTCAAGAGTTCTATGAATTTCATTAATTTCTCCTTTTGTTTCTCGAGCCTTTCCATTCTCAACTCCTCAAATTCCTCAATATTTTGTTCACATCCTGCTTTATGGTTTATTCGAAACCCAATTTCATCCTCCGCATGTTCGTAAGTGTTGATCTGCACACAAAAAAAAAAGTCACACTTGGTCAACTAAACTAGAAAGGGAAGTCCAACCTCCTCAAATGTTTCTTCATCATCCAAGGTCACTTTTCTTAAATAGTAACCCCGATCGTTTGACTTTTTTACAAAAGGGCGCCATAGAGTGTTCCAGAAGGATCCTACAAAAATGTTATTATTTGTTTAAAAAAATGGTTTCCTCTTACTTTTCTCCCGGATTCCTGGGCGACATCTGCTCTAAAATAAACAAACACCTTAAAAAATAATTGGCAAAAAATGGGTAAGGTTAAATAATTTTGTGGTAAGTCCGGTAAGGAGGAATTCCAGAGAAACGAGTTCCTATTCTGTGTTTATTTAGCAATTCAAACCACGAAATGACGTCATTGTCTGCGGCGAGTCCGGTCAAAATCGGTTGAAGCTGAAACGCCACTTTACCTCGGGTACGACGATGTCCTGTTCGTTTGCTTCAATTTTTAAATTTTGAGCAGACTGAACCGGAATTTCGTCCATGTACTGCTGGGAGGCGACGGTAAACGGCAATACATCCGGCGCGGTCTGTAGCCAATAATAATCCTTCATCAACTTCGGATGTTGCTGATGGATTTTATCCACCAACAGGTAACACACCTTTCGAAAATAGGCGACAAATTCATTAACATCGCCTAAACGTAATAAGTGTTGCATCACCTGTATATTTCTGTCTATCATCCACACCACCTCGAAGTCGTCATCGTCCTCCCCGAACGGATTGATTAATGTCTCGGCTACTTTTAACCAACCCACGTAAAAGAAAAATTCGAGCACTGGGAACAACGGAAAACTGAACACGATTCTACGCAAGTAACTGATCTTCGGAACGGTGTCGACGGAATCTATAGATTGCGCCCCTAGCACGGTTATGAAAAAGTAACTATAAACCGCTATGGTTACCACCTGCAGTAGGAATTATATGCACAGTATAACGACTTCGGTAAGCGGATCGCAGACCACAAACCTGCGTGTAAACCAACGGGATGCTTATCCAGTCATACGCAAGCAGTTCCGCGCATTGTGCTTTGAAAATTTCGATTTGCCGTAGGACTTTCCTGACAGACGCGTCGTCCCGAATGATTCCTTCGTGCTTAGCTCGTGTCGTTACGTTGGCAGCCCACGCTAGAGGCAACCAATTTTTTGAATAATTCGGGTACTCGCCGTCCAAATCTTCCATTGCTTTTTTCTCGTCTCTGCTCAACAGTCCAGCGTCGACTAGATGCTTAAGGGTTGGAAATCTCTTTTTAACTTTGGATGACGTCATCGCAAGCGTGAGAGTAAACGCGACGCACGCGTACCTCACTATAGTTCTTCTTACTATTCTGGCCCGTTCGTCCTAAGCACGGAACACAGATACCAGAGAATGGCACTGACCACAGATAAGTCCTGTGTTCTAGAACTCACTTGTCCTTTAACGCAAGCTGCTATTAACGAGGCCAGCGAGTCAGGCGACGGTATAGCTTGGAATTGGTTCCACCATCTCGTGTAAACGATGCTCACGTAAAATCCCAATACGAAGCTGACGGGAATCAAGTTGGCATTGCTCGAACAGTAGTTTACTATCTTGACGAAAAGACTGAAACGCAATAAATACAAGAGCCAAGTAGCGCCTGATGCCAGTGTTGCGACTTGTTTTCACTCACTCTTTAGACGATGTGCTCATGGCGAATACGTACGATAAATTGAGAATGTAATAAAGGGTCAAAAATAGTACCAGGTCCGCCCACACTATCTTATACACGCCCCCTTTCCACCTGCGGAAGATGGGTGAGTTGCCCGTGCCTTAAGTAATCACAAAACTGTTTTACTCACCTCGCTAGTAGCTTGAGGAAACATCCTATGGCGGTACTGGTGGTAACCTTGCTCGTATAACTCACAGTCATGACCTCAAAAATAGATTTTCGCTGAAATACGCTATCGATGTCGGGAATTCGAGTTCGACTGCGTTTTAAACATTTATCGTAAAAGTTAAAATGATTATTGGCAAATGTTAACCGCTTCCAGGTTTAAAGATAATAATTAGTTCTGTATGTTAAGCGTTTGGCGTTCAAGGTTGTTTAGGTGGTCACGTTTCGCGCGATCTGATTTTCCGCAAGCGTTTTCCTAGTAAACCGTATTATATAATCGCACCTATACAGGGTATTACGGAATTCATTTGGTTAGTCATTGTCCTGACCGAGAGAGGACGCCTATGCTCATAGTTTGCTATTTCTCCATGAGACCGACAAATGAGAAACGTATCAATAATAAAATGTAGCAGAACGTACTTGCGTTCAACAAACCATGTTAATTTAGATTAATAATTTACTAATAGTAAATTATGCAACAAGTTTGATAAATGACACTTTAGTCACGAGGTTGTTTTGGCTTGAGCACAGTATGTGTTACATGTTAGAAGTTTGACGTTTTCTAAAACCATTGGTCCCAAAATACCATCAGTGGCTATATCCACCGATCGTCTTAAAGTGACACTTTTTAGAGTGGTGACTAGAAAAAAAAAATTTATAGCCTGTCTACTTCACAGTTTTGGTAAGTTTGATATCTAACTAATAACTAATTACGTCGAGAAAGACAAAATAAACTGAGACGCGATACTAGTCGACCAAGTGGCATATCCGCATGAACGGAGGTATGGTCTGTTAATAGATATAAGAAAGTGACCAATTGCGTTTGAACGGATTATCCAAGGGTGGTCATTAACATACAATGCAACAAGATTATTATTAATGGTTACTTTCTTATATCTATGAACAGACCATAAAAAGTATAAACCACAAAAAGCTCGGACCCGCTCAATTTTTTTTAGTAAGTTGTTCTTAAATTAATTTAGAATACTGTCGTTTATTTCAATTAAAATATCTATCTGTCGAAAACCGATGATTGTTGATGTAAATGTAACTAAGTAATATATATTTAAAAACGATTCACTGTTAACCTTTAGAACATACGTTTTTTTAAAAGCTCACGGAAAAACCAAAATATCACCTAAAAAATTAATAACAAAATGTCAAATAGTATATTAAATTTAAAATTTTATTTTTCAAAAAAAACAATTTAATTTCGCAAGGGAGCTAAGATCTAGTTCACATGTTGTTATCTTGTCTAATAATCTGAAAGCTGACAATGAATGAGAACGGAAGTAGCTAATAGCTCAAATCTAAGAACAGAGAGAGAGAGAGAAAAACTTACTAAGTAAATCTTTTGGAAATGTAACTTGCCTGGTGCAAAAATTTCCTTTTTGCACGTGTTACATACAACATTTTTCTTAAACATGAATTAATTACCGAAACTCAGATGCCATCCAAAAGTAAAAGGTTGGACGATGCCAAAGCACAGTTTAAACTGTAGTACCTTTTTGTGCGATCATAGAAAAAAAAATTGTGGAAAATGCATTTTTGTACATAAGACAGAAAATAATTTTGGACTATTTTGACTTGTTTGACCACAACCCTGTTTGGCACAGGAATTAGAAATGTATTTATAGACGATTTTTATCAAGTTTTTGATGTTGGCAAATTGATGGCGCCTCGATTTTATTTCCGCCGCTTTCAATTTGGTATACATGACTTGCATATCAGTTGAACTTCGCAAATTGACTAAAATTTCCAAGAAAACCTAAACATAACTTATGTCATAGCGAGTATTTTTTCGCATATTCCTTTGTCACGATTCCATAGGCAGAGATGCGTTTATATATTTAAAAATTATTTATTGTATTGCTTCATCTCACAATATCATACACTAGTTTTTTCTCCGTGTTGCCATCGTTGCCAGCTTTGAGTAGGGCTATACACTTGAGCAGCTTGTCCCTGTGCCGGTCGAGCCTTTCTTTTCGCAATTTTTCGAACTCTTCCGCGTTTTCGTTGCACTTCGACTTCTGGTATAATGGAATCCGGATCTTGTTTGGGCCCTCCTCCTCGTAGATGTTGATCTGAAACGTGGCAATTCTCTATGATGGATCCATAAAACCTCGGGCACTCGTTACCTCGTCAAAGACGTCCGCGTTGTCATCCACTGCAATTTTCCTCAGGTAATAACCGCGGCAGTAGTCCGTCTTTTTGGTAAATGCGTTGCTGATGATGTTCCAAAGCGATCCTAAAAATAAAACGATGCATCCATGGGCGTTACCAAAGCGGGGTACATCGGGTGTTACTTTTACTCTGCACCGAATGTCGCGTCGTGCTCTGAAACACACCAATACCGCACTTTCTTTACTCTGATGTCGCGCTTCGTCGTGCGGAATCACCTCGGGTATCACCAGGTCCTGATCGGTTTTCTTCACCTTCAAATTCTCCGCCGACTGTACCGGTATCTCTTTCATGTACTGCTGCGAGCCGACCGTGAATGGCAGCAAATCCGGCGCCGTCTGCTGCCAGTAATAGTCTTTCATGAGCTTGGGGTGGTCCTGGTGGATTTTGTCCACCAACAGATAGCACACCTACGACAATACACTGGTAAATTCAGCCTCGTAACATTTACATGACGCCTGGACCCGTCGCTATCAACAATCCCCACCCAAACGTGGTTTACCTGTATGTGCCTATCTATCATCCACACCACCTCGAAGTCGTCATCGTCTTCGCCGAATGGGTTGATCAGTGTTTCCGCTACCTTCAACCAGCCCATGTAGAAGAAGAATTCGAGCACTGGCATCGTCGGAAAACTGAACATGATATTCTGCAAACCGGACGACGTCTCGACGTCTATGAACTGGGCTCCGATCACTGTGATCAGGAAATAACTATACACTGCAATCGTCACTACCTAAAACGCGAACTGGTATATTTGAGTAGCCGGTTTTGACACCCCCTACCTGCGTGTAAACCAACGGCACGCTGATCCAATCATAAGCCAACATTTCGCCGCACTTGGTTCTGAATGCATTAATCTGATCCAAGATACTCCTCACCGACAGGTCGTCCCTGATGATGCCCTCGTGTCTCGCCCTCGTCGTGATATTAGCTGCCCAAGCTAGAGGAAGCCTAAAACACGTGTCTTAATGCACCAGGAAGTCGCACCATCACTTTCATCGCTGACCAATTCTTCGAATAGTTGGGATATTCGTTGTCCAGGTCCTCGATGATTTTTTTCTCGTCCTTGGTTAGCAGCCCGGCGTCCACGAAGTGATTTAATGTGGGAAATCTTTTCTTCACCTTGGGTGACATCATGGTCAAAGTTATAGTGAATGTGACGCACACGTAACGCACGATGGTCCGTCTGACGATCCTAGCTCTTTCGTCCTGTAAGGAAAGATGAGCTTTCGAAGGAGCGCAAAGGGTCAAAACTTGCTTGGCCCTTGATGTTGGCACCAATCAGCAGGGCGAGGTTGTCGGGGTATGGGATCGCCGTGAACTGACTCCACCACCTGCTGTAAACGATGTTGACGAAGAACCCAAGCACGAAGCTGAGGGGTATGAGGTTGGCGTTCTTCGAGCAGTAAGTAACGACCCTGACGAAGTATCTAAGAAGTTTTGTTAACTTAACACCAACACTTTACATCGAGATTATATGATCACACGGTCTATTTTCGCGGGTAAGACTGATATTATATCCACAGATTTCAAAGGCTGTTGTGACGGAGTTATAGTTTATAGAAGTTGGTTTATATGGGCTGCAGATTGCTAGGTCTTTTTGGGATATAATATACCATGGTATACTCACTCCCTAGAGGATCCGTCGAGGGCGTACAAGTACGTTAGGTTAAGGACGTAATAGAGTCCCAGGAAGATGATGAGGTCGGCCCAAACAATTTTATAGATGCTGCCCTTCCATCTCGCTAGCAGCTTCAGGAAGCATCCGATTCCAGTACTCGCTGTCACCTCGCTCGTATAAGTTACCGTCATCGTGCGTCCGCGTTCAACGCTGTTTTAAAGCAAGCTGGTATTTTTAGGCCCAATAAATCATCAGCGAGATAACCTTATCAGTTCTTCGACTATGTATTTTTTAATCTGTCCCGATCGGTTTTGAATAAAAAAAACACAAAACAACGCGTTCTCGATATCGACGCACTGTTGGAAAGCGAATGTGTGAGTCCAACAGCTGAAGCGAACCTGACCTCGCCTGGTATATTTATAAACGTTAGGTAATTTGTGCCGTCAGATTTGTGGGTTTGGACTGGGCCAGGCTGACGGTTGTTTCGAGAAGAGAGATTGTCAAGTATCTTTTAAAAATTAATAACAACATTTGTAGGGGGTCCAAGAAAAGAATCCATTTCGAAATTGATTTATCCCGTTCAAGAAATCTTTAATCGTTAATCGCTTAGTCAGTAGTTAAAGTGCATCTGTTTTAAAGACAAATTCCAATCTCTTTGTTTAATGCTGTTTGCTGTATCTGTAAAAACAAATGGCAAGTGGTGGGGGGTATTCTAATATATTTTTTAAATAAATGTTGCCATTTTGATTTTTAATATAATTTGGCATCATAAATAATAAATTAGAGTTCTATTTGGTAAATTCTAGATAATAAAACATTAATAACAACCCGTAAAGTGGAAATTTTTCCCAAAATCCAACTTTTTTCGGGCATTAAGTTCTTTTTTTTATATATTTTTGATTAGAATAAAGATATTGAGATGCAGTTTTCATCGGGTTGTGATCTAATCATCATCTAATGATCTAATAAAAAAACTCATATCGTTGCATTTATTTTTTTTTTCGATTGCCAGAAACTCCACTTGGTAACAGGGTTAGCAATCACAATCGCGTTACTTATAGTACGATTTTAGCCTAGGAAAAGTCCTTTTTTACTACTCCAACTTATGGACATTAATTTAATATTATATTCGAAGTTTCTCACTACTTCCCTTGTAGAGATAGAGCAAAAAGCATTAAACAAAAAAGACTTGAAACTTTCTCAGCTTTTGAGATAGTAGTCATTGTAGTTACGGTAGAAATTTTTGTAAAAACCAAGTTTTAAAATTCAAGATAATGATTATGGCCCTGATGATCATTTTAGAGACTGGAAAATAATTTCCAGGATTTTGTCTTGGCTGATTTACTTAAATTACTAGGACCGTTCGTTTGCGTAATTTCAGACCTCGTCGCTCTTGTTGGGACACCCTATATATAGCAGGTCGGTTATAGGCCATAAACTTAGAATTCCGACTTTTCCTTTTTTGGGGAGAAGCTATTGCCCCGACAAATGAGACAATTTGGTTTTAACCGTGTCAGTAACAGCAGGCCCTGTCGTGAGTTATAAGTTGCGTATTTACGGTTTTCGCTTGTCATACAGGACGAGAGAAATATTTGAAAATATTCAGTTGGCAATCACACTATTTGTAGTGCAAATTGCAAAATATGAGATTTATTTTATTTGAAAGTCACTTTATACAGGGTAGGCGTAAAATGTTGTTTGCCAAAGATGCAAACATTAATTTATTTAATAAGAAACATTATAACCTCCAAAAAAATGGTTGCCCCTCGACCTTATCTCAACAATTCGTCGATTAACTTTTTCGCCTTCTCCCTATCCTCCTTCCAGATTTCCGCGATTATCTCGAAATATCTCAGCGTGTCCTCCTTCCTCTTTTCCAACCGTTCGTTCCTCATCTTCTCGAATTCTTTTACGTCCTCCATGCGCTCTTCCCCACCTACTGCCACCGGTTCTCCATCGTAGACATTAAACTAAAATAGTTTCGTAAGAAACAGACCCTCCTTCGAAATCACGTAATTAATTACATCGTCGAATACCAAATTATCACCGGCAGCTACGCGTTGCAGCTTCAGATCCGGTGGTAAACGTGATCTCTTCGCGAAGCTGGACAAGAACCGCTTGAAACCTACGAACACGACCTCCGACCTTATCACTTTTAACGGCAGTAACTCAAATTACCTGTGTCTCGCAGAGGTTCCTAAAATTGTCTTGATTACTCCCGTATGGCATCTCAAAATAACTAGCAAACTCACTCGACTTTTACCCCATTCTGGAATGATCAGATCGTCGTCGTTTTTCCTTATCTTGACAGTATTTGTCGACTCTACGGGACATTCGAACATAAACTTCTGGGAAGCGACCGTGAACGGCAGCTGCTGCGGTGCTACCTTCTCCCAATGCATATCCTTGGTCAGTACCGGGTGTTCTTCGTGGATTTTGTCGACCAAGAGGTACCCCACCTTCAACAAAATCTTAGACCGTTGCAGTTTCGCCCAAAGCAATAGTTCTACCTGCAGGTGTCTATCTATCATCCACACCACTTCAAAGTCGTCGTCGTCTTCGCCAAAAGGGTTGATCAGAGACTCGGCAACCTTAAGCCATCCCATGTAAAAGAAAAACTCGACGAGGGACATTAGAGGGAATTTAAATACTATAGTGTCTCCTTCTTTTTGTTCTTCAATAAATTGGGAGCCGATGACAGTGAACAAGAAGTACAAGTAAACAGCCAGAGTGACGACTTGGGTGTAGACTAGAGGCACGCAAATCCAGTCGAAGTCGAGCAGCTTCTTGCACTGTCCCCTGAATGCGTTGATTTCCTCGAGGATGTCCTTTAGGCCAAGCTCGTGCTGGATGATGCCCTCTGCTTTAGCTCTGGTAGTAACGTTTGCAGCCCACGCAAGAGGCAACCTACACATGGAGTTATTGAAGAAATCTTCCACGACCTTATGCAGTTTGATACCAGTATTTAATATACGAGGGGTACTCGTTGTCCAGTTCCTCGATGAAGGCACGTTCGTCCCTATTAAGGAGGCCAGCGTGAACAAAGTGGTCCAGAGTCGGAAACCTCTTCTTCACTTTGGGTGATAAAGTCCTCAGGGTCAACGTAAAGGCCACGCACACGTAGCGTATGATCGTCCTCCTTATCATCTTGGCCCTTTCGTCCTAGAAAAATTTTTGGTGAAGCTATACTTAAGGATAATGGCGTACCTTTCCGTGTATGCTGGCGCCGACCAAAATGGCGATGTTGTCTGGGTACGGTATGCACGAATACTGGCTCCACCATCTGTTGTAGACGACGTTGACGTAGAAACCGAGGACAAAGCTCAGCGGTATAAGGTTGCCGTATTTTGAAAAGTACGTCACGATGTTTATGAAGTGCCTAGAAGAACGCAGTACTCGCGTGAGTCGTCACGGTATGTGTGTATCGCAACCTCCTGCCATAGGTTTCCTCCAGGCCGTAGAGGTAGAGCAGGTTTAGGAGGTAGTAGACGGCGAGGTATAGTACGAGGTCGGTCCACACGATTTTATATATGCTGCCGCGCCATCTGAAACGTTGGGGACATAGAATTTTTTACTGAACTTTTAGGTTTAGATTTTATGGTGAGATTCTAGTAATTAATGTAGCTTAATGTAAGGTTTCATTGAAAATAATATGCGTGTGTGATCCTTTTTTCTACAGCGAAATTTGGGTAATTTCTACATGTTGCAGGACATACTAATGTCCTTATAAAGAAAAGAGACGGGTTTTTAAGAGGTTTTAAACTGAAATTAAAAAAAAGATGAATGAACTGAGGAGTTACAGAACGCATTTAAGACGGAGTTGCAGGTCGTTCTTTGGGATCTTGAAATTAAAAAGCATATAATTATAAATATACTCGAAACAGAAATTCCACAAGAATTAATAGTCTAAAAGCCAGTGGGCGGCTACCTGCATGTATTTGACCAGACCTGGGTTTTTGTACATTGAGGCCCCTATACCTATTATACATGATGTGGAGACCCACTGAGCCCAAAGCGGTGGATCCAGGTACTGCGCAGGTGAGACAGGTATTGATTTTTGGCGAGTTTTAAATATATTTGACCACGGCTGTCGTTTTGAAATTTTAAAATATCTCATTATTATTATCGAAAAATAATAATGACAGACCATTAGCATGCGGTTAACATTATGGCTGACAGTTTTGAAAATGCTCAAAAAATTAAAAATTTAAAAGTATTTGACACGATCTGCCATTGAGATTATTATTCGTTATAGTCTTTTTTCTTTGTCCTATGTATTACTATTCCATTCAATCCAGCTTATAGTATTTTATTTTATAGCTACTACCACTTAAATAATTTAGGGTTTATACCTGAGATGGCTCTGTTATAATCCCAACCTAACGGTTTTTGTCAGATGTTTTCAGTATGTTTGTGAATCTCTATACAGATGCCTAGTGTTTAGTGAATTTAATAAAATATACAGTGTTGCTTCATATTATTTTTCTTTAATTAAACTATTATTCGTTAAATATCTCTGAGATTATGTCGAGTGAAAAAGAACTAGTGAAGTGCGTTTTTTGTGCAACAGCAAAGACTCAGAAATTATTGACATTTTCAAAAGAGAAAGAGATGGAAAAATGTAGACAAATTTTGAGGTTAAGAAAACATTATAAATTAAAATACAATGAAATAATTCTACAGTACGAAATTTTTGATTCTGTATATACACAGTAGTTGTTACAAAGCGTTTACGGCTTCAAAAAAAAATTGCAACCGATCTCAACAAAGAAGCTGTATTACAACCCACTACGCCGTCGTCTGCAACTGAGCAACAATCAACATTAACTGATAGCTCAATAACTAATGATACAATAGTTCTTGATAATCTTGTAAAAGACGTAAACGTTTCTGAGACAGATGAAGCCGTAAAAAAAGATATTGGCTCTGAACTAGATCAGTCGTTGGCGGAAGGACTCTCTTTAGTACCGTGAGTAGTTACAAAGCTTCGGATGTGAATGAAAATTTTAGTAAAAAAATACAAAATTTTGACGCAACCTCAATACCACCAGAGGGAACTTTACATTTCAACGATTTGGAAAAACGCTTACAAAAAGCAACCTTCAACCTTGGACCCATTGGAGTATGGTTGGATTGAGCAGGACAACACATTTGTCTTTAAATGGTTCGATGGAGATCCATCTTTTGTTAGCGACTAAATTACCAATGTCCCTGGTAAGTTGATAAACATTAATTTTTTATCAAATATATTCGGATCAATTTACTAATTATTTATATTTTACAATTTACGGTTTATTTTTACAGAGTTAGATTCAATGGATGATGAAGAAGAGTTAACCTATGACAAACATGAACCTTTCAAATTTTGTCTTAAATAAATAAAAAAAAATGAAATGCATATTTGAATTGTTTTTTGTTACTTGCATTATACCCCAAGATTTCAGATTATTTCGTAATATATCTACTTCATTTATCATCAATCTTATAAATTTTAGTATATAAAGTGCAAAAAAAGTATTAATTTTATACATATAGTGATAAAATTAATTATAAGTGAGTCAAATTTATGTAAAACAGCGATCGTAATACATATACATCTGACCGGGTAATAGTAAAGATTTTGTTATCCACTGAGGAGTGTACTCAATTCATTTGATAGTGACGATTATAAACTATAATTTACTCCATTCCAGTCCTATTTGATTATATTAATGAAGAAAAACGAAGCAAAAATGACCAAATCATACAAACAAAATATTTGCTTGAAAGAACGCCAGCGATGTACAGTGACGTACATTTCCAACCAGTATCTCAAAAGTTAAGACATCTAGAAGCGTATTGACACACTATTAACACACCCTGTACAATAATTCTTGTATAAAAAAGTTCCATATGTTTTCCTCCAAATTGCTAGTTTTACCCCAATGATGATTAATGACAGAATGTTAGTGACCGTTCGCTAACATTAGCCATATCAAATCCTGTATTTACAATTCTCCTATGATTCGCATTTCGCAGGATTCACTGTATTTATAAAGTCAATTGGACGTAGAAGAATAATCGTATTAAAAGCAAAATTGAACATTTTTTTAGTCCTCTGATAAATAGTTTGAGGAACTCTTTGTGTGGCCCTGAAAATTTTGTTTGTTGGAAGCGGCCGTTATATTTACCGAAGTTAATTTAAGCATTAATTGACCTAAAACTGACCTATTTACAATCTAAGCCCAATCGATACGTTCTGGCGAGTTGATGTATCGAATTTGACTTATCAAATTTGGTCGATAGATGATGTCCGCGCATATACCTTCCTAGCAGCTTCAGGAAGCTGCTGACTCCGAAGCGGGTGCAGGAGGTCACTTCGCTGGAATAATTCACCGTCATGATATCCAAGACCGTATATAAAACACACAAATCGCGTGAAACTGCTGCAACGGATGTGTTTATTTTGCGTTATCGCGACAGATATCGTCCGGGAATCGACGGACGCCGAATATCGCTCGCTCAGAGTACGCTAAAAGCACTCAAAACGATACGTTTTTCGTCAGATATGTTAATAAGGAAAGTAAACAGTTTGTCGGCGAGGCAGACCAAGTATCAGCGTGTAACTTTGCTCGGAATTTCTTCTAGTTCGGTAAACATATCGATAAGAGGCGACAAAAATGACGCGCCTGGTCCGACGACGATAAAATTTCGTCATACAAGGGGTATTCGAAAAGAATCAACTTCGCGGGAAAATAAAAATTCTGTAGTCTATTTCTTTCTGCATGTAAGCTTCACAATTGACGTGCATTCAAATGCAAAAAAAAGATATACAAAGTTTTTCTTATTATAGTCTTTTTAATGATATGTATGTCGTTTTATAGTTTTAAAAGTAATTGCCGCCTAGAAAAAGACAAAGCACAAGGAAAATAAACCTTCTGTATTTATTAAACAAATACGCAACAAACATGGCATATAGCAGTTTCGCATTAAACAGGCAATTATAAGTTATAAGTAGATGTATCACATATGTATTATGTATATGCAGTCTAATGAATAATTAAATAATAATACAAATAACAATACTAGTGAAAATATTAAACAGATTTAAATGGCCCAGTAATAAAAAAAAGGTTATTAACAAAAAACATCCCAGAGGTGTAACTTAACCTAAAAACACCACACTATAAAACGTCAGCTTTCGTGCAAACGGTGGTCAGAGTGGGGGCACATGATTTAATATTTTTAAAGGGCCTGCTACCCCTAGCAGCAACCTTTGCAGATTGCAGTTTCCACGCGACTTGACGTCAAGCGATTATACAAAAGTAACAGACCGTATGGAGGGTAGAGGCGACATGGATCAGTTTTTTTCGTCCTTGGGTCTGACGTATACCGGATAAGATCGTTTCTGGAGCTGGGGTTCCGTGTCCGGCGCCTTGGTTGTCTTCTCGAATCTCTTCGACATGAACTCCCGGACCTTCCTTATGGCAGGTCTCGAGCTTTGAATCAGGTTGTTGACGGCTGTCAGTGTTTTGATCGGGATCTGCGGCGAGAAATTGAGAGATGTTTTTTAAATGTGTCTAGACTTACTTGGTTGGCGCGTGGAACCACTGAACCTTTCCATAACATCTTTACCAATGACCTTCGGACGGTTTCGCGAAATTTCTTAAATAATTCATTTTTTTTATTACAAACGCAACACCGCCGAGAGGTTTAGAAAAAATAAATACGTTTTGGGAAATTCTCAGTCATTTTTTTTTCGGTGGGTTTCGGTATATTTATTTTTTTAATTAAAAAAAAAAAACAGAATGATGCCCATTCTGAACTTGTGACCTTTCATATGTTAGGGAATTTCTAGCCTGAATATGTTTTGTTTGTTAAATTGATATCTGGACTTTTCCACTTATATTTATTTCATCGAAAAATTTAAATACAAAACTTGTTTTTATGAAAGTGCTGCATTTAAAATACGAAATAACGAGAAACCGTTGAAAATAGTGGTAGGTATTAAATTATGAGTCACATCATACAATAACATACCAAACATCTATAAAATCAAAGTTTAGAGCTTTGAAAAGAATGTTATCGGCTAGAAAATCTTAGTTAAAGTAGTATTCAAAATAATGTATATGTAACCTTATCGGGACCCTTTTTTTTTCTCAAAAAGAAATTATATACTGGATGTTCTATTTGAAATTAGGTATAATGACGTACTTATGAGATTTCGAATGTGACGTCATTGCCAACCGGACACGATAGTCCATCGAACTAACGAAAACTATTACCAACCACAAGATTCACACAACAGTTTTCGTGTATATACTTACGTTGAACAATGTGTCTATAAACTGTGACCTGTCCTCAGTCTCAGCCTGTCTCTTATCTCTATTCAGCAGCCCGTCGGATTGCAAATCAAATGGTCTTCCCTTCACCAAAAAAAGAAATCAGTTTAAATTATCGACTCCGTGGATTTTATACCATTTCGAACGGCGTTTCCGCTTTCGTAGGGTATTCCACGATGCCGACGACCTGGAGCGATTGAGTGGCGATGACCGATACCAGCAGAGACCACACGACAGCGTCCAAAAAACCTACGAACTGAAAGAAGAAATTTAAATTTTCAAACAGGCACACTTTATTCGCAGACCTTAATCATGATCTCACACTCGTAGTCACTAGCGGTACGGGAAAAAGCAAAATGAAATTTTCAAACCACGCGCCGTTGTTATAATATAAACTCCACCGCCGGGATTTTTTCTAAAATCGTCCTGGATATCCGCATCTCGCGGTTCCAGTGGCGTACGGGATTATAGGCGCGTCTGTTTCTCTATATTCCGAAAGACCTCGATTCGATAAAAAAGGGATTTTATTGCTGGTCGAATTCAAAGTAGAATTCTCAAATATATAATTTTCGCAACCTGTAAATAACAACCGTAAATAAAAAAAAAACAGAAGTTGCCGTTTTTGTTAATAAAGGCTTTTCTCTACTTAGCGCCACTGCAGCTTGCTTCATTTGGTTCATTATCATTTTAAAATACCATTTCAACTGCCAAAGCCTGATATAGCGGGACCTATAGGGCCCGATAACTAATTGCAGGGAAGACAGAGGTTAATTTCGTCCTTTACTGCTGATACGGGCGCCACGTTTCCCTTGTTACGCCACTGTGTCATCTTGGTGCGCCTTTCACTTGCACTTTCACATTTCTCCGGGCGGGTCGATATTTTATTCCATATATGCCACACGGCCACTAGGAAAACAATATTGTGTAATCATATGACGCGATCGCGTTTGAGGTGGGAGGAAAATGTTGGAATGGGGGGGTGGGGATGTTTCTTTACCGTTCCGTGTAGCAGGTTTCGTTTCGCAGTGGCGCACATCGGTCTTTGTACGTCATTATTATATCGTGCAATAGAGAGAGACAGAGAGGGAGATAAATAATTGGTTTTTTTACTTGAAAAGTAGTGATATGATCGCTATCAGCTTCCATTTTTTTTACAATTATAGGGACGCCTCCAAGGGGAAACTCTTCAAATGAGTAGGCATCGGATACTCTTTTTCTACTGTTTAAAAAAATGTTAATAACAGTGTCGAGAGATTGCGTTAGTTTAGAAAAAAGATACAAAAAATACAATTCGAACGAGCAAATGCAAGTAACTATTTGATAAATTCTTTAAGAGAATAATTGTAGTTTTCCGTGGCAAAATATTTAGCTTTGTTTTAGACATGTTAGGTTCTGTTACCTATACGATTACATGTATTGTCAAGTTATCAACTAGGAAAAGTGAACCTTTTAATAAGTTCTTATTTCGTGTGCTTTTTCCGAGGTCGATTGCTATTGTGTTCTTGTATAAGCTATGCCTGTTGGCTATTATTGGAAGGTTTTCCATCACCACAGTTTTGTGTCGTTTAATATGTACCGTTTGTTTAAAATACAACAAAATACAACAAAAATATGTTTTTTTGGCCTTTAGTAAAGTGGTTGTTATTCTTCCTTTAACTGTATTTAATCTAACCCTGATAAACTATACAAGTTAAATATATTTCCAGGATACTAATTTCTTTACATTATGTACATACAATTACAAGACGGCATATTAAACTTAAGATTACATTGTCGGGAATACAAAAGAAACTTAACTAGATATTTCGTAAACTAATAGACAGTAACTAAAAGAAAGTGACAAAATTTTGTATACTTTTCTTTTCAGAAAAACACACAGTTATTGTACTGATGATTACATTTAATAAGCGTAGAGTTTAGAAGTAGTTAGATTTATAGAAAACATTAGCTTAGTACGCCCTAGAAAAGGACTAGCAGTAAAAGATAAGTTGACTTGTAAAAGAGGATTGACAATTTTATAAAGAACAATTGAGTCTGAGCAATTTATGTATGTTATAAGCGACCTCAATTTATAAAAAAACTGTAGGATATTTTCATACGAAAAGTAATGTCTGTTTTTATTATATCTAAAATTAAGAGTTCTCTATCCGATCGATAGATCGGATTCCATACACTGGTTGAGTATTCCAAGATTGATCTGATGTTACTAAAGCCTTTGGACTTACGTAATACAACAACACGGTTTTTTAAGCCCTTCTTTACAATATTTTCTACATGTGCTTGAAATCTTAACTGAAAGTCCAGTATGATGCCTAAATTTTTAACTTGAGTAACTCTTTTAAGTTTTATATTTTCTAATTTTAAGTCAATATTAATAGGTTCTTTTTTGATTTTTACTGTACATAGTGAACCTATAATTCATTCTTTCTGGAGTTCCAAAATGTCCGATTTGGGAAGGAAAGTCTTTTCCTACTTTTAAGGCATCTGCGAATGAGGCTGTTACTGAATGTTGAAAAGAGCTTCCAATATCAAATTTTAAAATATTGAAAAGTCAAGTGTGACCCAAGTGTGACCCCTAATGGACTTTTCACCTTTCACAGCAAACTGCGGTCTATCGGTTAGGTAACAACAAACGGAGTAAGCTGCCGGGCACACCGAAATTTCCAAGCTTATTTACTAGAGTGGGGTGATGAAGCTTGTCAAATTCCTTAGAAAAGTCAATGTATACGGCACAGGTCTCAAATCCATTGTGGGTAATATAATGGATAAAAGGAATTAGATTTGTAAGTACCGAACGATTCTTGTAAAATCCACGTTGATTCACGTCTATGTCATTCTTTACCATGAAAAATAATTGGATATAAATAATGTCTTCAAAGACTTTGGCAAAATGACATAGGAGCGAGATCCTATCATTAACCACTTCTGTGGCATCACCAGACTTTGGGACTGGAAGAATTTGTGCAACTTTCCCACGTTTTGGAAATTTACCCCGTGCTAAACATTTATTAGAATAATATTGAGAGGCACTGTAAAAGTTGGACAATATTTTAAAAACTGCAAAGGTATGCCATCAGGCCCTGGTCCTTTTATTGGATCTAAAGCAAGCAGTATCTTACGGTCAGATTATAGACTCCCGTACCTGAGTAATTAGATGAAATATAGGACTGAATATTATTCAGCTCAAACAAACTACTAAAGTAAAAAAAGTTGTGATATATCTCGGAAATCTGATTCTGTTACACCATTGTAACTTATTTAGAGGGTAACGGTTTTGAATTTTTTCTGTTATTAACTCACCATAATATTTTTCTATTTTTTAATTTTTTTTTTCAGATTTTAGTCGTTTCCTTTACTAGTTTTAAAATCTTGCACTTGTCATGATATTTTTTCTTGTTCTCTCTGAATTCCAGAGATTTCTCATATTTTTCAGCACAATTTTTTGAAGTTGAATATTTAGGTATAAACGATAGGTATCAGAGAATACAATTTTTGTTTTTATGCATTCAGGGTGTTTTTGAAATGACATCGCATAACCTAACGAGTGACTATTTTGTTAAGCCCAAATCAAATAAAAGAGGCTATTTTTTCGTATCCTTATTCAGCTCAATACCGGATACCTATCAAAGAACCCAACGTTGCCTAATTTTGTCTTGCTATAACTTCGACGTTTACTGATTCTGCTTTTTCTGCTCTTTTAAAACCCTTTTTGTTTGTTTGTGAATGTAGGGCAGCGAAAAATTTCTATTTTTTGTGAAAGAATTCGGAAATGACCCCGGTAAAGTGCTTTATGATGTTGAGGGAACCATTAGGTCAATACCTCGGGACGTCTTTTGATGCATTGCACTATGAGAGACTGCCTAAAATGCATCTTCACCTGAATAAAATAATCCTAAAACATCATTATGTGTTTAGAATTTCATCTTGGTCATATTTGGACGAAAATATAAACTGGGATCTTCGGTACTATTAGTAGACCAGCTAGTAAAACCCCCGAATTACTTTTTCTCATATTTATATTTACTAATCTATTGGTGCCACATATCTGAGATCCTTTAAACGCCTCTTCTATTAGAATTTTTTGCATGGTCCAAATTTTCTTGTAGTCCCGTAACCGTTAACGATTGGTTGCTATCATGCTGGCTATCATGTTAACGATTCGTGTCTTGTTTACCACTGATCAGAACAATTTCACGGAGGACTGTTTTTTATCTTTCCATCCATGATTAGATACTTTCGGGGTGTCGCACGATGTGTCCAAAATATTGTAGGTTATGCGTTTTAATAGCCACATTTATTTCTGGTTGTTTAATCATTCTGGCTAGAGCAGACGCCGATATACCCACATCTCGAACGCCTCCAGACGTTCCATCGCATAGTCCACAAGAGTCCATGCCTCCATACCATACAACAAGAGAGGGAATACGTACCACTGGACCATCCTCATTCTACAATTTGAGGATATATCGTGACTACACAAGACTTTTTTCATCCGTACGATTGTAGTTCTTGCCTTCTCTATTCTTATTCTTATTTCTGTTGATAGATACCAACCGTCATTAATGCTACTGCCCGGGTAGGTGAGACGAGAATGCCGTTGTCCTGTAGTAAGTAAAATTTCAAAAGTTTTCTACCAAAATTTCCACAACAACGATGACATAACGTATAGATTGACTTGAATAATCAGCTCTTCCGCCCCGTTGTCCCCCGTCCCTGCGAGCTTATTAGTTCGCTCATCGCGATAAAAGTATGTCAAACGCGCACAATTCAATAGAACCATTTCCTGCAAAAAAAAGTGAAAGCGTACATTTTTTTTCGCCACACATTTACGCGTTCGTTTATTAAAACCTCCGGCCTTTCTGCGAGTTTCCTCCCTCGAATTGTGGGGAAAGTCCGTCGAGTTAAGAAATTAATCGGAAACGTTGATCGGGCAGGGTCCAAAGTGTTTCCGAACGAGATTTTGATTACCCCATTCAGAAACTCCGTCCGCTAACGACCAGAAATTCCGGTAAATATTCCGTCCGGAATATATCATTAGTACGTCGTCGTCATTGGTGAATATTTTGACCTTCGTGTGCGGCTACACACATCTTTCGACGATACCATCGGAAGCGCAAACCAGTAGTACATGTTCTTATCGATATGAGAGCGCATGAGAGTACCATTTAGTGCTTTTCACTGTAAACGTGGGTGTAGTGAGTTGTGTGGTTGAACCGGGTATCAAATTTTGAAATAGCTGGTGAGCGACACTCGCGGAAACTATTGTCTAGATTTTTTTCATTTCATTAAAATTACGTATCACACCTGGACATTTTGTTACCAGCATTTTGTGATATTTCTTTATATCTACATTGAAGATTTATATTATACTTTATTGATCTCGCTGCTGTTGCTATTTATTTTAATTAATGAAATAAAGTACAAGGCGTTCCTTTAAGGAAAACAGGCGCAGAGCTGACTTGGACTTTCCGCAGGTCATTGGAAAAACTGTGCCTGGGCCTCCATTGCGCTGTTTGAAAAAATATGATTATGAGCAATTTATAATTACTAATTCATACAACACTTCTACCCCATTCAACAACCCCTTGGCATACATTTTTAGTTTCCATTTTTAATCGGGATTGATTAGTGACACGGAACTCAAAATATGATATCGATTTTCTGAAAATCCTATATATTCCTAGTCTAAAATTTTATCGGAATAAATATGAAGATTAGTATTTATTAACATTCCACTCTAAATAACAAAGCAAGGAGAAATTTGTAAAAGGTGTATAGTTGGTTGCATATTCAAAATAATAGGCTTTTATTTCTATTAGGTACAATTAAAAAAAAAAACCTTTTTTGAGAAAAGCTAGAAAAAGAGAAATCGGAGGTGAGTTTTCCCACCAATTTTTCAAAATGAAATTAATTAAAAGGCAAATAATTGAACCAAAAATAGACAGCTCGTCTCATTCGCGTTGAATGAAGACGCATCGTGCATAACACTAGTCAGAAAATAAAATTTGAAGGAAGTAAATTTTTCTTGATAAATCGCGATTTGTATTCAACAGACGCGAGTGTGTTTCATGTGAAGAGACTTGAGAACGGCTAACATAAGACGACAAACAAAGAAAAGCTTCACGCTCCCAAGAATTGCGTGACACGAAAAAACCTTTTGCGTCATATGAAGGCGATCTCCACCCGTTCTCCTTGGTTTCAGTAGCGAACGTTATACGGTCGGGGAAGTACAGGGTGTCTCTCACTTGAGTCTGAAAAAAATATATTTTTTTATACGGGTTTTATTAAATAATTAGCTTATTTTTCAAAAAGAAGAATCCAAAATAATCCCAATCATCACTAGACCACTCTGTACATTATTCGTTGGGTTAAACTACACGAACGGAACACCCTGTACATTTTTAATTACCGGTCGAAAAACTAACCCGCCAGCGGCGGCGGGGCGAAACCTTGAACCCGACAAAAACTACGGGGGAAATTCACAGACGCAATTGAATTATTAAATAATTGCCTTATTAATTATAATGTAGTTGACGCGTCCGCCATAGTGGTGATCCGAAATTTGATCCAGTAGCTATTGACGTGAAGACAGATTCCATTCTTTCCGGTGGACCATGATGGGTGGCGCCGCATCTGTTTGGACCCTATTGGCGTTGACTTGCAGCGTTTTAGCGGTACCAGTGCCGGACGGAGGGGTAGATGTCAGTGGTACTATCGACGCAAAGGTAATTTACAAATTTTAATTTAGCAAAAACGTTAACATTCTGCAGCTGACTATAACGTCGAGAGTAAAAGTATTTTTCAGTAATATTAGCACAAATTAAATTGGAAACCCCTCATTCAGAATGAAGCTGAGATTCATTAACTAAATCCTTTTTCGACTTTTTATTCGTGTTGCGTTTATCACGTGAAGCCGGCGGTGGGTGCATAACGGTTCCGGTTTGTCTGATCTCTTTTGGGGGGTCATTGATGAGGATAGAGGAAAGTTTGGACCTTGGATTCGGTCTCGGTATATTGTCGATACATTTCTAACGTGTGAAGTAATTAAATTTGTAACGAAATATTAGGCGATTGCCTTTATAAACTGTGGCCCCATTAAGACGGTGTTGCAAATCGTCTTATTGCCAAAGGAAATATTGCAATGCAATATCTTTTTGTCGTAGTCTGAGAGTCAATTTCTTCACAATATTTTACACTTACTTACAAAAAACGTTTTTCATGTATGATTTTTAGTAAAATATTCGAAAAATTAATAAAAACTACATCTATCAATGCATTGAAATACATTGAAGATCTCATAATGATAGGGTCCCAAAAAATTATTAACTACCCAAGTTCATCGTTACCGTTCTTGTTACAGATTCCACCCATTTTATCCTTCGATAAAGGGGGTAATGTCGGGGTAAACTTTTTGGGATTCAAAGCATCAGCTGGATTGGGGGGACTTCTGACTGGCGATACTAGCTTGGGTGGACTCCACGCCGAAGCTGAAACTCCCTTCGGTCAGAAAGCTGGAGCCGGTTTAGGGGGTGCAGTCGACGCCAATGGTAATTGCATTACGGTATCGTGCTATTTCGATGTAGTGATCAGTTGTTGTCGGTATGGCAACCTTGTCCTTGAACCAACGATCTTGTGAACTCAAAAATTATCAACTTTTAATAGAAATATAATTTGTGAAAATATCGTTTTATTCGTAGGAAGATCGGCTGGAGGCCTATACGCAGGCGCGACTGCCGGAGGAGGGGTGGGTGCCGCTGCAGGAATAGACGGGGAGGCTGGTGTGGGAGGAAGATCCTATGCGGGAGCTTCAGCAGGAGGAATTTCCAAAACGGTCATCAAAGAGACCCCAGCCCAAGGTACCTCCCTTACTTACTACCAATACGAAGACTTCTAGACAGCCTAGCTTTGTCTAGTGAAATTTGTCCTAATTTTCCTCAATAAATGGTTGCTGGTAACGCTTTTCTTCTTGCTATCCACTTCCACAAACCATCACCTGCTACATTATTCCTTCAATGCAACCATATGGTTTTCCAGCCTCTTTCAGCGGTGCCATAGGGGTAAGCAAACACGTGGCCGCGGTACCTGCGGCTACTCAAATCGATGTGGTGGAAGAAAAACCATCGGCACCCACCAAAACCTACATAGAGCGCACAGTGGTACCGAATTACGTGGAGAAAACGATTCAGGTACCTAGTTACGTAGAGAAGACTATACGGGTGCCCACAGTGGTGGAGAAAACGGTTAGAGTACCTGCTCCTCCTACCATCATAGAGAAGCGGGTGGACGTTCCTCCGCCGCAAGTGGATTTCGGGTAAGTTAAGGTCCCGAGGGTTGGCGTTGCAGTTATAGCTTTGCGGTGGTTTCAGCAAATCCGTCGTGATTGAGAAGGGAGTGGTGCCAGCACCGCCACCTACAGTGACGGTGGTCGAAAAAACTAAAACTAAGTTCCACAGGAGACCTCACCTGCATTACAGGAAGAAGATGTACGATCGCTCTGCAAGGTTTGGTTCAAATTGGTGCCGTCAACATCCACTGCAATAAACCGCCACAAATAGATACAGAATTATTTAATTGTATTTGCTCAACACAAAGCGTCAATCGATTTGTGGCGGTCAAATTGTTGACTGCATAATTTGAACCAAATTTTATTGTCGATGATTCCGGAGTCGATCTTTGCGCTTGCAGATACATCGACAGCGTACCAGACGAAGGAGTCTATGGAGGGTACGGGGGTTACGGTAGTTACGGAGGTTATGGTGGTTACGAAGGCGGTGGTACCTTGGCCGGTACCGCGACGGTTAGGAAAACGTTCAACCCGCAGTTCATACAGGATATATTCAACGTGAGTCTAATTTGGTGTTTGGTAAAATGGCGGCGATATTATTTATGTTGCCACATTTTTCAGGTTACTAGTTAATTAATGTAATTAGATTCTGAATTAGTTTGGCCTCAATTTATTGACGTCGTTTTTCGTAAAAAAATCAGTTAATTAGATTCGGGCACCTGTTTTCACGGCGAATTTTGACGCTGGCCTGTTTTTTGCATTTAAAAATATAAACAGACTCACTCGGCGGGTGGAATGAACAGCTGGAGTCGGTTTTACCATCTTCCACTTTGTAAAGTTCATTCTACCGTCAAAAGGGTGAGACGGGGAATGGATTCTGAATAATAATTTCCATGGGGGCGGACTTTAACTTACGTTTATGAGGGCCGCTGGTTATTAGGTATTTATATCAATGACGTAATGTCTTATACTGAAATACATCACGTTCGAACGGCCCGGTTGAAACTTTCTCGTCTATTATTTAAATTACAGTCAATTTTTTTGAACAGCGAATTTTTTTTTGTCGTCGGAGATTGTATAATAAAATTGTATTGTGATGCAATTGGGGAACATTTTCCTCTTGCGGCCGTCTATAACTTTTCATATTTGTTATATATGTTGTTGCTCTTTTTCAGATTCCGATCGCGACCCTGGGGGCGGTCAGTAACCTGGTGGGCGGTATAGCGGGCGGCGGGAGTGTTTCAGTGTCCAAGACTATTAACTAAAAGTTACCGATATAAAAGACAGTTGTAATTGACAATAATGGCGTCCAAATCGCTCGGTGTTTGCGTGGTCGCAGTTCAAAATTCAGAGCATCTGAACTCTTTCATAAATATAGCAGTTTTGTTTTATTTTCATAATAAAATTTACCCGATTTGTTTTGTTTATTTATATACGCTCGCGGGCACTTTGCATTAATAATTTTTTACGAATTGTATGCATTGTTCACCATTCTAATTCAACAACAAACATGATATGAATGAGAAGTTCATTTCGATAAATCTCTCCCAAACGCATTGAGATACCGATACCGACTAAGAGTACGTCTTTTGGAAACAATTACTCATTTCTGGCATAAAGACCACGTGCTTTGCGGAGCGGAGTAAAAAATTATAAAAAAAATAATTCATTTAGGGTCTAGACTGTTGCAGTACAACAAACGTTTTGTTATGTGATGGGTTTTATTCCTTTTTTATTCAAAAAAATTAAAGAAGTTTATATAAATCAGGCCGGAAATTCTTAATTTGGAAAAAATAATTTTTATGAACATTTATTTTTTGGACTCTTTGGTCATATTAAAACAACCAAAAATAATACTAAATAAAATGTTGCAAATTGATGCCATCAGCTTAACTGTAGCCTATGATGTAAGGGTTTCGCAAAACTGTTCTTTTTTTCAATTTTGGAAACTAAGCATTTCACGACCTACGTTTATTTGATTTTTTTTATTTGTTTTTTGTATTGTATACAAATATAAAATTGTAAAAGGGCTTAATGAAATGAAGTCGATGAAGTAATTTCTGGATAATTTTGCAAAATAATATGCCTAACTGTGAACCAACAATCAAAAAATTGGTCAGTAAGGCACAACGTCAAAAATGACTTTTAAGAATAAAAATAAAAAATACAATGACATCTAGGTATATACGAGTTCAAAAATACGGCTATTCCCAGCAACACACCCGTAAAGTTGGTATAACTAGGGAACAACTAAAATGTAGGCATGGGGTATTGAACATCTAAACTTCAGTGTGTTGTACGATCCCTATTTTCGACTTAAAGTGACATTCTCCGCAGGGTTATTCCATGCATGATTGAACGAATGGAAGAACTCCAAAGATTATTAAACAAAATCGGTTAAAACGTTTGTTGCTCGAACGACAGTTTCACTTTTATTTAATTCTGAGCGCCCTCAACGGAGCTAAGAAAATTTCATTACAACATAATAATTTTGATAGCAAAATGTGGAACAGTTCTCCTTCCCTAGCTTAGTTATTGTACTGGAATGATCCTTAATTAATTAGTATTACTTGTTCCCAAATAGTAGATATATTAAAGCATACTTTTGCAGGTATCATTAGTATGTTGGTTGCTGAACATTAAACGTGTTAAGGAAAGTGAAAAATCTTCAAAATATCCTATCCCTGTATTACTTTTAGGGTACTGGCATGACAAAAAAAAATTCTAGTCCACTTTTAATTAAGTTTTGAGGTTGGATTTAGTTGCGAGACCGCAGTCGGACACCTAGTTTCAAATATCATCTCAAGCAACTTAAAGCTGTCTTTAGTAGTCAAGCAAACGAAGGCCGCCATAATTTGTATTTAGGTCTAATCTAGCGTCAGTTACTTCTTACCTAAATTTCGAAATTTTGAAAGCAACGTCGCGTACTTATTTTCGGATAACGCTAAATTGTTCATTGATTTAGATATCGTTTTTAAAAGCGACCTAATCGCTTTTAAATTCGTCGTTGCGACACCCCGTTGCGAACGCGCACGCAGCGTTGCCACACTCTACATATCGGTTGCGTCAATATTATCTCGAACATTGAAGACGGCTCTATCGAGGCGCCGGTTAACTCGACCGTCGTCTACTCGCTTCCGGACTTGACCGCCGGACAACGGCTAGTAGAAAAGCGAGGTCTAAAACCAACGAACCGGCGGGAGACCCGGACGGTCGCGTAAGCGACGAACCCTCGAGAGACTGCAGTCCAAGTTTGAAACTGGTTCAGTTTAGGTTGTCAAGCAGCGAGCTCACATTTCCGCCGGTAAGTAACGCGGAACTAAATGAATCATAACCTCGAAATGTTTGCGGTAGTAAAGTAGAATTATTAAATTTTCCGTCCCGCGGAAGTTTATCGGCAAGAGTTTGCAGGAGCAGCGCACTTCGATCGCGACTGCCGCACCTCGGGTTACATAAATAAGGAAACTTTCTAAATGCGGCGCGTGGCAATGCAGTCGAGAGATCGGTCAGTGTGGTGTGTTTTCAAATATCCCAGTCGGTGCGAGGTGAACGTTTGGCAGAAAGCCTTTACAGTTGCCAAAGACCGCCTTTTATTAATTTCATTGACCGCTACGTATCCGACTGGCGAAAAACAATCGAAAATGATAAAGATAAAGATAAAATCACTTGAAATGCTACTTCACTGCTTGGCGTTGCCTTTTAGTTCATTTAGATAAATACGATAGTAGGAATAAAATATATATTGCCATTCAAACTTCTTTTATTGCAAATAAAGCTTATGAAATCTAATTTTGACAAAAGGCTTTCAATCATTTTTATAGATGCGATAACTTGTTTCACACCCTGTAACAAGACTAAATTAATTACAATATTTTCTGCACGCAACCTGCATAAAGTGTGTTTCAGCAAAGCACTCGACTTGATTGTATTCATAAAAATATGCCGTCTACCATGTAAAATACGAAAATTTAAAAAAAAATTATGTTATAAAGTTTATTCTCAAATATACACAAAATAAAGCTAGCCCCGAATCTCTCGCGTTTTCTGGTTTAGGAATTTTTCCATAGTTTTCGATTTGCTTTTTTCTAGATACCAAAACCATAAAAAAAATCACAGTGTTTTTTGAAAAAAGCTTCCCGAAACCCCACCAAATTTTGCAGGTTTTATGAGACCGTAGAGTTTCAAATAATGAACACGAGTTTGGTGTTGCATTGCGGCTATTTTCTGTGACCGTATGCGGGCCGTGGCAGTGTTAAAAAGGAAAAAATTTAAACCCTTCGCCTCAAAACCGTTTAAAGCTTATTGCGTTAAAATCCACTGTAATCTCATTGGACGAATAGATATGTTGTCCCTGCGTTGCGTTGTCTGTTTCTGCAAAAATCACCTGAAAAAATCATGTTTTCCTTAGCCGTCATATTTGCAACGGAAATGTTTCTAAAATGCGGTGTACACTTGTTTTGTTTTCAGTTTTATGTTAATTTTTGGCTATTCGAACATTATTCGAATATTCAGCTTGAAATTTATCTAGAAGTTTTCCAGTGGTAATAAATATCGACACAAATTAAAACCCATTGCGGCGGAAAACTCGCCCGAGCGGCGGCAATCAGAGTTAAAATTTCCGGTAGACTTAACTTCGGTGCATCCGGAAGTCTATTGTGTTGTTGCGTTATAAATCCACCATCGAAACATAAGTTTTTATTTTTACAGATCGTCATCGTTAGAATGGCCAAATACGTATTACTCGTCGGTCTTTGTTTGGTTGGCGGTGTCGCCGCCATGCCAGCGAACAACGAACAACTAGATAAAGTGAGTACCAAAGACAATCATTTCTCATTCGGTCTGCGCGACGTTCGTGTGGCGTCGAAAAGGCATTTTTGAGTAGCTTGCTTCGAAATTCACAGAGGAAAGGGCAACCGCAGATTATTTTATAGGGAAACTTTTTGTCGAACATTTGCATCGAAATGCATCGCGTTCTTAGAGAATTAGTCACCGCCGGTTCTTTCGCAAATCAAAGTGCAGGCGAGTGTAAAAATTTCGTGACATTGTGCACGATTTGTAAAAATCCGAACGCCGAGGCAGAGAAAGTACAGCGAAATCCGCATCTAATCTCAGTTCCGCAAAAAAATCCAGGCAAAATAACGTGCACTTCTTTTGCTCTGATTTATTTTCAAGTCATTTTTTTTCGACAGCGAAATTCGAAAGTGACGTATCTTCCGCCTGAAATAAATAAAGGTTGCGTTTTCAATTACTATAACTTTGAATACTAGCAAAACACAAAAAGTCAGCGGACTAATGTATTTTTTTATGCGTGAGTCAGCTAGTTTGTTGGAAGATACATATAATTTTTCTAAAGTTCGTTCATTGGCTGATGAGGGAGAATTATTGCAGCTCCTTTTTATTGGAATTATTCTCGATGATGTATTCTCCATTTTATTAATACATTACTGTTAACTATAAATTAATAGCACATACAACAGAGAATTTATCAATATTCATTGTGGAGTTCACTAAACTATATACCGTTTTTACAACCTTTCGTGGTTTCGACTTCGGAATGAGTTTAAGATCTGCCTGTTGTAAAGCGAAAGGGGCCATACTTTTCAGCCAGGGCCGTATTTAAGATGTTAGCCGACAAGAACTGTGCCGTGTGGACTGTTGTATTTGAAGAGTAATAAAATTTTCTTTGATTAATTCATATTAGTGCACTTTTTACAAATCTTTCTAAAACAGTCCCTAATTAAGGTAGCTCGATTTAAATTTAATATTTCATATTAAAAACACATTAGAAAGCTTAAACTGATTTCCAATTTAAGGGTTTAACATAAAATATTTTTCTAGGAAAGCAATACAAAATCTTATGTAGATAATTGATTTTAAATGGATGTCTTCCCAGATTGCTATTGGTTGATTTGTGGGGGTTGGTGAAATCGTGAAAATAAATTTCCGAGTTGACTAAAACACCGTATGTCACAGTACATGGCATAGTTGTGAATGGTGTCCAAGAAAGAAAAAGGCGGAAAGATCGTGGGGTCACAAGAATTCTACTACACCATGCCGGAATAGTGAGAAGGTTAATATGTGATGCGTATCAGAAGAATATTGTTTTAACAATTCAAACTTTATATGAAGATAAATTCGTGCTGTAAACATCCCCAACGAAGATGACACCTGGTTTAATTGCCACGGCTGATGGTCGCAGCACGAAATGTTCGTTGGACGTGCCTGTTTCGCGGGGTAAACCTATTGTAATACTACATGCTGGCTTTAATGCTTGTTGGGTAGATAAACGTTTGTTGCTTCCTGCAAAAGATGTCAAAGAAGCAAAGGTTGACTGCCACGGAAAAATGACAGCAGACATCGTTGAAAAATAGTTTTCTCAAAAATTGCTTCCCAATATTCCACCAAACATAGTTGGCGTGATGGACAACTGTCAACGACTAAACAAGTCATTCAAAATTTTAAAAATTTGGTCACAAAGAAGCAGTTATTGGAAGTTCATCAGACGGAAACGTTTGATGGATAAGATGGCCATGGAGTGGGAATTCAAAGTTGCCCCTATTCCACCATATCACTGCGATTTTAATCCCATAGAATTGATATGGGGACATGTGAAACCCAGTTTCAGAAGAAACAACACTCCGGCGAAATTTAGTTCTGTGGCAATGGAATTAATTAGATGTCATCAAAGAAGAAAATGTTTACAGAAGTCGACTAGTGCCAGTATTAATTATTAATGTGGGGGACTAGTCCAGTGACGATAGTGATTGCTTTGATGTAGAATAACTTTTTTTTACAAATATTCTAACATTGTTTTATAGCTAAATTTACTCCTTCATTTATATCTATAATACACATTTTAAAATAATAATGGATTTTTCACTGCATGGACTAATAATAATCTAGGAATTGCACCGACGAAAGTCAACACAAATCCGTCAGCTTTCAGCATTTGTATACACGAAGTACCGAAGTACGGTTCTGGAGCGTCATTGTGGAACTGAGAATCTATTTATTAAGGGTAACTTCATAAGAATTTACCAAAGTTAAATACCAGATTATGTCATAAAAACCGTATATCTTGAGAGACCTTTACCAAGTACCTTCATCCTGTTCTATCCTGTTTTAAGGGTTAATTTTCCATCTTGCACTTGATTTTTTTTGTATGATCTATTATCAAAAATACAGTTAAAAAATTTGAAGTAAAAGGAGTATTAATAAAGTAGGGAGTTTATTCTATGAGCGAATTCGATTTTTTTTTTCATTGTTTATTATTACTTATTTCAACAAATAAAATTATTCATATATTTTATTTGTGGATATAAATTATCAGTTGACTTCCTGCAGTTGTAATTATTTTGTAATGAGCAGATAAATAAATTTCTACATTTCTACGTAAAGAAGTTCCATAAATTTGCTAGTACTGGTGGTACATTTAGATATTAATACCGCAGTCATTTCTGCATCGTAGCGAAACAAACACCGATATACCGGAACTATGTTGAAGATAAAAGAAGCGGGAGAGACTTGCTATGTTTACAGTTACGTTGCATCGCAACTTTTGTAAATATTCACTTCTACGGTGACGCCAAACTTTCGCTTATTTCCTTAAACTGTTACATAAATTGCGTACATCGCGGAGTTGCCAATTCGATACACATTTCTTCTTCTCCTACCAATAACGTATTTTAAGTCTTTAATTATGAGAAATTATTGGGAATTATTATTAACAATAATCTATAGGCCACCGTCAATGACGTTGCGATCAATTCTGTGAACGCGGACGAACAAAAAGCAGACGGCGGCTCGTCGGCGACGCAGCAGCAGCAAGCAGCGGTGCCCTCCACCGTAGAAATCACCGGAATCACCACCGGGATCGGGGGTCCCGCATCCGAGCCAGAAAACTCACCGAAACCACCACGAGTCGGCTCCATGTTCGCCAGATTCATCGACGACATCTTCCAAGTAAGTTTTCAACGCTCCATAGTTTATTTGAATGTGGAAGGGCGCTAATCGTAATTCCATAAATTTATGAAAGGTTATGTATCTAATCAATTCTGGAAGACTCGCACAACAATAGGACAACATTTGATTGCGGCAAATGTAATGAAAAAAAAATGACAGTAATAGGGCTTGTTGTCTTGGAGGATATTTTTTCTCAAAAATGGAAAGGATTTTATAAAAAAACAATAAGTAAAGAATACCAAAATACGCAGGAATATATACTATTGTACAAAGCAAACAAACTGAGAAAAACTGTTCAAAATATACCACTTAGTTCAAGGAAGGATAAACGATTGAAATGATTTCACACAGCATACATTCTAGCAAAAGACTTATACCTTCAATAAACCCAAATCGGTAGAAAAATGAGAAATAATATAAAATATCTCTTATTAAATGACAAAGAAAACAATCTCTATTACTATCCGTCTCACTCGAAATCAAATTTGTCCTTTGAGATGGCAAACGCTGGACCAGCGCCTAAGCATTTAAAAGAGAAAATAATAGAAAAGTTTTTGTACAAAATATCGATAATCAGAATAAATAAGGGGGGTGTGAAGACAGAAACCATATAGATATATTTTTTATAAATGAAATGCAAAAAATATAATATACGAGTCCTGCGTCTGACGTCACCGAAATTTACAGATTCCCATCACGGTTCTGCAGAGCGTTGCCCGACTGATTACGAATCCGTTTACCCAAGCGAAAAAAGACGCGACGATAACAGCCACCGTGTCTTAGAAAAAAAATGGTGAAGTGTACCTTAGGTTTCGGTTTCAGCTCTAGTGCCCAAAAGCGGACTTATCCGATTTCCCAGTCGTGTATATATTATGATCCTGGTTTCGGTAGCCAGTCGGCGGTAGCGCGTATATGTTAGGAGTCTTGTTGATTATCTGTAAAGAGATTTTTCATTATTATTAATATTACTTTCGTTAGAACTGTGTCGTTTTATTGAAACATTGAAAATGCCAAATATAGCTTTGGAAACACCAAAGTATTTACGTCAGTGACTAAAGTTAACACTACAACATAATAACATTTTCACACTGTGTCGAATAGAGTGCTGATACGGTGCTGATAACGTTTGACCCTATATTCATGGTTGCTCGAGTTGGGTGCTTTTTGGTTTGTCTATAATCGGGTGTTTGAAGCAAAAAATTGTCACAGAAACTGGTAAATTTATTTGATAGTTATTCACATTTATAAAATGTCTGCACTATAAGTGAGTACGTACGAATAAATTCTGGGTGTTTCAAGGCACAATGTATGAAATTTCCGCATTTTTTTCTTTTGGCTTTGGACTTATGGCATACAAAAGTCAATATATGTTTTTGCAAAACGGTTACATACACTGTAGAGTCACAAGTTTGCGTCCATTGCTAACGCAAATGAGAGAACTTTTCTGGGCGAAAGCAAACGATATTAGCATTCAGATTTACGTCAATAACGGGAAGTTGGTTCTTTCCCCAGTCTGAAATAATACAAGAGATAGTTGATACCCTATGAATTCGGCGACGCGCCATGTCTTTTCTTCCACAACGCGCAGTCGCCGCTACGTTTCAAAAAAAAATCACCCGAGAACTTTGAAGCGTCAGTGTACCGAACGCGGAGCTTTCGGTAGGAAACTCGGGACACGCGAGACACTGTGTTTCGCGGGTCACGTACGTCACTGTACGCGCGTGGCTCGTGCGTTTCGGCAATCTGAACTAACGGGAACATTACAAGTTTACAGAGAAGAAAACAGGTGAAACATGAAATTTCTTTATATTTGTCCCATAATGGTATGTCAATACTGAACGGAATATTTCTTGAGGTAGTGATTTTGGCAGATTAGTGGCAAAATTAAAAACTCCTGTTCAACTGAAAATGAATTAAATGAATGGAAACTAATCAAATTTCGAGACAAATTTCACAAAGACCTCCAGAATTGCTTCTTAGATAATATTTAAAACCCCGTATTTCAAAAATTGAGATGTGTTGGCCATTCAATTTTTTTTTTCAACTGAGTATCAAGTGAGAATGTAATAAGCGAAAAAAGGGGCTCGATTTTTATTTGTTGTTTGAAATTAAAAATCTTACAATAGGAATACAAAAGAACCTAACGTAGAAAAAATGAGACAAAAAATAGATTTCTTGACATTTGCATGTGTTTCCGACCTTTATCAAATGTTTCAACGTGCTCAATCAATTTCTTATTACTTTTCTTTGGGGCGCTTTATAGCTTCGGGAACTTCCCATATATCATCAAATGTTTTATTCATTTTTTAACGCTGTGTATAGAACCGTATGTATCGGAGTCAATATTTTTATTGCATTACCGCTAATGGAAAAGGGCAGTGGTTCGTTTTAAATTGTTTAAAGAATTGACGATTGACAGGTTAGAAATTGAAGATAGATACGTATCACGTATACTCTCGCCTACCGAACAACGATTAAAACAATTCAACGCAATTGAAAAACCGCTTAATATTCGCCGGTCGTATACGTCTACCAAAATGACTACAATTTAAATAAAATGCACGGACTGAATAACACAACGGTCGAGGATCAGGCTCTACTGATGGCGGCCGTAGGATACGTGGCTGCCGCTTGCGTATTATTCCTGGTCGGATTCTTCGGTTTCTTCCTCAATTTGTTCGCCATCGTGCTGATGTGGAGGGACAAAGAGGTATTACTGGCTTGTGACTTGGAAGAATATTTTTTTTATTACTCTATCACAAGTCTCTGATCTTTGTAATCACAATATCGTAAACCAATGATTGCAGCTGTGGACACCTCTCAACGTCATTCTCTTCAACCTCGTTTGCAGCGACTTCTCTGTGGCAGTCCTAGGGAACCCTTGGACTATGGTGTCGGCTGCATCTTACGGTTGGATCTTCGGCCGATCAATGTGCATCGCGTATGGTTTTTTCATGTCTTTGTTGGGTTAGTAAGTTGTGGATGTCGGACTTCATCTTTAGAGCTCGGGCCTGCTTCCAGGTATAACATCGATAACAACTCTGACGGTGCTGGCAATGGAAAGGTACGCCATGGTGTCCAGGTCATTTCACACTACCAGGTGCGTCAGCATCCGCCATGCGGGGTTCATGGTGGCTGGCATTTGGTTGTACTCGTTTACCTTGACGGTACCGCCATTGGTAGGATGGGGTAGATATTCGATTGAGGCGGCCAATATAAGGTAAATGGCGGCGGTAACGAAAAAATGAATACGGTAAATTTGTGAGTTGCGGAAGGAAACTCTGCCGATTTTTGTTGTGCGCCACTGGGCTAGCCCGACAAGCGTCTTCAAATAGGGTCTTTAATTAAATTATCGCGTTAATCGAAATCCATTTAGGGAATGAAATAAGTTGTGGGTAAGCTATTCTTATCCTAGCGGAAAGAGAAAAACATGGAAATAAATTAATTAAGGAATAAGAACATATAAAATAAAATGAAATTCTGATATTTATAATATTTCAATTATTTCAGTTAATTTTATCTCAACAACTAAAATACATACGAATATAGGGTTTATTCCAGAGCGAAAGGACCGTCTGGTAAATTAAATAAATAAAATAAACGAACAAATATCTTTTATATATCTATAATAAAAGTGGGTATCCACATACGGCTGAACATTTTATTTACAATAATATATATGATATACAATTTATTATTGGTTAATAAAGGTCATATCACCCTCTTGATATTATTAGTAAAAACATTTTTTTTCTGCTTTGATAACGTAACTTTTCACCAGTTCTCTTACCTACTTCTATGGATTATATTTAAACCTGATCGGGTAGAATTACATTAAGAATTCTTCATAATGATAACTATTATACACGCACTACAATCGTCGCGTGCCTCCATTTCTTTCAGCTGCTCCGTCAATTGGGAAGATCGGTCGGTCAACGCAAAAACCTACATTATATACCTGTTCTTTTTCGGCCTATTCCTCCCTCTGATCGTCATTATCTTCAGCTACGCGCACATCATCAGGACCACCAGGAAGGTTAGCATTTTAAAATCGAATATTACTCGCATGACTCGAACCGTTTGCAGAATAAAATGAGAATGGGACAGCTGCGCAAGGTCGAAGCCCGTATAGCCTACACCATCCTGCTGATGATCACAGCATTCCTGCTGGCTTGGACCCCGTACTCCGTGTTCGCTCTGCTAGTTCAATTCGGCGACCCTACCCTTATAACCCCCGCCACTGGGGTTCTTCCTGCTCTCCTAGCCAAGAGCAGCATCTGCTACAACCCAGTGATATACGTTGGTCTTAATAGTCAGGTGAGTATAGATTTATAGCGTTTGGTGTTGAAGATTTTGGTTGTTGTTGTAGTTTAGGCAACACTTCAGGCAGATAATTAAGCTGAAGAGAGTCAGGAGCAGCGAGGAGTGCAAGATGGCGGTCTCCAAATACGTTACGTCTGAGTTAGTGACCGATGGGAGGCACACTAGATTGACCAGCGATAAGAGACAAGAAGAAAATAGTAATCGCAACTCGAGGGCCATAGACATGGACGTTTGATCCAGTGGAATAAACAGTTTGTTTGTTTTTGTCAAATGTTCCTTGCAATGTATTCCCGCCTGTATAAAATGACGTCTTTACTATTTGTTTCCTGTGGAATTGCAACTTCTGTTTGGTTTTTCTAAAATAGCATGGAAGTGATGACTCATATCGATTTTCCGGAACATAAATACGAATTCAATTTGTGATACAGTGATAACCAAAAACAGGATAAACAATATTTTTAAATAAATATTTTTGTGTAATTTGACCACGACATGTGGTTTTATTTTCCCAAATTTATCAATGAAATAAATAGAACCTGTAGCGCCTATATTTACGTCTCTTGCGATATTCTATTTCACCTAAACCAGTCCTCTTTGTAATTACAAGGTTTATAGATGAATCCAGATATAATATATATGATATAATTTACGGTAGTGCCAATTTAAATTTGATTAGTACGAAAACCCTTTCTTTTTTGGTTTTTTGCTGCGATTTTGAAGAGGAAGATGAAGATATCTTGCGAAATTTCTCCTCCTGCGAGTGAACGTGTAGCCCCGTCTGTCATTTTGTCATTACCATTTCCTGCTATAATGGCGTTTGTTTTAGATTGAATTCGGATTGCTATTTAATTTTTTAGTTCCCGCAGTAAATCCAATCAGGAAACAGGATACGGGCAGTATCTCTTATCAGATCATTACACATCTCTCATTTTTTGTAACAATTTATTCGCCATTATGAGGGGTGGTTATGTAACATGCATTTATCGGATCATCAAAATCTCGAATCATTCGTGAAGGTTCTTCTTCGTTCTCGTGTCTCGTTTCACTAAATGAGAAGGTAAGGTAAGTCCATGGTAGACACACAAGACACATCCGTTTTTAAAAAAATGTATTTACTAATGTACACCTTTTTTGACACCAGATTATTTCTGATTCTTAGGTATAATTTGATTAGGGAGTATCGTAAAATGTCACATTTTTTTCTGAAATATTTGGTTTTCTTTTTAGAATTTATTTTGGTTAGTAAAGGACAGGATCTCGATAACAAATATAAATAAAAAACTTTGGGAATTTTGTTTGTTTGTTCCAAATTGAATTCGGTTTGTTAATTACTGTTTGTAAATTACTGTTATTTTTTATAACAAGTTATTCGCCAGTATGGGGGGTGGTTATGAAACTCGCATCTAACAGATCATCAAAATCTGGAATCGTTCGTGAAGGTTCTGGCGCCCTGTTTCACTAAATAAGAAGGTAAGTCGATGGAAGACAAGATAAATCCGTTTTTATAAAATTCCTTTTAATTTTTTAATTTTTGAGGTTATTTTTTTATTTATTGCATTAAAGTAATCGACCCATATGTCCGCAACGTACTTTCCGAGATTGTTCTGGTTAATCACTACAGAATCGAATTCTTGTTGCGTAACGATTTGTTTTCAGCAATTTGTTTACGTTATCGCAATAATAATTGACCAATGAAAGAGATGAAAACTCACGTATGGACGAGTCAAGGTGTTCTAGATGCATTGGCCGTAAACGACATTGAAGAATTTTAGCTCCAATTCTTGTAAAACATTTAGACATTTTCTTTGAATATGATTGAATATTATTTTTCTGTCTAAATATATTTATTTTTTTGTTATATTTTTCACGGACAGAGTTAGTTTTTACATAAAAACTTGGCAAAATTTACATTGGAATTACAGGGTTGACAGTTCAAGAAACAAAAGTTAAAGTAAAAATTGGAAGGCATTATAGCCAAAAATTGAAGCTTTGGTTACAAAATAAAGCGAAAAAAAGTAAATAACCAGAAAAATAACAAAACGCAAAAGAAGTTTATAAAACCATACAACTTAATAAATAGGTCTACATGTATTGGATCATTTTAAATGTCCGCAGTGTCTTTTTCAGTTCCAGTATCCTTTAATTGAAGTAATTAATTAGTACCATAATAAAAATATAATTAAAAAGCTTTTTGATATTTATTTAATCAGAATTTCAAAACGCATTTAAGAAGATACAAGATATTTTCTTTCCTTCTTATGGATTTAAATTCGAAAAACGTGAGTTGTGAGGATGAAATAATTGAATCGTTGATGTTAAACACTTTTTTAAATTTATTTTGAATTAATTTCGTCCCATCTCATCTTATGTCTAAACTAGTTTATAAAAAGATGTTAAAATATCAGATAAGATATGAAAAAAATATCTACTGATTAAGAAGATGCAAGATATTTTCTTGAAAAAAAATTTCGTTGACAGTGTGTATATATTAGTTGTGATGTTTTCTGAGTATTTAAATAAATAAAAAAACAGTTGAAAGATAGTTGAAACGTTGATATTAAAAAATTAAATACTTCAGCAATATATTTTTGTTAATTTATTTTGACTGAATTTCAAGACATATAGATAGGATATCCCGTACTTATTCGTCATAGATGGGATACTAGACATTAAAATAACAATAATGATTTACTTTTTTCAAAAACGAATTCAGCAAAAAGGATGGATATGTCGATATTAACCAAGTACGTTTTTACCCAGAAAGAATAAAAAAATTATAAAGAATATAATTCATCATTGACTATGAAACTGCCCTTAGACGGATTATTATTTCCTATAACTTTTTATGGACTAAGATTTGCAGGTAAAGTCTGTTCATAGATATAAGAAATTGACTAACTGATACGAATTAAGGAAAGACCCGGGCAAGCTGTACTTTGCTTAGAATATAATTATTTGGGGTTTTGTTAGGAAAAATACTAAACAATATTTATTTATTATTTACTTTGTGGAGGGATGTTAAAAACTTCGGCTTCTATAAGTTTGAGGACATTGGAGTTAACACGGGGAAAAACATTGTTACGACGAATGGCAGATTTCAGTGGGTGCCAAACATTTTCAATGGGATTAAATATACAGTGGTAAGGTGGAAGCCTTAAAACTGTATGCCCTAGATTTTTTGCATAATTATCACAGACGTATTCCTTTTGTAGGTTCAAGCTTTATAATGCTTTTTGGTATAATCTTCGTGAAAATAAATGTGGTTATCATACATGTAGTTTTGGATTGTTGCTTTTGTGTCACATGAGGAAGGGGTTTTAGTCAACTGTCTACTGTGATAACTTACATTGTCCATTACAATGACGCGATTAGGAGGAATGTTTGGAACTAGTTTGTTTTTAAACCAACTTTCAAATAAATCAACGGTGGTGTCTTCATGGTAATCCAGAGAAGAATCTTTAATATTTTTCACAGACAGAGAAAGTCCATTTTGAATCCAACCATCTTTAAAGCCAACATGGAAAATAGTTATTCTTTTAACTCTTTTTGATGGCGCGTTTGTTTTATACTTATCAGTTGCCCTTTTCCAGGGCATCATAAGTGTCCAACCAGGCTTCATCCAAGTAAATAATTGGCCTTTGTTGTTCTCTGTAAATAACAATTTTTTCTAGATATTCCAGTCGCCATTTCCGAATTCTAAAAGATTCAATTAAAACTTTCCTTTTGTCAATTTTTTTAAATCTAAAACCCATGTGTTGAATAAACTTCCATAAGGTAGTTCTGCCACATTTAACACCTGTTTCATCTTTTTCAAGCCTCCTAGTTGGATATCTAATGTAGGCATGCTTTGTTCCTCGTATAACTGGTATATTTTACGCTGTATTATATCTTGATCACTTTCAATCTACACTCAATGTGGCCGTTTTTACAAAAGATGCTTGCTTGCTGGTGTGATTTCTACATTTGGGCGGGAGCACCTCCTGAGATACACTAGACTCGCACATATTTTGCATAATTCGCACACGATGTATTACACACGAAATAAGAATGATTACTAATAAACTTAAACTAAGTAGTATACCAAACCAAAGAATATTAAACACAGATAGGTATAAAATTATTTTCTATTACGGACCACAATTTTCCCTGAATTTAAATTCCGAAACTTTAGGTAATAATCTTGTTGCATTGTATGTTAATGACCACCCTTCTTATATCTAGGAACAAACCATATCACCTGTTACTCTAGGCGGATAAGTTATGGGTCAACTGGATATAAGAGATATTGAACGCTGCGGAGATGGTACCGATATACGTTTCGGTCATCCATGAAAAATCTGTCATGCGCCGAGACTCCTGAAATTTTACCGCCGGATCGCCCTGTATATTGCGCGTAACACGCGGTCCGCGCTCATTTCTCCTACTTTCTGTTCTCGGTGAGCGGAACCTAAACAGTACCATTACAGTACCGATCGGCTGGGTGTAAGAAGAAAACGGAAATTTAATAACAGCATTGCGGTAACGATGAGGTGTCGTTACGGCTGCAGTTGCTCTTAGCCGAGGGAGAAAAGTGGTACCGCGGAACATGTGCCACCGGAAGGAACCCTTCTGAATTGGTGCCGATTTTTGAAGTGAATTGTACTTTGAGATTGTGCGTGCGAATTTTCGAATTTAGGACTGCAAGTACGTAGTTATTAGTGGTACCTGGCTCCGTATAGGTTAGTACTGCTCTAAGCGAAATAGTACGATTGAACTGAGGTGGCTTTTACTTGATGAAAATCCATTTATCAAAATAAATAAGAACTAAAAGTTCAGATTTTCACGAAATTATATATTTTGACATGACAATTGTTTTAACAAAATATATAATTAAGTGAAAATCTGAACTTTTAGTTCTTATTTATTTTGAGATATGGTACGAGTTTGTTTATACATACGGACATAAATAACTTTCTTTTGCATTTGTAGTTTCTTCTTTATCAGTTTATTCCAAAATTCATTTTTACAATAATTCAAAATATATATCTGAACTTTGTTTGGGAAAAGTTTGTGTATGTAATAATCACAATTTTTCGGCTTTCCCAGAGTGAGCGGGATTGGTTTAAATCAAAAAATCGCACGTTAATTTGTTTTTATTGTTTTTCTCAATATTTCGATGGCAATGCGTGAAATTGTGGTCTTTTCTGTAATTATCTGACGTGACTGAGACGGCGCGATGCTGCCGTCGAGTGTAAGGAAGCCAAATCTTCGGAAAAATGATTACATTATTTTTTCTTGGTAATATATAAAAAGCAAAATTCGCAAGAAAAGGAAATAATCGAAAAGACTCGTCGTTAAGATATAAAGAAATGCGCATCACTAACAATTTTTTTTTAATTTTTATATTATTTATTAGAAATTTTGTTTTTTTCATTTTTTCTGTCAATTGTTATTTTTATTTTTACACTTTTTAGTGGAGCGTGGAACCAATCGTTTTCGGATCTAATTTTTGTACGGGGGCGGCGCCAATCCTTGGTCATTTTTGGTTCCCCCCGAATTTTATCTACGTTGAAGTTATTTCCGGGCCGAGCCCTTCCAAAATGTAATTCCCACCACGCGCGGCCATCACCGCTCTAAACAGCACATAAACAATATCAGCTCGGCAAATTTTAAACGACGTTATTATGCAGGCATTCGAGATTTACAATTTGTCGAATCCAATGGCATTATTGGCACCATTAAAGTCCCCAATCGCGGCGCTAATGATTCTTTTAACCCTACATGGATATGCCACACAATATTGTTTATGAGCAATTATTGCTATTAATAAGACGGAATTATTCCGCGACCTGGCTTGAACGTTTCCAACACTCTCAAAATGATTAGCAGACTCGATTCAGACAAAGCCACGTGACTTAATACTTGGTAATATTTAAAAAAATTAGTAAAAAGTTAAGTTTTACAATATTTATATTTGCTTTCAATATAGAAATAGAAATGAAAAAAAAAATTAGTAACTAAAAAAATTGTAACATAATACTTTTCCGTTTGGTTTTAACTAAAAAATACTTAAAGAAAAACAAAGCTTTTTTAAAATTAAACGCCCTTAACTTGACCATTAAATGGTAAAAATTAAATTTATTTAATTTGCCCAGTTGTTTTAAATCAAATAAAATTGTACCATCCAAGAAATTTTCATTTTTTCTTTATTTACGTTCACTTTAAAAATACATAAATATACAAATACATAAAATAAATAAAAGAAAATAATTTATTTGTTTTTTAGAAAACACCAAAAAAAAAATTGTACTATTTATAGAGCCACAACAATTAAAATTTATATTGTATTTGGTATAAATTAAATTGAACAATAAGAAACTGTATCACCCAAGAAAAATCGTAAAGTTTGAAACACAAACATCATAGAACCAAAGATTTTCAGCAATTTTAATTTCTATCTGTGCTTATATATTTTCTTTTGTTTTCTTAGAGCGCTTACTACTAGCCTTATATTATTTCTTAGCGGTATACACGGTACAATTCTTTTTTTGACGGTATATACAGTAGATACGGAAATAAGAACTGAAAATGCTACAGGTCTGAATCATTGCTGACCAACTTAAAGAAGTCTCGTTTGAACCAGCGGGCCACGTCGCGTCGCCAGCTCTGCTTGAAGAAACCCAACCGACCGAATAGAATTCGTTGGTTTTGCGGTCGGAAGTTTTAATTGAAACCGACTGCGGATTTTTGAAATTTTTCGCGTGCAACGAAGCCCTTCAGATTGGATTTTTTGTTTACGCAAGTCGATTTTTATTAGATCATTTTCTCCTTTGCTTTAGTTTGCAATTAAGTAAAGTAATTAATTAATTTTATTTAACTAAATTTATAATTAGCCAGGGACTAATAGCTGTATTATAATACAAGTTTTATAAAAGACACGTCATGAGTTTATTTAATGAGTTGCAAACTTTTTCTACGACCACCACAGATTACAAAAGTCGCGTTTAATGTTTAAGAATGTCAAACTGTCATTTTCTTGACTCAGAATCCTCCCTATATTTTTTTATTAATGTTGAATTTAGGACTGACGTGCATATGCTTAATCTTGGATTTAGATGGTACATCTCTTCTCCTCCTCATCAAAGTAAATTATTAGAACGTTTATTTACATATAACGTTTACCGTCTGTATAACCAACAATCTCATTTGTTCGATCTAGTAAATGATACTAGCTTATATAAGGTGTTTCAAAAAACCCTCCTCTAATTTCCGGAGTCAATAACAACATTAGTTAGGTTAATAAGAATACGTCTAAGAACGCCTCCTTTTGTTAAAGGGGCACCAAGAAATCGTTTTTTAAAATTATTATTATTTTTATTATTATTGGAAAACGAATTTGGTTCAAAAAACTTACTACTGCAAAAAGTTCAAAATTTACAATATTTCTATTTCACAGCTGCTTCCGCAACAATCATTATTCCCTCAAATAGTTCGTTTTTACGTATGAAATTTACAAAAAATTAAAAATATCTCCGTAAAAAAAGTTTGGGGGCAAAATAAGTGGAATCTCCTCTGTGTAAACTATTCTTAGTCGATATTATTTGGCAGAATTGACAGCATTATCAGCGTTTTAAATCTACCGAAGACATCCGATCTCTCCCCTTGTAAAGTTTTAGATTAAACACTGTGTGTGCCGTTGTCAAGCAGAACGCGGGTTGCTAGGAGAGGGCGGCGCGTAGCCGGATGACGTATCGTTCGGACTCGCGTTCCGCGTGGCCGCTCGCGAGAAAAGCGAACGCGGTCTCTCGCGGTTTATATTCGCGTCGTTTGAGATTTGCGCCCGGAGCTTAAAGAAAGTATAATTCGCTTGCGAAACGACTTTATTTTTCCCGCCGCTTACGCAATCGTTATTCAACGATTTTGCGTGCGTATCGATCCGAAAATTTATTTTTTTTTGTCTCGCGGCGTATAGGTGCGCGCGGCATTCGAGAGATGCGGCCAACTAATTAAATTTTTATTTTCGCTTTCGTCTGATAGGCCGCGAGGCGACTTTCTCCGGACGAAAATTTATATTCGGCAACCGGGTCGAAAATTTCACCCGCAACTGTCATGCGGGGCGCTTTTTATTTATAAAGGACGATTCGCGCTGTTAATCAAAAATATTTCCAGCGACGCGGCGTTGCCGTTTTTCCGAAAATGTAATATCGTTTATTATATTTTTAATTACACGTCCCTTCTCTGATTATAGTTGTATATTATTTGCATTTTTTTATGCTCTTGGATAACATTTCAAACTATTTTTGTTTTTGTAATATGTCCGAAAATTGTAAATTTAGTTCGCCTGCTTTTAACAGTTTTGCAAAAATAAAGTATAGTGGTATTGTGAATAAATAAATATAATAAATACATTTTGTCATAACCAAAGAATTTAGGATCGATGCAAAATCATCATTTCATCAGTTCTCTATCACCTTTGCATTTAATTGCAAATTGCAAAGAATAAGAAAAGAAAAGTCTTATCACGCCTTCAAACTAGTTTGTTTAAATTTAGAATATCCTTGCTCAATAAAATCAGATAATTAAATGTCTTTCATACAAAACATTAGTTACAAAACAAGTTAGAATTTGGTACATAGGTACAGTGCCAATCGAACATCAGATATACAGGGGGATTCATAAAGAATGGACAATATCTAAAGTTTAACTACTAGACACCAGAATATTATATAATTGCCAAATTTTATTTGATTTTTTTAATTACTATTGTTATTGTGATAAATTGTTTCTTATTGTTCTCCGTACCATTCCATCCTTCGATTATTTATAAAAAAAAATCAGAAAAAATGGCCTGAACTTTTTAAAATCAAATAAGTCATGAAAAATTAAACATTCTTTCAGATTTTTATCATGTTTGAACCGTATAGGAGCTACGTCAAAATAGGTTTAAAATTTTCAAATAACCTTACACTGACAAATTTTATTAGAAATAGCCTAAAAACAGAATTTCTGACATAAGTCAAGTCATAAGTCAGAAAAGGAAGGAAGGATAAAACATATTTTAAATACTGAGAAGAAATGTCTATATAATTTATAAATAATAATAGTGCCATGCTCAATACTTTAAAGTTTACTGATAATAATTATTTTAACTTTATTTTTTTTAAGTAAGCAACCTATCTTATTTATTTTTCGTTTATTTTTTAAGCAGTTTAAATTACAGCACTGTCGTTTGAGCATGTCTCTTATAATTTTTTATGATTTTTATACTCCTAGAACAATTGCAAATTTAAAATAAAAGTTCAAATTATTTTACCCAGAAGAATAATAGAAACAGTTGAAACTACGTACTTATATAGCTTTATACAGTTTTTCATTTATATAGTTTTTCAATTGCAAGTAGTTTTTAAACTGTTTTCACAACCATTTTGGACTATTTTATTAATTGAAGAAAAAATGCAATTAAAACTTCTTAAACTAGGATAAACTTTTAAAAACCTGATGCTTTGGTCGTAATTTTGACCCAAAAGTATGAACTTTCTGTTAATCTAAGCTAAATCTTGCACACATCCGTGGGTATCAACGTTAATTGCGAAAAAGTAGCTTCAATTTAGCAGCATGAATGTTTCGGTTTCGGACGGTTGCAAATCAGAAAAAAATCTGCTACCGATACAATTGCAGTGCTGATGACGCGAGGGCGCGAGATATGCAAACAAATCATCGAATTATACGAATTAGCGCCGAATCAAAATGTGAAAGTATAAAATTATGGTTCGAGAGTTAGACTACCAGCGCGACTTGACCTAATCGCCGGGTCAGTGGTGCCGACACGGTTAGTAGCAATATTTTTGCCTGTATTAGGCCAATCCTGATCGCAAATGAATGAGATTAGCCAAGACAAGACGCGTTCTAATTATCCCTTTTTAAGGTACGATAATTTTCCATAAATGTCTTTTTAAACTTAAATAATTAATGTACTGCTGTTAGCACTGTTAATGTGTGGGTTTTTCCGTTTGATGGTGCAATAGGTTGCAGGTTCGAGTCCCACCAAAACACACAAATTATTTTCCTTAAAATATATATTTCGTATGTCCAGGAATTTTTTGACCTACAGAATATTGATAAAACGAGGTCAAAACCGGCGGAGGCGATGGACGCCTGTGGACGACTTTTATCTCTGGGGGTTTTACGTAAGGCGTACGGACGGGACACGCTCGATTAGGTCTGCCAGAGATGATTTTGCAACAAATTTAAATGTCGTAAGAAATTAAACGTTCGTTATCGCGTTACTGTAATAGAAAATAAGAAAAGCTGAAATTTTCCGCGCTAAAAGTGGCGACACGTTTGGGGAAAAGTCTCAGGGATCTTCATGGGAAGCAAACAATTTTCATGGAATGCTAGTAAATAAAAACGCCTTGTGAAATAATGGGTCATGTTTTACACTATAGTATAGCATTAAGTATAACAATATGTAGCGGCAAAAAGGGCGCACGGCTAAAAATATATAAAAAATGATAATAATTACACAGAGGAAGCTCATGAATTAGTTATTTTCTGTAAAATGTGCAAAGAAGAATGTTCTATGACATTTTTTTTGTTTTTATTTAGTTAAAACATCTATGGAATATATTTGGGTTTTATGCGGCCCAATCCTTACCTGTCTATTTTAGACATTTATCATCTATGCGTCTCCACACATCTGCTGTAACAATAATGTAACAACAAAGGTTTCTTCGATCGCATACCTACGATTACGACTTAAAATATTTGCTTTTAACGACCGATTTTACGACCACGTGATCGCAAAACAATCAAATTCGCATTATGCAACGGCACGTTTCCAAACAATCTTACACCACTCGCGAAAATTTCTATAAACACTTCGTTAATCTCCCTTGCAGCCATGCTCACGCCATGGATACCAGCTCTGACCGCTACGATGGCTGTGATAAATTACTGTTCCTGCGCGAATATTTTGATGATAACTATGGGCGGCACCAAATCCCACAAGATTCCCTTCTGGGAGCTGGCGAGAGGGCTCATACCGAGAGGACACAATTTCACTTTCCTTAGCGCCTTTCCTAGCGATTTTCTCTTGTCAGGTTTGGAGGAAATCACTCCCACAGAATTAGTTTTTTATGTTCGCAACTTCACAAACTGGGACCTAGTGGGAGCCAGAATGAGAGGCGAGGAACCGGTCCACCCATGGGACATGATGCGTTATGGCTACGAAGTTCGTCTACCTCGATCCGCCTCAATAAATTATTTTAATGAAGACGTTTACAGGCTTGCGATGTCCTCCTCTCTGACCAGGAAACCAGGAACTTCATGCATTCTGGCGAGAAGTTTGACCTTCTAATACTGGACGGGGCGTATCCGGAATGTGCTCTCGGCTTCGTTCATCATTTCAAGGTTCCTTTTATCTACATCAATACCGTAGGTTTTTACACGGGATCTTTATCTCTGGCCGGCAACCCCACCCCCTATTCCGTCACTCCCTTTTTGGCGAGGCCTTTCACGGACAACATGAACTTTATCCAGAGGGTCAGTCGACTTAAAAAATGCCTTTGGAAGAACATGTAAGGAATTCTCTTGAAATTCCAGGTACAAAACACTCTATGGAACATGGCGGCCAACGCGATGCACTCTGTAATGGTGCGCTTTATGATTCAAAAGGTGTTGAGAAAACACCTCGGCAATGACGTGCCTGCCGTTTACGACATGTCGAGGAATGTCAGCTTTATCCTACAGAATGGACACGCTACGGTCTCTTACCCACGACCTTACCTCCCTAACGTTGCAGAGATAGCTTGTATCCACTGCAGATCACCGAAAAAGCTCCCTGAGGTAATCATTGACCGATGGAATTGTGGATGGTACCTGAAATTACGTTTCCAGGACCTCGAGAGATTCATCGAGGGTTCCGGAACTGCAGGCTTCATCTATTTCAGCATGGGTTCCTCTGTAAAGGCGAGCAACATGCCCGACTATCTCAGGAACATGCTGATGGTGGTGTTTAGGAATTTACCACAGAGGGTATTGTGGAAGTACGAGGCGGATGACATGTTCGACTTGCCCGGCAACGTCATGTTGGGAAAATGGTTGCCGCAGCAGGATATACTCGGTACGCAGCGGAGTTGCAATAAAACAAAAACATAATGAGACGGTTAATCCACCCTCGTGGAAAGTGCGGTAAATGATTAGTAAGCGATTCTTTGAAAGCCAACTGTTAGGGGAGATTTTAATATAAGAGGATCAGAAGGGGACTTAACTTAAGCAGGTCTAACAATGAAACGGAAACGTTGGAGGGATTTCTTTCGTACATAAAACACAAGCTTAAGAATATGCGGTAATCGACAACGGGATTCTTTTTCGCTCCCTTGTAAAACGGAAAAACACAGAATTAACTCCACGTGGCGGTTTAGTTTAGTTTATACTACTATAAAAAAATTTGTAATGGGTGTCAAAGTTTTTTCATCAATGAAGCATTTTATCTTCCTTTCAGGTCATCCTAAGTTGCGAGCTTTCGTGACTCATGGAGGTTTGCTGAGCATGTTCGAAACGATCTACCACGGAGTGCCTGTCGTCTCGCTACCCGTGTTCTGCGACCACGACTCTAACGCAGCCAAAGCCGAAGAGGATGGCTACGCGTTGAAATTAGATCTCGAAAATCTCACTCCAGAACTCCTGTTGAGGTCCATCAAAACCGTCATCAGAGACCCTCGGTTTCGTCGGGAAGTGAAAAGGAGACAAAAGCTCCTTTTGGACCAACCGGAAACTTCCATGGAGAGAGCCATTTACTGGACAGAGTACGTGTTGAGGCACCAAGGCGCGAGCCACCTTCAGTCGCCCGCTAGACACATGGGAGTAGTTCAGTATTACCTAGTGGACGTTATAATTTTCCTTTTGGTTATTTTCGTAGTTTCTATTTGCATCTGCAGGAGGTTGTTAGGGTTGCTAGGCAAGTACAGTGTATATATAGGTTCTAGGAAAATTATTAAGGTCGAGTAAAATAAATAACACCACTCGAGCTTTATTTAATATTTATCGAATTCGTTATCCCTCATGGCATTGTTATCTACTCCGGCCTTTTCATCGATTCCTCGACGTGTCAACACGTTAGTATCCTTAGTTTGATTACCCCCGCCGAACTCGTGAACCATCGTAACCTTGAACCGACTCCTGTTTTTCTTGTGTTGGTAGAAGGTGACTCCAAACACTATCGCGCTGAGTGCCATGACTAACCATAGCACCCAGCTGACAGCTCGCGTCATCAGGAATATGTTTTGGAGTTTTTTCAATAAATCTCCCTCTACTACCGCGCTCTGGAATTTACGTTATAAAGGGTTGGTTACCGTTAGATCGACACTAGTACCTCGTCCATCCAAAATATGGGGTGAAGAGTCATCGGTACCGAGTTCATCAGGTCGATTTGGTCATTGGGTTCTACAAACATGTTGAGTTGGATCCTTTTGGCCGCCTCGACTGGTGTACCTGTCATCTACGAGTCGCATGTTAATATTCTTTCCTTGTATCCAAAGAAGACCAGACGAGAATTCTGTGATTTTGTTTTACAATCAGCATTGTCTATGCTCGGGTTGTCTGGTCTTCTTTGGGTGTAATTCCATTGTACGATATACCGGTTCGAAGATTATCTGAAGCTTGTGCTTCTCCGGATCAGGCTTTAAGCCCTTGACTTGATCCAAGTACTCTTCGTATGTGTCCAGGAAATGCGGCAACGTGGCGATGATAGGCGAGCCCAAACACTTGCTCAGATCTATCACTCCTTTCTTGGAACACTGCTCTGGTTTGGGACAGTAACACCGATCTTCCTCACGATGTTCCGCGTCCCCCAAATCTGCTTCGTAACTCCTCACGGCGAGTCCTTTGTAGTGCAGGTCTCTAACGTACTTGGCCTCCACGTTTCTACAAAGGTCGGTAGAGTAGGCCCAGAGACCTTCCTCCGCTGAAAGCATCGGTGGAAATATCCAGCCGTCTGTGCCGTTGAAACGGTTACACCTGTTATTTTTCCACAATTTGATCTCCTTTTGGCCATCCACCTCCAAGAGCCTTCCCAAGTCTCTGGATCTGGTGATACCTCGGAGGATTTTAAATCTTTTGGACGACGTTCCGTTTTTCTAATAGTCGCTAGGTAGAGTAACACATTCTGGAATTTATGAGAGTACTTACCGATCCGAAGAGGGAGAAAAGATAAATTTTTTCCTCGCCTTTCTTGGTCTTGATGCCGGGCACCTGCTTGATTTGGGAGCACACCGTCGTCGACGCGAAATCTTTTACGTTACAGTTGATTTCGATACCGTCGAACAGGATGTCCCGCACTTTGGCAGTGAGGTAAATAGACTTGGGTTCCCTGAAGATGTCGGAGATTGTTTTGTTCACGAGGGGAAGAAACGCAGCAAAATCTCGCTTGACTTGATTGACCATACCCTGGAAGTAGATATCGTCATGTTTTGATAATAGTTTCGAGGTCGGTTGGTCGCTTGCCACTATCAGGGGGTGTAAGATCGTGACGTAGTCATCTTGACTTAGCGATCCGGACTTCTCTTGGTTGAACTCGTAACGGAACGCGGGGGAATACGTCAGGCTGTCTTCGGCTTCATCGTCGATGACGTCCACTTTTTCAACGTACTCGCTGTAAAAAAACCGCTTCGTTAATAAGGAAAAAATTACAGAGGCGTGCCGGTAACCTTGTTGCAAAAAAAGGACCGTAATTACGAGTGCGTGTTGTTATTAAATGCGGTTTATAATTTTTGGAACAAATAAACCGATTAGATCTGGACGAAGGTCGCTTTTTCCCTGATTTGGTCCTCTTTGAATCACAATTTGCCGAAAAGCTAGGCCGATAAAACATCCAATAATATAAAAAAAAAACATTTTTCTTATAATTATATTTAAAATGCTTTACTTGGTTCTAAAATATCGTTTTAAAATTACAAAAGTGAAGAATCAAATTGGATGTTCTTATTTCTTCGTTTCTACTTTTTGCAAAAACATGACATCAAATCCCTTTTTTCCTGAAAAGATTTAAGTGTATCGTATGCAAAAAGCTTGACCGGTTTTTCTTTCATTTCCAGGTTCGGCGACATTTGCTATTCATTTTGATCTCGGACTTTCTTTTGAGAAAAAAAATCTATAAATTGGATGAAAACGTTATTAGTTTTTTCTTTCTTGGGGATTTTCATTTTCTCGTAAGAAATGCATTAAAAATTAAACATATTTACTGATAGCTAGTTCTGATCAATCGAAATAAAAGTACAAAACATATATTTTACTCGAAAAGCAGTTTTTGTAATTGTAAGTACAGAGAGATTTTAAAGTTAAGTAAAAGAAAAAAAAATTAAGTAAAATCAGGATCGAACCTATTTTTAAATTGTTTTTCAAACGGATCTATGTTTTAGTGACAAGTGACTAACATACCTTTTAAAGTTTTTTTTCTCAATTATTAACCCTTTTTAAGCAGGGTACATTTTTTAATATTCAACCGTAGCTTTTAAAGTTCAACATATTATGATTTTAATTCTATCATAGAATTTAAACTCCAAGACATGTTTGTAAAGTCAGACATAGCTTTATTTTAATTGTCAAATATACTTATGTTATTAAATATGCATTTTTTAAAAGGTAACATTTGCGTTTATCAAGATATATGTATATATAGAAAATTAAGAAAACTACTTACTTGTACCAATAAGGTCCGATTTCCTTCAGGATGGGCACCGATCCGTTCTGCACTCCTATGGTATTGGTCACGTTGAAAAAATATATTTTGAAGTCGAGTGGGAAGGGGATTTTTAAGTAGATCCCCCGGATCTCGCTACCTAACTTGAGACACGTTTGCTAGAACCAACGCAACCCTCTAATTACACGAGAAACGTTCATAGAGGTGATCTTATTACCGCCCTGATCGCAGTCCTCATCACTGCGTCGAAAACGAAGAGTTTCATGAGTACCGAGACGAAAAGGATGACACCAGAGGCGACGATCACAGTCAGCGGGATTTTCATGGTTACGTTGGGAGAGAGAAAAATCTCGACTTTTATGTTAAACAATGCATTATGGTTGTCGAAACGCACTGGCGGGATACCCATCCGAATAAGCATCGTACTTACCTGAGATATTAACGTTAATTACGTGGTGGGGATGCCTCCCGTTGTAATTACCTTTAGTCTGTTTCTGAATGTCTGAATTCATTGTCTATGGTGGGGTGTCATTAGTGCTTAGTCATCAGCGGAGATCTAAACTTACTAACACTTGCATAAATAAGGCAATTGTTAACATTGCAGCCATTGGAGGCTGCTGCTGATAAGTATAACTTGATGGAGTTCTTCGACAAACGCCAGTCTGAATGAAGTTCCTACTATTTTCCTTTTATGGATTTCTTTAATGTATAGTACATGGTTTCGTTTCTTGAAGTCTTTTCTTTATGTTTGGTACACATTCTACTATATTTAGAACTTTTGCAAATAAAAACATCAGCAGTATAATAATAACTTACCTGTTCAATACGATCAACTATCAGCCGTTATTTTCAATGTACAATTCCGCATGAGTTACATTTCGACCTGAACTATTGCATGCTAATGTTAATGGCTAGACATTATTTATTAAATATAAGATTATTTTTACTAAGTATCAGCGAATGGTTAGACTAAACTGGTACATGAATAATAAAGAATATTACCCCTATTATCCACAGCGACTTGTGGCTAAACTGTTCGTAGTAGTATTTATTTAGTAAAAAAAAAATTAAATCGGAGGATTTTATGTGGGGAGCGCGCTATCGAAAGTAAATTTTTATTAAACAAGTTTTTTATTAATTTCCCAACGGGCTTCAACAATAATTACTTACAATATTTACATTCCGCTTAGCAAAAAGAGTGAGGTATTTATGATTCGAAGGATACTTGTGAACCTATTTGTCTAATTATTGTATTAAAATGGTGCACAAAATATTTAACTCCACATTCAGTACTTTTCGCTCAGATTTCCGTTGGCAGCTTCCAAACTGTTACCGTTGTATACGGTACTTATCGGACTTTTGGTATCCGGAGCAGGTTTCACCTTGCGCACCGGTTCCAAGCTGGTCTGCGCAGTCTGAGTGAAATGGAGGTAAGCCCCTGCTCCCATACCCGCCAGTGATCCCAACAGCACAAGGTACTTCACGACCTTAACGATCTTTTTAATCTTGAACAGATCCTTCAGAGGTTTCGTGTAAGTGTTGTTAAGTTCGACGCCCTGAAATTCAGATCCAGTGTGAAGTTAAAATTTCATTACGTTGACATCAGCCGTTACGTGATGCGCATTTTCCGAACATCCGGTACATTAACCTCTCGATAATATAAAAAGGGGATACGTCAAAACACTTATATGTGGACAAAAGAAAGCCTACCTCCTCGACCCAAAATAACGGAAAGATCGTTTCGGTAAAGTTGGTGAAGAGGTCAACTTTCGGGTTGGGCTCGAGCGGCATCGAGAACATCAGCCTTTTTTTCGCGTACACCGGACTTCCAGTCGTCTACGACAACAAAATAATTGGGACGTAACAACTACTTCAAAAGAAAAACCCTCACCGATTCGAACAAGATCCGGATCCCATGTTTTTCCTTGTTCGGCTGAAGACCCTTGACTCCCTTTAAGTAGCTGTCGTGCGAGTCATAGAAATGAGGCAACGAAGCATATATCGGAACTCCCGAGCACTTGAACAAATCCATTAGTCCCTTTTTCATACACGTTTCTGGCGTAGTGCAGAAACATCGCTCGTCCGCGTTCTTTGACTGGTCGCCTAGGCTTGCGTAATAGGCGCTCACGGGGATGCCCTCGTACTTTGCCTTCTTCTCGTAGACGGCCCCCAACGACCTGCAGAGGTCGGGGGAGAACGACATAAGGCCTTCCTCTTTCTTCAGGAAAGGAGGGAAAATTGTGCCGTCGGTGCCGAGAATCTGGTTGCATTTGGTACCGTTCCACACGCCCTGCTTCTTCTCGCCGTCGTAGGTGACGATTTTACCGACGCTGCGGCTCTCCTGGACTCCCCTCAGAGCTACTATCGTCTTGCTGGGAGTCCCGTTTTTCTAAAAGAGGGAAGAGATAATTGAAACCGGAAAGAAAGCAGGGCGAGGGTTTCTGGCAAAATGGCTTTGTTGCTCCCGTCAGCCTTCTCGGATCTTCTTGTGTTTAATAGTGTAACAATTATGTGTTTCTAGTGGCTTAAATCGAATTCAGTCAATTAAATTTGTTTGTGGTTCTCTGGTGAGGTTAATTTTGAGGTATGATCAGGTAGAGTTAGCAGTGGAGTACATAGTATGACTAAAGTGAAACAAAAATCAGTATCTCGTACTCACAGGTCCGAAGAGGGAGAACGCGATGTCATCCTCGTTGATCTGTCTCAGCGAGGGTTCCGCCTTGAGGGTAGTGCAGATGGCCTTCCCTGCGAAGTCCTTAACTCCGCAATGGATCACTACTCCGTCGAACAGCAGGTCTTTGGCCTTGACGGTTATGAAAATCGACGGTGGGTTCTCGTAGATGGACTTGATGGCTTTGTTAGCCAGACTAATCGCCCCAGGCTTCATCCTCACCACCGTATTTACCATACCCTGTACAATAGTTTATAGAGAAATACTTGCACTATGTGGAAAAATACTCACGAGTATCATGGGATGAGGCACCGTAACTTCTTCTTCTCCTGTGAGACACCCTGGCCAACTGGCCGGCTGGAACGTGTCGACCGCGTTGTAGCTTATGGTATCGTCACCCTCGTTATCCTGGACGTTGATTTTAGTCTTCCACTCTCTGAAAGTTAAGGATTAGGACAAGCTGACGCAAGTTGCATACTTACTCGTAACAAAATGGACCTATTTCTTGTAGATTCGGGATAGCACCTCCCTGAACATCCATTGGATTGAGAACGGAGAAGACATAGACGCGAAACTCCAACGGAAACGGCACTTTGAGGAACATATCTCTGATTTCGCTTCCGGGTTTGAGATTCACCATCTGGAATATGAACGATAGTTTAATTTGTTGACTGTTTGTCAAAGTAGGTTCTGAGATAACCTATGTGCAATAGCATTATGTAGGCAGAAATCATTTAGTATGCCCCTAAAAACTGTATAGTTTTAACTATATCATAAGGTGAAAGACCAACTCGACCAAAAAAGCCGAGGCTGTATTAACTACCTTATAATTCTATAAGCGATTTTGGAGACTTGCGATTTCTAGGTTGCTAGCCATGTACTCACTATATCACTGTCTATCAGTTTTGGTTGTTATTATAATCAGAATCGAAGGTTCTGGACTTTGAAATCGAATTAAACAAACAATTTTTAAATTTGTTTGCTCGACGAGAATTTTTTTACACGGTTCATTTACAAACGAAAGTATAGTTTATCTTTTACGGTAACGTATGGTTACGGCTTTGTGACATTTTCCGTTTGGACTTTGCACATTTTACGGTTAATAAGGGGCTGGATCACGCGATTTTCTTCAATATAATGTGGATCATTTTGGAATGCCAGAAATGGCAGATAAAAAGAGAAGAGAAGAAGAGAAACGAGTTAGATGTAGGCAATCAAAAAGGCTGAAGTCTGAATGAAAGCTGCCAGTTTACACAGCTGCAGATGCTGGTGGCGTTGTTGTTATAGCATTGGTGATAGTAAATAATTAACGCAACTGACAATTAATGAGGGCGAGAAAGAAGCTCCTATAAAGTGACTAGATGAAGCAAAATTAAGCCAAACATCCTCACCACCGTGTTTACCATACTCTGTACAATAGTCCAGATCTGTCGTGCTGACTCTACCATTAAAAATTTCAAAATTTTGTCTGCAAAATTTAGTTAAACGTATACTGTAGACTATAAGTGTGACGTAATACAAATGGAACGAACATCAATGTTACTCCATTTTATTGTTTAACAAAAGCTTATTTTTAGTACTCTCACTTGCACACTGTAACATATTCCGTATAAGTCCACTCTGTCAAGCAATGGACATTGGACATATCACGCATTATAAGATGATTGTGAAGTGATTATCTTTTTGTTTGGTTTTTACTATGTTGTTTATTGGTATATTTTCGTAATTTTCTTATTTGTTTATGTTGAACTGTCTTTTAATATCTGTTAGCCAATAAAGCTCATTATTATTACTTTCAACCATAAAAAACCATTTTGGCATGGATTCTATATTTGTAGAATTTTTTTATATGTGCTTTTATAATTATCTTTAAATTTGTATAAATAAGGAGTACAGCAATTTTAGTTGCAATTGGCTTTCTGTTGGTGTCAAGATGGTTCGATCTATACTCTGATGCAGAGGTAGTAGTAGTTTATATTGAACCAAAGTATACTCCACTGTCGAAAAGAAAAGATTTGATTGTTTTTGAAAATTGACAGAATGGGATGGGGAACATAGTGCCAGAGTGCAAAAATTTGGCGGAACTCACCCCCTTCACTTTACTGGTGATAATTTTCGGGAACACTACAAACCCGAAAAGGACTATAAAAAACATGGCGCCCGCGGACGCTATGATTATCTTGAGCGGGTACTGCATTTTTCCGCTACTGGCGGTACCTGTTATCCTGCGAAGGAATACCGCGTACGGAAATGGAAAAAAGGGCAACTGCCTGAAGTAGGTCAATCGAGACGGGGCCTTCTTTAGCTGGCCTCTTAATGTTTGCATAAGAGATGATGGCGCGGAACTGATACCTAATAGAGAGTTCAAATTCATCACCGATTAGACTTGTCGTGTGGCGGCAGCGGTGGTGGGGATGACGCCACTAATATCGTTACGTCGTCAGATGTATCATTCGCACAGCTTTTTTCCGCCGCTGCATAATTTATGCGGCGATTTTCCCGACCCCGTCGCTTGCCGCCCCGTCGGAGCGATCCATAAAGTCGTAGCTACGAGGGAAATACCACAAGTGACGTCACGGTTTTCTTGTTCAAGCAATATTTGTACGTTTCTATACATGATGGTTGATTAAGAGCAGATAAGGAACAAATATGCATATACGGAAGTTATATTCTTCTAGTTTGTACAAGTGAAATTTCTCAGGCGGAAAATGGCGACGATCTTCGAAAAAGCTTCTTCGAATTTGCTCAATCCTTTACTCCTTTTCAATAAATGTCATGGAATCGGCATTCGTGAAAAATAAATCACAAATCGATCGGATATGTGTAGATCTGTGTGTGTATGTGTGTGTAGGTGAAATCCCGCCCCCGGCATACAATTCGCCGCCAAACCACCGGCCAATTGCGGATCAATTTTTTTCCTGTGCCGGCGAAATATGGCGGTTAACGAATTCTGAACAGCGTGAATGATTTAAAACGCCGACGAAAGCTTGCGAGATTGAAAATTAATAATCATTTTTTTAAAAAAAGCTAATTTAACTTTTTTTAATTGATAGGATATTAATTATCCAATTAAGAAAATAAAGAAAATACCTGAATAACAAAATATTTTTCAAATGCTAAAACTGCAATTGTAAATAAAAATAACACGTTTGTTTATAAATATCGATTGTACTATTGTAAAATTATGTATATAAATAGTTGTTGACATGGTGCAATCCCACAAACATCTTTTCAAACATGATACAAACTTGATGTAAATTATAATTTAATAAATAAATAAATATATTTAAATTAATTATTACGCTCGTAATCTACCACTCAATACAACACACAACTTTGATATTTCTATACTTTCTCCCTAATTGTGTTTACCCGGAATGTTGATCATTATTGATGATATTGATGATCTTATATTTCGCTGTTCAGATTTAATATGTGTATATAAAATATTGTTATTGAAACATATTATTAGTTATGCAAACTTCGTAAGAATAATATTAAAAAAATCTTAAAGACCAACGATAAATTTTGAAAATTGCTATACATTTTGACTTTTTGACAACGCGTTTTCTTATTTTGAAATTTAATTGAATGGTTGAATTGGTTAGTCCTTCCTTACCCAATATTTTTATAAGTTATGATTTGTAAGTATTTTTCGTATATTTGCAAATTTGGGATATGCGTTTTACAGGTGCTAATATTTTAGTGAAATTTTCAAGAGAAACAGAAACAAAATTGTGCCCACGGAAAACTAACCAAATTTCATTTGAAACTCTGACTCACGAACACTTTTTTTTCAAGGTCAAACAGAATATACGTCAATGTTTTATGTGACTCTAGCTTCGCCAAGAACTATTCCACTGTTTTAATTATTTTGAAAAAACAAAGACCGCCGGCTTCAATGGCGAGACCATCCGCCGCAAACAATGGGTCATCAAGACGAACCAATCAACGACGTACGCGCGACGTAGGCGGCAGAGAAAGGATGGAACTGCGTACGTCGACCGAAGTATCGTCGGTACCATATCGGAGGTATTTCTGTCGCTCGATGCGATTGCTGCCACCTATGCAAAACTTATTTTGTTTTTGTTCGCCATTTGTTTATAATAAATAGTGTGTGATTGTTGTTAACTCTTAACAAAAATCCTTTAATTTTAGTTGTTCTTACGGTAAGTACCTTTAATTTTAGTTGTTCTTACGGTAAGTACCGACAGAAGTTTTCAAATCCCTTTGATTACCTCAGGCGGCCGGGTTAAGAAAATTGGTACTAGTTTTTAATGTCTTTGGATCACGATCGGATGTATAAAAGTGAAATTTGTGACGCTGAATAGCGACCTAGAAAACAAAATTCACGAGCAAAATTCAAATTTACTTTACAAACGACAATTAAAAAATGACGTTCCATTGTTATGTTTCATCAGCATAACTTTCAAGTAATTAGCCGAGTAATTTGTTGTTATTTCAATATCATAGACCATAATTTTGCATTGCTGCAAATTTACTCCGTCTTAGCGATATTATGCAAGGGCTCGTTTACAAAACAATAAAAGGATACACATTAGACAACCCTTACCATTATTTTCATTTCTTATTTTTCAGACCACGAGAATGAGGGCCCCAGAGATGAACAACTGCTGCGGGTTCAGCCTCAAACACGGAACCATTATCATCGGCGTGGTCCAGAGCATCTTTGCCTTCATGTGTTTGATTCTAAGTTCCGCCTACGCACACAACTCCCACGAACTGATAGAACTCTCCGATCCATCCATCATCCCTAGAATGGAAGGTAATTTAACCACATATCATTCATAAACACATCTAAGCAATGAATTCAATCAAAACTTGAAGGAAAAGTGAAATTTACTAATCTACGAACACCGTATTATACTTGCAACTAACATGAGATCGGTCGATTGCTCTGGTTGTAAAATGTATTTATTTGTTCCAGTTTTGCGAGTGTTTTTGATAATCGTGGGCGTGGCCAGCGCCTTACAATGTGTGTTCTCCATCTTCTTGATATTCGGAGCTGAGACTGTAAGTATGGCGGCTTCCTCGTTGATGTTGGAGATGAAAAACGCTTTTCCAGAATCGTCCGGTATTGCTCTTGCCCTGGCTGGGTTTAAATCCAGCAACGTTGGCCGTGTACATCGTTGCCACGTTGATCGCCATAGTGCATCATACCGCCGACGACAACACACCATTTGTTGTTGGACACGTCTTGATCAGTACTGTCGTCACGCGTGAGTATTGCACCCAAAAGTGACGTCAAAATTATCAAGCTTTTAACGCTGAAAAAGTTCATATCAAATGTCGAGGTCGGGAGGTTTTGAAAAAAAACGTCGCTTAGAAAAATATTTCATTCCTTTAACTACATTTTCTTTCAGTGGTGGTCATCTACAATATACTGACAGTCTACAGTTTCTACAAGCATCTGCGTAAGCTCAATTTTTAGATGGCTAACCATTATTAAAAATAATTTGCACTAAACCATGCTTCACAAATTCGTATTCATAAAAGGCAAGCATTTGTGCCTTGGTGGCGGATTAGAGTGTAAATAAAATAAGTATTTTATACAGGGTTGTTTTATTTAAAACTGTGATTTAATACAGAATAATTTAATAAAAATGGAAGATATTTCAACAGGCATAAAGGCCAATTGAAAAAACATAAATTCATTCTAAAATCAACAATCTCTTCTTTCAATTATTATTTTTTAAATTTTGTTTTGCTTAATAGTAAATAAAATATACCCCGAAATTTTGACTAATTTATTTAATTTTTTTTTATATTTTCAAAATAAAACTCCCTAGAAAGCTACGACACTATTTCAGGGGTGTAATATAAAAGAGTATAGGAACAAAAATTAAATTGATAAAACTGACTGTTTATTTTTCAAATGAAATCCCCATGCTTATGGATGCTCCAACGCAAATAAAAAATACACGCCTTACAAATAATTTACTTTATTTCGCGTATATACAAAAATGACCTAGAAGATGATTTTTACAATTTTGAAAATATCCTCTCTTCTCTTAATGGATACCCTTGACGAGGTAAGGTTGGGCCACTGGTACTGCGACGGGCCTCGGGACACCGACGGGTACCGGATGAGGTACTGCGACACCAACGGGTCTGTCTACCGGCACACCGTAAGGTTGTGGTACTGGTACTCCATAGGGTCTGTCTACGGGTACGGCGATGTTCCTTTCAACGGTAACTGGTACCGGTCTTGGAACTGGTACGGCGACGGGACGATCAACTGGTACCGGTACGTCGACACCTACTGGTACACCGACGGGTCTATCGATAGGAACGGCATATGGTTGAGCTACCGGAACCCCGAGGTTCCTGGTGATAGTAGTGTGGGTGTGAGCGTGACCTCCGAGATCGATGGCACGTCCGATACCAGCTCCACCTAAACCTGCTCCACCGAGACCCGCTCCACCCAGACCCAAGCCTCCAAGACCGGCTCCACCGAGTCCCAAACCGATTCCGCTTCCCAAAGTTCCCAAACCGATTCCTCCAAGTCCTCCGCCTAATCCCAAGCCGTGGCCGGCGATGCCTAACCCGGTCAAACCGCGCTTGTCGACCTTCTTGTCCTTGGGCTTTTCTTCAGCCTTTTCGGCTGACTTCTCGGCAGCCAAAGCTATGCTTAGGATGAGGCAAAAGCAGAGCTGGAATAATTTGACAATTTCATTATTTCCTTCATTTACAATCGTCTATGTTGTTAGGGCCAATAAGAAAAAAATTCTAAGGAAAAATTAATAAATTAGTTTTGTAAAATAATAACAATTTAGAGTGAAATTTCAAATAAAATGTAGTATAGACTTATTCGAAATATACGTTTTAGAAATTTTATATTTACTTTTTATTATTGTTTCTTTAAAGCATTAATTTGACGAAAGTAATTGATAATTGATAACGTAATTTTTAACTGTCTGCGTGATCATTTGTCCTCAGCACCAAGTCCTTGTGCGCTGTTAATGAAATATGACGATAAAAGCATTCAGGCAACGCTACAATATTTTCCAACTTTTTCAGTCAATCAAATTTTGTGATTTATATACGAAATACTGTCCAAGAAGATTAATTAAATGCCGATTCGTTTCGCAACAGTACATACAGGAAGTGGGTGCACACTGCATTTCTTCCAAGCATTATTGACCTTGCCATTCATCATAGGCGTTAATCGGCAAGGAACGCCGAAGAGATAATTATTAAGAATGGTGGAAAAACGTTAAATGTTAGCAATTTATCGCATAATCTTGCCGGCAATTATCATCTATTTGCAATGCCCTTGATATTGAGTCTAACAACAGGTGCGTTTACTTTCAAAATTTTAAGCTTTTCAAAGTTGAAGTACAATGCTGAGGTCGGAAGAGAAAAAGTTGAAGGCCGAGGTGGCGGATGTGGTGGGATCAAAAGCTCATCGCGTTGATGAGTGAAGCGACACGACCGCATCTTTAGTTTTGATTGTTAGTGAGCGACGATAGTACGTGAAAGTGCGCGAAAAATTGAAAATGTTATAGATATACATTTTCGAGAACACTCACAAACATATGAATTTGTACACATTTTTAATTAGTTTTAGTTTTGGGCTTGGCAGGTAATTTCCATAAAAAGAATTCGTAAGTTTAGCAAATAAGATTAAAGTATGAAAGTTTATCAAAGCCTTATTTTTTACGTCAACAATAAAAAATCTAAATTTCCGCAACATTTTTATCGACTTTTCACAGTCTCGCCTTTTTCATTACGTACCAGAGTTTTCATTTTCGGGTTCTGATTCGATCACTGTCCACACTCGAGGGTGCAACTGTCTCAATGAGTATGGGCTTTGCTAATATAAGGTTTCGAACACCCCCCCACTAGCCGGTTCCACGCAGTTCGCGGTACTATACCTCTCAGGGATACCATGTACCGTACTTTCTCGAATCGCCGGGTTGCGGGTTCCGATTACATGTCTAATAATGATACCATTGACATTTCGACTACCATAAGACCCTGATTATCCCTTTGAGCATAAAACTGCTTCAGCGACAGCACAGAGAGGGTTTATATCAATGAAATATGTAAATATCATTATGCAAATAAAATAAGAAAAAATAAAAAGAAAACAGCTAATTAGATTTTATCATTTGTGTGAAATGATAATGTAATAAATTCTGATTTTGGCATTCATTGCCTACTATTTTAGTTGGCACAAAACTTCAAAAACAAAATTTAAATTTTAATAAAATAATATGTAATTTCAATGGGAACAATACCGTTAAAAAAACAAGAACACCCCATTCTCCCATTTGTTGAAATGGAAAAGCGAAAAACAAGAATTCCTATTGCTAGCCACATTTTCCTATTGCAAAATTACCTCACTTTTCCATAACTCAGGTGCCATTCCGGTTTATATTGAGTTTATAATATACAAATTTCGTGTCGTAAAAACGTTATCAAAAGAATACTTTATAACAAAAACGCTGAGGGTGATTGATCATCGGGGTTTGCCAAAATCTAGTCCTCGCAGAAGACAATGGCGATATAACTTTTGGAATATTACGTTATTGTAATGAGGCTTTCAGGGGGAAACAATAATTACGATGTATATATGAAATATGCGTATATCGCCGGACATATTCATAAATTCATTAAACATTATGCGCCGGAGGAAAAACTCGGGACAGTCACCGGCCGTATCAGTCCGTTCAAAGCAGACAACACCCCTTTTTGCAATGCGGCGTAATATTTTTTTATCTCCGTTGCGGCATTGTTCAGATTCATTAGGAAAACAAAACAACGTTCGTAAGCGGCCAATTAAATCGAACAATTAGCTATAACTAGCTACCGGACGCCAATGCGTTTCCAGGCATTTTTTGTGTACCTACGATGAAGCGACTCGTGTTCTGACATGTGCCACGAACTTCGGACGCCAAATAACTAACAAAAATTAAAATTTAGTTGCTATTTTTTATGTTAGCCGTCCCAAAGCGAAAATCTCAGTTGCGTCACTATCTGGTATTACTACTGTGTTCTACCTCAGCTCCTCTATCCCATTAAGTTATTTTGTTTTTTTTGGCCTTAAAAACAAACTTCAGCTTGGTAAAGCTACATTTTACTCCCTTTGCTGGTGGACATTTGGGTTACCAGTTGTGTTTCATTCCACCTCGCAAAGATATTTTTTTTGGGCGATTGTGTTTTTGTTGGTCCTTGCCATTCCAAGTGTGTTTTCTGTGGTCATCAGTACAAGGTTGATACACGAGCCTTCTTCATGCGTCCTGGAGTTTGCGCAATACCAACTATAGTTGAAGTTATCTTTAAGTTATATTTCGTGGGATTATTATCGTACTTCTCTTAGAATTTTTTTTCCAACCACAAGTTTTGTTTCTGGTAAGTTAGATTTTTTTAATATCTTTAATCTATCATAGTTTTATAACTCCTTTGGTTCTTTCTGGCATTATACTTCCTGTTCATATTTTATTTATTTTTTTATTTTAATTGCATTAATACATCGACCCTAAAAAGATGAAAATTTTGGTTACTTCTGATTTTAGATTTAGAACTGGGAAGAAATTAAGAATATAGTTGAAGCGTTACTTGTTTGAAACCAATCCATTGCAGTATGATTAATCTTTCCATAGATAACCAAGTAGTAATATTCCAATTTTTTAAAAGAAATAAACATTCATTTTTTATTTTGTAGGAATGAAAAATAGACAAATCGAAATTTTTTAAATATTAAATATCTTTTAATTACAACCGTAACAAATTTATAACTATGGGGCGTCAACTATCTTACAGAAAGATTTCGAAAAGCTCGGTACTTGTTGATATTGCAAGGGGAAGATACAATATCATTCTGCAATAAGAAACACAATTTTTCAGGTTAGTTTCGGAACGCATCTTTTAGAAATTGAATGTTTGATACCACCTTAAGTTTTTAAGCGTTTTCCATAATCAAACAAATTTTCAAATGATTTTCCGTATAATGAAAAATTTATCATTATCGTAATACTAATACATAAGTTTTTATGTTTTCGATTGATTTTTTAAAACGCACTGTTCGTCGAAGCAAATCGCGTAGTCGGCAACATTACCGCAACAGCTTTGAAAAGGTCGCTGGAGCAGCTAACGCCCTGTCGAACGAGGCAAAGTGTACCAAGCGGATATCTACAAAAATACCCCCAGCATGTTGCAACGCGAATTGTCTGTACCCTATATCAAATGCGGCGTCAAGGTTCACAGCTGGTCCGAATTACAACTCCAGCCGACCAGAGAAATAGTCGCCTTGCAAAAACCGCCAAAGTCATTCGAATGAGTGATTGACGTGATAAATATACCTTAACTGTTTTTTCCATAAAACCGACAAATTGTGAAAACCATACGCAGACATTATCTTTCTTCAATGACGTCACGAGACAGTAAATAAATATCACCAACTAACCAAAAAACTGCTGCTCAACTAGTACATTAATACATTTAGGAGATCAAGACGTAGGAACAGGATTTAATTTTATATTGAAAATATCTGATAAATAACAACTGAGAAACAAAATTAAAATGCCTGCCTGTTCTAACATCTTACTTATTGGTTATTCAAAATTTTTTGTCACTTCTTTGGTGGTATGCTAATTCTGGAAATTTGTAAGTCTGTAATTTGTTGTACTCCCTCTCTGCAACAGGTGCAAGTAGTTTTGAGGAAAAAGTTGAAGTACGTAATATTTTTGGAAATAAAATAAACTCCTGTTTACGTGAGTAACAATATAAAAGAGTAGCTTTCGCTATCAATATACTTAGCATAAGGTAGGAAATACGTTTCGAAGCGGGTTCCAAATTTAGAATTTTTGTTTGGAAAAAAATCCAAAAATGTTTGTAAAGGACATTAAAATTGTTTTTGTTTCATTTTCTTTCAAATTCTTTCATGTGTGCCCCACGTGCCCCCACAAAAAGGCACTGCATAATAGTATTACTTTTAACCTAGAATGTAGAGTAAGGAACGCTCTTTTAAAGGAGATTGATATCGATAACCCAATCCGGAGCTATGAACATTTATATCTAAATGAAAACATTACCTTCCCCCGCCACTTAATCACAGTTGGCGAAGTAGTATAAAGAAAAAAGTTCTACATTTTCCCAGGATTATGATACCATTATTTCTAGCAACTCTTTCTTAGGCACAATTTTGCAAAAATCCCATTTTATTATTCCCAACAAAAGCCGTCTAACGGCCGTTCTAGGAATTCATGACCTCTTTGCGAATATATTTTTTTATCGCACGTCATGCGACTAATACTTTCAGAAACAGTCGAAAACTTTTCTTAGTGGGACACCAGGTACTACCGGCTTTGTGCTCTGGGCTTTATCATCTCTGTTCTGCAACGTGAGGTAATTTTTGGACAGCGTGTCACAAAAATGGCGAACAGCGGCGGCGCCGACCCGATTTAGCGGGCGTTTCGCAATATCTAGTAACCTAACCTCAACTCGTTGCGGCTCTACCACGATGTCCGTAAAACAATATCCATCGGAATCCGAATAAAAATTGCTCGGAGAACTTTGCGTTCGCGTTCTCAAGGATTTGTATTAAATAGGTAACAGGATATGTAATTACGGATTTTTATACAAAACGTATAAATAATGCGGCACATATCTGGTTCACCTGTAAATAATAACGTTTTTCATTATAACGTACCATTTTGTAACCTACACGGCGTTTTTTTTTTCTCGCCAGTTCGTGTGGCATAATAAATAGTATGGTCGACGGGAATGACTGCTTTGCATTTTTTGCCATTTCATTCTGCTTCGTGGGACGAAGGAGTAAGACTGACCGAACCTCGATACTTTTAACCCACGCGCGTTTGGCGGTATGAAAACCATCCGCTGCTATTACTCACCATACTTTTTAAGTCTAGAGTTACCTTAATAATGTAGCTCTTCGCAAAGCTCACTTACATAATCACTTACTTAAAATCAAAAAAACATTCACGTCACAATCAAGCAGAGCTGGATCTCGTCTTTTATTGGAATTTTGGGATCTCAGTGCTAAACGTTTAATAATAAAATAATAATAGTTGATAGTAAATAGATGATCTAATGTTCATTGCAGTATTTGCAATAGGCATATCTGACACGATTTTTATTATTAAATAAAATTTATATCACAAATATATTTTATTGGGTGATAAAAGTCCCTGCGGCAGCCTCTAAATAACCGTATCTTAAGGAGGCACGTTTATTAACCAAACTATTTTTTAATATAATATTTAACCTGGACATCTGAAGAACCGATTTAATTAATAGCAAATTAGCTACTATATTTAATTGTTTTTTTTTTTCAAAAAGTAGTTGAATTTTTTTTTCACAAAAAAGAACCCTTGAAGCATGCATATCTAAAATAGGACACTAGATCGATCCCGATTTTTGATAAACTGTATTGCAAACTTGCATAATTCCCGTAAATTTTTCAAGGTTGTGGAAAAACATTTTTTTACGGAAATTTTTCAAAATTCAACTTTTCGCCTCAGCGACGAGCACGTAGCCGTAATGGGGTCGAAAAGCTCGAGAACAATGAAAACCTCCGTGAAAGTTCGAATCGCGTTGAAAATTGTCCCAGAGCTCGACGAGTTTAAACTCGCCGGTGGGGAAAGGGGGAGACGACTGCGCCCCGCACTATCCGCTTGATATAAATACCAAAAGCGCAAACCGTACCGCATTCACCCGCAAAAGGCACCACACCGCATCGACAATCATGAGGGCATTCCAAGTGAGTCTATTCTTTCCTCTGTTTGTGTTTTTCTCCAACTAAAGCATATTTATTATCGTAGGCCTGCTTAGTCTTGGCCTTGGCCGGTTTCATTTCCTGCGGAAATGTAGCCAGAAAACAGGACAAGAGAGGTTTGATCGGTCTTGGAGACGCCGGCCTAGGCCTCGGTCACGGAGGCATCATCCTCGGAGACCGTGGAATTGGTGCCATCGGTTTAGGTAGTTTGGGTTCCGGATTGGGTGCCGGCCGTGGATTGGGTCTCGGTGGAGCAGGATTGGGAATCGGCGGAGCAGGTTTGGGTCTCGGTGGTGTGGGATTGGGCGCCGGAATTAGAACTCAATCGGCATCCGTGTCTACCATCGACAGAGCCATCGCCGTAGGTGTCCCAACTCCCGTCGGAGTGGACAGACCCCGTCCCGTACCAGTCCCGGTACCAATCAGACGTCCGGTAGACGTTCCTCGTCCCGTACCAGTCGATGTTCCCCAACCCTACCGCGTTATCGTCGATCGCCCAGTACCAGTTGATGTCCCGCGTCCAGTACCTGTCCCACGTCCCGTCGGAGTACCCGTAGACGTACCTAGACCCGTAGCCGTTCCGGTACCACAACCCGTAGCCGTTGACGTTCCCCAACCGGTACCTGTTGGAGTACCAGTAGCTGTAGGTGCCGTTGGTATCGGTCGTGGAGGTTTAGGATTGGGAGGAGTGGGTGGAGGATTGGGAGGAGGAGTAGGTCTCGCTAGAGGAGGTCTCGGCCTCGGCAGAGGAGGTGTCTTACTCGAAGGAGGATACGGAGACGCCGGTTTGGGTTTGGGAGGAGGCAGGCTCATCGGAGCAGGACACGGTTTGGCTTTGGGTCACTAGACGGTGGCTAGCGAAGTCGCGAATTTTTTTCTTTGTACATACTAAGTCGGAAAATAAATTATTTTTTTAATTAAGGTGTGGTTATTTTTTCTTAGCGGTATAAATCGGAGGTGACGAATGTAAACCGTAGTTTGCATCAGGTAAAGGCTCCGCCCATATATACGTTTCGAGCGAGATTGAAAGAATCGGGACGCTTGTCCTTTATTTTTTTCACGACCGGAGTGTTTCGACATATCCTGTTACTTGTGCGCGATTGCGGGGTATTTCAAGAAAACGGCAAAAAAATACCATTTTCAAGGACCATCTTGGTACATTTGAGGGGTAAACACGTGGACTATTGCTATTCGTTGGCCGCGAAATCTTGTAACATAATTCTTTAGAAATTCCTACAACTTAAAACGTTTTTTTGGCAATTTTTTATGTTGTGACGTGTTGTTGCTATAATTTGTCTATTAAAACCAATTTCAGTTTAATTTATAGCTGCCGGAATTAAATCAAATTTAATAGTCAGCTATATATCTTAAAAGATAAGCTTAAAGATAAGTTTGAAAATTTTGATTTTTTTCGTAAATCGACTTTACGATAATTATCATAATGTGCATAAAACTAAATATATTGTAATACATAATGATAATTTTTTCAAAGGGATTGGGGGATTTTACACTATTAAATATATAAGGTCGTTTAAAAGCAAAAAAGAATAAAGTATATTTGGATGGATAAGGTACCAAAAAAAAATACAATACCAAATTTGTAGAGTTCACTTATTTAGTTTTCATAGTGTTACAATTTTGAACTACTCCTATAGAAGTCAACATTTTTAAGTAGAACACTGTATTTTTTTGCCTAATTCCAAAATTACCTTTCCTATTTCTAAAAATGCACAAAAATACAACCTTTTTTTTGAACCCCGCAACTTTTTTTAAATATTTATTTTCTAACTGAAAATATTACTGGAAGCAATTACTTAAATCAATGAATTTGGTTAACTTAGTCGACTTCTGACAATTCAATTTTGGTAGCTTTAGGGAACCATAAACTTAAAAACACAACTTTAACATATACAATGTTATTGAAAAAATGGCTACCCTGTATCTTTAAGTAGTAGTCGTAAATTAACGCGAACAGCGACCCGTGCTTCCATCTGGTAGACGGATTATGTTACCCGAAAGCGAAAGAAACCGCGCATGCTGGAAAACGTGTTTATAGCGGTACCTGCCAAGAGCGAGTGGTACCCTGCGTAGTTCACTAGTAGGATAAATGCGCTCATGCTCAATAGTGGGACTGCAGGTGTCGCTAGGCGCCTCTTGGTCGGAGACTGAAGATCCTGAAGATAAGATGTAGTATGTTTTTGCTTTTTTTACGCAAACTAGGTGCATCGCACGAAAGTAAGTCGCATGAATAAAATTTTCTCCTAAAATATGGATTTCAAAAATGTTTTTACTTTTTATAATTCGCATGAACGTCACTAGAAAAAAAATACAATTTGCGATAAGAAAATTACGAAGAAAAAATTATTTTTTCCTTCAAACTTCAAAAACCTTCAAAAACCCATAAGTATTTTCACTCAATTACCGATTTCAGTAAGGCATTAGTCAAACTGCTTCACTTCAAAAACTTAAAAAATTTACATTTACTAATAGTGCAGTCATATTCATTAGAAATTACTTGAGTTTCAGGACATTATGTCTGAACTACTGTTGGGGAGTGAATGATTTGTCTAATTCTTACGTTCTATGTTGTATTCGAGGTCTAAGTTCGACCCGTGAGCAAGCATGTCGAATGAAAATCAAACAAATCTTCAAACACTGAAAAACAATCGTCGAAATATACAGTTAACACGATTTAACAATTTTTTTTGAAAGGAGAAAAATCCAAGTACCTACAAATTTAGTTGAATAAGTTCGTTTTAGAGACATCAAGCTGTTCTGAATAATTTTTGTTAAATTTAAACTGAAACTGAAAATTATGAGCATGAAACAGATTTTGATCAGGAAAAAGCAAATGTCGAGGACTCTTATTACAGTATAATTAGTCAGGCTAAGGCATTTTTATAAAAAGCAAGTTAACCATCCAGATATTGAAAATATCTCTGTAGGAGTACCCAGTAAATTCTCAAATCGGCTACTATGCTGCTATAAAACTACCGCCCATACCTGTTCCCTGTTTTAAGGTAGACATTTTTTAGAGACACATCTGCTAAAGGCTTCACTTTTGAGCTCGCTCGAAACATCTTCAGAAAATTACGCAGTAGGGTTAAATTTTTTGTGTGACAGATAGGAAAACAAACAAATCTTAGTCAGAAATCACATTAATTCGATTCTTGAACACGAAACACTAATTAAGGAAAATCATACAAGTTTAGGAACATTACTTGACCGTATGACACGGCATTTACGAGCGTTAGAGGCACTAGGCCAACAAATATTTGGGATGCGTTGATTATACAAATCACGTCCTTAAAACTTGACCCATCAACTCGGCTACAGTGGGAAAATGAATGCATTGGAACAAAAATACAAGGTCCTTGAAAATATAGATTTTGGAAACAATAAACATAAAATTAAATTAAAACTTCAAGAATTAGCAATCTGTAACTTTTGCAGTAAGGATTTTTTAATTAGTTTTTAATCAGCATTCAGCCAGAACTTCAATCTCTTATGAACCTTGTTGCTCAATATAGCGAACAATTCGACCTTTATATCAACACATCCAAGATCAAACTATTGATGTTTTCAAAAATCCAAAAAAACGAAACCCTAAGGCTCTATGGAGAGATCATTGAACAAGTGTCATCTCTAAGATACTTGGATGCGGTCGTCAACCAACAATGCGACCCAAAAATCGAAATCAGATCAAGAATTGAGCAAGCAGCGCGGAAATCACTGAACAACATGAGGACACTTGTGGCAAATCGAAACCTCGGCCTGGAACTCCGAACCAGAATACTTCGCTGCTATATCTTTCCTGTACTTCTATTCGCATGCGATGCAGAAAAGAGAATTAATGTCCAGCAGCAAATGGATAAATATAAAGTAGTAAAGAAGAGAAAGCTGCAGTACCAGGGACCTATCATGAAAGGCGAGCGATATGAGATTCTCCGCCTGATAATACCAGTAAAGATCGAAGGAAAACTGTCGTTTGGCCGAAGACAAATATCATATCAGAAAGACTTGCACAGATGACTCGCACAGACGTCTATAAAAATTTTTAAGAAGTTTAGGTACAGTATTACTATATACTGGGTTAGTTTGATAAACTTGAAAATTCACACCAAATTCAAGTATTTCAAGACAATGCATGCGAATCCAGCTTTGTAACTCAATCATTTGGCAAGAAAATGCAACTCCCTACCAAATCGGTAAATTTTACCGTTGCAGGCGTTGATCAACAAAATTCCAAAGCTTTAGAATCAACATCGCTCAAGATTCAGTTACGTCAAAATCACAGGCAACTGTCAATATTGACACATCTTTCATACAGATTTCTCCAAATTTTGTATTAGCTGATCCTACCTTCAACACAAATTAAGCTTGGGAAAAAAACTACTAACATTACGAAAAACATCTTTAGGCTACATAGTTTCTGGAACAGCGTTTCCTCGAAAACATTCTACTACTCACACTGAAATTTTTTGTAATCTTAGTATTCCACACTAGATTCTCAGATGACAACGTTTTTTGGCAACTAGAAGAGATTAATAATCAACAAAGAATTTTATCACCTGAACAACAATTTTGTGAAGATTTGTATCAAGAAAAAGCCAGCTGATCTTCTATCTAGGGGATTAAGTCTAATCGATTTTCTCAAAAAGCAATTATGGTTCAATAACTAGCTATCTAAACCGATCTAAAAGTGGCCCATTTTTACAATAAATACAAATTAGATTCAGACTTACCTGAAAAACTTTGGCTTAATCAACAAATACTCGAATTTAACAAAATTACTTACTTAAAATTCAAAAAGTTTTTCCTAAGTTTCTATTGATATTCATAGTTTTTCTGATGCCAGTGAGGTGGCATTTACATAAGATGTCTAGACGATTTTGATAATTATCGTACGCAACTATCACCATTCTTCGTCACGAATTATGTGGAGCTTTACTATTAGCAGAACTCGTTGACAAAGCAAAACGAGCTCTAAACATAAAATTTGTGCTACTACAGGTCTGATTCAACAATCACTCTTGCTTGGATTATAAGCTCACCACATCAGTGGAAAATATCCGTTTCAAATAGAGTGACATAAATTCAAAACTTGACTGAACCTAATTCATGGCAGTACGTCAATACTCAATAAAACGCAGCTGATCTTCTATCTAGTGAATTAAGTCCAATTGATTTTCACAACAACTGCAAACAACTTTGACTTAATCACCAATTAGTCAAATTTAACAAAATTACAGATCTAAACTAAACTAAACTAAACTAAAGATCTGGGTTTGCATTTCCATAAAAAACTTATGTTCGTGAACTACATAGCGGGGAATGTATCTGAGGCTAATAGTAATTATTGTTTTTACCCTTTACTTTAGCTTTGTTTGATCTAAACTTGAGTACGGGTCGTTTCGATCTACTTTCGTTATAGTGACCAAAGCTGAGCATATCCACCGAGAGGTTTAGATTATGAAATTTATTTCACTAGATTTGATATAAATTGTCTTGAATGGAGGCGCAAGTGTGTGAGTTATACCTATTTATAAATTGTTACATAACGTTATAAACTGTCCAAATTTGTTGGCGTACTTGCATATTCGTATACCACATTTAAATTCTCACACGAAAGGCACTTTTCGCTGTGTTAGGACCAGAACAAACAACAACAACAAACAAAAATTGTAATAATTTGTCAAATTGTATACCGGCAATTATTATTATTATTATTATTATTATTATTATTATGACTATTATTATTATTTTTGTAATAACACAGCTTCTTTGTTGTTCGCTGGTGTTGATCATGCTACCGGGTATATACCATATCTTTAATGTGGGCCGTTCTATATAATGCTACAGATTGAAGTTTTTGTTAGTTTATTAATTAGTTAGTATTATTAAATAATGAATACTCTTTGAAAACTGAAAACTCAACATTAGACTTCTGAATTTTATATTTTGAATCGGCATAGCCTCAAACGACCCCACTCAGGTAGTACCATATGTTATGAACGCGACTTTCACCCATTAGCCGCTAGACTTTAGCCAAGAATTCCCATTAACGATAACGACGGACCCAATTAACTTCCGAACATCGTCCTATTAGCCGATTGCGAGACCTTTGAAGCGCGCCACAGTCGGGCGGTACCGACGGCAATGTATGCACGCGTGAAACAAAAAAAAAAACAACGCGCTAACTATTTCCGGATGAAAGCGAGCGACCGCCGCTCTGGTGGTTCCGTTATCTTTTCGACGTCAGTGAAATCTCGGTGGTACCGCGAGTAGCGTGTTACGTCACATCGTCAAGCAGATGGACGCGCTGAAGACGATCCTGCTCGGTGTTTTGGCGTGTCACGTGGCCTTGAGCCAACGACCTCGCAAGAATAACGTGTGTCCCAGTTTCCGGGACTATTTCACAGTCGAGGGTAATAACAACTGCTGGTACGACTTCGCCGCCGAGTCTACAGTGGTAAGTTGGCACGCGGAAGGGGTGAGAGCGGTGTCGAGGTCGTCGCCTGGAGTGGGTGGTACCTGAAGCGGTTCGCTAAACTGCTTAGAAAGCCTAAGAAAGCTGATGCTTGAGGCTGAATTGAGAAGGTCAGTGGCAGTACCGGTGACGATACCGGTACGACACGTTACGACTGAGTCTAACCTAAGCGATTTACATTTTTCCCGGTATTTTAAAACTCATTGAAGGTACATTCAGTGTAGATTTTTTTTTGTGTTGCCTTTTTTCATTTTTACTATACATCAGCCTTCCCCACTACTATTACTATGTCAATGGCGAATATTAATTTCAGCCCGAAATAATTAAAAAGACCGGATATCCCTTCATGGAGTACAAAATTCGAACTCCGGACGACTACATTCTGACGATATTTCGCATTCCCAACTTCAATGCTAACAAACCACCAATTTTTTTACTGCACGGGGTTCAGAGCACGTCCGGTATATTCGTCGGGCTCGGTAAGCGATCTATAGGTAAGAATATTATTCCTTCCCGCTCTGTAATCACAAAGCAATCGCTTTAACATCAAACCGAAAGGAAAATTTTCAAAGGCAAAATTGAATTCGAATCAAATTGAAATTGAAAATATTTCAGCGTTCCGCAGAAACGTAAATATAATATCGAATAAACGATGAGTTTATTAAAAAGGATGCTTGCTCGAAACGTTTTTATATAAAAGTAGCTTTGCTTTTCTTTTTGTATTGTTAAATATATTTATTCTTTCAATACCGAATGTATTCTTTTAATGTCGTTTTGCAGCCTTTCTCCTAGCGAACGCTGGCTATGACGTCTGGCTGGGAAACTATAGAGGTACTGAATACTCGGAAGGTCACGCGTATCTCAATGTCACCCAGAAGGAGTATTGGGATCACAGGTATAGCGCGCAATCAAACTATTCGATTGAACGGGACGAATCTGCCATCATTTTCCTCGAAATTGTTGCTTAATTGTTATTATTTAGCGTCATAGGATTCAATATTTTGTGTAATGTACTAGCCAACTTTCTTTACGTGGTGATAATTTATTAGGTACGAAATCTGGTCTTAAATATATGTAAATGAAGTACAAACTTGTAAAACCGTGGACTATTTTCAGAACCTGCACCTTGTATTTAAGGAATTTTTAGGTTATATACTTTTGGATTATACAGGGTGGCGCAATTCTTCCTGAATTTTAACCTATATTTTATTCCGTTTGTGGATCTAGTGGGGAAAACACAGATACCCGTCGTCAGACCGACTTAGGAAATATTTAAAGTTATGTGACTTAGATTAGATAGTAGGCTAACTAATAATATTGGCAACTCATGACATTCGTTTAATGAATTTTTGTGATTTTCGAGTCCAGAATTATATCAGATATCTTTTTTTACTGCATGAGTTTCAAAATTTGCAAATTCCATGACCTCTTTTTTCTTAATTGTGATTGTGGAATTATTTGAAAATATTACTAGCTAGTCTAATATCTATTTTGAGAGCTGTTCCTTAACTTTAAATATTTTCTAAAAAGTCTGAAAATCCAATAGACCGGTATAATGAAACTTATTTATCTTTTCACCATTAAATCCAAAAACGCCATAAAATATAGTGAATAATCCAGAAATTTACTTAAATAAATAGGACCTTTGTATTTAAAAGGTTTTGAGAAAAGTATATGGGTCACTTTATGTGAGACACCAGGTATATGCAACCAGATCACTATGATAAAATTTTACAAATTAGCACCCAAAAATGATAAAATGCGAGTATTCTAAATTAAATGTTTAATTTTTTTATTGATCTACATAACCTTCGAGAGTGCTGTGAATTACACTCTCATGTCTTGGTCTAGGTACAACGTTTTAATGGTTGGTGATGATTATTTCAAAATTGAGAAATAATATATGTAAAGTATTATTTTACAATAAAGTAATTTTTCTATACTTTATCAAAGTGTTTAGTACATTATCTTCCAGGATGCTGTCTTAAATTCTGTCTTATGTTAATGTGAGGTTTACCAAGAATTATAAGTGCAAAATGTAACGGCCAACTGCCTATTGATTTCAAATGAATTTTTTTCTAATTCTTGAGAAAATAATTATGACATGCATTTTTGTATGCGTAATATTCGTTTCATCTAAAGTGTGGTCTGTAATAAACGCGCTAAAAAGCAATCCTTCTGAAATAATAATATTGAGCCAAATTTGACTTAGTAAAATGACACTCGTTAGAGAGATACAGAGTGTCAAAGTTTCGTTATAGAAATTGTTATTCCCTTATAGCTTGTGCCGTGAGATATCAATGTGAAAACTTGGATTCGGGGGTTTTTGGAAATGAGGAATACAATTTTTTCAGAAGGCCTAAATCCCAAAAAAATCTTGTGACGTAATGCTAGTTCTGTTTTTCTACTTTTTTAAGCCTGTAACCCCTAGATAGCGCGTCCCTAAGGTGGCGGATCGGGGAAGGCCCAAATCGTTTCTACAAGGAGATGTTAGGGGCTAGATGCGATGGGGGTAGGTGGGAAATAAAATACCACCCACGGACCAACAGGTAGGGGAGATAGACTTCCTTAGCCGTGGTAAAGGCAATGTATCTAGGAGAAGGAATTCCGATATAAAACGCTGGTCCTCCAGGTTGGGGGTTGAGGCGTCGGGCCAACCCCTCGATACTCATTTTCAAATTTCGACAAATCGCCTCGAAATAAGGAACAGATCAAAATGGATACGAAAACTGCAACGAAAAAGGATAAAGACAAAGCAATCAGAAGTCTTTCAGGAGCTTAAAAAAATGAACATTGATAATTGCGTACTGACGAAAATCAAGAAAAAAGGAAAATGGAATGCAAACATTGGAGAATACACTTCTACAGCGGGGTGCTAGAGCAAAGAGATGAGTGTCGATAGTGATGGAGCACGACAAAAAAAGCACTACTGTACCAACCGCTAAAAAGAAGAAGAAGAGGAAGACCCTTAAGGTCCTGGAAGGAAAGTACAGAACAGACAATGAAAGACAGAACAATCCAGAAAGATGATTGGATGGATAGAAGAGTTTGGCGTACGAAATGCAGAAATGATTTCTAGGAAAGACTATACTTGCCTCCATAACATGTTACCGAAAAATGTTAGTTTGTTTATTTGTTTTTTATCTCTATATCTCTTTTGTAACTCCAAATATGTAAATCCAGTTCGGATTTTCACTGTACACAAATCATAATCAAATAATTTAATATTTATTAATTTAAATATTAATTATTTTTTATTTTAAATAATGTGCCTATTTCAATTAGATCCTATAGAAATATATATCCAATACTTTCACATTATCCGTCAGTTTAATATTACTTTTTTAAATCTGAGACTTGAAACTTTGGTTATAATTGTTATTGTGCAGTTTCCCGTTAAACGTCATAGGACAGTATTTTTTTTCATATTTAATCGCAATAATTACAAGGCAGTTACATTAAGTAAAATAACGCTCTTAATGTTGTCTGTTGCTATTAACGATATTTTTGGAAAATGGAGCCTCAATGTCCATCAATTTGCCAAATTTGTCAATTAAATGCACTTTTTATAACCGAGTGCCTGTTCTTTTTTGTATACATGAAAAACTGATTTATGCCAAAAGTTTTCTAAATGACGCTTTAGGTACGAGAGCGACGCAGCCGAATGTTTGTTTAATAAATGAAGAAATTTCTAAAAGTGTTGCATACTAAACTTTTTCTATAACGATTAGTGTTTGGGTATGTTTTTACAGAACAACACGTGACGTGACCATCTGACAGATATCGACAACAAAATAATTGGGTCATGAATGAATGAATGAATTGGATGAAATGAATTTCTATCGGCGGTGGCCCGCAAGGAACCGTTCCGAACGCCCACCGTCAGAAATTTCCAGCGAATTTGCGCCTTTGTTTCTTCAAATTGGCTTATTACGAAACATCCCATTAATAAGGCCGGTAATTAATTCGCTGCATAAAATTGGATTATTTACAAAAAAAGTCTCAAATAACATTTTCCATATTTTATCGTTCACGTAACGGCACAGATTTTTAATGTAGAAATTAAAATAATTTACTTTCTAATGTATTTTGTTTTTGCACTAGACCTTGTCGGTCGGAGGAAAAATAGACAGTCATGTGGGTTCATTATAATCGGTTGTCTGGTGTTTAGGAATTGACATTTTGTTAATGTGGGCTTTAAATGGCGACCGCACGCAATCGGCAGCGGTTTGACCTTTAGCCAAGTGAAAAGTTCAAATGAAAAATAAATTAAATGAAAAATCTTCGTGCATTGAAAGAAAAAATGATTTTCCGAACAAAAAAAGTCAGAACCGATAATCTAAAAAAAACATTTTTTTTTGTTTATGCATGCTCAGTAAACAAAAAAACCTCATTTCAGCCATTTAAGCCTTAGAAATCTTTACTGTGAAAGCGAATTTCAATAAACAACAAATATTGTTTAATAATCTACAATGCAAAATGCGGAGCTAAATGTCCTTTGACATTAGTAACCATTCTATTAGTTTTCCTATATAATTTTTTCAATTGCTATATTAATTTTTTGATAATGTCAATGATAATAAGAACTTCCAGTTTTATAATTTTTTCAATCTTTAATTTTCACTTTAATTTCTATTCATATATCCATTATCTACATATTTTTTCTCCATTAACAAACGAACCGTCTTAAAAAGCTTAAAAAAGAGTAAAGAACTTTCTCACTCCATTTTGGTAACATACTTTTTATAATGTTAATCATTAAACATTTGTATTTATTGTCGCAAGCTGAGATTGCCACTCGTCGATAAATGATACAACATAAAATTAAAGATAAATGCAAATATCTCAATTACCTCATTATTATCGTTTGTTTTTTCTAACTGCATTCTTGCAATTTTTTTGTCATTAAAAGTATATCAATTAACTTCCTTCTTTTCTTTTGCCTATTATTCGAATTGTAATTATATTCCTTACCCGCATTAATTGTTCTGAACTCTCATTCATACACAGGGTGTTATACAAACCTTAAATGCGTTCTCGATATACAGGTTGTAAAAACTACGTAAAAAAATATTATTAGTTTTAATTTTTAATTACGAATGTTTTCCTCATTCCAACAAACGAAGAATTATTTATTCTTTCATTCCCTATAGCGTCGACGAAATAGCCAAATACGACGTACCGGCCATGTTGGAACTCGTAAACTACCACTCTGGCCATACCGGCAAAACTATCTACATAGGGCATTCCTTGGCCACCGCCGTCGCAATGATGTACTCCTCCGAATACCCTGAACAGGCTGCTAATTTGGTATCTTTGTTCATATTCATCGGACCGGCTTACAAAATGGTACACATGCGATCCCCTTACAGGTTTCTTTTTCCCCTATTTTACCCGGCACTGGTAAGTCCGACTTGTAAAACCGAAAACGATTTCCACTCACGCATTAATTTCAGGAAGTCACTGGAGCTCTGAATGTCGTACAGATAGTTTCCAGAGGTCACTCGAGACGTTTAACAGGACCGACATGTTTGGCATCGCCTGTAATCATGGCCGCTTGCGTGGCTTTGGTAAACACCTTCATCGGACCATTCACCCAAATAGCACCGGAAACCTTACCAGTTTACTTTAATCAACTACCGGGTGGTACATCGCTGAAAACGCTGACCTTCCTCAGAGAATCGACCAGAGGCAATTTTAGGAAGTACGATTATGGTCCGGGAAAGAACCTCCACGTCTATGGATCGAAAATTCCTCCAGAGTACGACATTAGGAAGATTAAGGTGCCGATTTTCATCATCTATGCTGCTCAGGATTGGACCACGACGAAGCAAGACGCCATTAATCTCTACAGGCAGCTGCCGGAAAGGGCGAAGTATGGCATATACGGGGTAGAAAGGTTAAATTTCAACCACCTGGACTATTTTTTTGGGACGGACTCTGACCAGTTGATTACCAAGCCGGTACTTCAAGTGATGGAACGGTTTTTGAGAACGAAGTGATCTTGGTGAAAATAATGCGAAAAGTGGGTTATGTGATACTCTAATATGCTTAACGGGATATGAATGTTTAAGCTGATATTATAAGCTACAAGGAGGATGATGGGGGTTAGATCCCTATGTGCCGGGCTTTAGTGTCCAAATCAGAAACGTACAAGAAAAAAAACCTTAACCTCAATATTTGTAGTGATACATGTTCTAGAACACTGCTTACTATAAAAAAGACGTAGTAATGAGGACCCACCAGAGGCCCGCAGGAGATCTTTGAAAATATCTATAAAGCTATTGTAATAAAACAAATTAAATAATACAAATGTTAATATGATTCTCGATTTTTTTTCATTGGCTGAAATTACGCTTACCGAATTCGCGCAAAATTTGAAGTCATGTATTTTTTTTAGGAACAAATACTCATTTGTGTTCATTAAATAATTAATAATTAATATATAACAATATAACATTTTGAGAGAAAAAAAATGTAGTAGACTTTTGTATTTATTAAATGTTATAAAATTATACAAGTCGATTTTCAAACAGTTGCTTTTGAATATTTCTTGGAATGAACTGGATGTTCAAGCCATTAAACACTCACTAAAAAATACTAATAAACAATAATTATTAAACAATGTCGAGTGTTTAACAAAACATTCCGCTAACTTCTAGGGCAAATATTAAAAAAAAAGCTTCCTTCAAAAGATGTTCCGAAAAAATTGCCCGTGTTTTTAAAATTATTTCCGAAACTGTTTAAGATACTTGAATGAACTTTACACCGCAAGTATCATATCACTTTCTCATAAAAGCTACATTGGTGTTAAAAATATCAAAATAATTGACTTCATCTTTGTTTTCAAAATAATATATTATCAGTAACAAATCTTATGAAATAACTTCAAACCCACCTTTTTTTTTACTTTAAATGGTACATTGTTTAAAAACCATAATTTTTCAAAAGAAAAATTGAATCGCCATGAAAAAAAGTTGGAGCAAAATAAGTGGCACCTTTGACGGCGCTTCTGAAATAAGAAATTTGCAAATTGGTTAAAATATCTTAAATTATCTTTAAAATATTTAAACAATGTAATTACTACCACAGGGTCTATTGGACGATAACATCCGGTAAAAAGACGTCTTCTACTTTGGTACTATCTGGAATCATTGCCGATGTTAATAAAATCAAATAATTTTCGCATAAACAAAACGTAGAGTAGCATCTTCTCAAAGGGCCCGCCGTCTTCAACCGCCCCTCCGCATAACGATTAATTCGGTAAGAAGAAGCGAAAAAATAGCGGTCGTGCCGGCACGGCCCGCACGGGGCGGAATTGTTATAAATTCTCCGGCCAAGGTCTGCTGCCTGCTTATAAACGTTTAACCAATATCGCATTTGATCAAAATGCATACGTAATTTCTTCGGCAACATGTTCTACGCAGTGGTGGTGCTAGTGGTGTCGGCGTGCGGCGTGTTGGGGGTTGAAAACAACGTTTGCCCTACGTACGACGACTACTATACAATGAGGAACAACTCGAATTGTTTCTACGACCCCAGCGCTTCCCACGTTGCGGTATGTACTCATAAAATCGATGAGAATAATTTATTGTGAAGGAATTTACATTTTTCGTAAATAGTGTATGTTGAGGACGCCACTGAACGTAAAATTGTAATCTAATTAGTGCATGCCATTTAGTGCGAGTAGCTCATTTGATTTTTTTAATGACTAAAGTTACATAAGAACCCTTCACCACAAATATAACGTCTTTTTTGAACGCCCTTGTAAGCGACCATTGCGAACGAAGTATAATGCTGTTGAGCTACCACCTGAAAACAAACTTGGCTTTAAATTTTTGAGCCAAACAAGTGGTTTTCTTATGGGAGCACATTTGAAGACATTGAAAATTGTCAATACCCGTTTGTGGACCCGAATGAAAAACCAGCTGGTTTAAGCGAAAATTGACTGTCTGCAACCGTTGTCTGAAAGATAGAGAGAGAGAGAGAGAGAGATTATATTTGAATTTTCTAAATAACTTTTTATTTAGAATTTTTGTTTGCGAGTTACTGATGTAATATTCAAAGGTTCTTATGAAGAACCTTAAAATTACCTTTTCAACAATGTGACACACGTTATATTTTGCCTTAAAGAGATATTTAATAGTACCGAATTGACAAAGTGACGTATAAATTAATTTTTGTTATATTTTATGCTCTAATGTTTCCAAGTTGCTTAAAATTACCATTTTATCGCATGCTCACACAATTATTAAAACATACAAATTGAATTAACAATAATTCCATAATACTAATAAAAAATATATCAAAAAGGAACAATTCAAACACCGAAACTCTTTAACTCTTACAAATTAAATGAGAACAAAAAATGTTCAGATTTTCACAGTTCTTAATGCTTTGTGACAGCTGTTTCGGCAACACCGTACCTTAATGAATTTTTTTTTGTAATTTATTGTAAAGCATGAAAACTGTAAAAATCTGAATATTCTTTGTTCTAAAGTCACCTCAATCCGATATTAAACTCTTAGATAAAAGTCAGTGTTTTAGCTGATAACAGTTTTGGTTAATTTGTCCAAGACACAAAACGGATACCATTTTTGTCACGCTTGACATCATTCAAAAGCTCTTCGTACCGCAGCTTCCAGTAATTGAAAAGGAAGTCGGAAGACCTTTCTGTTTTCCCCAATTCATGATTTAGAAAATTTTGCCGCATGAAAAGTGGCTTCGGGAATGTTTTTTTTATTAGAAGAGATTTTTTCATACAATTCGGGCCTCCATGCAGAAACGGGGGTCGAAAATTCTTTATCTCTTCAAATAAGATGTGTCCCTGTAAGAAAACAACTTGCTGGGCCCACCCTAGGTATATCCAATTTTTTAAATTGTTTTGTTTCATTTTCGCTGGACGCACTGATATATATATATATATATATATATATATATATATATATATATATATATATATATATATATATATATATATATATATATATATATATATATATATATATATATATATATATATATATATATATATGAAATTCTCTCGTTTGGTACTTGCCGCAGCCAATAAAAATATAAAAGTTACGAACGTAAAAACGCATGGCGTTATGCGGGTGATGTCGGACATTGAAAATAAAATTCCAAAAGTCCACGTCAAGCTCATGAATGACTAATTTATAGGTGAACGGCTATATCGATCCCTATAGAAAATGGGGGGCTCATATTTGTTTAATAACGTTCAATGGCGAGTGTTTATCGGGAGGCACTGTATGCGACTGACATTACCCGTTATTACCCATCGCCGGATGATTTTTTAAACATGATTTATATTCAATTCAGCTCGTTATACTTTGCTACGTCGGCGCTAACGGGAGTAGGTAGCGAGGTTATGTTGTCTTTATACTAAAAAAGTCACTTTTTAGCCAGACATTATCAGCATACTGGGTTACCCTGCCCAGACATATCGGATCGTGACAAGGGACGGGTATATCCTGACCGTGTTTCGTATCCCCAACCACGGTCACCCCCACGCCAAGAAAAATCCGGTCTACTTGCAACACGGCCTAGTGTGTACGTGCAATAACTTCCTAGCCCTGCAGAGGGACTCCCTGGGTAAGAAGTTAGCGACGACGACGATACTATATCCAAAAAAAGTCCCCCGCACTTTTGGCGATAATTCAAGTCAAAATATCGAAAACGCGATTAAAATTTAAAGAAAAAACGTCAGACAATTACACTAGCCGAGTTTACTCACTCTAGGCAGAGTTTAAGCGATAAAACTATTTAAAAAAGTCATAAACCTCTTCAATACCTGCGTTGGGTTTCTACCTCAATTCATTGTATCTGGACAATCAAATACTCATAATAATAAGAAAAACCTTTTGCTCAGATTCTACTAAAAAAAGTAGACCCGTCCGTGAGCACTTTTTTTTAATACGCCACATTTATTTAATTATGACGTCATTACTCATTTGTTGGGTTTTCCTAAAAGTCTATTAATATTAATAATAATATTAATGGTTGCATAACCATAACGAGTTGTCGGGGCTGCGTCATTGGTATCGCGTAAGATCGCCGATTCGTTGCCTCAGGAACGGAAAGGAGATAAACTTTTTTCCTGTCGACGTATGAACCGTGTTTACATTCGAAATTCACGAACAAGCTGGTTAGCATTCGTTTTGAAAGCAACGAGGTCGTTGTCTCCAATCGTAGCAAGCGTCCGCAACCTCTGGGCTCGCACTGAACAGAATCCGTTCAGGTTACATTTTTTACTACTTAAAAAACTGCACAAAAAAATATAAAGAATAAAGAAAAATTGCCGGACAGCAACAATAACGTCATAACGTGGCCTTAATATGCTTAATATGAAAATTGGGAAAAGAAATTTTATTCACCTCTTCGTGGGTCACCGCTAAATTAATTAATTAATCGATCAAGCTACCAGATTAAACCTTTTTTCAATGTGATAAACATTTTTTGGTGATATTAATTATCTATTAAATTTAATATTTGTGGATAACAAATACTATTATTCTTTTTGCGATTGGTATTTAATACCGGGTATTTCATGACAGAATTCATATCACATTGAAAAAAGTTTTCGATAACAGTTTGCTACTTATTATAGGGAATATTGTCCTCTTGTCCAATTCCAGTCATTCTGCAACATTACCCAACAATTTTTTATATAGTAAAAATAAGATCATCAAATAATATTTTTTCTTTTCCTGAATGGAGAGAATTATGACAGCTTCTATTCATTAGAATGATGTCCCGTCATTTTATTACATCACCTATTAAAAATTTTAATACGCCATTAGGAGTATCTATCTTCGTTTACTGTCTGGAATATTACCTAATTTATATGATTTCATGAGTGAACTTTAATTTGTCTGGACTAGACGAATTCCTTCGTTTAATTATCCCGCACCATTTCGAAGCAGACTCTAGTACTACTGAACCCATTCAGCCCAGTCTTTGCTGACAACTTAAGACAGTGCACCTCTTTCAGCATTGATGTTGGCCGATGAAGGTTATGACGTCTGGTTAGGTAACTACAGGGGTACCGCCTACTCCGAAGAACACGTCAACTATACCGTCAGAGACGAGGCATTTTGGGACGTAAGGTGAGCAACTCCAGTTTCATTCCCTTTAATCGTTTCCGCGACTTGACCGAACATATTTACACTCCGACTCGTATCGTCTCGTTTTAATATTAAACGCGATGATTTTTTAATGAACTGTTCGATCGTATCGTGGAACGAAATGTTAACATACCGATTATCGTAAATTATAACGTATTGGAAGGCATTACCTATTAAATGACGTCGTTTCAAAGGAAACAAGGCAGATATTATTTATTTTAAAGAAGCAGCCGGAGCTTTAAATTTTAAAGCTCATGGAAATCATAGGGGTGTTTTTTTTTAATGTATAGAACTTTAAGTTGCAATAAAACAACGATGGATTATTCGATTGACATAAATTTTATTTATCCGAAAGATAATCTTGTGGCATTACATTTTAAATATGATTTCGGGCATATGACCGCCACGGCTGGCGCGGATGTAGTCCAATCTGGACGTCCAATTTTCGATGACTTTTTCCAACATTTGTGGCCGTATGTCGGCTATAACATGGCGAATGTTGTCTTCCAAATGGTCAAGCGTTTGTGGCTTATCCGCATAGACCAATGACTTTACATAGCCCCACAGCGGTGCTAAATCACAAGATCTTGGAGGCCAATTCACTGGTCCAAAACGTGAAATTAGGCGGTCACCAAACGTGTCTTTCAATAAATCGATTGTGTTGTTGGAACCACATCTCCTGGACATCATGGTGGTTCAATTCAGGAATGAAAGAGTTAGTAATCATAGCTCTATACCGATCACCATCGACTGTAACGTTCTGGCCATCATCGTTTTTGAAGAAGTACGGACCAATGATTCCACCAGCCCATAAAGCGCACCAAACAGTCAGTTTTTCTGGATGTAACGGTGTTTCGACTTACACTTGAGGATTAGCTTCGCTCCAAATGCGGCAGTCAGTATTGTTTATTGACGTAGTCATTCAACCAGAAGTGCGCTTCATCGCTAAACAAAATTCGCTTATGAAAATCGGCAACAACGGCAATCTCGTTTTGGGCCCATTCGACGAATCTACGCCTTACTTGATGATCGTTTGGCTTCAATTCTTGCACGAGTTGGATATTGTAAGCACGTAAACCAAGATCCTTCCGAAAAATCTTCCATAAAGTGGATGGACACAGATCCAATTCCTGTGCTCGATGGCGGATGGACTCATTCGGGCCTTCCTCAATGCCACGCTCTACAGCAGCAATAGCGTGTACGCACCGTATGTCGTCTCTGGGGATGCGAGTTATCAATAAGAGTAAACGTGGTTAATCGAATTAACTGCTCTGATGGACGATTTTGTCGACGATAAAATGGACGTAGTGCGCGATACGTATTCCGCACAGAACCATTATTTTCGAAATAAAATTGCACTATTTGCAAGCGTTGTTCAGGCGTGAGTGTATTCATGGTGAATTGCCAAACCAAACTGAGAATAAATCACTTAACAGCTGTTAAATCGGTCGCCATCTTGAACAGTAATGCCAACTTAAAGTTCTATACATCGAAAAAAACACCCATTATAAGTTTTTTTTTTAATACCGATATTGATGTAACTAACCAAAACTTGGTGCATGTTTCAAATCTCCATTTGACTTTTACAAGTCTTTGTGTGTCAGGTATAATTAACAATCTAGTTTCGTCCGCCATGCTGAAATGCCTTCAACCCTATTTCAGTATGGACCAAGTGGCTCTGATCGACTTGCCCGCCATATTCCACACCATCTTGACCCATACGGAGGGCCACCACAAGATCATCTATATAGGGCACTCGCTTGGTACCACCTTCGCCCTCATGTATGGCGCCGAATTTCCTGACGAGGCCAAAGATATCATGAAGATGTTCGTCCTGCTTTGTCCGGCTTACACGCTGACCAACATGATTTCCCCCTACAAGTACCTCGCCCCTTACGGGAACTGGATACTGGTATGGGACAAAAACCTTAGTAATTGAAAAAAACGACGGCTGTCCACCATGTTTATTTAATCTGGCACATAATTTTGTATTTTTAAAACTATTTCTTCAAATAGTTTTATTTTTTTCTAAAGTGCCTCGTTAGAAAAATAGTTTTCCGACCTGACTTGAAAGTTTTCCCGCCGTTTTAGAACGCAAATTGTTTCACACAATAACAATATTCACCGTCTCCGAGCCCACGCAACGCGTAAATCAATGGCAAACGTGTAAGGCAGTCGCCATACCTATAGGGTGATTAATGTTCGGGATTGGAGCGCATTGAAACTCATTAGGATGCAAGCGGGGTTCGATATAGACTTTTTTATGGGACGTTTGTTGGTTACGATTCAATTTTTTTTATGTCGACGCTAATTTATTTATTTAATCGCCCTATTAATATTTCCTTTTAAATCGGTGGGTAGGTCGCACAGGATAATAAAAAAGGATTTATCTTTTTTAATCGCCGTTGTTATTGTTCAGAAAAAGTAAGTATAGATAATTCAAAAATTTTTATAGTAGAATATCCCAAAATTTAGACGAAAAATACTTCTGCTAAACGAAAAAAAATTAGCTCATCATTATCGCAGCTTTGCTAGGTGCGAGAATAATCGCCTCTAAGGTAATTGCACTGCACTACTTGAGGAAATTGTTTCAAACTTCGAAAGCCTATTTTTCTGGTATTCAATTCAAACTTAAATAAGAATTATCCATTAAAACTCTTTATCACGGCAGAACACGGCCCACATCAGCAATCACTACCACAATTGTGTGGCTCCTATCTGCTCACCTTTCTGTACTATTTCAGGACACTGTACGCGATTTGGGATTAGAAAGATTAGTATCCGAAGGACGAGAACTGGCCAGGCTGACGATACCTCTCTGCATGGAATCGCCTAACCTCATGCAATTATGCATGCAGCTCTACAACCTCTTCTACGGTCCCAAAGCAGACTTCGGGCCGGAAATCATACCCGTGTATTTCAACCAGTTACCTGGGGGAACGTCCATCAAAATTCTCAACCACGCCGCTGACTTGGTGTTGGGCAACTTTAGGAAATATAATTACGGCAAGGACAACCCGAGGTACTACGGCACCAAGGAAGCACCGATCTTTGACATAGGACGTATCGAAGTACCAACGTACGTCGTCTATAGTTCAGGAGACTGGGCTACGCCGGAAGCGGTAGATCTCTGCTCTAAAGTCTTGGAAATGCGTAACTCTGACTTTTCCAGGATGCGATCAATCTGTGGAGACATCTGCCGGATCAGGCGCGTTTGGGTATCAGGAAGATAGACAACAAGAACTTCAACCATATCGACATGATCATTGGCAGACATGCGAGGGAGATAGCCTACGAAGACCTAATAAGAGTTGTAAACAACTTCGCACAACGCGACGACTAATTTTACATGAGAAGTTATCGGTGTTATTTATTTTAAAGTGTTGCGAAAAAAAGATTAAAAAAAAAGATTTTTTATTTGAGAAAATAATTTGGACGCTTTTGCAGATTCGCCCATTTAACTGTACAACATATGGGAAAATAATATTAAAGTCGAAACGATATATAGGTCATAAAATATAAAAACTGCACGATTACTTAAAAAAATTCTATTATAAAACTTTGTTTAGAATTCAAAATTCCTCCCGATCACCAAACCAAAATTATAATTGCTTTTAAAATAACAACAAAACAACAAAATTAAATCAATCTGTTCGAATTTAAGAATATTTGAACAATATATTAACAACATTAAACACAATTGTAAAATTTCGAAACAATTCTTCTTAAATAGGTAAAACATCAGTAATAATCACACGCGCATTAAAAACCCCTTATTTTAAAGGTAAATTATTAAAAGTAATAAAAAAATCCCTTAAGTGGCACACCTATGTGACCACACTCTATATTGCACCATAAACATTGAGTTTTTGAAGATACCAAGTTGCCTCTACTAAATAAAGTTCCCCAAATATAAATTTAAATTAGATGAACAAGTTTGTCGCTGTTTGAACTAATTTTCATAAGAAAATAATTAATTCCAGCAAATCATTACTTTAAATTTTGAATATTACTAATAGACCTCATAACTAACAAGAGGATGATTTATTATTTTAACTTGCGAAAAAATTAAACACGCTGTATATGAGCTAAACATGGGCACATTCCAATCGCCGAAAAAAATATGGCTTCATGAAGCGTAGTACTCTGAGAACCCTGTCGGCAAAAAGCCTAGACCTCTATTTTAACGACCTAATTCCATTAAGACGCTGCTAGCTTATTTATTACTTTTCCTGGACGATTCTTCTTCTTTTTTTTTACCAATCGCGACGTCGTCACCTTAGTTGCTTTTCTTCCCTTTCTTCCCCAACCACTCGATGTTCGTCTTTGTTTTGTGGTCGCGACACATCAAAACTCGACGCTCTAGAAACTACTACCGCACGATGACGTAGTCGTGCATCTTACTGTACATTTACGGAAGACGTATCGGGGTCAATGGTACCGGGACGGGTACGCAGAAGACATTAACGGTGAGGCCAAGTTCACGGACGGTAGTACCATCGGCGGAGCAAAAAAAGTTAATTAAATGGTGAATTTTAAAAATGGGAAATCGTTTAATACAAGTTTTGGTGGTGTTGGGTTTCGTTGGGTGCGTTTGGTGCGTGCGTTACGTGCCTAAATGGAAGAAACAGGTGAGGACAATGAAGAACACGTATAGGTCGAGTTTTTGTGTTACACAAATACAATCGGCATACTGATGGTGCGCTTTCACCCGCCCGTATTCGGTCGTGTTTCCGGTAGATATTTTGCAACTTTCCAACGCAAAACGGGAATATACAGCATTTTTGTATTTTTTAATGTTTCTTTTGAAAGCGAAATCGCATTGAGGTGGGTTCCAAAATTCATAATTTAATTTCGCTAGAACTCACCATCCAACAACCTCCTGACGACATAAAGTACATATAAATTACAATTATTTTGAAAACATTCCAGGTTACAGCGCAAAAAATGGCAGAATATCGATTTTTGGAACTACAAATTCCGGATGATTAGCCTGTAATGCTCTTGAACTAAAGTAGAATATCCTATTTACTTATTAACTCATTAATCACCAACATCTGAGTAATGATTGTTTTCATTGCGAAATAAGAGATATTACACAGGTCTAGGGTGATTTTGATGTTTGAAAGCTGTTTGCTTATTTGTATCTTTTTGGGTCCCCCTTTTTACAAAAAACGCCATATTTTTGTTCTAACGCGTAATTTTTTTTATAGCGCTATAACAAATTTTATTTTATTAATATACATACCTATGACATGAATATGTTTGTTCCATGTTAGGCATGATTTTTAAATGAATTGATTTTTATGAAATTAAATGTGATTTGACAACACTGGATAATATTAGATTTTTCTGCAAAGCAACAGAGTTGGCGCAGAAGTGTCAATGCAGCGTTGTAACTTGCTTATGCGCAGTTTGTTTGTATTGGTAGTCGTGATACTGTGTTCTCCGCTGTTATCTTCATTGTTGTGTTCTAAAATGGATAAATATGGAAAGAAGACTTTGTGTCAACAATCCAAATAACTTATGTTATATCTGTAGTAGTTATGTTGTAGTAAATCAAAGGAAAACTATAAATTCTTTCGTGAAAAATATATTCCAGCCTTATTTTGTTGTATTTGGCTTCCCAAATTTTTTGTTTCGTTTGCGTTGAAGCATTAAGAACCTGGAAAAAGGGTAGGAAAAACCGTCCAAGCCTTTGTGTTCCTATGGTATGGTGAGAGCCTAGGAGTCACAGTGATGATCGTTATTTTTGTTCGTGTAGCGTTCAAAAATTCAACAGAAAAAATACGAAACAATCAATCCTGACTCTGCTAACCACACTAGATTTCAGAAGTGTTTAACCAGAGCGAATTAAATGATTTCATTAGAGATTTGCACCTTCCAACGGATGTCATTATTTTACTGAGGAAGGACCACTAGTGTATTGCAGCAATATTCCTGATTTAGGATTCCACTTTTTTACTGAATAAAAAAAAATTGAAATATCGTTTTTGTTTCCTTTAATATTTGCAAAAAATCCTTACGTGATACAAATAAGTGCACAGGATTTTTGACATCAGCCTACCAAAATCATATAAAATTAGTTTTCACAATAAAAACATCTGTCAAAAAGTTTATTTTGTGTTAGCAGTACCTACTAGTATATTATGCAATAAGTGCGATAAACGGCATTTGAATCACGAATTTATTTGACACGAGCGGAGCGAATTTTTATTAAACGAGAGACTTAAAAAGTCTACTAAACGTGTTGCACACTATACTTTTTCTACGACCGTTAGTTTCTGGGTACATTTTCGCAAAACAACAGGAATAGATTCACTGACATGGCCGTCAGAATTGACACTTATAAACAAGCGCTAGTGGTTTTTACAAACGGAAACAGGGGTATGTATTTAAGTGTGCTTTTTTTCCAAAGTTTAACTTTCTTGTATATTTAAAAAAAAGATGCTTGCCATTTTCATATAAAATTGTTGTTCACTAAAATATTAATAAAACTTTTCATGTTAGTGACTGGTTTCTCGCAGAATTACACTTCTTCAATATTTTTTCTTAAATTTGTGCGATAAGTAATTATGTTGGTGAAAAAAAAGATTTTTTGTAAGATATAAGTAATTTACACTCGATCTCATAAAGTTTTTCACAAAATATTCGAAAACGCTCCAGAGAAAATACAAATAATATTAAATAAAAGTAATGCTGATAATGCTTCTAGCGTACCTAAAATTGATGCTTTATTTTTTATAATACATTAGTTTATTTTTGCTTTCGTTGTTTTTTACTGGTTACGTTGAATATGCTATTATTCATTTTTAATTTTTCTGGAGCGTCCTGCTGAATGATATTACTTTCACAAGAATTACAGATGCAGCGTTGGGATTGGTTGGCTCACTGCCACTCTAGAATACACAATAATCTTCTAACAACTTTACAATAGAATAGAATAGAATTGAATACACAATATTCTTCTAAAAACTTTATCAGCTACACAATTTTTGCCTTTCCTGCGTCGAGATCGCTTCGCAAATAAAATTAAAATTTAATACGCACAAAATGGCACTTTACGCTGTTGGTAGGAAATTGACTAGTGCGATTTATAAAAAAGAATACACGAAAATCGGTATCTTCTTTATCTAATGGCCTGCGGTACAATAACACGATTTTCGTTTATTCTCCAATTTTTACAAGTCTGTATAACGAGATGATGAATATTTAAATGGAGACGTTGAAATATTCACCGAGATCGATAGGGCCGTCGCGTCCCTGCTTGTCGCTGAATTGTTTTCATTAATGTGGCGAATATTTTAACAGGTTCCACAGGTAATCGACCTACTTCTTCGAGTATATTTCTCCTGAATTTCTAATAGAAATTTCGATCGTCAAAAATTGTATTTTGAATTGTTTGAATCAAGAGACTATTACAACTTAAAAATTAAGAAATGTCATTATTTAATCCTGAAAAGGACAAATAAATAACAATAAATCCCAATAAATATAATAGCATCTTATATCTTATGATAACTATTTTTTTTTCGATACTTTAGGCTATAATATCAAAGTGTCTTTAGCGTAGATGGCAAGTTTTATTTAAAAAAATTTTTTTCAAACGTATATAAACAATGTGAAGTTTTGGTTAGTTCCGACGTGCGTTTTAAACGATAGTTTGGTGTCAAATATTACGCCCCAATTTTTTGCTTTATTAACCAGTGGAACAGGCGTATTTTGAATGTTTATGTTTATTTTTATGCAAATCACAGGCAACATCCGTTGAGCCGTTAGAAGTTAGATAGAGACACAAAAAAAGCTAAACAAAAATGTTAGGTTAACATTAAAAAGTACATATTCTTCTCGACGAATAGTTTTCGAAGTACAGAACTTTGGATTCTTTTTCGACCACTTTGTACATACGTTCTTTGATTTAGACTTTTCGTCACTTACTTATTTTATTGTTTTCCTAATATCAAATTATTAGGCGTGTGAAATCCCGACCGCCCAAAACGAACATTCTCACTACATCTGCTCAGACGACGGCGAAGTCAAATGCCTACCCGGTTGGACCGGTGATCTTTGCGACGTACCCAAGTGTCGACCTGGTTGCGATCCGCTCCAAGGCTACTGCAACCGTCCTGGCGAGTGTCTCTGCAAGCTGGGCTATTACGGCGAAAGATGCGACAGATGTATACCATTACCCGGATGCCAACACGGCTACTGCAACACCAGCTTCGAGTGCATCTGCCACGAGGGTTGGGATGGACTGTTCTGCTCTGAACGTAAGTCTTTGATTAGTTTTAGTGCCGATGGAAACAATCTTTCCGTAGCGATCTGCAGAGCCGATTGTCACATAACCAGGGGTTATTGCGAATCACCTGGAGAGTGCAGGTGTAGACTCGGTTGGGCGGGAAAAACTTGCAAGGATTGCCAGGTACTACCCGGTTGCGTCCACGGGTATTGCGAAAAACCACTCGAGTGCAAGTGCGTTCAGGGTTATACCGGTATACTCTGTCAAATTCGTAAGTAAAGGAATCCGAAATGTGACTTCCATAGGTTTCGCATTTGTGTTAAGCTATTCTTCATTCCTTCAGTCCCAAGAGCAAAGTGTTTTTTAATAGATTTTTGTTACTCATTTAAAACTACATCCAAAAATAATTTATTTGAATATAACTGATGTAGTTGGTTAAAAATAACTTCGTAAAACAAAAATATAGTAAAACAAACCTCTTAATTAACGCATCTGTATTTATGTTGTCCTATGATCAATTTATAATTAATTTTCGCATCTGTATCAGGGTAATCCGTACCCCAAAATTTCAACAAATATAACCTCTTTCAAGAAAATAACTCTGCACTGCTACTTGGCAACCCCCTTCTTATTTTCAATTTCCCCTTTCAGCGATTTGCTCAAAAACGTGTCACAAGGAACGCGGGTACTGCCGCAAGCCGGGAGAATGCAGGTAAGTCCCTCTAACCCACCTGGGCGACTTCCGACCACAGTAACGCTTCAATTTGCAGATGCAAGGTCGGCTGGTGGGGCAAGAACTGCGAGAAATGCTTCCCTTACCCGGGATGCGTCAACGGGTCCTGTAACAAACCGTGGGAGTGCAACTGCAAACCCGGCTGGGGCGGCATGCTCTGCGACGAAGGTAAAGTCCGTTTCAAGAATATTCTCTTCGATTCTTGTATGCAGTGAAACTTAAATGATACGTCCAAACGAATATGGAGGTGGGGATTTGGCACCGGTTACAAAAAAAACTTGAAAAATGAATTTTTATTTTGATATTTTTTTAATAAACACTTATCGCACTTGGTCCTATAGAACTAAACAGCTGCGAGAACCAAGTAGATATATGCAAGAACGGGGCAAAATGCATTTCGGTAACCAAAGACGAAGGAGAATATAGGTGCATGTGCCGCGAAGGAACCTACGGGAGAAATTGTGAGTTTTCTGAGTACACCACCACCACGGCCACGACCACCTCCAAACAGACAAAGATAACGCCGGTAAGGACTACGTCAGCGGCGGTAGCCGTCGTGACTGCAGTAGACCCAGATGATTCCACCGCAGCACCACCTCACGTGGTCGACAATGAGACGTAGACTAACGTTGTTATTCATTTTATTTAGTTATTTACTTATTAATTTATATATTTAGTAGACAATAAAGTCTTTCGTATTCAAAACAATCCCATTAAACCACATTGTGCTATAATTGTGGTGGAGACAAAGTGGTTCTAACCTATCACGTTGTTACCGCTCCTAGTTTTAGCTGTAGAATATCTTCAGTCATCTTTAATAAGGGAGTAAAACCCTAGAAAAATAAATAAAAAACTTTTAGAAGCGTGTGCAGTTTTTTATTTTCCACAAAAACATTAATTAAAAAAATAGACACATTGTAGACGGCTAGGATATAGAGACAAATTTAAAAAATCTAATAATACAGCAACAATCGTTAATAAAACTCACACTTAAGCCACGGCGTACCACAAGGACGCATATGGGGCCCTATACATTCATTATTATTTATATCGATAATGATGAAAAATTCAATTAAATTAAGATGTCATTTACTTATTTTTTCTGAACCGGTCCGCTACAAATGCTATTAACAGCAATTTGCCCGTTTTTAACCGCAACTGGGTCGATACAAACACGGTTAACGGCCTTGGATTTTGCAAAAATCGCGGCCGTTTTCATTGTTAACGCTTCGCAAAAATCGCCGCAACACTCTAGGTACCTGCTCAGCAAATAATTGTTAGTCACGGACGTTCTCTTTCCTTGGAGCTGATAATTTTCGTGTTAAATTTACACCGTTGATATTTTGCCGCCATTATTTTTGCATATGCGTCCCTAATTCAGTGGTGTCTCACAAGTGCAGAAAATAATTTATTACATTTTGTAGAGTTAGGTAGAGTATGTCATGATTTATTTAATATTAAGTAGCGTACAGAAAATCACGTAAAAACATTTAATTTTGCAATAGAACGTAATGAACAACTTCTCGACAAGTCTCATATTTTAGAAAAATTACCCACTGTGTGTTTTTTAAATTGATAAAGTCAGAAAAGTGGTCGTTAATTTAATCAACATTTGAATAACGTGCAATTTCGATACAAATTGAAAAAGAAAATGGCGACAGAAACAATTTACAAGTAATGAAATGTAAAATCAAATTAAATTGGTAAGTGGATATTAATTTACAGATGTTTCTAAATGTATCCAAAATTCTTTGGCTCAGGGTTTCTATAATATCGGGAGGATCAAATGCATAGACCTCATTCTTTATGTAAATTATTTAAAAAGTTGTAGGTTTCAGTTCTTCAAAATTAAATTTTTTGACAGATGTTTTTATTTTTAAAACTGATTTTATATAATTTTGGTAGGCTGATTTCAAAAATTCTATGCATTTATCTGTATCACCTCTGGTTTTTTTGCAAATATTGAAGAAAAAAAAACGATACTTATAAAATAACTTATTTTTTTATTCAGTAAAAAAATGGAAGCCTAGTTTAAAAAAAATGAAAAGAAAACTTTACTCGTACTTTTTTGAGTGAAAGCTGAGTTGAACGGACATTCGACTGTGTGTTTTTAAGGGCATATCCTGTTTTAACATCCAGCAGTAGTCCGCCATCATCGTTATGCTCAATCTGCCTTGGTATCGCCGTTCCATTTCCTTAATGTCCTGGTGGAACCTCTCTCCCTGTTTTTCGCTAACTGCTCCAAGATTTTCAGGAAAATAGTTCAAGTGTGAAAATAGGAAATGCAATTTCAAACTCATATTACAACATGTTTTAAATAATACTTTCGTAGTTTTCGACCTTCGAATTCCCAAGAAACTTATCAATTAAGTGAAACCCAGGCGTTTTTCTCGACAGTGGTCATTGTCTTTGCATAATGTTCGTATCTACGGCCCAACAAAAATATTTTCTTTTATCTTGGCGTGAGATATGGCTGCAAATTTCTTGCTCAAATATTTGGAACACCGTTCAGAGCTTTAACAAACAAGTCAAGTTTGATATGAAGACGAAGCAGTACAATTTTTTGGAGTCAACTAAATTATCTCTTAATACATTTTTGCTACCAGGTGTAAGGATCGTTCTAGAGGACCATTCTTTTTGAGTCCGCCCTACTATCCCACTCACAAATAAAGTATGGAAATTTTGTATAACCCCCTGTTATTCTACGGGCATGCACAGCATTTTAAGGTGACCACAAAGCATCCACTGATGTTCTTGGTAGTTTACTTTCTTCAAAAAAAGTCCTAAATTTTCATACGTGTCTTTTAAATGTACTGAATGTGCAACGGTAATCGAGGCCAGTTCGTTACCATTGTGCAATAAAACGCCTGTTTCATGATCACGGTAAAAGCTCGATGTGCCGCCAGGTGCCGGTAAATGCTTGTCACGAAGTACGGACGCTAACAATTTGGATGCAAATCTCTAATTAAATCATTTAATTCGCTCTAGTTAAACACTCCGGGCTCTCTGAAATCTGATGTGAAATCTGAGTCATCTGGGTCGGAATTAGATTCCTCTGAATCTAGCAATATGACGTTTTCTAGTTCTTTGGAGCGGTAGGTAACGGTACATCTGTCCAACGAGGAACTGGTTGTCTAACAGAGTCAAGATTGAGATACACAATTTGTTTCTTATTTTTTCTGTTCAATCCTTGAATATTACACGAACAAAAATAACAATCATCACTGTGATTCCTAGGTTCTCGCCATACTATAGGAAATCACATTTAATTTAATAAAAATCAATTCATTCAAAAATCATGCCTATATTAATAAGATAATATTTTTAAGATATAGAGCGCTATAAAAAAAATGACGTGATAGAGCAAAAATATGCGGATTCTTGGGAAAATGGCACCCAAAAATATACAAATAAGCAAACAGCTTTCAAACATCAAAATCACAGTAAATATATGTAATTTATAATAGGTGCTCAATTAAAAAGAGTTAGTTAAATTGCCAATGATCCCACACTCAACGTTATTTCCAAATCTAGCATGCTCTGCACTTCGTTAGTGTCGATTTTCATTACACTTCGTAGTATACCACATACAGAAAATCAGTTTCCTTAAGTTCTTCAACTATTGTGGGTTTATATCGAGGGGATTTCCTCTTATTTAACACTCTCTCTGTACCGTTGATTTTGATACACCAATTTCCTATTCCACAGTTCTACAGTTGTAAAATGTTTCTTTTGCGATTCTAGGTAATTTTCAATAGGTCTCAACAATTTGTTTGTTACATTTATGATTTTAATGAGAGAAAACGTACTACTTATTAAAACACAACTTTTATAATTTGAATTATTTAATTGCAAATTCTCTTTAGATAGAGAATAGGTGATAAATAAATCAGAGCCTACTTATAAAATATTAAGCCCAAACTTTAAGAAGTGTGATAAAATACTTTTTCTACTCCCGCTTGTAAAATACCACGTCAGTTTCCTTTTCCACGAATCCGAGCCACTTCGGACATCTCCGGGATTTTACCGCACGGATTTGGGAGCGATCGGATGTTTTCGGAGATATTTCCCACGCTTTGAATTTTGACGTTTGTCAATTCTGACGGTCATGTGAGTTCGTGTTGTTTTACGAAAATGTACCCAAAAACTAATGGTCGTAGAAAAAGTATAGTATGCAACACGGTCGGTAAACTTTTTAACTCACACCGCACTTGTTGCATAATATACTATTGTGTACTTGCAAGACGTCACCGAACTGGAAATTTAATGATCTTTCCAAAAATAGAAAAATTCAACATTGCGGCCATAAAAAAAACGATAGTTAAGGTGGGTTACGAGATGCCAACAGACAATAGAGACATGTCATACACGCAACCTTACTTGTCTTAAAAAAGTGTGAGAAGAATGTCACATTTTTACAGCTGTCCAGTTAACCGTTTTTCGCCGATTTTCTAAAACCTGAAGCAGGTTATCAAATGCATACCAAAACTTTCTCCATTCAACCTTTGCTGTAGGTATAATAGGAACGGAGATCCCTGCATAGAGAAGCGAATATGTATATAGACTTCCTCAGACACTCGTCCGTTAAACACTCGCTCCACTCGTGCCAAAAGAAACTCGTGATCAAATCAAATCAAAACTGAACCAGGCGTTCCCCTACCACCCTCCGGCAAGTATTTTTTTTGAGATTTAAACACATTTGATTGTGATGTGATTATTACAAACGCTGCTTGGCCAGGAAATCCTAACTTGAGACGTATTCGTCTCGGTTGGTGGTTTCTAACCTAATATTGTTGTCAATTATATCACGTCTATCACGCGTTTTTTCTGAATTAAAAAAAAGCTGGCGACCTCGGAACTAATACGCAAAAATTTCACGCTAATCGGTGGTCAACCGGGTTGTGGAACAATCGAGCCTTTTTCTTGAACACCAAACGATTTGTATATGTTTAATTAATTTTCAATGAAGATATTACGAAAATAGATTTCCTTATTAGAAGACGCCATGATAAATTTCATCGCAAATATGAAAAGCACACTTCATCGCAAATATGAAAAGCACACATAACATTGGGTGCTTCAAAGCGTGATACCTGTACGTTTCTTGACATCCTCATCGGTGTTTCAGCACATACAACAAAATATATAATCACAGAAATAATAACAAATAATTGCGCTTACAATTCTTGCCAGTAATTGCTGTAATTTCTCCTTATTCCTCAAAACGTAGTTCAAGGACAAGAGGGCATACAAAAAATTAGGCTAGAACCTACATTTTTCTTCCAATTTTCGGCATAAGAGAATCCAGACCACATTGCAAATGTGTGTTAATTCACAATAGCCAAGTTAAAATGTTTACGCGTTTCTTGACTTTTAAACAAAGTCAATTTCGTGTTAAGGTAGGACCAAGGAGAAAAGCTAAATGCTCGTCTTTCACATCTATAATGAACTTTCCAATCGAATCTCCACGCTGGTACAAAAATACGCCAGAAAAAAGAAACCTTTTAACAAGTACATAAATACGTAGTAACCGTGACAGGTAGAAACTCAGTTTCAATGTACCGCACCTCGCCCATAGATCCACAGAAAAACAAGTGAGAACGTGCCGAATCACTTATACCGGGTGATGCATTGCCGAACGGAACATAGGAAAGCCCATGTAAATTTTTAGGTGCCCAAGTATTGACTCCCCTGTACATTTTATTGCAAAGGTGTAATATCACTTTTTGAAGGGACCGTTAAATTTTATTGAATTAAATATGATGGCAAAATTAGAAACTTTTTATGGTTTAGGTGATAAATGAACCACCAGTAAAATACATTTTGACAATGACAACACGAGAATTGACAATGAAAAGTGACAGTAACACTATTTTTATTTGTGATTGGCATGCGTCATTAAACGAGCTTTAATTAAAGATATATATGCGTTATTCAATTGAAGAAAAAGTAAGTAAGTAAGTGGTATTACGTAGGAAACAGTCCGAAATGTTTAGAGTTTATTCTCCTGCTATACCTTCGATTTCAACAATTAAACATTTTATTAACCAATTCGAGTCCAAAGGCAACGTAATAAATAATAATAAATGCAAACGTTCAGCTGAAAATGTTGATAATAGAGCAAAAGAAAGAAACAATAGAGATTTGAAGATCCATGGCCAAGCTGTAAATAAACGATGAAGAAAAAAGAGTATCATTTTCTTTTGAAATGATGAAAAAGCAAATAGTGATAGGAATTTTTGTTTTACTGATAAATGTACATTCACACTCAACAACGAACCAAATGTGCAAAACTGTCATTATTGGAGCCAAGACAATGAATATCGATTTGTTCATATTCGAAGCCAAAATCCTCAAAAATAAAAAGCAATGTTAAAAATAAATTTTATAATCACATTCAACATTTACTAAAAAATAATGTTTCTTTTTAGCATTATTTTCTAGCCGCATTTTAATTATAATTATTAATTATTCTTAATAAACGACTTGAGGGTCACATTTATATTCCTTCCTTGAAGCTTTCTTGTTGCTTAAACCGTACTTTAAATGAAATTCATTCCAAGAACGCTTTAAGGGACACGGAGGTCTTAGGAACCGAGTATGAGTCTGATCCTAAAAAACACATACTTAGTTTATTTTGAATGTGTGAAACCAAATGTGCATCTCTTTATTGTAATCCAACCTTTATCTGATATGTCATTGTCCAGCTTGACGTCAAGTTTTGGTTAGTTATATTGACCTTTTGCAATTTTGCCATCAGATTTAATTCAATAACTGAAGATTGGCTTATTAAAATTTATTCAAACTCGGCACTTGAGATAATCATACCGGCCTGTTCAAAAAGTTTTACTACAACTTTGCTATAAAATGAAAAGGGGAGCCAATATTTGGGCAACAAAAAATTTACATAGGATTTCCTATGTTCCGTTCGGAAATACATATATGGGCGTCTCTAAAAGGCGAGGAAAAAATGCTACCCTAAATTTTTGGCGGCGAAATGTGACGACCTGACCTGACGAAAGATGACGACGTCGGTAGCATAATTTACGCAACATTTAGAGACAGAATTTCTGCAAAAAAAAAAACGAAAACCAATTTAAATTCCGATTCGAATCAATCAGGGATCGGGTCTAACAGACATGTTTCCGCTTTGAAAAACAGTCGAGATAACGCACGCCAGCGTAATTGGCGCGCTAATTGAAAAATTTATTAATTATTGCGTTTCGTACGCTAATTGGAAAATTTATATATATATATATATATATATATATATATATATATATATATATATATATATATATATATATATATATATATATATATATATATATATATATATATATATATATATATATATATATATATATATATATATATATATATATATATATATATATATATATATATATATATATATATAGACAATTCACAATTGAAATGGAGAACCAAAATACTATTAACTTTTTAGGCATCCCTACATCACATACAAAATGAAATAAGAACAAGTTGGTATACTAAGAAAACAAAATCATCACGTTATCTGAATTTTAAATCTAATCATTCCCTAGCACAAAAAAAAAATCCGTCCTAATAGGTCTCGCAGACAGAGCAATAATGTTATCCGATCCAGAATATAGACCAGACGCAATTGAAAAAGCAAAACACACACTTGTAGAAAATAATTATCCCATAAACTTAATTAATAATATGTTTAATAAACGTACCAACAAATTTTATAATAACGTAAACAAAAATCATCATCAAAATCATCAAAGAAAATATGTATCGCTACCATATATACCTGGATTATCATAAAAACTCCAAACCATTTTCAAGCAACACAAAATTCAACTGGGACACAAAAGTTATAATTTACAAAAAACATATCTCTTCACTAAATTCAAATCAACAATTCCAGTTGAAAAAAGAAGCAATATAGTATATGAAATTCCATGCTCTAATTGAGACAGTGTATATATAGGACAAACAAGCCAACATAAGTATGACAAAAAAACAAAACAGCTCTTCATACCCATTGCGAAAACACCAAACACACATTTAATTTTCAAAAGTTAAGTCAAGTTCAAGTCTTACTAACAGAACCTAACACCAAAAAAAGAGAACTTTATGAAAGTATAGAAATCCAAAAAAACAAAAATTCAATTAATTACAAAACCGATTCTAAAAACCTTAACAAAATTCATTCAATTTTGAACTAACAAAATTAAATTGTCCAATATAATAAAAAATAATAAAAAACATCCGTACCTGTTTTGCATGCCATTCCAATCTGTATAAAATATTCGCTGACAAATTATTTTTATTTTTAATATATTAACACAACGTCAAATGTCATTAATTGTTATATATGTCACCTATACAAAATAAGAATATTTTGAAAAAGATCGAAATTGCGATCGAAACGTTAATAAATATTTAGAAGAATCACATTAATTATTTTCGAGACCTAGTTCTTGAATATGTCTTGGAAATCACACGTTCAATTATCCAAGGGATTAATTTAATTTATGTTTGAATTAAATATGACTATGGGCAGAGTGAACATCTTTCCATGTACCTACAATCAATTAATTTAATTAATAACTATAAACAGAACATATTGAAAATAAATTAAATATATAGTCTGTGGTTCTTCGTCCAGTCCAATCATAACCAACCAATCAGTGATTTAAACTGCTAAAAATAAATTGATTAATTAATTGAATTAATCAACCGCTGTTGCAATCTGTTGCAACCTGAAATAAATTGTGTCCTTTAGATTTGGTGTATGAATTGTAAATAACCATTTAACCACTACCATTATTAAACATAGTTAAAAATAAACAGCTTGTGTTTTAAAATTAGACAGCCATTCGTCCTTTAAAGCCGCTCAATAAACAACGACTTTGCGAAGGAAAGAAAAACTCCAAGGTGTCCGATTATTTATTTATAACATTATTATTGCTTATTTATACTGCGCTAACTGTTTAAAAATATCTGCATATTATATACTCCATTTGAGGCCGGATACTATTACGTTTTGTGCACAAAAATGTCCCCGAAGGCGCACCCATTTCTAGACTTGTGCGAAATATTCGTTTTTTAAATTTCATTGACAATTTGCGTCATTTGATTGTTTTAGCCGCCACTAATTACGACGTCACTGCGAAGCTGTGCAGTCAATTTAAATTGGAAAATGAGGCAAATTCCAATAGGAAAAGACGCGCCAGTAATGAGGATTGTCTCTTAGTCTTACGGAATGGAAGAATGGAGTGTTCTGATTGTTTGATTCATTTATTTACCCACACGAGAATTGTTTACACATTTAGTTATGGTGAAGCGAAAAAAAATTCTTCTTAAGAAACCCTTTTAACAGGCAATTTCATTTAATTATAAATTCTAAATATTTAAATCCTTCTAATGTTTGAAAGACATTTATTGTAAAAGCTGTGTTCAGAAAGTATCAGTATTTTTCACGAATACTGTTTCACAAAAAAAAAATTGCTTAACGATACGCCCAAATAGACGTGATGATTAGAATCAAAAAACAATTTTCATTATTACATTTTGTATAATATTTGGATACTAGCTCAAAGAGTTATTATTTATTTGTAAAAAAAACTTTTTTTTTGCTGCATATATAGGTTACTGCAACCATATATAACTCAACAATTTACCATTTTAAAAACTGTCACCGTCAAAGAGAGTCAAAATATATTACAACCACATATTCCAAAGAAGAAAAAGGGATTGAAATGATTTCAAAAGCACCCAATAATAAACAACTTTTCCCCAAATATCTCAAGCAAGTCCAAAAGAATGAAAAAAATATATAAACAATCTCTTATAACAATGCTCTACCATTAGTATTAATTGTAGGAAGGAGACAATGCCCATTACTACCCGTCTCACCAGTTCATGGATGGAGTTTACTGATGCGGAATTATCTTCAAATATATATATATATATATTTTTAGATATATTGGAGATACCAAACTGTTAGGTCGCTTGCTGTTTCGCAGGATTTTCGGTTAATCTTCCGACGCCGCCTGCAAAGCAGGTGCATGTCAAAGTGAAAGGAATATATAAGGTTAGTATTGGTATCGCTGTCGTCTTAGTAGAAAGAGCAAGAATAGTTGTCAGGCGGACTCGTAGAAAATGAAATCGGTAATGATTTGATATGCAGATCAAGTGCAAATATTTTTTTAAATGTCTTTAATTAATAGTGCGGAAAGTGTTACCTAGTTTTTGGTGAAGCACGGCCAAGCCCGCGGTGATGCCGCCTTAAGTGATAAAAAACATCATAAAATTGAATTTAGAACATAAGTAATACAGTTTTTGATTATTGCAAAAGTGTACCTATCAATTGGATAACACGGAGTGGTCAGGAATTAAGTAAAAAAAAATACTTTTCAATTTCTATTGCAAATCAAACTTAAAGCGACTTAAAGAATTTAGTTTTTACAAAACTTTTTGTTCGAAACCTCGTCCCATCTTCAAGAGGTGGACGGAGACATAAAATGGCTGATTTTCGCGTGAGGGAAAATTAAGTCCGTTGAATTGAAATGACCATCGCACCTTTTTTACGTCAGTTGGTTTGTACACTAAAAATAAAACATTATTCAGCATTTTTCAAGTAAGGTATACCTGTTGAAAAGGAAGCAATGAAGCAATTAGGACAAATAATTATAAATAGTTAATGATTTTTCCAGTGTTAACAGGTACCTGCAGCAATCTCCAACTTAAAAAAAAAATGTGCTATGTAGAATTAATTAATATATTGCATTTTCATGTATATTATTAAATTCGTATCATACATTTTGTGTCAAAATTCGTCATCGATTTTTAATTTCGCCCTATATATAACATACATCGCGTATTGTATTATTACCAATGTCTCATTCCGCGTACAATTCAATTATGCGAAATGGAAATGATAATCTAAATAAACTCGGCAGCATAACCATTACAATATTAATGCTTTTAATTGACTCATTAGATACCGTTCGATATAATCATTCGTGCCGAAGGGTCTGCGTTTCTGTTCAAAATGGCATTTAATTTCATTTCTGAGGTATTAAATCTTCGAATTCAGGTCACAAGTGTTTGTATAGTCCGTTCCAACCTCAAATCACCAACAGGTTTGTAACATTTTACCAGCGATCTTTAATACGGCAGTTTTACGGATAAATTGGCGTATTTGGGGGTGGTGGTTTAAAAATTGGTCAATTATTTTCATATTTTATTATTTTCAATGATCTATGATCTTGTTTAATTTTCCTCCTCGCGTCGCTTGTGTTTTATAGTTTCTGCGAGTTTAATTTGGATATTTTTGAGTTTGAGTAATGAAATCAACAACAGGAGTTTTTGATTTAATAACCCACCTAATAATATTTCTAAGTCAGCCTCATCACAACATTCCAATGTAGGCATTCTGGAAACTCGATTATTTTTATTCAAAGCCTGAAGAGCACAATGTAACTACTAACTACAAATTTTAACATTATTTTAATTTTTGCGCTACAGATAGCATTAATCACTTTTTTTTTTTTCATTAAAGAGAATAGGAATTTTGTAACTTATTTTAAACATGACCGAATTTTTACTCTCTTCAAATCGTGAAAACAAACTGAGAGGTACTCAGTATACTACGTATTCAATATAATACCGGATTGTATGTATTCGACTCTTCAAAATACTAGACAATGTGACTCACATGTGGACAAACCGAATACGAATCTCAGTTAACAGAAAACGTGAACAGAAAATAAACTAAGCTCGATCTATTAACTTGCACATGCGTCAAGCTATCGGTAAGCAAAGAATTCAGAAAGAGATAATTCACAAACGCGTTCCAAATTCGTATGGAACAGAAAAAAAATTGTCGGTGGATGTAGCTTGCGAGGTATAAGCAACTGCCTACAGCAGTTGGAACGAACCTAATGTGCTCGGTAACTGGGGCTTGGAATCTCCGTTCAAAAGCAATTACAACGTTAATTGCCCAGTAGCATGGTATCAGCTGCAAAGCGCGTAAAAAAAGTAATCGTTTCGGGCAGTAAGAGATCAATTTGCCGACCAATCGGAACGCATTGTAAAGTGAAAGTAAAAGTTTGATCATGTGCGAGAAGAATGTCGCCCACTTTGAAACCCAAAATTTTAATGTCCTATGTTGAAAATTTGGACGACGAAGTCATTTTTAACATTTCAAAAAATATATCGGCTACAAAGTTTTCCTCAAAAATTATATATTATGGATTATATATTAGGTTATAACCACATATTTTAGCTTAACTTTAATTTTTTTCTCATCGGGCTGCATCTTCTATTAATAATTATCTAAATAAATTTGTCAAACGGACATTTTCCTATGAAGAACGTGATTGCATTGAAATTTCCATATAGTGAAAATTTGCATTAAATATTAAAAACGTCGCGAACGGAGAGACATTAACAAAAATAATAATACAATAATAAAATATAAACAGCAATTTAATACTAAAGCACCGCAATCTCACAAATTGGCTTTAAAATAATCGTATGTTCTCCAATTTGTAAAAATTTCCTGGGAGACACCCTCCACACCATAGAAAAACAATTATAATATGGACAAGACGATTTCTGGTGTTATAATTCTAAATGACAATTAACAATTAATTAAGGAAAAGTTTAAACTCAATTAATTTTGTAACAATCGGCGTCAGCGAAGTGAAATTAGTGTTAAATGCTCATCTATTTCCATTTGCTAAGTACCGGATATGTATTAGAAATTTGCGATGGCTATCGGCGAAAGATACACCCGTTTTCTTTATTCCTCTTTTCGCAATACCGACAGCGAAACGACGTTTCTATTAGCAAATGTATTAATAACTCAGGAATATGAATAATCAAAGGCGGAGTCACGCCGAATGAGTTCGTTACGACGTAAGGGGGAAAGCGATCGGGCTGCCATTTTATTCAACGTTAAATTGGAAAGTCGAACCAAGAACACAAAGCCACCAACAAGCCGAAAGAAGTAAATACAAATACCCATAATCCAATAACTGGAAATATATTTAGGCCCAGGCAAAAACAAATACAAAAGTTGAGAGAAAATGTTGAATGAATGATTTCTATCTCCTTGATAAAAATAGCAAATATTGCCAGTCCCTTGACAGTATTTTGAAAATTATTTTCAAATTATACAGGTTGTCAGAAAAGTACAAGTTTCAAAGTTGTATTTGTTAAATAGTGTATGTTTCAATGATGTTTAATGATTCTTAAATAATTTGCATTTTAACGAAACAAAAATAAGTATTTAAATCATGTATTTCATATCACAAAAATAAACACTTATACAGAGTAACCAAAGATTGATTCTAATCTAATAAGAAATTTCTAGCTTCAATTTGATTAATTTAAATGGAACATTGTATTTTGTAACTAACCAACATCTTAATTACTCATTGGATGCTATCCGCATGTTCTCCACGTTTTGGCAGAGTACGCAAAATTACAATCTCTCTCGCCATTTGATGTCTTCCAAGGTTTTCTACTTAAAAGTTCTGCTAACGTTATTGCTGTGGTCCCATTCAGCCCAAATGAAGATTTATTTAATATGTCATCAAAATATAGAATTTTCCATCCACTATTGGTGTTAACATTCGTTTTGTCGTTTCTTAAACATGCCACAACGTATAGCTCTTCCTAAAAGGAATTTTAACCAATGTAAAAAAATAGAAAAATATAAACTATGAAACAGAGATCACCTGATAATCAAACCTTTTGACAAAACCATACAAATTAACAGTGTCAATAATTGTCTGCATAGATATCTAGGTGCAATAAAAATTAGAAAACAGCCACGTAGTTGTACCTACAATCTCATTAAATTAGAATAACTTTTGCGATTCCTTTTTTTGCAAGTTTTTCGTAATTGGGAAATGAAACGTGGTTTAATTTAGGTTACATTTCGACAAAATTCAAATTATTTTAAAAACGTATCAGGGTTCTGTTAAAAAAAAATAGGAGTCATCACAATAGATCCCCACATATCCCATTTTGATCACAATATTCTACATCGTATAGTGTGAATAACCCTGTATATTACTATACAGACTAGCGGCAATAAACGAGTCAATCAAACAACAATCAGCAATTATTTTATGCAAATCGCTTTTGTAATTCTCACTCCCCGCAAATTCAGGTCTAAAAATAATCGGTTTTCAGAGGAAAGTCAGTCACGCTTCTTCTGAAAAAAGGTTAAGCACCCGGCAAAAAGGTCGTCTCATATATTCTCTGACCTTTCAGACACTGCTTACGGTACTGGTAGTACTATCTTCGACGCGATCTGAGAAGCGACCTAATAGAGCCACCTCACTATACTCGCTCCAACTGTCGACCGTAGGCCTAAGTTCCTACGGGAACATCAATTTCCCGCTGGAGCAATCGCAGTATTACGCGGCAACCCTCAAGGATATCGCAGTTCCTCAAGGTACGGTACCGGAATACGCAAACGGGACGAAACTGCAAGGTCCTAAAAATTTTTTAGTGCCAAAGGTGCCAAATCAAAACTCGCAAGAAGACGAAAGAATGATATATCATTTTTTACTTTGGAATAATTTAAATCTTCTATAGCGTATCAATGGAATGGGTCAGTGTTGACCATTAGATTATATTAATATAAGTCAATTAGAATCGTTTGGTTTCGTTTGCTCCATTCCATCTAAAATTCTTTTTTAGTAGACTTCTATGGTAAAATCTTGACGATCCCCGTATATTGATAGCGACCGAATCGGTTAGCGAATGACTTCATAGCACGTGGTAAACACGGCCAATTATCCTTTATAAATATGGAAACCAATACGATCTCGTCGTGTCCGTTCAAAGCAGTGCAATTACGATACGAGTAATGGATATCTGCCGTGAAAGTAAACGCATATTTCTTGAAACGGCGATAAGTTTCGATTGCGCGAATGAAAAGGAAATAAAAACGCATGGCAGTAGAACATAACCTCAGATACACAAGAATATAACAATTGAAAGCGAAACATTGTCTATGTTAAAACTAACCCGACCTTGATCGGAATTCGGTGACCTTGTGAGTTTGTGTCACGCATTTATGAGAGGGCCATGAACAATGAACAAAACAACATCGGAAACAAAACTAATAAGGTTCAAATACAGTCGGGGACATCTTGATGTTTTGTTCGGATTTTGACCTAAATTAACAAAATGCTAACTTCAAGGTTTCAAAAGAAATTCTTTGTGAACCGTTTCAATAAAAGAAAAATAAGAGAAACGCGGAAAACATTGATGAAAAACTATTTCAAAAATCTCGTGGCATCGGAAGTGGCCATTTGGTCAAGTGGCATTTGTTTTTGTTCCCTTTTGAAGCCTAACCAAAATAACTCGAGATATAGAGCTGTTACAATAGTAATTATTTTATAAAGCGTATTTAAATAAATGTTAAAAACTTCATCACCAATTTTTCAAAGAAACTTCCACGGGGAAATGTAATACTTTCCAGAAGTAATAGAAGTGTAATAGAATCCAGAAGTTTTGTAAAAAATACTTCATCACCAGTTCGTAAAACTTAAAATCCTAACTCGACAACCCTAACAGGACAAGCCTTCCACATTCCACAAGTGGGTAAAGACAACATCGCGCCAGTGGCGTACACCAATTCGGTCGAGAAACCCGTCGAAGAAGTTCAAGATTACGTCCCGCCACCTCAATCCTCTGGACCCGCCATCATCCCATTCCAGCCTCCTCCGGCGGTTCCGGTAAACGCGGCCGCCGCCAACGTACCCGCCAACAACGGTGCCGTCTTCTTGGGTTCCGGATCGTTGGGCGTCATCAATTTAGGAAACGGTAGGGCTAGCTATCGCGTTCGGAATTGCAACCGATTTTACCGATTCTAGGAGCTTTCGCTCTCGGTTCCGGAGGTATAGGATATTCCGATATCAGACAACAGCCTAGGCCTTCGGGGACGTCCCCATTGTATCCACCACTGCCGGCGAATCCAAATTTGGTACCTGCTGCCAAACCGAGCCAGACCCCTACACCCATACCACAGGGCACACCGATCAGTCAGCTGACTCCGAACGGGTTCCATTTCAGTCAGCCAGTGTTCGTCCAAGCACAACAGCCGTCCGTGGGTAAGTGGGCAATGAAAAAAAAGAAGCAAATGCGTCACAAAGACGTCGATAGTAGATGATCAGTGGTCGACTACCTATTATAAACGTTGTCATTCTTACCAAAGTACGTTTGACGGCTTCATTTCAAAGTTAACGTTGTTAGATTTTAAAACGACCAAACGAGTCAAACTCGATGACTTTAGTAGCCAATCAAGACAAAAAACTAAATCCACCGACAGGCATATATAATAGAAAGTCGTGAATTTAGCAGCGAACGGGAACAAACGTTTCAAAGACCTCGATGCCGAATAAACATAGAAAAGTACTTCGAAATGATGTATAAATTTTGGACGGCCGGGGTATGTTTCTATGGGAGTTTTAAAACGACGAATGTAAAAAATGGTAAATCCCGATTTCCACTCGAAATCCGTTTTTTTTTTCATTCACTAATTGTTTCCGCAATTAACTTCGTTTAGGCAAACTGCATCTGATGCCGCCGTCTTAAGTACTCCGAAATGAAGCAAAAATTCAACCTGCCGATCGATTTAATTGCCACGATTTTTTTGAACCGAAACCATCGACTTATTATTTTGTTCCTCTTGACGAAAAATCTTTGGAATGTTTAATCTCATTAAAACCGTTGTAAAATCTTTTCAATATATATAGCGATTAGATAATATAGGGGTCGCTGTTGGAAAACTGATTCGCCTCAGACGTAAAAGAAGGAAATAAATGATACACAATAACAGTACACTTTGCGCAACTTTTTTCCCAAACAACGATCTCCATGCACTTAAGTTTTAAAATAACTTGCGCATATTGAATATCCCTTCGCAACATGTTGGCTTCACGTTTACCATAACTGTCTCTGACCGATCGTTCTGTCATCTACATTCCAGATCAAAATGGCTATGAACAACTGACCACAAACAGTGCCGGTTTCGGCTCACCGTCGCCGAGGATCCGCCCCCTTAAAACGACTAACAATTATGCGACACCTACTGCCACTCAGGTACAAATTCAGCCCATCCATCCCAGTCAGCGTCCTCAACCGGGATTCGGCGAACCTGTGCCCAGATTACCCGCCGTCGGGCTCCAATATTTCAACTACAACGGATGATGTTTTATATTACATCGTTGTAATTCTACTATTGTTTATTTGCTGTATCGATGGGCTATATTTTCGGGCGAGCAGACCGAAATTCTCGAACCAAATAAATAAAATACCTTTTTTAGTTTTGTACGTGAAATAAACAGTAAAAAGAGTAATGGATTTTTATTTCTAGCGACACCGGCGCATCCGCCGACTCGCTCGATGTATAACTGGTTGATGGGCGACTTCACAGTCCTTTGGCTGACAAATTCAAAACGTGAAATTCAATCGCTTTTTTGGCTATAAAACATGATTCCCAGTTCCTCGGGTAGACACGTTAAGATTTGCTATAAATTAAGTATTTTGTAATTCAATTTTGAACTGGTTAGCTTTATGACTACTGCGGCTTGTCGCCTTCGTTTACTTAAAACCGTTCCACCTAACGTCTTCGCTCTTCGGTCGACAAACAAAAGAGAAGTAAAGCCGAGACCGGTCCTCGGCAGGCAAACTCATAAATCAGCGCATTGTTACATAAAAATGGTTTCTCTTTGACCCCTCGAAATATATGCCATTTTTCGGTAGTGTCCCAATCCGCATTATGGTGCAATGTCCACACATTGTTCCCCGTCTTTTTACCCGATATTCCCACCAGCGATGAAAAACCTTGGCTGTTTTTTTCTTTACGCACCGAAGACCATCGGTTATAACCAGCGCAGTTAAATAATTTAGAATTTTACAAATCCATTAAGTCTGGTATAACGACCAGTGATCTAAATATTTTCCTCATATTATTCTTCAGAAGGTCGTACCTATCTTTTTAATATGGAAATTGCAGCCGTCAAATCGCAACGAATGCCAACGGAATACACGTTATTCGATCAACATGTTCCTCTATAATAATAATAATAGTTATTTGTATTTTCATAATTATGCAACCAAACTTACACGTAATTCGCAATATAATTTTGTCAATATAATAAACATAGGTCTTTCGATTCTAATATAAACTAAACAAAAATTTAATTCAGATTAGATTATCAGATGAGGAACAAAAAAATGGAAGTTAATTACAAATCATGAATACGACTTCAATTAACAAATAAATTAGACATAGAAGAGAACTACTACTGCGAGGACCAGCGTCGTCATTTATATAGAACAAATAAAAATAAGTGCGCATGTTTCTGGACGATGTCGCCGCCATCTATAAGTGGCATTCAAACCCCAGTCGCATTGAATATATTGCTATTTACCTTCATGTTAACTTATTTTCGTGGAACGCGAGACGCAGTTCTAAAAAAACCATACCCCCCAATTGAAAATTTCCTAAATTTTACACGTGTTTTTGCTTTAAATTTGATTTTTTTTCGTATATAATAATTTATATATATAAATATAAATTTATATAAATAAAATTTATATATATAAATATAATTTAAAAAATGACCATGCGGACAAACGAAGAGATTGTCCACTTAGTTTCAACAGTTTTTCGTTTATAATTTAATAGTTGGAGACCTGTTGGAGATTAGAATCCAATGCAGATAGATAATTTTTCGTAACGTTGAAGGCAACAAAATCCGACAAAAAAGCATCCACGGAAGTCGCTCCAAACAGGCCAATTTTGCCGTATTCGGTTAATGTCTTTGGTATTGCACAAAAAAAAACGGGTCGTTACAAAAGTCTAATCACTGCAGATTTCCATCGAGTGTACGGTGAGTTTTCCGCATTGTACAACTTCGTTGGTATTCCGCACAAGGTAGACGATATGATATACGGGGCAATTCATATACGAATTCGCAATCGTTTAAGTTGGTGCAGGCTCATTATTCCCGCGATCACTGGAACGCATCGGTATGTTTTAGCCGCCATTATAGCTTCGATTATGCAAGCATTGTCATTTATGTTTGAAAATAGCAAAGATGTACAGTGTGGTCTCGGTATCATTTGACATCCCATCTACAGGATTTATTATAAGATTTATGAGAGTTTTCACGTCAGTCCAAATGTACAAAATCGCCAGGATTGTCTGGCAAATTAAGCAAACGAACATTGGGGAAAAACGATTTATATATTTTTTCCAGTTTGTTTCTAGATCATATGAGATACCGTAAAATTGATGACGGTGCAATTTATACTTGGCAATTGAGACTTCTTCTGCCAACGAAGACATTAGAATGAAACATCATAAATAATTTGACAAATGTAAACTAAAAAATTAAAACTAAAATTAAACTAAACATTTGACCTCAACCTGTGCTTTGCCACATTCCCATTTTCTAAACAGTGATATTCACATATTTACCATCACTTTTTTACCTGAAATTTTAATAGTATCAGGGCATATTTTTACCAAAATGGCACATCCAACCTCCCAACATTGGTTCATTTTGGCATCGAATGTGCCCGTTTTATTAGCATTGCTCTATATATATATATATATATATATATATATATATATATATATATATATATATATATATATATATATATATATATATATATATATATATATATATATATATATATATATATATATATATATATATATATATATATATATATATATATATATATATATCGTAATTTTGCAATTACAGAAAATTACAAGAGGGTGCTGCTTGCGTCTAGACCGAGAACCCAAGCAATAACATGGTACACATTAACATGATCTTTAGGCTAAGAATAATATATCCGCCTACAAGCAACAATATGAAACTAAAAATTAAAAAAAAAAAATCTTAAGTGTTAAAAAATATATCGATACACAAACCAGACGCGAATGGCAACTGTTCAATATAGCATAATAGCATCCAGGCAAAGCATTCGTGAATACTACGTAAATCTACAAAAATAATCTACGCACAGCTATTCTAATTTCGCGCAAACAGCAATTAAACATCTAATCTGACAAACAGCACGCAGCAATCAATAATTTTTCTAAAAGCAACCAGCAGTTACGATTTTTCTCTCCTTTTTTTGTTTTTTTTTAATTAATTCTTGAAAAAAAGAGGAGATAATCAATAAAAATTTTAATTTACAATATTTAAACAGTGTCTTCTGTGAAATATGTCGACTGCTACGACCATCTAATTTTTTTAATTCCAACCGTTTATTTGAATGTACTACTTCAAAAGGACAAGGTGTGAATAAACGAAATCGAAATTTCTTTTGCGGATTTTTGTTTTTTGTGGAATATATATTTTTTAATATTCCGCTTGTCGATTTATTTGTCCCTGAGCCACTTTTCTCTTTGTTAAAACTTTTTGTTAAATATTTTATGTTTGTACAAACAACAAATAAAATGGAAACAAACCCGCGGATCTTTGGATAGCTGAGTTTAGAATATGCTGAAAATTTATGACTAGCCATTCTGTCTTATTTATGTAAATTTTATAAATGATTTTACAATAATAACTGTACTAGAATAGAGTGAAGTGGCTTATAGTTCTATTTTTTAACAAATCGTGGACCATTGTCTAGACATAAATATCGTCTATAATAGGGCTTTGCGAACTTTCTCACTCAGGTGTTCCTGTTGTTGTTGTTGATAAGTTACCATATATTATTTTTTCTCGGGGTAAACAAAGACGAAAGCACTGAAAAGGAACTTACATATGTTTAATCCATGCGTTTATGCCTTAACCCGGTTGTCGAGCAAAATAAACAAATAAATACCACTTTAACCGCTTGAATACCTCTTTCAAAGTCATGTGCTAATACGATTACTCGACTTATGCAACTCTGCTGCAAGAAAGTAGACCTTCTTTGGCTGGCAGTAATCCGGTGAGTTTAGTGAAGCGTTTCGATTCCAGTCGTTTCTATGGTTTCGGTTGAAATTTAACCCTTCATTTAACTAGTGATAAAACCCTAATTAACTTTTCAGTTTGTCGCAATAAAAATTGGCAAGAGACAGTTTCATTTTTATATCTGCTTGTTACAGGGGGGCTGTAATCCGACCGGACTAATAAGGTAGTACGAAAAACGTCCCTGCAAGTAAAGAAACTTGTTCGCTTGGCAGGCAAATTCTTCGCCCCTCTTTATACGATCTTTTATCCCGCAAAACGCTCCGTATAAATACATTAATTCTTCGTGGATAGGGCATCAGTTCATCTGGTTCCGTCGTCCATCCAACTCCGCGATGAAGATTTGTGTGAGTATTTCAAAACTTAAAACTGCTCGATGTCGTACCGCGAAACCTGTGTATTCTGTGTCTCGAAAACTTATTGTCGACTTCCAAGATGGTGGCCAAAATAATATAAGATTTTTGAGTATAAGATTTGTTGGGATGTTTTTTTTTTAATAAAATAACTGCTGAAACTCTTAAAGGACTAAACGAATTTGTTACAAATTTGGTGTGGCTGAAAAGAGTCTCGTTCTTACATACAATGACAAAATTTCATTACTTATTTTAAAATTATAATAGTATTCTTTGTTCAAAATATTTTTTAAAAAGTGTATGCCAGCATGAAGAGTAGGTCATTGAGAAAAGACAAATGCCTAAACCTAAGTACCTAACAAAAATTAAAATTATTGTACACAAGTTACAACTATTAAAATGCCTGTTACATTTTATGAAGTTATCGATACGATGAAAGTATATTTTATCTTAGCTTAATTTAATTTAATCAAAAATTTCCATAATAATAAATAATAATAAAGAGACTTGGTTAGGTCAGTGAAATACAATATTGTAGATATTGTAGGTGTATTTCAGAGAAGAATCTTTTTGAAAGGTTGAGAAAACCGTTTTAGTAATAATTTTTTGCTCCAAGTCTCTACGATGAATAGATTCCGACATAGAGCATTCTTATCTAACCAAACCCCCTGTACAAGAACAGAATTCTTCAAATTTACTTTGCAAAAATACTTTTTTATTTTTGACAGCAAAATTTTTAAAAATTTTCCGTTTTCTGTCAGGCCATCGTTTTCCTTGTAAGCCTGTCCTCAACATGGGCCGGTGATGAACCAAAGAAGACCACCAAACGGGGTGTCTTTGGGGAATCGCTGGGTTATGGCCACGGCTCCGCCATCCTCCTTGGTTCTTCCTTGGACCATGGCCTCTCTTCGGGACTCGCGGGATTGTCTTCTTTGGGCGGCGGCATCGATTTGGGCGCCCAAATACACCGCCAGGTTACCATTACTAATAGAATAGGTATCCCGGTGCCGCAACCTTACCCTGTACCCGTCGAGCGCAGGGTTCCAGTACCCGTGCCTCACCCTGTGGCGGTACCCGTAGATCGTCCTTACCCGGTTGAAGTACCGCGACCGTACCCCGTAGCAGTGGAAAAACCGGTACCGGTACCGGTAGATAGGCCAGTACCGTACCCCGTAAAAGTACCTGTTAGGGTAGCGGTGCCGGTACCGGTTAAAATAGCCGTTCCGCATCCTGTACCGGTAGCCGTGCCGAAGCCGGTACCGGTACCGGTGGCACATCCGGTTTATATAAAGAAAGCTGTACCCGTACTGGTAGGTGGTTCCGGATTAGGATACGGAGGGCACCACGGGCCCTCTTTTGGAGGATACGGCTTGGGAAAATTTTGGTAACGCGAGGGGTGATTGGTTTATGTGATTTGAAGTGTACAAAGCTTATCGTTTGTAGGAAATGTGTATAATAATAAAAAACTAGTCTATTTTTTGTGAAAAGTTATATGAAAATATATGCTAAATATTTTTGTATTTTTTTTAGCTTTTTAATTGACGCGTTACGCCAAAATTAAACATAGTATCGGAGATTACCACCCTATTATATAAATAATTTTAAAAACACAATTAAGTAATATTTAGAAAAAAAAGTACAACTAAGGGTTCGACGAAAACTTCCGTTTTTGGTATTTACCCAGGTGCATCTGTTTAATTTCATAGTCCAAGCTTTTTAAAAAATAACGTTTTCATTTAAAGCGTAGGTAGTCTTGTCAGTATTAACACGGAAGGTTGGAAAATACTAAATATTTTGAATTATAAATATTAAACTAAAATGATTTGGTTTTATTTCAGTTGACCTTTTAAACGCGTTTATTTACTAGTTCATTTTTATTTATTCTAAGCAACAAGTTTATTTTATAAACTTATAGATTAAAACTCTATGGAAAATGTAAATAAAGTCGAAATTACTTTTACAAGGAAACAAAGTGGAAAAAGTGGCCACGAAGCAACTGTAGAATCTTCGGATGAGGAAATGGCTTATTGTTTAAAAAAACCAAGCCTTTATCGAAGTCTAGTAATTGCAAATAAAAATTCCAAATATTATTATAATAAATTTCAATTGAGCCAAAAATAAAAAACAACGTTTAAAACAAAATTACATCAAAATAACAAGCATATTTTGCTCAAAAAAAATTGCATCTAATCTATTACCCAAAAATTATCGATTTTTATCAATATCTATACATGCAGAAATGCTCGTCGAAATTGTCGTGTCTAGCCGGGTTTATAAGGTTGTGATTCACGCTAAGTGCCCTTCTGCATTTCAAAACTAAGTCAGTTACATTTTCTATTGCGATAAACACAATATAAAAAATTAAAAAGTAGAGCAACAGAGCGCGAAAACACTGAAAACGTTGGGTTCAAAATGGCATCATAAAAATGATAACCAATAATATGGCATAAAAGTAATATTTCAGACGACGTTCAGAAAGTATCTAATATGGACTTTGGAACCTTTTCGTTGTAATTTCAACAAACATGTACTGAATAAAATGACTACGATATAGCAGTAAATATTTTATTAAAGTCTTTAAGAGTCGAAAAACAAAATCCGTTAGTCACAAAACTCTAACAACGGCTATCTAATTAGTGACTCAATACTACTTCTATATTATTAAACTTCGCCAACAACTAGAGAGAGGCTGTTAAATTATTATTTTTAATGCTCCTTATCCTTAATTAATCGTTGCAAAATTGATTAAAATTCGTTCTCGATCTTCTATGGCCGACCTATGCAAATTATCTGAATTTCGTCACATTTATTCAAAAATCGGTCCAGTTTTCAAGCAGATTAGCAAAAAAATCTCGATAAATACACCGGGCGTCGCACCGTACCGCATCAGTTTGGTACCATCCGCCAACACATCGACACCCACCATGAAGACCGTAAGTAATTTCCGATTCGACCATCTTGATTAAATTCATTGGTACTTTACGCAGGTACTAGTTCTTGTACTGTGCATTGCCTCTATATACGCCGAAGAACCCAAGCGGTCAACCAAAACCAAACGCGGCATCTACGGCGAATCTCTAGGGTATGGAGGTCTTGGAGGACTGAGCGGTGGACTTGGAGGAGGTTTTGGTGGAGGTTTCGGAGGCGGATACGGTTCCTTAGGATCCTCATCCCTCGGGCTCGGTCTAGCGGCTGCTCCACAAGCCATCGCCGTACCTGTACCTCAACCGGTTGCGGTACCAGTTGAGCGTATCGTTAAAGTAGCCCAACCTGTACCGGTACCGATCATCAAGAAGGTTGCGGTGCCGGTACCTGTTAAGGTAGCGGTGCCCGTGAGGGTAGCTAGTCCTGTTGTCTTGGCATCCGGTGGAGGATGGTCTGGTGGCAGCATAGGATTGGCCAGGTCAGGGTGGTCTTGGTGAACAGGTTCCGGATGATTCCCGGAAAATATTCTATGCGTGTGTAATTGATAGTTGAATAAAGAAAACCGTTACTATCCACACCATGTTTCAATTTTTTCGAATAAGTGAAAAAAAGATGTTGATTTTGAGTAACCCCAAGAAAATTGGAATATTGCAGATCTCTAACTTTTATTGGAATTTTTTTTCTGCAAACGAGTCATTCTCTTCTTTTTGCGCCTTTTTCACTTTCCTCGTTCTTTTTCTGATATTAAGTCGTTTTGTCACAAAATAATTAAACAGTTGTATGGTTTAGTTCAGATTCTCCCTATAGATGGCGCAATAACTATTAAATAATTAGGAATTGCTACAACAAAACAACAGCTGTTCTTAATTTTTTATGGAAAATTTCCAACTTGAAACCATAGTCGGAGAAGCAACAGTGCATCTAAGAACTTTTGCGTCAATCTTCTAAGCTAAATATACGTCCTTATTTGCATTATTTTAATATTTTGGCGCTTTTTAAATTAGGTCAAAAAATAGAAAAAACTTTTCTTGTCTATAAAGTAACAATGAAATTATACCTTCGAAATAATTTGTTCCCATGCGCTCGGGCCCCTGCACGCTGTAATAGTAAAGTTTTGAAGGTTGTTATCACAAAACTTTTGTTTGAATTTGGCGCCTATACAGTCGTAATTACCCTGTACTGTGGGTTCGTTTTGATAACATTTTGATTCCCTGTAACGGTTTTGTTTATAATTAGTATATTATGCAACAAGTGCGAGTTTATTTGCACGAGCGGAGCGCAGCGAAGCGAGTACTTAATAAACGAGTGAGATAAAGAGTTTACCAAACGTGTAGCATGACCGTTAATTTTTGGATACATTTTCGCAAAAGAACACGAATACATTTACTGACGTGACAGTCAAAATTGACAAACGTCAAAATTCAAGGCGTGGGAAATATCTTCGAAAATATCCGATATCCGCGCAGTGACTAACAACCAAAAATGTGTTAACGTCTTAATAACGGGAATAGTTGATATGTTACTGGTAAAGTCTGTTCATAGATATAAGAAAGTGACTAACTGATACGAATTAAGGAACGACCCGGGCAAGCTGTAAGAATGAAATATGGCCGAACAGGTCCGTACTTTGCTTAGAATTTAATTATTTGGGGTTTTGTTAGGAAAGATACTAAACAATATTTATTTATTTACGTATGTATTCATGTTTAAATCTAAAGCAAAATTACAAATTATTTTTATTAGCTACTTAAATTACTTAAAATTATTCACAAAATATATCAGTATCACTATCGCTATCATCGCCTTTCTAATTATTATTTGTTCTATATTATTTGCAATATGGATATACGATTGTTCTGATTTTTCTATATGTTTAATAGAATTTGCCCAACTTTGGGGAGGGATGTTAAAAACTTCGGCTTCTATAAGTTTGATGACATTGGAGTTAACACGGGGAAAAACATTGTTACGACGAATGGCAGATTTCTGTTGGTGCCAAACATGTTCAATGGGATTAAATATACAGTGGTAAGGTGGAAGCCTTAAAACTGTATGCCCTAGATTTTTTGTATAATTATCACAGACGTATTCCTTTTGTAGGTTCAAGCTTTATAGAACCTCAATTAATTGCTTTTTGGTATAATCTTCGTGAAAATAAATGTGGTTATCATACATGTAGTTTTGGATTGTTGCTTTTGTGTCACATGGGGAAGGGGTTTTAGTCAACTGTCTACTGTGATAACTTGCATTGTCCATTACAATGACGCTATTAGGAGGAATGTTTAGAACTAGTAGCGGTGGTGTCTTAATGGTAATCTAGAGAAGAATCTTTAATATTTTTCGCAGACAGAGAAAGTTGGAATTTGGAATCCAACCATCTTTAGATCCAGCATGCAAAATAGTTATTCTTTTACCTCTTTTTGATGACACGTTTGTTTTACACTTATCAGTTGAGTCGAGCCTTTTCCGGGGTATCGTAAGTGTCGAACCAGGTTTCATCAAAGTAAATAATTGGCCTTTGTTGTTCTCTGTAAATCCTAATTTTTTCTAGATATTCCAGTCGAAATTTCCGAATTCTAAAAGAATCCATTAAAACTTGCCTTTTGTCAATTTTTTTAAATCTAAAACCCATGCACTTCCATAAGGTAGTTCTGCCACAAACATCGGTTGCATCTTTTTCAAACCTCCTAATTAAGATGCCTAATGTAGGCACGCTTTGTTCTTCGTATAACTGGTAAATTTTACGCCAAATTATATCTTGATCACTTTCATCTACACTCGAGAAAATGTCAGCGTCGCTTCTTTTTTTCTTCGTTGAAATGGGATTATTCACAATTTTTCATACAGTTGATGTTTGAATTTTCGTCAATGTGGCCGTTTCTTCTAAAGATGCTTGCTTGCTGGCACCGCGTTCAATGAGAGTCAAATAAACATTGTTTATAACTTCCTTAGTCTCAATAGTGTTTTCTACATTTGGGCGGGAGCATCTGCTGAGATACACTAGACTCGCACATATTTTGCATAATTCGCACACGATTCAACACACGCTGTATTACACACGAAATAAGAATGATTACTAATAAACTTAAACTAAGTAGTATACCAAACCAAAGAATATTAAACACAGGTAGGTATAAAATTATTTTCTATTACGGACCACAATTTTACTTGAATTTAAATATATATATATATATATATATATATATATATATATATATATATATATATATATATATATATATATATATATATATATAGGCTCTGTTGATAATACAGGAACTTAAGCGACGACGAAAAAAAAATTGAGTAGGTCATTCATTATGCCCATGCGGGGTAATTTGTCATTTCAAACCAACGAATACCTAAAGTCAATCAGTCAATTCAATAGATTACAGTTTAGATGTAGGTTTTTTATGTCAGTATTTTCCCAAATATAGTTAAATCTTCTGGGCAGGTTATATGTAAAATTTAGAAGCATGCCTGAAAAATCACCTCTTTCTCGACGAAAATGTCGTTCAGGCGCATCAATTATTAGTACTTTAGTAGTTGCTATTATATTCAATTACCAAAAGGATCTTGCAGGTTTATTATAAAATGTAAAAAATACAACTGAACCCGGTACGGAACCTATGGGCACTATGAGGTTTTTTACTGGTTTGTTTGGCCTTGTTGGCCAGTTTCTCAGGGAGTGGTGAAAAGCATATTGGGTCTCAAGAGGATGCTACCGTGAAAAGGGTCTGGATGATACCATCACCCGATTCGGGAAACGAGCCAAATTAGTTTTGGAACAAAGAAAATTACAAGCCACGCGGGTCTAAAAAACCACATATGGTTCTAGCTACGAACTTCAAGCGATTGAGATATTTATCATTAATAGGAAGTGGTAACGTATATTCAGGTTATCCGAGTGGAAGTTGTCGATATCTCCTATTGTTCTCTTTTAAGAATTTGGTATTATAATTTCACCTATTGGCAATGATTCCCAAGAGTAACTGCTTTTTTAAAATGGGGATCATTAAAATATGTACTTCGAAGGGCTACATGATCGACCGACTTAATAGATGGTCAGGTACTTTTACGTATTGGCGTATGTGCGCCACCTAATCCTACACAACCAGTTTTTGTTATTTTTGATAATGAACATATACATTTTCAAATCATATTTAACAGTACCCTGTGGTGCCTAGAAAACAAACTTTTAGATAACCTGATACTGGTGGGAATAGATGCAACAAGGGCGGATCCAAAAGAAACCGTGGCGTTGTGTTTATTAACGCAATTAATAAGCTCATAAAACTAAATCGCTCTTTTCACTTTCATTCAACATCACGACACGAATCTTCCGAGAGAAGCTTTGAAATTTACGTAACGTCCCCGATAAAATTCGGCCACATTTGAATACAAAAATGCGACTTATTTGAATATAGAAAGCCGAACTATTATGAAAAAATTAACAAAAATCCCCACGAATAAAACGATTTTTGATATAAAAACAACACGGCGCATATTCGATCGAACAGTTTCCGTGTTTTGATCCTCGACGTACCCGTTTGGCATCATGAAGACGATTGTAAGTAAATACAGATAAAAAGGAATTCTTTTCTGTTAAACAAAACGTTGCAGGCGTTCGTTCTTCTTCTGGGCGTGGCCACAACCCTGGCCGGAGATATTAACGTGTCGAAGAAAATCAAACGTGGTATCCTAACCGGCCAGCACACCCTGGCGTCTGGAAGCCTAGAAGTTGGCAACGGACACGCCGACGTCCCAGTCGTGTCTTCTGGTGCAGCCATCGGCGGTGGTTTCGGAGGAATCAGCCTTCCGTCACCTCCCATAGAAACGTCCGGACCTGGAGGCATCATCTCCGGGCCTGGAAGTCTCGCCTCCGGAAGTGTAGGCATTTTAGGAGGCTTAGGTGGAGGTTCAGGTCTTATTGGCGGAGCCGGTCTGGGTGGTGACGGTTTAGGTAACGCTCTAGGAGTCGGAGGAGGCGGCGGTTTGGGTGGTATTGGACCTGGAGCAGTCGGAGGTCCAGATATCCACGCCAATGAGCCCCATTATCATCTCGGCCACGCCGTCCAGCGACACGTTACTGTTCTACATAGGATCGGAATCCCTGTACCACGTCCGTACCAAGTACCCGTGGAGAGAAGGGTTACGATAAGGGTTCCTCAGCCTGTGGATGTCCCGGTTGATCGTCCATACCCGGTCCACGTACCCAGACCGTACGAAGTGAAAGTATTCAAAGACGTTCCGGTGCGAGTCGACAAACCGGTTCCGGTACCAGTTAAGGTACCAGTAGAAATAAAAGTACCAGCCCCTTACAAAGTGGAGGAACCGGTGCCAGTGCCGGTGCATATAGTCAAGAAGGTGCCCGTTCCGGTACCACATCCGATCATCATAAAAGAAAAAGTACCCGTGGCGATCCACACGCACATAGAACCGGTACACTTACACCACCAACAAGTTGAGCACGTACATCATCACGGCCATCACGGCCACCACATCGACTTGCCCCACCCCTGGTAATCGAACGGGGAAGTGGTTATTATTCTGGAGTTATGAATTGTTGATGTTGAATAACTCGCCACCTAGTCGGTAGTATTAAGCGTTTTTTATCAATAAAGTTTATTTTTTCTACATTTCTGCTAATATAATTTATTTCGACGCGAACAACTATAAATGAATAATGCCCAACAATAAAAAAAAACACAAAACGCAATTTTAACGCAATTTGCAAACATTGCGAATAAATTTATATATTTTTTTTCTATTTCCCTTCTTTAAAATACCCGGTTATGTTACCCACGGCTTGAATTTTGACGACTGTCAATTCTAGAGGTCCACACGTCACTCAGTGAATATATTCGTATTGTTTTGCAAAAATGTACCCAAGAGCTAATGGTCCTATATAAAGTATAGTATGCAACACGTCTGGCAAACTTTTTAACTCACTTGTTTATCAAGCACTCGCTTCACAATTTTCGCATAATATACTATTACCCTTCTAAGAAAGTAAGCGAAACACCAATAACATAAATAGGGAACAACCAAAACTTTGCTACAACAAAAAGTGCAATAGTATTTTAGGTCAACCTGCAATTTGGGATCATTTGTTTTAGTCATCAATGCACCAACGAACGTGAAACGCAAGGCAGGAATATCTCTCAATGCATAATAGCAAATAACAATCGATTCTGGCGCCCTCCGAGTGCCAATAGCAAAACCGACCAGGAAACCATAGAAAAACCTGCGTTTAGCCGGTTCGTTGTCGACGAATCATGGAATATCAAACACAGATGTCACCGAATACCGGCATCGTGCTTTCAGTTGTTTTGTTTAACAGTTTAAATTGTTTATTTATTCTTAAATTCGCTGGAAATTCGTATGCGTACTCTAGGAAATAACTTTTACCAAAAAAAAATAAGATTCGCAAAATTTGCGGATTTATTAAGGAATTGCCTTTTTGACCAGTTACTTTTATTATTGTTTTCATTCACGACACACATTGGCGACACATTAATTACGTTTGAACGAATAATCATAAAGAGAACCTCAGATTTCCACATGACAAAATAATGACGGTATACGAAGTAGTTTGTTTTCCGTGCAATCAAAAACAATACGTTTTATGTAATTCTGCGCACCGAAAAAATATTGCGTACAAATTACACAGCGTTTAGCTGAATAGCCGGCAGAGGGAGAGAAAGTACTATCACTCCAACAGGGGAGGATGGCATCGTATATATACCGTCTTGAGCCCACCAAAACCAACATCAGTTGCTTCTTCACGGCCTTTTAAACGATTGCGAGATGAAATTTTTGGTAAGTGAAAAACAGCGCCCTCTGAAAAAAATAAAATTCGCTTTGGAATCCTTTTCGGATTTATGTAAATATGTGTTTATTCATAAACTCATATTACTTAAATATAGTTGATTCGATAATTATTATAATGACTGCCCTGCAACATGACGCTGAAACTACCCGAACTTACTACTGTTTTGCCATATTAATTAATATTTAATAATCATTTTCTCAAATCGACCCCTCAGCAGCCATTTTTGAGTTTTTAAAGATATTGTGGCCTACAGTATGAAGTACTATTATGAAATTGTTTGCTTGCAGTAAGGGTGAATTTGATGAATTTTAAATTAAAAAGTAAATATTTTTTTAATTTTAAATCCGGTACGGGTTAAATCAAAATCTATTCTATCCACTGTCAATTTAGGTTTGTTGTTTGCTGCTGGCTTCGACGGCAATGGGTGCCGAGGACGCCTCGAAGAAGAAGCGAGGCCTCTTCGAGCTGGGTGACTTTGGGGGCCACGGAGGCAGTTTATCATTCGGCGGAGGCGGCGGACACGGCGGTGCAGGTCTTTCCGTAGGAGGTGGAGACCACGGAGGCTTTGGAGGCGGCCTCGGTGGAGGACTTGGCGGCGGTTTCGGAGGCGACGACGGTAAAATCACCCACATAACCTTACACAAACAAGTTCATGTACCGCATCCGGTACCGGTACCTGTCAAAGTGGAAAAAACGGTACCGTATCCAGTCAAAGTACCCGTGGCCGTCAAAGTAGACAAACCTTATCCCGTACCAGTAGCCAAGCCGTACCCGGTACCCGTAGAAAAGCCGTACCCTGTCAAAGTATACAAAGACGTCCCGGTGCCCGTAAAGGTACCGTACAAGGTACCCGTTTCGGTAAAAGTACCTGTTCACATACCCAAACCGTACCCAGTACCCGTACACAAGCCGGTGCCGGTTCACGTACCCGAAATTAACGTGGTCAAGAAGCCGGTACCAGTTATCGTCCACGGAGGACACGGGGAAGGTTTTGGAAGCGGTTTGGGTGGAGGTCATGATTTCGGAGGTGGATTCGGAGGCGATTTCGGAGGAAGTCACGACTTGGGTGGTGGATTCGGGAGCGGTATCGAGTTGGGAGGTCACGAAAGCATTTCCGGAGGGTTCGGGGGCGGGTACGGCCATTAAGCAGTGGCGACGGGTCCAATAGAATAGCCTTGACCCAGGACGCAGGGAGTTTTCTATTCGGATCCGAGTGTTGCCAAAAATTTCAGCATTTTCGTGAGCTTATAATTTTAACCTGTGATAGATGTAAATTTTTCGCATTTTTTGTCAATAAATCGAAAGGAAAAATTACTGACTTTCATTTGGTGGGATAAAAAATTGCGTAATCTGGTTAAAAATCCACCTAGAAGGGATAATATAAACTGGAATGCATTTCTCAAGAATGCTCAGTCGTTGTCTTTGGTGCTACGGACTACGTAAACGCCTCTAGACTCCGTGGAAATTGGTGAGTTTGCGCTTTTAAATACATCAGTACCTAAATACTTTTATTTCTACAAAGACGTTATCGAAAATTTATAAAGTTTGAAGAAAAAAAAACATTTTTTTGCCGAATGCAAACTAACCAAAAAATGTTTATTTATCATTGGCGAAAATTTATTTTATTTTATTTTTTCGAAAGCGGTATTCGTTATTCAATATGAATAAATATCGTAAAACCAAAAGTCAACAAAAGATTAAAAGTTCATGAGAAATCGCAGAGAAAATTATTGTTAATTCCGGAAAACTGTTTTTCGCAATTGACTACTAATTTTTACAAACCATGTGTGGCCCGTTTAATAGGGGCCTACGGGGGTTGCAAGAAAAAATGAAATACAAAAGTTCTTTCTATTAAAATGACCTTTATTTTTTTTATTTTCCTAATCGTCACTTTTTTATATACAGAGTGGTAAAACAAAGTTACATTTTTTAAATAGAACACTCCAATTTTATTGCATTTTTGGATAGTCCCTTCAAAGACAAATTCAACGATATATACATATTTGAATATGAGTCTGTGATGCACCATTTCGAACTTGTTAGCGATCATCTTCAGAATTCGGGTTATGTTTAAACCATCATTGTTGGGTTGATTAGTAACTTTTTAAATTTTTTTTCGTCTATTATTTTTACGAAAATAATATTTTCTTAAAATACGTGGTGTTTGCACGTTTCGAAAAATGATACTTTTCTCAATTTTCTTAAATGAGACACCCTGTATATTATTGGATTTTCCACTTTAATAGCAATTTCAATAATATAATATAGTACGGGTCTCTGACTTACCATTTTCTCTTAATTGGCAGATAAAATTAACAACTGGGTATAAGATTTAAATATTTAAGATATGAAACAGGGAATTAGTTCCTTATCAACTTGCTCACAACCGTTTTAGAGCGAAGTCATATTAAAAACTGAATATTAAGCTTTACACAATGTTGTCAAATTTTGCAAATTACTTATTTCTACGTAAAAAATTTACAAGTAAAATTAATTAATTAGTATATCCTTTTTCTAAATGGTAATGGTTGAGACGTAGTTCGTTTCATCGAGATAGTGTATTGCCGCGCGAACTCGTTGCTGCACTTGGCGGTTTAACTTTGTAAACCATATCTTTCAATGCGGCCCACAAAAAAAAGTCAATCGGGGTCAACTCTGTTCTCCTCGCTGGCCAGGGGATGGTTCCGCCTGTCAAATCCGGTCTCTGATGCTGCCAAATTAAATTCGAATGCTGTCTTTGGGGAATATTATTATGTATAAGAGACCGAATTACATTCGTTAATAAGTTTAAATATGGTACGAATGTTAAATTTTGCTCCAAATTGCGCACCATACTTTCGCGGATCATGGCCGCTGCTGGTTTACTTCAAAAACACATTTTTCATCTTCTAAACTCCATTAATGTGTATTTTTTCTATTAAATAATACCACGGAAGTTGTAAATATTGATTCATCGACCCAAATTATATTTTGAAATATGTTATCTAAAAAATGCCTATCCATCATTATCCTGCAAATTTCGAGTCTTAAAGTTAAAATCTGCTTCTGGTAATTTTAAACATGTTTGAAGTGTGGTTTCGTCTTACGTCTACAGCTGAGAGGTCTCTGGAGTATTTTCAAAAAGCAGAGGAATATCTAGCTGCATATTTTCATCTAAAACCGTTCTGTTCCTACTTTTTTTCTCTAAAACACTGCCATTCGTTCGAAACTGCTGGTATATTTTGGGTAAATATTTTTTTCCTGGCAATCGCCCATGGAGAAATTTGGCTCTATAATTTTTCATCCTTGGTATACGTTATACAAAATAGACTTAACTCAAGCCCAAAAAAATAAGCTTAAAATATTATAATACACTGATACCTGTCAAAAAAGCATTACCATATTACCACGACACGGAACTACTATTGTTTTTAAAACTACTGCGATGATTATGTCAAAAAGGTCAAGATTAACAATATCATCAATTTTGTGTTTGTGTATTTCAACAGGCAGGTTTCTATATATTTTTGTGGTCTATATTATTAAGAATATGGACATTTTTGTAAAGTTTTTTTTCATTTAAAGACCTTATTTACAAGATTCTTAAATTATGAATGTAAAAGAATTTATGTATTATTAGAAAATAATTGTTAATTAATCCAAAACGGTAAGTCAGAGACCCGTACTATATTTTAAGAAAATATTTTAAATTTGATCATTGCCTGAAGAAAAGCACTGTATATAAAAAAGTGACTATTAGGAAAATAAAAAAAAGGTCATTTTAATAGATACAACTTTTGTATTTAAATTTCTTTTGTAACCCCCGTAGGTTTCGAGATAAGGTATAGGCCCCTCTTAAACGGGCCACTCCGTACACTACTGTTAGAATAAATATGTTACATTAAAAGTGTTAATATTATTCGAAAATTGTCAAATTAATACCGATAATCGATGCTAAAAATGTTTGGTAACAAAAATAAATGAAAAATTTTGACAACCAGAATCAAATCATATCACCGGCACATGTTTTTTCCTGTAATTTTAAAATAAATCCCGAGTACTAACATTATTATTCATTTGTAACGCACTCATTTTCGATATATTTTGGCCTTGGTGGCGTCAACGAACCCGAATGTTTTAACACGACTTCGAGAGGTGTCCCAAGAGACAAAAAAAGACACAACAAACGCTTATCTGCAGGCATATCCCAGCAAAACAAAACAATATAGGCGATAAGACATCTCGCGCAATACCCGTCAGTACACCACAAAGACAAACATCTCAAACTATAAACGAAAATGTCCAAATTGGATTTTGCGTTATTAACGGTCGCCTTGATCGTATCGGGAGTGTATTCCGGCCGGCATTCGTCGAAGAAGGCCTCCGACACCGCCAAGTTCCACCGCCAATCGTTAAGCGACGAGCCGCTTAGGCAGCGTCACCAGAAAACCCCAAATGAAAACGTAAAGAGAATTGAATTGCAAAACTGTACAGGAGCGATAGGCGTTAGTACTTTGAGCCTCTTCCCCAAGGTGAGCGGACGGTCACTCTACCATAAGCAGGACAAGAACGAACGACGTATACTTTTTGTTGTTTGTATTTTTACGTATTTTTGACAAGACAAGGAAATGGCGAATGAGATTCATATCAAACTTCCAGTTTTTTCGATTTTTGCAAATGAAGTGGATTTTGGTGTTATTGCCACTAAAAATTCTTCCTTCCTTTCTGTTTGTTAACCGACCCGATACAGTCTAAAACTTTTAAAAGTTTGTTTAGGTTCGTTCCAACACCGAATCAATAACAGTGTTTCAGCTAATTTAGGATTTGGATTTGAGCATGCGTGGAACCTTTCCTAAATATGTGCCTGTCTGATATGTCAGTATTTCTATAACTTACAAATCATTAACACTTGATGAAGAATCTGAAATTAGACAATGTAAACATATTTTACAAAGAATACTTCCCTGCTTCCAACATTTGAAGACCCCAAACAATAATCAACACTTGACCCTAAGCAAACTTTTTTAACAATTAAAAAATCATAAATCCTAAAACTCTGAATTGAAAAGAGACACGCTACAATGTTGGCGGAATTTAAAAGCGACATTTCTTGTCCTGTTTACGTCTGGTAACTGCTCATACTCCTCCAATTCTTCGAAGATGGTGTTTTTAGGCTCAAAAAATCACGATCCGCGATTCCGCAGTAGAAACATTCGAACCGACACTAAACCTCACCGACCTAATAGTCATCAAATCGAAATTTCCGACCATCGAGGACACCTTCGCATTGAAGTTCTCATCAGTCAAGAACCTGGTACTTCTCGACGACGACAACGTTACCGTTAACCCCAACTCCTTGAAGTCGTTTAGGAACCTCTCCACCCTCGTCCTGTCGAAGGTGCAACTAGCGACACTGCACGTCACCAAAGATTGGTTCGACGGCCCTGCTACCCTTAAACAGGTAAACCTCGCAGGCAACGGAATCCAAGAAGTCGCGGAAGATGCTTTCGAACGAGCCACTAGCGTGGTCCGCTTAGACCTGACGAATAACAACATAACCTCACTAGCGGCGAAAGTTTTCGAACCGCTGAAGAAGATCAAGGAGCTGGGCCTCTACGGGAACCCTTTGAAGATCGATTTGACAACGTTCGAGGTGATGGGCGACAGCTTGAAAGTCCTAGGACTACCGTGGGAGTCGGCGAATCAAATAGACGCGAAGGAATTGACCGCCAAACTGCCGAAACTGAAGAAAGTCTCTTTCGGGCGAGAAAACTTACCTCAAAACGCGGAACTGGAGGACTTTTGCGCCAAGTTGAAGGAAGCGAAGGTGCATTGTAAATCAGATAATGTCTTCAATGTAGCACAGCTGCTCTGAATACGCAAACGAAAGTTTTGTAATAAAATACGTTTATTTTAACAATATGTACACAGTTTCGTAACAAAATCACTGCACTACGACTATAAAATTCATCCCCGCAAAGCGTAAAAGGTCAGCGAGTACCTGAAATAAAGCCACCGTTTAAAAAAACCCAGAAATATATGTTGCACACCGTGTAGAAGCAGAATTCGGTTAGGAAGATAGGCAACCCAATATATAGCTCAAGTTAAATAATATTTCACTGTGAATGGGAAAATTTCTTAAGATTTTAGCAAAGCGTTTTTTTTAACAAGAGGTGGTGAATACTGCGAATGAAACAACATTTTTTTTGTAAATAAAATGGAGTCTGCATTTTGGTAGACAGTTTTTTTTGTGCGTTGGCAATAATAAGGAACCAAAGGAAATTCTTTTTATTTCTTTGGCGGTACGTTCGGTACCAGTCATCCGAGCACTCACCTAAATCACCACCCATGGTCGAAACCGTGGTGGCTGCTGCCGATCACCACCGGTACCTTATTTTCGATGACGACCGGATACGGTACCTTGACGGGATACGAATTTTCAATGGTGACGGGATACGGTTTGGGTACCGGATAAGGTACTTTGACCGCATAGGGTACATGAATAGGAACCTTAACGGGATAAGGCACTCTTCTTTCCACCGGTACAGGCACCTGTTTCTCAACCGTTACTGGGTATGGTTTGGGTACCTCTACCTTGTAAGGCTTGGGTACAGTGATTTTAACTGGAACCTAAAGAGAACTGTGGGTTCTAAGGAAACCAGGATTGGTTGAGCGACGTATCTCACCTTCACTTTGATAGGGACGTGTTTAACCACAGGGTACGGCTTGGGTATGTAGACCGGGTACGGTTTGGGGACGTGAATGGTCTTTACATCGTGAAATCCTCGCTTTGATCTCTGATGGACAGCATCAAACTCGCAGGAGGCTACACTTAGAACGCATAGAACAATCTGGAAGAGAAATGGCAGAGGTACCACCAGGCGCCAGTCGACGTTACGCACTTACAAAGACCCTCATGTTTCCGATACTGAAAGCCACGGCCGTATACTGAACCCAAACCCATCGCAAGTGTACTATATATACGTTTACTTTCATCGTAGCACCCTTATCGTCTTTCTCCGTTTAATTAAAAAAAAAAAACCCAACCTGTTGGAATGTATGGGCAAATTTCTGCATGAAACGCCAAATCAACGCGGAAACGATCACTTCCAAATATGACCCGGGTAATTTCCGACACGCTTACGTAATCCTGAACAATTTACTTACTTTTGTTCTGTTTAAAAAAAAAAGTGTATCGTTTTTCTCCGGCGGGCTGAGCAGTGGCGTACCGCGCCGCGCCTTTCTTTATCTCCTTTGCCTGTGCCACCAAAAATATTGCGCATTTATTGCTTTGACGTTACAGTACGGACCTGCGCAGGACCGTGGTAAAACTCACACCAACAGATGTTTATTCTGCATTAAGTGGCTCTTGCCTGAGATGGACCGTAACGAATATAAAATTTAAATTTTTATTTCAAACGTAAATGGACCGTTTTAAATTAGGTTAAGCATTGATGTTGCGAGGGATTTTCGAATCAGTTGAAGCGTTTATTTTAACATTAGGTGATATGTACCGCTCTTAAGAGTTTAATCTCAAATGCAATATGTTCGTATATATTACGGAGGTATTTGACTGTGATGCTTCCAGGAAGTACGTATTTATATATCTGATTCTCGAGCTTTGATCCTGATTTTTGTTTGGTGTGTTGGTCGATTAACAATATTGCTCTTCTTGTATTTTTGTGTCTTCTACATTGTTTTTTCTATTTGTAAATAACAACAAACTATAGATGATATTCGCGGTTCGACAGCACAACAAAACGCACATGAAATCTTCAGAATACCCCCTTATCATTGTGTATTTAACCCGATTGAGATGATTTGGTCTGAGTTGAAAGCGCCTATAAGAAGAAATAACACCACCAAAACTTAGTGATAACCGTAATTTGGCAAGAAGTAGCTAAAATATCAGTAAACTGGTCTAACTGTGAAAAACGAGTAATAAAAAAAGAAAATATTGATCGAGAACGATTAGTGGCGAAGTTGACCATTAAACTAGTTGGTTAGTGACGACTTTTTAAGTGACTGATACTTTGTTATCATTATATTTAATATTTTGTATATTAATAATGATACTATGTGGAAATGTAATGAAATAGAACGTAATAAATAGTTACACTTTTTACTTCGGAGCTTGTTTTATAAAAAGTATTACAGTGGCCTGTGGAAGTTTCTTTGAAAAATTAATAAATTGTTACTTTGAACTAATTTTGAATCCCGCTTGTTCCATAGTAGATAAATTCCTAGGACGGTTCTGGAATGGTTACGGGTAAGGGCCTGCTCGACAGGGTGTTCTATAAGGGGCTGCGGTTTTGGAATAATAAACAGTAGGCAAAGTTAATCAAGTAACCCAAAAACGTTATAATAGCCAGTTTTACAGTTCTGAATAGTTTCTTTTATTAATTTTTAAGAGTTAGACTTACTATCATGGGTTTTTAAAGTTTTAAATAATACGTAACAATTGAGGACTGCAGGTGTCTATCATCGTCGGGTATCTTTTCAAGACAACGTCATTGGTCAAAACATCGGAAAAATTAGATTGCTTCATAACAGCTCTAATAATTATATAAATAAGAAGATCTGTTACGAATTAAATGTTACGCCTATGGCGCGAGAAAAAGGACACTTTCAAATCAATTCCTGGCGCCTGACAGTATATTAGAACGCGTTAGGTTAGATTAAAACCGATATACCTACGCTCGTGTAATTTTTTTATATCAGAAAAACGAAAGTTTGAAGATTGACGCTGCGAGAGTGTGACCGAAAAATTTTTTCACACACTACGACCGGAGTGTGATATATAAACAACCGCCATTGAGCGATAGGCGTTTGTTTTGCGCGCAAATAATTGGAGAACATAACACCGCCTCGGAAAACAGAATATCAAATTTAAAATGTCCAACATAGTTCAAATTTTAATAATAGTACGAAGGTCGAACCGCAGAGTGTATAATTCCTTGGAATTCCTGTGGAATTCTTAGAGATTAATCTGGAATTCCTTCATAATGTACACCAAAATTCCTCATTCGTAAACTTATTTTCTTTCCTTCGTTCCTATTAATTGCTTTACAAAACAACGAAGTAAACAACTAGATGCTTTTCTAGCGTTCGCTATTAGGTAGGTCATTCCGTCGTTAAATACGAAATCAACCGGCACGTTAATGCTTACAATACGTAGTTTCGTTATTATCCGCAGGTGCTTTTATTTGAAAATAATAAGCCTGTTCGACAGTTAAGCATAAGAATAATAGTGAGTAGTATTGTTTTCGATACTCCTGGTACAGTACAGCGGCCCTACTAACTCGGCTCTATTGTCGGTTGCCTACCCCGTTGGCGAATAACTCTTCCTGTAAACCGCTTCGTAGAAGTTTAAAATTAATTTCCAACAAAACGACTACGAAACGTTCGGTACGACCATCGGTCTTGGAATACATTTCGTTCAATTATCGAAGGCAAGGTGATTGTGAGCTCGCGTTCAGCGTCGAGTCACGCTCTATTATGTTTCGTTAATTAACCCCAGAATATATTTCGCAGTTCTTCCTGCAACGGTTCACTTTTACCGACCGGCGCTTGTACTCGCGTCTCCGAAAAGCGCGGAAAATGTATTTGTTAATAACTCGAGAGCAGGTTTATTGATGTTAAAAAATAAATAACAATTTCTTACAGAAAACAAAATTAATCACGGCAATTAGGTCAAACACAGGGCAAGGCAAAATCTGACAACGCCTTACGACGGGGGATTTGACAAAAATCGACAGGCATGTAGTTTTCCCGTATCTATTATATACGGGCAGCGCCAAAATTTCCCGACCTGAATATGAAAGAAACAAAGTAGAGTAACAATGTTTTATTATTTTTCAATCCCCCTTAACTTCAATACACTTATTATATATCTCTTTATTAACAACTTAATCCGTTTAAAAAAATATTCTTTTGGTTTGTCTGCAAAATGAGTTAAAACAGTCTCTTTTAACTCAACTTCGTCGTTAAACCGCCGTCCACGTAAGTCCTTTTTCAAATATCCAAACAAATAATAGTCGTTGGGGGCCATATCTGGACTATAAGGAGGATGATCTATCTGTTGGAACGCACACTCTAAAATGGCAGCTTGTGCAACACCAGCAGTATGGACACAGAGAATACAGTGTGGAATCTTCGTTCGGGTTCAAGTTTTATCTCAACAATTTTATTAAACCTAATTTTTATGTACATCAGTGAAATTTTTCATACTTGGTCGAGATCTGAAATGTCAATATCGCTCTCAGAACTATCGCCAGAATTCACGCTAATTATAAGTTCATCCACGTTGTCTTTTCATGACATGTTGAATATAATTACAACAATTTTGTTCAGTAACATGTTGAAATGCGTCATCTATTAACGAACGAACATTTTCTGTATTGAAATCGGAATTGTTCATTGTGACATATCGTTTGACTTGATTCCATACCATCTCGATAAGGTTAAGCTCACTCTCAGTTATTTCTACAATTTTGTATTTGTCATACTTATTTCTGTATGAGTGGGCGACTACCAGCAGCACTGATTTCAAGTACGAGTCGTCAAAGAAAATGTTTTTTTCGAGCAACCAATCATGAATTTCGGCATTTTTCTACAATTTCACTGAATATTTAAATTGACAAGAATGATAGGAAGCATTGTCCATAACAACATTCTTTTGTCCTTGGTAAATTGGGAATTAACGATTCCTCATTTAGTCATGGTAAGCGCCTGGTCAAGAAATTTAGATGTAAAATTACACCCCTCTTTAGAAAACAAAAATAAGCTTATTTTAAAATAAAAATTTGTGATCAAGACAAACCTTGAAGAGTCACATATTGTTTATAAGGTATATGAATACGGTTTAAGTCATTTGAATAATAATGGAACTAAGCGATCCCTACCTTTTACCATACCTATGTAAGTTTGTTTTTTATTCATTGAAAATCCGGTTTCTTTCGTCTCGCCATTATCGAAAAAATTCTGTCCGTGGCAGAAGATGTGGCAGGACTAATGAGGAGAAACCTTTTGTCTAATGATTAACAACAAATAAAAAGTCCGCCAAAACGCCAGGCAACCAACAACGCAACGCTTAATTCTGTAAAAAAGAATAATTTTGTTTAAAATATTCAAAAAGTAATCACGCTAATTTGGAAATAAATAAAATTTAATGGTTCTCCCCACATGCTAATTGAAAAAAATTCTCAACATATATAGCCGTGAAACGACCCATTTCCATTCAAAATTAATTAATTCTGATGCAGATGCAGATCTTAGATTAGGAAATTAGTCACGCCACCTTGTCATCGCGTTATTGAAAAAAGCGGGATATTTGTCTCCTTGTGAGCAGCCCTATTCGTTAGTTTTCAAAACTCACTTTAAATCAATAATACCGAAAACCGAATAATAAGACTCTGCGCAGTTCAACATGTCCGCTGCCAGTTTAACAATTCGACAGTTTCCCATTTCAACGTGGCATTTTTTCGGCAGGGTTTCGCCAAAATATGCCCAGATCCCATTAAATTTTCAGAGAAATAGTGCGAGTGGAAGGAGATCGCTGTTTAAAAGTAAAATTGCTCAAAAAGTAGATTAGTGTGTAAAATTTAACAACAAGTGCAGTAAATGGCATTTGACTCACGAGTTCATTTAACGCGGGTGGGTCGCAGCGGAGCGAGTGTTTAATAAACCGCTCTAGCGTGCGGGAAACATCACTTTACCACTTTACGGTCATGTCAGTCAATGTATTGGTGTTGTTTTGCGAAAATGTACCCAAAAACTAAAGGTCGTAGAAAAATTATAGTATGCAACACGTTCGGTAAACTTTTTAAGTCATTCGTTTATTAAACACTCGCTCTGCTACGCACCGCTCGTGTCAAATAAACTCGTAAATAAAAAGCCGTTTACCGCACTTGTTGCATAATATACTATTACCGAACGTGTTGCATACTATACATTTTCTACGACTGTTAGTTTTTGGGTACAGTTTCACGAAACAACACGAATACATTCACTGACATGACCGTCAGAATTGACAAACGTCAAAATATCCGATTGCTCCCAAACCCGGGAACGGAAAATCCCGGAAATGTCCGAAGTAGCTCGGATCCATGGGAAACGAAACTGACGTGGTAATTAGGTATTTTACAGACGGGAGTAGAAAAAATCTTTCTTCGCCCTTGTTTACGAGATTGTCATAGCCGCCTGAAGCGTATCAGTTTTCCTGTTAAAGCTAATAGCTATATGAGTTTGCCTCGATAACGCGCTACCATAAAACGAGGAAAGAACTACTGCGCGGAATGTAGAAGTAGAAATGATCGTCTGCGACCTCTGCGCGTGAATCGGTGCCATTAACGGCCGCGACTTTTCAAGCCGAACGTTTTTTTTTTTCGACATTTTAATGGTCGGGAGATCTATTAGATTAATTGACGATAATGGTTATCGAAACCTTGCAGTTACCAAGGCCCTGGGGGCTGCGTTCCTTTCCTAGTTATACTTTCAAATCGGTTTCGGAACGGCTAAAATTGGAAATTAGACCCAAATAGCTTTTCTGATAGGACAAAATTGAGCAATTTATAATTTCACGTTGTTTCTTATCGAAAATAAATAAAATTATTTTTCCACTCTCGACTGACCCAATGTCATGGACGTGGCAACGTTGCTCAGACGGCATCACGACTCCGGCAGAGGTTCCGCATCTTTAATTTTCGATATCGATATGATTTATCGACACGACTTGTGGCTTCCGACATCGCGTAATCGCCATGATCTGGCGGCTAGCTAGGCCCGAAACGCATATGGCCAAGGAATGGCACCTATTCGTGCGTATTAAACACCGTTTAAGACCGCATTGAATTTATAATTATTGGATATGGCGAGTACCTAAGCGGTCACGTTTTGAGTTTACGTAATATGAAGTCTTTTTGCTATTTGAACGCAATCAGCGATCTGCGTTGGACAGAATCGTGATTCGACGTATCCTATGTTCCAATCCACTCGAATTGAACTGTGCATTTTGGATCATAATGACAACAATGTAAATCTAGTTCCATCTGGTGCGCTTCTAGGGTCCCACTTGAGCCTCTTGCTTTAATATTCTTTATTTCTTCTCTTTGCTGACGACTTAAAGTTATTAAAGAAAATTATCATCCCCGATGACTGATGGGCTAATGGAATGGATCCCAATATGTCAAAGCGAAAAGTAACGAAAATTCACTATAGCAAAAGTTTTTAATGACTGTATGTGAATGATATTTTAATAGTATCTCACTGGAGTGATCGGATCAATCCGGCTATTTAAGTTTACTTATCAATCAATATCAGCCACAATATCACGACTACAATATAACGCTATTCATACTAATTCCCGTAAATACATAACCAAAAAAAAAAATATACGTTAAAAAAATAAAACAAAAGATTATTAGTTAGAAGCGGGAGTAAAATAATTAGGATTATTTGATTAATAGACTAAAATAACACCAAAAGTCAAAAGGGTAATGAAAAGTCAACAACAACAACAAATTGAATGAAAACTAAAATGAAAATGATTGGATTGGAATGTAATTATATTAAATTTATTAGCCATTGGTTTGTCATGATCAGGTACAGTTTAGTCTAGTTCTGGATACGTTTATTTTTTTTGTCGTACTTTTTAAGCTAGCCATATTTTTTCATTAGCAGCTAATGAATTCTCGATCTCTCCTGACATAGTAGCCATTTGTTTAGTCGAGATTTAAACAAAGTTAAAGAATTCATATTTTCGATTTCAATCGGTAGCTCACTGTGGATATTTGGGGTTAAGTACAAAAAGAATCTTTGTCCTAGTGAGGTGTTGGTTTGAGGAAGGTAACCTGTTACTACTTTGTGCCTGGTGTTATGATTATGCTTTATGGTTTGCTTTTTTCTTATATTGTCGCATTGCTATACTTTGCTTTACTTGAATATCTAAAATTTCACTTTCTCAGAATAACTTATTTCTTTCATATAGTTGATTCTTGCCATAAATTATTTTTGATATCCACTTTAGAGTTATTTCTAGCGTTCTAAGATAAGTTAATGTGGTTGAACAAGTGCGAGATATAAGGTTCTCAAGTACGACATTTCAAAATATGTTTTCAATTCTTTAAATTTTCTGATTAAAGATCTTAAGCGGTTAGTTTTGGTTAGTTTAGTTAGTCAAGTATAATCCTTAAAAATTTGATTGTAGTTTTATATTTTATTTACACAGAATGATTCGCATTTATTTTGATATTCAGTTCTTGGAAGTCTGGGAGAGAGTCGGAATAACATCCATAAGGCATAAAATTACTCTTTTTGTAATTGCTGGTTAAGACATGGTTACTCAACCATTCAAATATATGCTGTAGGTCATGTTCGGCTTTTTTTTTAAGTGCTTGCCAGGATTTACCTCAGTAGATTATAGCAGAGTCGTCCGCAAAGCATATTAGTTCTCCAAGAGATTTTATGTTAAATGAATTATTCATATAAAGTATAAACAATACTGGGACCAAAACTGTCCCTTGGGGAACGCCAAACTCTACATTTGCTTCTTCACTAACCACATTTCCTACTTCAATTTTCTGTGTTCTTTCAGAAAGAATTTTTAAAAAAATTACTACAACACCGCTGATACTATATTTATTTATTTATTAAATTACTTGCTCTTTGAGACACAAAGAGGCTAAAGTGCCCTCTTGAGAATCCAAATATAAGTACATAATATTAAAGTACATAATAAAAAAAGAAAAAAGGAAATAAATATATGCGATGAATTGAAATATTGGATTGAAAAGGGCATCAAACCGCCAATCTTATCACAGAGAAGCCGAATGAAAAGAAAAGAAAGAAAAATGAAAAGGTTCTGACTTATTTATTTATTATATGGTAAACTTTAAATAAGTAAAAACAGGAGAAAATTACCAATCAGATAACGGTCAGTGTCTTCTTTAAGGAATCATGTGAGATCGTAAAGAAATCCAGGTTTAAACAGTCAAGGATTGCAGCTCTCAGGATACGTATAGTTATTGGTGTTTCTAAATTAAATTTCTTAACTAAATTAAATGAAATTCTTGCCAATATCTCAGAGGAGTCCACACGGCTATTAAAAATTTTATGCAAGAAAAGAATATCAGTGAATTCTCTTCGATAATCCAATGTTAAAAGTTTATAATGCATTCTTACGTCGTTTAAATCCTGTGGTATTAAGTTAAGATTTTCTTTATAAGGGAGGTATTTCAAAAATTTGCTCCGTAAACTTTCAATCCTATTTACAACACACTTAGGGCTCCAAATGACAAAAGCAAAATGTATTCTACTATGAACATACGCCTGATACAGGCTAAGATAAACGCAAGCCATGTTGAACACTTTTACTTATCTATTAATGAAGCCTAGCAGCATAATATGGCAGTATTGATGTGAGAACATTCTTTTCAGAGTGTTATCATTGACAAAGTAGTCGAAAGGAATAGGAATCCGATTTCTAGTAAAAGATATAACAAAGCATTTTTCAATCTTTATATAGAGACCATTATTTTTGCAGTATGATCCAAAGCGCTAAATATCTTAGTGTAGTAATTTTTCTGAAAATTTTCAGGTCGGCAGCATACAAGCAAAATTTGCTAAGCAGAAAGCATTTCGTTACGTCATTAGTGCAAATTATAAAAATTGTATGGACGATTGTTATTTTCCATTTGTGCAACTTTCGAAAATTGTTATAAGCATTTTTTTTTTGGTCCTACTGGATACCAAAAAATTTTTGGCATAAAATATCGTCGAAATCGTTTTGCTAATAAGAAGTGCAATTCACAACTATTGCGAAACCAGCGGCGGGGTCGAAATTGAAAAGATAAATTGTCCAATACATTATTGCCTCTCAGGACTATCCGCTGTCTCAGAAATGACATTTAAGTTGTTTTCTAATTCAGTGTTAATATCACCGCGCATCGATAGGTGCTTTTTGATGTGGGGCATTTCTTTTCACGTACGCCAGTGTCGTTCGTTGGGAGCTCAATATTGTTACACGGAAAATATCTCCATTATCCGGAAATAGATTCCAAATCTGCTCATAACCAAATAAGGATTTCAAAAATGCACAATGATATATCAATCAATCTTTTTAATGTTCGATCAAGAAAAACGATCGGAAAATACTACGAAACAAAGAAGCGTTGGTGCGTCGGAAACCCTCGGCGTCTGATTTTTCACGCACTTATCGTTATCGACAATCCGCGCGTATATGCGAAATCGTTGCACGCTCGCCTAATATCGTGTTGAAAAACGCTTTTATTTTCCGCAATTAGCGTATATTATTGCGAGGGTGCTGCTCAGTTGGTGGGGGATGCGTGTCCGTGTGTAGAAAGCATTGGCTGACGTTTTGACACAAATATCGTTATCAGCTATAAAAGGCCTAGTCGGCACTAGTCCCGCCAACAGTCGTTCGTTTTTGTGTGCCCAAAAATGAATCGCCAAGTAAGTGCCCTTTTTACAAAACAGATCCGTCAAGGCGCCCATCAGTGTTCATTTTTCAATAACATGTGCTGCATTATTTTCATGTATTTTGGTATTTTAATACGCTACCAATGCGAGCAATTTTTTTAACTGACATAATTGTGAATTTGCACGTAAATTCAGTTAAAATTAAACTAACTTTATAAAGCAGTTTTGGACGGCCCTGTATTTATTTATTTTTTCATACTTTTACAATATCCTCTTAAAAGGTTCCCGCAGTTTTAATGTGCTTTCTTAGGTTTGTCAAGTTGTAGTATATTATGCAACAAGTGCGGTAAACGGCATTTGACTCACGAGTTTTTTTGGTTAGTTTTGGTTAGTGCTTAATGAACGAGTGACTTGAAAGGTTTGCCAAATGTATTGCATACTATACTTTTTCTACGACCGTTACGACAAATCACAATTTAACAAATTAAAAATTATAACAGATTACAGGATTACTAAATTTCGTACCATTCAAACAAAATATTTGCTAGTTGCCATTAAACCTATTCGTTTATCGTTCCGATCGGTTCTGCTGTTGTTGTCTCTTTTTAACTGTGTAGGTACGTTAATGGATATGTCATATAAACAACGGAATAAACACAATTTTAAAACGTTAGGTTGTTTATTTAACGTTTACAATTGATCATTAAGTAGTTTATGTAAAGCAAAAGACTGTAGCTGGAAGAAGAATCATCAAGAGGATTACATTTTTAAGCCAGCCAGAAAAAGCAGGTCCTAACCTTCAACCTTTGTTTGTAGTGAGATATGGATATTTGAAAATAGTACAATTGATCTGAGCAAAATATGAATATAAAAACTGTAAAAACCAGTAAAGTTCATGCGAAAGGTATGAAAAATATCTGTGGAAAATTTAAATTATAAATGTCACTTTACTTACCGACTAGCCCACTAGATTTTAATTTTAGGATATAGCACGTAGTATTTAAATTGTCTGATATATTGCACAACATTTTTCTGTGTATTACTTTAACACGAATACATTCACTGATATGATCTCCGAAAACATCCGATTGCTCCCAAACCCGTGCGATAAAATCCCGGAAATGTCCGAAGTCGCTCGGATCCGTGGGAAACGAAGCTGACGTGGTAAAGTGGCGCTTCCCGCACCCTACATAAATTAAGTATCGGGTTGTTCTTTGGATTTTTCGACTTTTTCGGTATAAAAATATTGAATATTGAAAATATATCCTGCCATATTTGATTTAGAAATAAAATGTCACCCCAGGCTTCCCGCAAAGAAAAGCGCAACAGTTATCGATTAATAAATATTGAGCTGGTTTAAGAAGTTACTCTAAAATGGCGTTACTGCAACAAGTATGACTTTTAAATGAAAATATTTCCCAGTACAAAGAGAGCAATCGCTCATTTTTGTTCATAAAAATTAATACTGCGTATAATAAAATCCAACATTTTTACCAGAATGATACCAAATAGTTAAATATAAAAATATTTTTTTTTTGCAGTGTGAAAATAATATAATAAATTATTTTATTTTATTTATTTTACTACGTGCGCGTGATTTTACAACATGCGAATTTACAAGTTGCTACAACACGAAAATAAGTTTTGACATTGTCTTCAAATATTTTTAAACAAAAAGCTTCTCACAACCGACAGACAAGTTGCATATGTAAAATACCGTGTTATTACGTATGCTTTGCATATAGATATTTTGATAAATATTAATTAAAAATATACATAGTTTCAAACTGCACTTCATGTAACTTTTAACGACCTGAGCCCGTTTAAAACGGATCACTTTCTAAAGTTTTCTAAGTTTTTAAAACTCAAGGCTTACAAATCGTTGTTACAAAAATAATCATGGAAAACAAAATTTGACCGATTATGTTAAAAAACAAATGTATTGCGTTAAAATAAACGATACCTCGATTTTTCGTTCCAGACGCTCTCCATATTGTTCTTCGCCGGATTAGTCCTCGCGGCCGCCAAAGCCGGAGAGGAGAAGAAGGCTGAAGAACCCAAACCAGCAGAGAAGAAGCAGGAAAAACGAGGCCTTTTCGACCTAGGCTACGGAGGGGGTTACGGAGGCGGCTACGGAGGCGGATTCGAACACGGCGGTTTGGAATTGGGGGGCGGCTACGGCGGCGGTTTCGACGAAGGCCACCATCATGTCAAAGTCATTACCAAAACGATCCCGGTACCGGTACCCAAACCGTATCCCGTCACCGTCGAGAAGAAAGTACCGGTACCCTATCCGGTCAAAGTGGCGGTACCCGTAGAGAAACCTTATCCGGTACCGGTACCCAAACCTTATCCCGTTCCTGTTGAAAAACCGGTACCTTATCCAGTCGAGAAACCAGTACCGTACCCGGTAAAAGTACCAGTCAAAGTACCCGTAGCGGTACCTCATCCGTATCCCGTGCCGAAGCCGTACCCGGTGGCGGTACACAAGCCGGTACCTTATCCCGTTAAGGTGCCCGTGGTCGTCGAAAAACCGTACCCTGTCTATGTGAAACACCACGAACACCATGACTTTGGGGGCTTGGAGTTGGGAGGTCACCACGATTTCGGAGGGCACCACGGGTTCTAAGCGGCGACTGTTTACACCCCCATCGGTACCCACGCCCTCCCCCCTTTCGCTCATCAGTATTGTCTCTCCAACGTCGTACCTAAATCGTTGCCTTAATTTATGTTGTTTTTTTTTTTATTTATGTGCTTTAATTTCTCTTTAAATAAAAAAAACGTTCTGTAAACTGTGATAAACGGTCGAGTTTTTTTTCAGTGCATAGCCATGGAAGGCTCCATACACCTGCGGACCACAGACTACCAAATAGTTCATAATTTTGGACTGAATTTATTTTCAGAGCCAAACTGAAAACAAAAATTGAAAAACGATAGTAAATGTAGAGTTTCACGCCATCCAAAAGCGCATTTTCACAAAGTACGACTAAGTTTCATAGATCCTGCATATCGTTTTCTGAATATGCTATATTGAGATGAATTTTGAATTATAGAGTCAGAGTTGTAAAGTGTCGAATTAAAAAAAAATAAAGTGCTAGTGGAAATTTGCAAGAAAACAATGTCAAGTTTACCACCCTGTATAATAAGGATTATAAAACGACATCAGATCTATAACGAAAATAAAACTCGCAAATCTTATTTATCTATCTCACAGGCATTGCATAAAACAAATTTTAAAAAATTGATTTGTTAGTTGCAAGTGGTGGTGCCTTGTAAATTAAACATGTAACTTTGGCAGTGGTTTTGTACATCCAATTTATTTTTGTAAGACGAACCCTATTCCTAGGAGGCACAAGTGTCGAGAAATAAAGTATACTCCAAGCAATTAAAACATTGGTGTCACTGCATCCACCGACAATTTTCGCCGCATTGCAAAAGCCGTACGTATCAATTAGCAATTTTGTAATGATAATAAACATGCCGGCGATCTGGATATATGCAAGGATGTAATTAGAAGGCATTTATTACGCAAAGTTTCTGCTCGATAACCATGCGGCGATTGCCTAATTTTTAATTAATAATCTTTAAGGAAACGTATCGTGGCTGCATTGCGAAAACAGGGCGGGTGTTCCGCCACCCATTACAATACAGGGTGTCGAAATAGTTGGCAGTTTCTGGACGACTTGTTCAGCGTACCCTAACCGTATTCCAGTCAAAAACAAATTTATTTGAAGTAAATTATTATTATTATTAATTTCATATAGAAAACTTTAAGCTATTAGCTGCGCACAACAATTGGACCCCTAATCCTCGAGCGTGATGTCATTTCGTAAGTAGCAAATTTTGGGTTCTTTCACTGTGTGCAACTATCACGGGAATGTGGGAAGTGGGAAACGTACCCGTTTTGATTGGTTTCGCTTAGAAAACCATTTTACGTTTTTCAGGATTTTTCAGAATGTAAAATGGATCTAATTAATCTTTTCTTTTATATTACATGCACACTAGACTTAAGAATGTATTTTGAGTGTCATTTTAGTAATTTTATTAATTAAACTAATACAAAAAAAGAAAATAAGTAGCCAATTTACTAATATAATTAATTCCCATAGATTTCGGCGAAACCGAAGGTAAAGGAAGATATCCTCGTCTACCTCCGTGTTTCGCGGCTTTCTTATTGAATTTTCGTTACAGTTTTTTTTACTCTTGATAAAATAATTCTTAATTTATGTTTGTATGTTAAATTAAGATAAGCTTTATTATACGCCAGTAATATATTATGAAACAATCCGTTTTAAAAAAAATTTACCATAGTATTTCAATTTTTTGGCACACGATATCTCTAATTTTTCCGAAAAAAATTAAGTTTGTGAATATCAACCGTAGTTCGATTTATTAATAAGGAAATTTTACCTTAGTTAATTTTCCTCTGGCGAAAAATTCAATAGGCGAATTAAAAAAAAAACAACGGTTTGTAGGAAATTTTATATCAAAAAAGTTACAAAAGAATCAACAATATTTACAGAACGATAACAACGAGACAGACAAAAAAACAGTCTTATTCCGGACGACCCGATCGACACGCAGAAACGTCTTTTTTTTTTAACGCTAAGCTATTTAGAGCAATCCCCCACCTAATGGTACTGCCCGTCCCCTCCCTCGCCACCGTCCAGTGGCGTCCACCCTTTATTATCCACTCCGCCCACCTGGACGTCGTCTTCTAAGGCTTTGGCGTCGTAGGAACTTAGAGAACCGCCCCCGTAATCGGCCTCTCCTAAGGCCGCCCCGTGATCTTCTTGCACCCCGTAACCGCCCCCTTCCAAAGCCTGTTGGTGTTCGACTCCCCCACCGTATCCTCCAATCTGTTGGGCGTTGTTGTCATACCCTCCGTGGTTTTCTTGGTGCACTGGTACCGGATACGGTTTGGGTACCTCGACGGGGTAGGGAACTTTTTTCTCGATCACCTGCGGTACCGGTACCGGAACCTTTACGAGCTTGGTGTGCTCCACGGGGTACGGTTTGGGTACGTGAACCGGGTAAGGCTGCGGCACTGGAATTTTGACAGGATAAGGTTGAGGGATGGTAATTTTACTCTCCTTGGTGATTTTGATCTCCGGGCCGGGTACGTGATCATGAGAATACTCCCCCAGGTCGAGGATATCGTACTTGGGGTAAGAAATCTTGCCGAACGACGACAAGTCGGGTATTCCTTCGAGTTGCTGTTGTTGCTGACCCGAACCGTAGTGACTAGCCGATGCCTTTGGTCCCAGTAGGGAGCAAATTGCTATACCCGCCACCTGAAAAGTGTTCGATGAACTAAACCGTCACATTTCTACGAATAAAAATACTAGAGGGAATTCGAATTGTAACGAACCACACAAAATATTCATTAGTATGGGCGCAAATTGTGTCTCTTGTCATGGGTAAACAGCTTAGAAACTTTCAATATGATTTTAAAATTGGGATCATTCAGTCTTGTACCGTAGAAACAGGACTAAGCACCCAGACAACCCGAAGACTCGGAGTCTACGAAGCAATCTTAGTTTCTTTACCAAAACTTATCGGTACTCAGAGTTTGGTTTACTGTAACACCTCGTATATAGGTACTTACAAAAATGTTCATGATGACGCGCGCGCTCTGACGTTCGAAACTGAATGCGGAACCGGCTACAAACTGCTATTTATATCGAGCGGAACCGAAATATCTGGTCACTTATTTCCCCGTCGAGAAGAAATTGTTACTTTCTTCCAGTCCGGCAAAAAAGACTAGCGTCATCTATACAGTCCATTCTCTGATATAATATTAATACTCGTGTGACATGGGCGTGCCGGAAGAATATCGCAGCGCCGACTCGCAACGTTCTACGTAGTTAACCGCGAGAGCGGACGAACTTTAACGCGTCTGCGTCGCGACGCGCCGCTATCTCGAAGCAACCCGAATGCGTCGAGACTTTTTTCTGATGCCTTTGAACTGTCCAAGGTCACCGGTACGCATCTGAACACGGCGAAGTAAAAGTACTATAAATTCTCGGACGTAATTCTAGTTCCGCCAATTATGTCACTCGGAACGGCTTAGTGCGTCCCCAAATGTCATCAACTGCACGCGGTGACGCGACAAACCAGATGTAAGCTATGATTCCGAAGACGGTGACAGCGACAAGCGACAAGCGACCGCGACAGACGACAGCGACACCTGTCATTACTGTGTTGCGACTCCACCGATCTTTAAGAATCAAATGGAGTCCGACGACAGGTGTCCGGTATTTCTCCAGCACACGCAGATTTTTGACAAAAAATAGATTTTACCAGGGAGGAACAAGACAAAATAATTAATTTAGTATGTAAATATCCTACTCTCTATGATACTAGTGTGGAGAATTATAAAAATAATTTGATTAAGGATAATATATGGAAAGAAATTGGAAGGGAACTAAAGAATATATATATATATATATATATATATATATATATATATATATATATATATATATATATATATATATATATATATATACGGTAATTGGTAAAAAATGGTAATCTTTTAAATACGAGCATTTACTACTTTTTCTTGCCATATTACCGCGCCCTGTCGGTTGGAAAAATAGTCTTTCAACTTAACTCTAAATTGTAGTCAATTAAAACTTGCAAAGCCACCACTACTGGTCAAGTTTACCATATTTATCTGAGTTACAGCATCTTGAATATTATAAAATACGGTATTATCTTCGAGGTAAGCATCACGTAAAATGGTTATTATTAGGCTATCTACCACTTCTGAGACAAGTGCTAAATAAAATACCCTAAATATTTAGCTTAATAATCCAAAAGAATTTTCTGTTACCCAAGAGCACGACATAAATTTCTTTTTCAGCATCCACTCCGACAAGTCTTCTACAATATGGTTTCATCATAAATGTATTGTTATCACCAATTAAAAAATGTGGTATCTCCACATTTGTGCCAGGTAAACATTTTGATGAAGGAGTATTGTTTGCAATTTTTTCCCCAACTCTGATTTTTGTAATATTCCATTGCCACCTTCTTTGCGGTAGGATCCCACATCAATGGCAATAAATTTACAATTTACGTCTACAATGGCCATTAACACAATGGAAAAATAATCCTTATAATTGGTGCTTTAATGCGCACATGTTTATCATCTATGCTGCCAACACAATTTGGTATATTCTACACTTGCACAAAATTCTTGTTATATGGGCTTAAAATCATTTGTAGAAGGGGGCGGCATGGTAATTGGTATTAGTTTTGCACTTACTACCTTAAGAACTTGTTTTATGATGCTTAATATAGGAGGCTGATATGCGGTAGACAAATGACATAGGTTTGTAGCTTTCCCCCGTCATCAAAAACCTAAAAACAATGGTAATTTCCAATTTCATTTTAATTCCATGAAAAAGGGAGTTAATGTTTCAATTCATGATTTAATTCCTAAGTATACCTCGTAAAAAAATAATATTTTACACTTTCAGGTGAGGACTGCAAGAAGAAATGGAAATACATTAGAGATGCCTATATCAGATTTAAAAGGAAGTTGCAGCTCCAAAGAACCCTAAAATTAAAACTTATGAACAGTTGACATTTTTAGAAAATATACCTCAACATCGCTCTGGGAGCTCGAATATTCCTTTGTCGGAGACTCAGATATCATAGAGGGCACATCCCAAGATATTCAGATCACGGAAGAGTGTACCGAAGTACCGGGTAATGAAAATACGCAAGAAAGTGGCAGAGAGAACAATACGGAAGAAATAGATACTCGGAAAAATAGAGCCAACAAAAGTTTGGCTCGTAAGCGACGACCATGTAACAGTAAAGATGAAAATATTGTAAAATATTTCAAACAAAGGGACGATAGACGAGAAAATGTAATGAAAAATGTAATCAAAAAGGACGATATTGAATTATTTTCTCAGCACGTAGCTGAAGTATTAAGGAGAGAAAGTGGCAGAGAGAACAATACGGAAGAAATAGATACTCGGAAAAATAGAGTCAACAAAAGTTTGGCTCGTAAGCGACGACCATGTAACAGTAAAGATGAAAACATTGTAAAATATTTCAAACAAAGGGACGATAGACGAGAAAATGTAATGAGAAATGTAATCAAAAAGGACGATATTGAATTATTTTCTCAGCACGTAGCTGAAGTATTAAGGAGTCTTCATCAGATTTATAAAGCTCAAGCAAAAAAACAAATTAATGATGTGTTACATCATTTTGAAGTACTAGCAGCTACCGACATAAATAATTTGGCACTTAGTCCCTTGGTTTCTAATTTATTTTCTGGGCAGTTCAGCATATCATACACGCCGTCTCCCATGACGAGTCCTACAGAAACGAACGATTCGCCAGAATATAATTCAAAACAACAAATCATAATCAATACCTATTCTCCTCCGATTCAAGAATTAGCGAATAATGAAAATAGTATTAATGAATTAATTTCCAAAAACTTACTTTAAGGTTAAAAATAGTTTCTCTTCTGCAGTTAGTACTTTTCAAGTAGTTTTAGGTTGAATTTCGTTACCAATTAAACCAAGTACAAAGTTGAATTGCTTTTTATTTAACCAACAACAGCTTCTAAAAGTCGTCTGTCTCATCACTGAATAAATGCTTTTTTATGAGTAAGGAATAACTTACTTCCCTAGATCTGCTTTTAAACAGAGGTAAAATGGGGTTTCTTCTTTTCTTTGCAACAAGTAACAATTATATTTCGTCTTCTTCATCATCTTCCGTCAGTAATTCAAGTAACACATTTTTATCAATCACGTAATCAGACATATTTATTAATTATTATAACTACTTGGCGAACGTCATTTAAACATTGACAACTACATCGCAGATCTCGCTCGCAATAAGCGACACTGTCGCCTGTCGTTGTCGTCTGTCGCGGTCGCTTTTCGCTGTCGCCGTCTTCGGAATTATACCTTTACAACTGCAAGCGACCTAAGGATGCTATGCTTCTTACATATAATTTAATAATTAATAAATAATAATAATAATAATGGAAGGCACACCGTAAAAATGCCCTTTAAGTCGTCGGTTCCTGCAGTAGGCCCAATTAAAATCACATTTAATAAAGCTTCGCCGTCATCACAATTCGAATACAAATGAAATGCATTTAATTTTGCACAAACCACCCTTGACAAAAACTGATAACATAGCAACGAATAATAGTTTTTTCTACTGTCTGTAAAATACCTAATTACCCACCGATTTAGCATACGGGAAGCGTCACTTGACCACGTCAGTTTCGTTTCCCATGAATCCGAGCCACTTCGGACATTTCCGGGATTTTACCGCACGGATTTGGGAGCAATCGGATGTTTTCGGAGATAATTTCCACGCCTTGAATTTTGACGTTTGTCAGTTCTGACGGTCAAGTCAGTGAATGTATTCGTGTTGTTTTGCGAAAATGTACCCAAAAACTAACGGTCGTAGAAAAAATATAGTATTCAACATGTACGGTAAACTCACTCGTTTATTAAAAATTCGCTCCGCTCATGTCAAATAAACTCATGAGTCAAATGGCGTTTACTGCACTTGTTGCATAATATACTATATTGACACGTATGGTAGAATAATCTGGTAAAGGCATCGAAGGTAACATTAAACATTATTAAATATGTAAAAACGGCCACTTTTGTTTGCTGTCAGCAGCGCCACCAGCGAAGAATAAATTTTCGAATAATCGCAGGACTGGGTCTAAATTTAATGGGACTCTAATGCTCGTTTTACACTGAACCCGATGGTCAATTTCTTCGTCTTTAATGTACTAAATATGAGGCGTATACAAATAGTTCGCCATTTTAAAACCAGGATTACTTGATCGTATGATTAAGGAACTTGTTGGCGCGAATTTTAAGGGCGAGTTTAAAATATGTTAGGTTGTTAAAAAACGATTACTATTATTTGATCGTCCCATTACTTAAGGTTGTCGCCCATTTCTACGAAACGGTAGAGGCTCCTTACTACCAGTCGCCTGCAGGCCGTGACGGACTAACGAATGGTGATGGTTTTAATCCTATCCATAATTTTGACGGGCCGTATTGGGACGGACGTGACGGCCAAATGGGCGAGAACCAAAAAGGTTAGGGACTCTTTCTTTGGCACCAGAAAACAGTTTATTCGGCTGTTATTATTTCCAAATCGTACCAACCAATATTTTGATTGATAATATTAATTAATTAATATTAACCAATATTTCATTTTGGCCCATTTGGTACAAATGGCCGTTAACGACATAGATAGGAGTGGTAACCTCTGCGCGTGGTCACACGTTTTACACTTTACGTCAATGACCTTGAAACGCCAAAGATCGGCGGACTCTGGTCTCCTTTGTTTCATTTTACCGGTGCTTACTACGGATTAATAGACTGACCGAGGTGAAGGGATTTCTGTTTCACTTTCACCGTAACATAAATATTAACACTTTGATTACATCGTTTCGACTCGTCCATCATTCTTCTGGGTTAGATCCCCTAAACCTACTCGATGACTGCGTTCCAACGGATAGTAGACGCTTCCTCTTCGAATGTTGACACATTTAATACTGACGTCTTGGGATTGGGTTCATGGAATACTGCGACAGGAACAACTCCATTCCGCGGATGTGTTAATTAACTTAAAATAATATGCAAATATTATCTTAATGAATTACAAAACATTGAAAATAGTAATTTATTAATTAAATACCATAAATAATTTACAAGAATTTTTCTGTTTAGTTTAATTTTTATGTTTGAAGAAAATTAACGTTTCAAAAATTTATTATAATAGATTATTATATTATTTAATTTTATTTCTATGTTCAATATTCATTAACTTATGTATTAGTTATAACTATTTATTATAATCTTATAATTAATATTCTTATTATTTAATAATTAACACAAATTATTTTATCCCTATAAATAGCAATTTATTAGTTTATCATAATATACATACTAATTCTGATTTTATTGTAAATTTCGTTTAATGTTAATTTTTCTTTTAATTAGTTTTCACAAATTAATTAAATTTGCAATCATTCTTTGCTCGTTAATGTTAACTAATTATTTAAATAATTCAATTGTAAAAGAAAATTTATCAATTAATTTATAAGTTAATTAATGTAACTAAATTAGCAAAAATTAATTGTAATTATCAATTCTAATTTAATAATTAATTAACAGTAAAATGATAAGCCAACATAACATTGTCAACAGACCGATCGGTCGCAGTTCCCACACTTTCTTCGACGGAACATAAAGAGGGCGTGTCCATTTTTCGCTTTGCTCCGAACAAGCCACCATAAACGCCCGGTTACGTAATAACAACAACCAACAACGATTCGCTGGATTCCCTGGGCTGCGATTGCCCAATAGTTTTTAATTATTTTTTCCGTTCGAATCAATCTTACACACACAAAAGATCAGTTTTGCGTAATCCAAAACAATCTCCGCCGCCCACTTTCTACGGCATTTGAAACAATCGAAATCTCAATTATTACAATAACGATTCGTTTATAAATAATTGTAACAGCCGGTATTAACAGAAATTGAAATGTCAAACCGCTGGTCCTTACCGCCCTGGCGCATTCACCATAATTTTAGTCGTGGTCACGAGAGGTGTCATGAGACTCCCGGAGTATAATTTTAAAGATTTGTAGTCGTCACGTGGGCTTAAGTCCGAAAAACAAAATAGAAATTCGTTCTCCAGTGCTGCATGACTTATTATTATAGGCAAATTAAAACTTGATGGAACTTTTGGAGGCTTTTACACAAAAAACTCCACCTCTTATACTGTGTCACGTATGACAGGATCTTTGCGTTTCGACTGGCGCATTAGGTGTAGGCATATAGTGGCCCTACTACAACAAAAATTAATGCGTGGCAGGCGGCATTTAGGGAAGGGATTGATTTTCCTAGCATGCCTCTATATTTCACCCACTAACCTGCACTTTGCACCGTTTTCTTTCTAAATAACGTTTTCCACACACTTAACTCGGTTTTCCAGAACATTTAACGAGATTTAGGCGTATTTTGACAAAATACTGCCGCAAAAATACCGCATCCAATCTTATTGACGATCTTGTTGGTTGAAAGCTCATTGGTTAAAAAAAGAGATTACAAATCTCACGCACACGCATTTCGAATGGACCGCCTCATTTTTTTTTACATAGTTGCTTCATGAGTTCCTGTACACTGAGCATAGCCAGGGCCTTTATATGTGTACTAGCTATATGCGTGTAAGTGTTGTTGGGGCTCCAAGCTTTCGTATTATTCAACAAGCACTATCAAATAACATATTATCGTAAAGCGGTAACATTTAATTTGGTAAACTGTCGGGGCCCTTCGAATCGCTTTCGCAATCGTTAACAATTACTGTCTATGAGCGATTGTTATTCTCTTGCTGTTTACTGGAGTGTGACCGTCTTGGCCAAATTATGGGTTACCTAATGGACTTTATGTATATCTGGCTTTCGTAATTCGCTCGCATGCATCTTAAGATACCCGCCAGGCTGATTTTCGTTATTTACGCCTCCGTTGTTCGTATATAATGAGATTGTGCTCTCGCACGTCTGTTATTTGATTGTTAGACAAGTGCTTGTCCTTATGAATTTTTTTTGAAAATGGAAACACTAAATTAGAAGCAGAATGCAGAAATTTAAAATGTTTTTACCGTATCTTTTGCGTCCACATAAGAAATATTTCTGCACCATTAGAGGCAACTGAATCGTCAAAAAAAATACGTAGAACCTCTCGAGAGTAATATACTATTCTTCAGGTTTTCCAAGGTGCAGCATTTTTACGTGCCTCAATAAATATGTTTTCCAGATGGCGACACATAAAAACCGTCGGCATTTCAAAAGAATTTAGACCGATAAACGCCGATAGTTGTGCGAGGTCAGTTGTGAGAATTGCAACCTTGTAACCGACCGTAATTTCAACTTCAAGTAAATAAAAAGGTTTAAATGTTCACAAGATGGTAATAACTAAAGTCGGATATACCGATTAACAGTAACAATTTGAGATCAATACACGAACTGCGCTTGCGCAAAGGCTCGGATCCGATATTGCTTGAAATTACGTAGAGTACAATACTACTACAAAAAAACAAAATAACATAAAAATAAACTAGTATCGGCCGGCTATACTTTTAGTGATCTGCAGTAAAAACACACAAATAGGTGTGTAATGAGCTGTCAATAAAATTACCGGCTTATAAACAGAAAACAAACCGTTACAATTCGCTAATTGCGGGTTGCCGATACTCAAACACACATCTCGGTTATAAAAGCGGAGGTCGAGTTTAGATTAGAACGGTATACCTCTCAATAAGAAAGATTACATTTTATTAGATCGGAGGTTCCGTTTCGCAACAGTCGCGGATATGAAGGAAAACCAGACGCTTAAACGTCGATTCTTATCTTCTAGAAGCGAGTTTGGCTGCGACAAACCGCAACAAATTGCATTGGGCAACATGGTACACAGGCAGAAAAGAAAAACGTCGATTTTCCCGAGGCGACACGACGACCTTTCGGGTGGCGAACCTTCACGTCCGCGTGCAATTGGAGCCGATACGATCCGCGATAATCATGTCGACGCAGGAAATAAATAAATAATGTGTTGCGTCGTTGCGAAAGAGCCCGAAGACAACCGATGGCAATTACTCGCTAATTTAGTCGGAACGGTGCTAATAGTACAGATAAATCATGTCGCGACCGACTTCAGATGACGTACGTGGTCGTTATTTGGCTCCAATCAAGATAGCAACTCTTAAGTTTTTCACTGCTCGAACTGACCAAATTTGATTAGTTTCCACCTTCTGTTCTTCGTAAACAATGGGCTCTGGTCAAATTAAAATACGGCTTTAGAACTTCAAATTGCAGTCTAAAGTTTGCCAATTTTTTGTGGAATGCAAAATTAAATGAGAGCGGATACAGGATGTCATCAATAAAAAGAAGAAGAGGTGTGATCTAACCATGTAGCTATTAGATAATATAGTAGCCCCACTACGGTAAAAATTGATACACCAGGGCTACGATATTTACGTAGAGATAGCAATAATCTTCCGCACATCCCTCTGCGTTTCACCCCCTAACCGGCACTTTAGGTCATTTTGATGATCATTGATAATCAATCAGCGGCCATGTTGGTTGTTGAATGGGGCAAGGTCATTGGTTAAAAACGAGATTTTAGATCTAGCGCATGCGCATTTGGAATGAACCTGAATTTTGTTAAGAGTTTGGGTTAATTAGCATTGGATTTAAACAAACAACCCGAAAACTTCGTTATTTAAAACCCAGTCGACACGCACGTAGGTATTTTAACCGGTAATTTTTTATGATACAGATATTGTCAAGGAAAATATGTTTGGTCGTTTTAGTAGATTTTTGTTTTTAAATGTCCTTTTTTCATGTTAACATTTAATAATATTATTAGTATTCAGACGTTTGATTAGAGGGCTTAATTTTATTTACTACATATAATTAATAACTCGGGAGTGTATAAGGAAAATCTATAACTAAAAACAGTTTCTTATACAAATTGCTCATTGGCATTTTTTATAGCAATATTACTTGGGGGGGCGGCACTAGAATTGCGATGAAGGATTGGGCGTTCTGTCTAGAAGCATGTACAAGTGCTGTGGTGATTATGATCCAGTTTCCGTCCCTTAACAAGTAATAAGATCTAAACCATCTAATAAACCAATCCATTTTTCCTGGAGTTAATCGACACTACATAATGAGATTAGATTTTCTCCTGTCGCGTAAAATAGGTGTAAGTTTTATCTGTCAAATTTCTCGCTGTTTGATAGTAGACACGTTGCAATGTTTTCACGACGAATTGCATTTGCCGATCATAGTAAACTTCTTAATCTTTTAAGAGAGGGCCCTAAACACTCAAATATGCTTCCATATATTTCGACGCCTCAAGAAAAATGAATCATTTTTTTCTCTCGAGATTACTTTTACCGATAGACGTCGCTGATTTCTACTCAACAATAATCCCAAATTGGGTGAACGTCTGCTGAGGTAACACGCGGCATAATTCACGGTCCGACGGGCGCGTCAGCGTCGCCGGATTCCTTAATTAATCGTCTACGCATGCTTTCGAATTTTTGAATAGCCGCAGTTTTCGATGTCCAACCCGAATTCTCTCACGGTACGATTCCCATCTAATTCCGCATGCGTGATGCCGGGATTTACCTAAGTCCCTTAATTTACGTTATTTACGTTCCTTGCGTATCACGCGTTGCGTTTTACGTAACACACCACACGCACATCTAAGAGTATACCGGGAAGAGTGACGGTGTCGCCAGAGTCAAGATCACAGAGAGGAAATATGATTTTTTAAAATTTATTTTTCGGTTAATCTAATTGGGTAATACACCATCGTAAGGCGAGAAAATTTTTGGCCCCAAAGACAAAAAACAGGTGATAATGGAATCCCACATATTGCGCACTTGGAGATTTAATTACCTTCCTCAAATTAAATATCCGAACGCAGACGTATAATGGAAGATGAAACTTGGCTCGATACTCACGATGCAGTAACGGATTGATTCCAATAAAAACTGTCAGACACAAGCAACTTTAAATAAAGCAAAAACGCACCACCACTGGATCAGGACAGGGATTTATTTCGCACGGGTTGCTGTTGTTTGCGAAGAATATTAAGGACTCTAGATTGGACTATCATGAAGATAATGCCTTTTGGGAATACTGTTTTACTGAATATATCATTGTAGTTCAATTCCATAGAACATTTATGACACCAAGTAAAATCTAATATGAGAACAGAAACTATTACTCCTTCTTTAAGTCTGAGTATTTAATAAAATACCTCTTAATAGCTAGAAAAATGCAGTACAACACGTTTGGCATACAAAACAACATAATGGCAACTCTTAAAATGTGATTCTTGAGCGGTGCGGTTTCCATCGCCTAACTAAACATCTTCCAAAGAATACATACAAAAACTAAAACCCTTAATAGCTAGCGAAACAAACTCGACAAATCATAACTTTAAAACTGAACAGTGATTTTATTATATCTAAATAAACATAATATAATATATAATAATATGTTTAAACACCCTAAAAGTTGGTCTCTGATGTTCTGCCGTCGGCAGGTTATTTCGATAATCAACAATTGACGTAACGAAACTTACTCTAAAATGTGTTCTTCGTTTGCCAGATGCTAGGAATATGACCATAACAAAACGTCCAAGACGACCAACAACCCCCATTTGAAGCACGGTTGCAAAATCTCCAGTTTCCATAACGGGGTTTGCCTTCCCGTATTTACATAAGGCAGAAAGTATGAGGTAAATGCCTCGTAAATGGCGACTTCTGTACGTGCGCGCATATAGAGAAACCATTCATCATCGTTACCGTCAGAGTGTGCATTGTTTTACTCTCTGTTATGACACAAGAATTAAGCAAGGAGCAGAAAGCACACAGCAGCAAAGTCACCGTTGTCGATGTGTGTTTTAGTATGTTATTCTAATAAATTTACGTAATATAGTGTAATAGAATAAATTAGACTCTCTACCGTTTAGCACAGAAACTTTGGAAAATATAAATATCGAAAAGGATATGTAATATATTTTCGTGCCTACCAAAAATTACAAAAGGTGTTTCTTATTTATCTTTGTCTTGTATTACTACCGACAGGTGGAAAATGATCATTTCCCATTTTTCAGTCGCTTTTAGTTTAGTTTTGACAGTGTTACTTCCCAGCTAGAACCTATTGTCATGACAAATATCGCCACTGCCGGGGTATTTCTCCTATTTTTCTTTTTTGACCGTAGTGACAAAAAATAAATAGCAATTGTACAAAACACAACTAGCTTCAGCGACCGAGAAAATCCGAGATTATACATGGTATTATGAAGTTGATAGTATACATTTAATATGCCAACCTTAGAGTCGAGGGAAACATCGAAAAAGTGCTCGTTACAAAGTAGTAGGCGTAAGATTCGAAAAAGTACTTGTAATGATTTCCTGTAATGCGGATTCCGGCTTCAAGGCGGGACCCGGAATCAAATTATGTGCGGTGCCCATAACACCCCCTTAAGCGGACGGTTTAAGTTTTGGCATTGAAATCAAAATATTATTTCAAACAAAAACAATCAAAAATTTAGCCACATAAAACTTCAAAATCTGAAAGAGCAATCTTCTCCATATGAAAAAAATACACACATTAGTTTTGTCATTGCTAAATTTGACGCGAAACGTCCGAATCATCATCCGAATAAAATTAAATTAATATTGCACGCTATGAGAGCATCGACGTTGGGCCGCTTCCTCGTGAATGTGCGGGTCTTTTCGAAGAAGATTTTTCGATCCACCCGGGTGAAAGTACCGTGGACGGCTGCGAGTGGTTGCCGCCCATGGTACACCGACCATCGGGGAAGAATAATGGGTGGACCCTCTCCTACCGTTCTCGTAAGACTATATATACACACCTCTCGTAGGGGTAACAACGTCAGTTCTCTTTTTACGCAAGTCACAAACATGAGACGGTTTGTGGTGAGTACTCGATTTTAATTTTTTCGTTTTTTTATTGTTTTTTAATACGGCGTGTTAACATTTACATATTTTGTCTTTTTTAATACGATTAAAAAAACTCTTTAGACACAAGATGGGCCATTTTAAACCTTTTTAACATTTTTTATATTCATTGATTGATTATTTTCGCAAACATTGCCGTTTCTGTCGCAACAGAATCTTATTTTATTATCCAGCTAGAAGCCCTCATATCTCTGAAATTAGGAGTGCTACATAATCAAATTCTCGCAGTATTTCGAGACGTAGTTTGGAAAACGGCACACCCTGTATATCCCACGTTCAAAATTTCAAACTTTTTGAATTAAAAGAAAGTACTCTCTATCAACCATTAGTCGTGAAATTGGTTGAATGAGATAATTTAACTATAGGTGCAGCGCAAAAACAAAGGATTAGACAAATGACAGAACATCCAAATCATTCATTATGAATTCAGAAATTCAAAAAATGTCATTTAAAATTTAACATAAGTATTTGTATAATTACAATATGCTTGTTCTGTTTGTTATTTTACGTTGAAGACGAAATAATATATATATGTAACTATAATTTTGTGAAACAAAAACTTGTAAAACCAGATTTACCAACAAGGTGAAATTTCTTCTTCTTTGTTTAAAATATAATCTGTCCCCACAGATAGCCACCACCATAATAGCAATAGCTTGCGGGGCTAGTGCCGGCGAGGCTAGCTCCAAGTCCTCCAAAAACGACAAGAGAGGCATTTTCGACAGCGACGTTGGTCACGGCTACAGTTCCGGGAGCATCTCAATCGGCGGCGGCGACTTTAGCGGACACGGGGGCGGTTTTTCATACGGTGGAGGCGGCGGATACGGCGGGGGCATTTCCCTTGGGAGTGGTGGCTTAGGAGGACACGGAGGAGGAATTTCCATTGGAGGTGGTGACATAGGAGGACACGGAGGAAGCATCTCCATAGGAGGTGGCAGTTTAGGAGGACATGGAGGAGGCATTTCTTTTGAAAGCGGTGGTTACGGAGGTGGAGGATTTGGGAGTGGTTTTGGGGGAGGTGCCGGCGGCGGTTTCGGGGGCGGCGGAGGTGGAGGTGGCGGCGGCGCCACCGTTACCACTGTGACCCAGGCCGTTGCAGTACCCGTCCCTCAACCATACCCCGTAACGGTTACTAGGCCAGTACCAGTGCCAGTACCTCAACCCGTTCCAGTATCAGTACCCAGACCTTATCCGGTAAATACTTCCCAACCATTTTGTGATGCCATCGGCAAAAAAAGGTTATTTGTAGGTCTCCGTGCCAGTACCTCAACCCGTAGAGGTACCCAGACCAGTACCGGTCACTGTAAACCGCCCAGTACCAGTAGCAGTGCCGACACCAGTCCGCGTGGCAGTGCCACAACCCGTCGCGGTACCAGTACCTCAGCCCTACCCTGTGACAGTACCACAACCTTACCCCGTTAGGGTTCCACAAACCGTGGTGGTACCCGTAGCGCAACCTGTTTTCGTTGGAGGCGGTGGCGGAGGTGCCGGAAGTGGTTTGGGAGGCGGATTTGGCGGTGGGTTCGGAGGCGGTTCCGGTGGTGGTTACGGAGGCGGTTCCGGCAGCAGTTACGGCGGCGGTTACGGAGGTGGTTCGAGTGGCAGTTATGGCGGCGGTTACGGAGGCGGGCATGGTATCAGCGGCTCGATTTCAATCGGCGGCGGTCACGATTTCGGCAGCTCCTTCGGAGGAAGCGGTCACGGTGGATTCGGAGGCGGCAGCTCCTATGGAGGCGGTAAGAGCATTAGCTTCGCCAGCGTATCGAGTTACGGCGGGAGCGGCTCCAGCGGAGGCGGTTACTCCAAGCACTAGACGTCGGGGAGGCCTTAAGTTGGCAATTTTTGCCTGTTATTGTGATAAGCAGTATTATTTGTAAATAACAACGACTGTTGTCGTTGTGTAAATAAGAAAGCACTGAAAAATTTAAATAAAATGTTGGTACAATTCGTCTGAAGGTTAATATCTACTCGGTTACGTGGCCGTTTGGTATCGGACACTCGGCACAAAATACTTAATTCTGAAAAAGTGTTTCTCTAGAGATTTGTAAGCATTAAAATATTTTTTTGTAATTAATTCCCTCGAAATCTAATAAAACTAAATCAACTTTATTGGAATCGACATAAAATGGGATTGCAAATCCAGCGCTGGTAAATGAAGCACAGTACCTTCCAAACACACTGATATATTACTAAAAACGCTAATATAAAAAAAGAACTTCTATTTAACTAAAGGGTACAAGTGGTGGGTTCTTCCTCGGGTGCGTCGACCCTGTACGAACACAAACAACTTCTCGAGCCCGAACCGTTCGGCAAACAAATTCGTTCTTCCGAACACCGGCTGTACTCGCAAACGTTAGCCTGTCTTGGACAGGAATTCGGTACTGCTACCAAACCGAAAAGTTTGTTCCCGGATCCGCCTAACGGTACCGTCAACGAAGGCAAACGTTTGAGGTTATACTTGTCGACTCGTTCGATTTTCTTGCTGAAAATAATAATCATTTTCATTATTATTAGTGGAATCGTGATTTCCTGACCGATTTAATCCGGTTTCCGGAGCAGGGCGCACAAAACTATACACAAAAAAGTATTTTCACTTTGTTCTATATACATCGAATCCGCTAATTGTGATTTGCTTATGCCTTCCTGACAAGTTTTGTTAGTTTCTCTCATATAGCGACTAGACATATAGAATAGAATGTAAATTTTTTTTGAGAAGGTCTATTCCACGTGCGCATGTGTGAGATTTAAAATTTAGTTTTAAACTCATAAGACCTTACGGCTTTCAACAAAGCGGTATTTTTACGGCAGTATTTTCTCAAAATATGTCGAAATCCTATTAAATTTTCAGTAAAAAAAGGAGTTAAGGTGTTGGAAAGCAGTGCAGAATTGCAGCACCCGCGTCGACGTCAGTATAATTCTGTAATTAATTTGGCGTTTTTGTTCTTTAAACTCTGTAGATACGATGCAATTTCTACATGTATTTTTTCATGAAAGCTATATTTTACGATTTTTTTTGCTTGTAAATCGGCGCAAAGCGTTAGTTTTCATAAACTCATAAATAATTTTAGATGCTAGATAGCACCTCCCATAGATAGTAGTTGACAATGGGAATTTCTTATGCTTGTTCTGATAAAAATTCAACTTGTGGCTTAATGGTTTTCTTATATTTCTTGTACACTAAAACATATTACCCAAGCATTCTTCGTAGCTATTTAAGTGTACCTAATTATGTAGGGAAATCTGTTTAGTAATTTCTGTTAGTCAATTTTTTTGTCTGTTAAATGCAAAATATATAGCAATCACTGTTGTTCTAAGATTATTAGGTCCTCATATTTGCCATATTTGCTAAGATTTCGTAAAAGAACAAAGTATTAAAAGCACTAATTATACAAGTTGGTGAGTACGGTACGGAGATATTGACACCAAAAATGAAAACAACGATGGCACAGGACACAGACTGCTCTGTGGCAATAGTAATTACTTAGCTCGACGTTGCCAATTGAGTTCGGATTTCAGAGATTGATTCTTACAAAAAATTAATCAATTTTCCAGAAAAATTACGGCAACGTAGCAACTCAGACGCATGCGCAAAAGATCAGAAAATATCATAGCCACCTACGGCGCATCAATTTTCACCGTAGTAGGGCCACTATATTATCTTATAGCCATATGGTTTCTCTCCATTCAGTCCAATTGCTTGTTTGTTGATATACAGGGCGTTATGGAATTCAAATCATACAAATTAACGCGTGAATCTCCGGGCCCCGAACCGATATTTTTTTGCGTGAAATTCGAATTTTAAAAAATCAGTATTTTTCTCGAGCACTGGATCCTAATTGTCAAAATAAGTATTTTTTCCGGGCGACCCGCGAGCTTGCGATTGTCTCGTTATGTAACATTAATTCCATTACAACCTATATTTAACGCATCGTTGCCATTCATATCCAATAAACTAATTGCATTTGCAGCGGCATCTCTATCTATTTTTAGTACCTATATTATTATTGCAACCTAAATTCTTCCAATCTGGTTGATGCGATAAAGCGGATAGAAAAATCAGCTAAAGAAACGGGTTTCAAAATTAATGAACTAAAAACAAAATATATGACACTAAGAGAAAAAGAGTTTAGTGAGCCATCTAAAGGTTATAAGAGAAAATAGCGAATATTATTTTCGAAATGTAGAAAAATTTAATGATTTAGGGAATTTAGCTGTATGTGAGGAAAAGCATGAAATTCAAAAAAGGATAGCCAAATGTTTGAAATGTAAGGGGGGGGGGGATTACATCACATATTAAGAGCGAGGATAATTATGTATGTATGTATAAGTATGGAAGCTCAACAAAAGGGAGGGCATTAGAAAGATTTGAAAGGAAAGTACTGAGAAGAATATTTGGGGAAAAGAAAGGATCAGCTTAAAGAGCATAACAAACGTTGCAAGAGCTCAAAGATTAAGGTGGCTGAGACACGTAGCAAGACTGGGAGATGAACGTCCGTCTAAGCAGACCCTGAGCGGTGGGATAACTGGAAGAAGGGGTAGAGGTAGGTCGCGGGCAAAGTGGATTCAAGCTGTTCAAAATAACCTGAAGGAAATGAAAGTGCAGGATTTATCGAAGAATAAAATCAAATAGAGACAAATGTGTAACCAAGCCATGGGTCTTCTTGGCTAGAGCCGATTTTTTTATATTATTGGTCCATGTCACGCATAAAAGGTAACGTTCGATTGAATTTTCCTTAGACTTGCGCCTAGCATGTTGCGTCTAAATTATTTTCTATGGTCTCTGACAGAAACTTACGATATCCAGTCCGACCAGTACACTTCGCGGTCTGTGACCGCGATACCGAACGGGTAAGTGCAGTTTACCGCTATGGTCTGGGTTTGTTTCGTGTCTATTTGCACGCACTCTATCTTCTTGGTACCCGCGTCTGCGAAGCATAGCTGTTCGGTTTCGTAGTCGACGGTCAAAGAATTGGGAAGCGACACGAACGGTGCTTCGAGGAATATCCTCCTGTCGGTACCGTCCGCGTTCGCCCACTCGATCTTCGGACGCGTCCTGTCCCAATCGGACCAAAAGATCTTTCCGCGTTGCGGGTGCACCGCTATACCCCTGGGGTTCACCAGGTCCGTTTTGAACAGCGTTCTGCGTCTCTTCGAGTCCAGATTTGCGACCTCGACAGTGTCTAACGTCGAATCCGTCCAGTAGATATTACGTGACACCCAGTCGACGGCTAAGCCCTCGGGAGAACCGATCGCTACGCATAAGAGTTAGTTATTTTAGTTATTTTGTGACGGTTGATGCAAAGAATCATCTTTTGAAGTTTAGTAAGTTTAAAACGCCGTGCAGAGCATAAAACTACTTTCGACTCTCTGGATCAAGTGACTTATAAGCGATTGAGCGGATTAGTTCCGTTCGTAACAGCAATGCCGTCAGATTTACCACTTTTACGTTAAATGTCATAATTTTGTTACTTTAAATAGAATGCCATATTTATTTTTGTTGCATTGAATTTCGCATGTCGAATTTAACAAAGCCTCATAATTTCAAAATTTGGGTTCTGTTAATTATCGCACCACGGCAACGCCGCTTTTTCAGTAAAAATAACCGAAACTATTAAAAATCGAAAACTGCCAAATCTGGAACAATAAAATTCAATGTACCACTTTTACGTCACACGTCATAATTTTAATATTTTTATTCCAAGATCGTATTTATTTCAAAATTTTGTTTCTAATAATTATTGAGGCACGGCAACACCGCCTTTTCACTAAAAAGCTGGAACGATAAAATTCAATATGTGACAGTTTTTGAACATGCAAAATTCAAAAATGCTAACACTTGTCAATGTTGTCAGATCAACCATTGTTAATAAAAAAAGGTTAACATCTCAGAGTTTTGGAAGCTTATGACCATAGCTATCTTTAGAAGACAACATTGCTATTAGCATTTTTGAGTTCTGCCTATTTACAAACTCCCAGGTATTGAATTTTATCGTTCCAGCTTTGGCCGTTTTTAAGATATTTAAGCGTTCTGGTACTTTTTACTAAAAAAGCGGTGTTGCCGTAACTATTTAACAACAATGCTGTTAGCTTTTTTGAATTCTGCATTTTGGAGATATTTAAGCGTAGCAGTACTTTTTATTAACCCGAAATGCACGTTTATGTCGACTTTTCCATAAAAACACTAATAAATATAGATTGATTTACGTTACGTCGTCACTAATAAAAATGGTGGATAAATCCTAAAGATAACAGACAGATATTTATATAATACGTATATGGTACAAACTCGGTGGAGAGATCGATTTTTTCTTACAGTTTACTACGAAATCAGCCTTGTCGCTGCCGTTGTACGTCGCGCTTCTTATAGCCCGTCCACTAATGTCACTCCAGTACACTCTCCCTTCCGTGCAGTCTATATCCAACCCGACTGCTGTCTGAAACAGTTTGATCTGGATCGGTTTGCCGGGGTCCCTCCTCGTGGGCTCCATCGGTATTTTTAAAGTGGCCATTCCTGCGAGTCGGATAAAAATGCGATTCGACGTATTCAAATGGTCGAAAAGCCTACCTTGATTGAGGAGCAGGAAGTTGCCTTCCTGGCGAACGACCTCTTTGCAGACGCTACCGTTACCAACGTAACCAGACGGGCACTGGCAAAAATATCTGCGATCGGCGTCTGGAAAGAGGCGAAAATTCAAAATATGAATTTGAAAGTTTGCAGGAAAGTAGAGCACGTGAAGTCGCTCATTTCCCGCCAAATAATACACTATCGTACAAAAGTAGAACAAAAAAAATAATTTTTATTCATATTAAGTGAATGAACAAAATTATTCGGTTGTGATTTTTGGCTAAGTTTAATAACACACTATCCCTACGCTGAAAGTAAGACTTCACAACATTTTAGTGACTTTATTGTACTATAATTGTAGTCGACAGTATTCTAATGTACTTTCATTCAACAACAAATATTTAAGACATTTAAGAAGATTAAAAATTTATTATTATTAATTACTTGCTGAGAATGGCACGGAATTGAAGCAATCAACTTCTGAATATCATTTTTGAGAGACTTGCTGGCCACTGCAAAACTAGAACTTCATTTTGGAAAATAAAACGCAAGGGCATTTTCCATTTTGCATAAGGAAGCATTCTGCATGATATCCCTATAAACAAATTGGTCCATGGTGTCATTAATAATGTGTATAGGGACTACCCCATTTTATGAGAAACAACCCCATAAAAATTACTTCTATGAATCCTGTTTCTAGAATTTCTAGAATTTCGGCAATAATCCTAAGTGCGGACTTCCAAGGATCATTTTGAGCGTTTGTCGGTAATTACTGTTGTTTTCTTTGTTCTTATAGCTATCTTGTTTGTTACCTTCTATGGATGTATCCACAGCTCTCTGCTACAAGTCTTTTGAAACTGGATAATCCTCTTGGGATTACTAATCCAGCACAGAGATGTGCAAAAAGCAGAAAATAAACCTGACGCAATTACCTTGGCCTTTACTTTCGCTAAAACCCTTCTTTTAAACAAATTATTTGAATGTTGCTCTACTTTTGAGGGGTTACTATTAAACATTTAAAACTAAATATCAAAACAAGTTAATTTAGTAATAATAATAATAATCACAGCCCACTTTGTAGTTTCAAAGCTTTTTGTATACATTATCATGCATGTAAAATCGCAAATTTGCAAATAAGTATTTCTCGAAGTGTTTTTGTGAGCTAGTGTATATTCAACCAAAACTACCCACATGCTTTTAATTTCTGTTCGTATTTACCTTAAAGCCTTAAAATCATAATAAATAAAAAACCACACAAAAAAATTCGATTCAATCCCACCACTTTTTGAGCTCAGTACTTCTATAATTTTTACACTTCTTTTCTTGCCTTGCCGATCGATTTCGATCGTTGGGCTGCTTTTGCAATGAATTTTTCAATAGTTTATTTATTCGATTCGATTCGTATTCTTTACCTATTGAATTATAATTAACATTATAAATAATTAATAATTAAAAAGATTTTTTTTTCTTTTCCAACATTTAAGAATTATTTGTTAAATGTATTTTTTTGCAGTATAGTAAAATGTAAATGATTTCATTAAATAAAGCACTTAAAAAAATGTTTAATTATCAAAACGAGTACCAAAATCTCGCAATTGTATAGTTTATTCTCGAAAAACCGCTAAATTTCATTCGTTAAAAGCGTCTATGTCCATTGTAAAACAACAATTTTTCACGGTTGAATCTATTTCACCACCCGCCGCCATCTATGTACTCACCGCGTAACTATACGAAACGTGTATCGTCAACTCGCAGATGGTAAGACGATCGCTAATAACCAGATCGTCTGGTAGAGGGCAATATGACATTCAAAATCTCTTTAAGGTAATACCAAGCAAAACTAACCAAAACTGACCTTCACGTTCTGTGATTTCGAGGTTAGGTTTTTTTTTTAAATTGCCGCCGGATATTTTTTATTCTGTAGATGGAATTATTGTTATTTAGAGGTGGAAATATAAATGGCGAATACGATGATTGCGTTAAATGATTGTCTCTGACTTGAATATTGGAAAATAAACCCCTAAAGCTTACTGGTGACGCATGAGGCCCGCGGATCGCACATCGCGGGGTCCACAAGGCAATTCTTCTCGACGAAACAGTTGGTACCGTTACCGAAGAAGCCGGGGTTGCAGCGGCACACGTAAGTGAATGCCTGTTCGTCGTATTGGCAGACGGCGTGCAGGCCACAGTTGTTCAGCACGTCACAACCGACCGGTTTCAGTTTGCATTCCGTTATGCCTGAAACCATGACATGAAAAAAGTGTGAGCGAGCAGGGTGGCCCAAGTGGTCAAAGGTAAGCAGACATGCACTACTGGGCTTAATTCTCGAGACAAGCTAAAATATTAGTTGGTGCATTTTCTGAGCTATGAGGATTTTTTCAATAGTTTGCATTTAGGAGGATTGTTATTTATGAAACTTTTGTGCTCATATGCAAAGCTTTAAAAATAATTTTATGGGTCTAAAAACTTTTAGTGAAACTTCCATATCACGATATTCCGAATAATAATGACAACCTGACAGCGATTTTTTGATCCACCCCCAATAAAAAATAATACCATCGCCAACGTATCCCGTCTTGCAAGTGCAATAAAACGTCTGATACTCGTCGTCAAAGAGGCACTCGGCGTTTTCGACGCAGTAACCGCCTCCGCACGACGACGTCATCAGCGGTACACACACGTGCTGCGAATCGCGCACGTGCCCCTCTCGGCACACGCACTCCTCGTGACTGCCGGTAAAGGCGCAAGTCTCCGTGGGCGCGCAGTCGTCGTTTGACGCACAGCTAGCTGATTAAGAAAAAAAGAGAAAATAATAAAATGAACCATAAATATTTATATTCTCCTAATTTTCATTATATATTGTTTATTATTTTTTGATTAATTATTATAGTCGTTGAACAGTTTCCTTAATTATAGTAAACTTCTTTGTTTTATTGGTTGCTATTGGTCAAGACTGTGTCAGGATCATTTGGCTAAGTTGCTCTTCCATTATGTGTCATTTAAGAAGTGGGGACTATAGGGCATTGTCAACGTTCTTCGAAGAGTAAAAAAATGGAATCCTAGTTAAAAAAAAAAGTGGATAAAAAAATTTACACAGATTTTTTGAATGAAATCTTCGTCTTTTGCCAGAAATGTTTTTAACTGCATATCCTGTTTTAACCTCCAACAGTAGTCCGCCATCATCGTTATGCCCCATCTGCCTTGCTATCGCCGTTTCATTTCCTTAATGTCCTGGTGAAACCAGTTTCCCAGTTCTCCGCTAACTGCTACAAAATTTTCAGGAAAATGGTTCAATTGTGAAAACAGGAAATGCAATTTCAAATTTATATTACAACCTAGATGATGAAAGTGTTGTAACATATTTTGAACAATACTTTCATAGTTTTTGTTCTTAGAGTACCCAAGAAACTTATCAATTACTTCTTTAAATGAAACCCAGACGGTTTTCTCGACATTGGTCATTGTGTTTTGAAAATCCTTGCCTTTGGACAATGTTCTTATCTGCGGCCCAACAAAAACACCTTCTTTTATTTTGGCATCAGATATGACTGGAAGTTTTTGAATATTTGAAACACTCTCCATTTTTGCCTAGGGCTTTAACAAACTGCTTCATCAAGCTAAGTTTGATAAGAAGAGGGGGCAGAAAAAACTTTTTTGGGGTCTATCTCTTAATACAATTTTTTTACCATAAAGGGCCCATTCTATTTGGGACGAATTTATGTCTCTTGCCGCACTCAGAAATAAAGCATGGAAATTTTGTATAACCGCCCTGTTGTCGTAACAGCATGCACAGCACTTTGAGGTCACCACACAGCATCTCATGTTCTTCGTCCTAAATTTTCATGTTTCTTTTAAATGTACCGAATGTGCAACGGAAACCGAGGCTAGTTCGTTACCACCGTGCAATAAAACGCCTTTTAAACTACATTTCTTAAGTCAACAAACACGCGCCATTCTTCTTTTATATACGCCACATTTCCTAATTTTAAAACCAAGGCAAGAATATTGTGCCCATAAACTAGAGAGTAAAATATTGATATAACTTTTTTTCGCGTTCCCGGTAAAAGCTGTGACGCCAAGGGCAACTAAATGCTGTCACGAAGTCTGGACGCTGACATAACTGAATGCATCCTTTGGAAGGTGCAAATCCCTAATTAAATTATTTAATTCGATTTAGTCAAACACTTCGGGCTCTCTGAAATCTGGTGTGAAATCATCTGGTTCGGAATTAGATTCCCCTTTTATTTTGAGCCTACTTATTTTGGGGCGGTAGGTATCGGTACATCTGGTCCATGAGGAACTGGTCGAATCGCAGAGTTAAGATTGTTTCCCATTTTTTATGTTGAATCCTTGAACATTACACGAACAAAAATAATATTCACCACTGTGATTCCTAGGTTCTCGCCATACCATAGGGACACCAAAACTTAAACATCTCTTCCTACCTTTTTACCAGTTTCCTAATGCTTCAACGCAAACGGAACAAACAGTATGAGGAGCTTATGACTTGTCTTGGTCGCCAATTTTTACACCAAAAAGCGTGGTATACATTTTTCACAAAAGACGTTATAGTTTGCTGTTGCTTTACTCCGACATAACTACCACAGACATAACAAAAGTTATTTAGATTGTTCACACAATGTTTTCTTTCCAAATTTATACGTTCCAGAACACTAGAAATACGCCACAACACAGTAGCACGGCGACCAATACAACCAACCTGCGCATAAACAGGTTACAACGATGTATTGACGCTTCTGCACCAACTCTGTTGCTTTGCAGAGAAATTTAATATTACCCAGTGTTGCTAAATCACATTTATTTTAATAAAAATCAATTCAAGTAAAAATCATACCTAACACACACATAAAATAACATTTTTAAGATATAGAACGATAGAAAAAAATTACGAGAGAGAGTGAAAATATGGTGTTTTTTGGAAAAAGGGCCCCCAAAAAATATACACATAAGCAAACAGCTTTCAAATATCAAAATCGCTGTAGACCTTTGTTATTCTTCGTTGGTTACTAGTCTACACTAGACATCGACACTATTTCCACCGTAATTCAGCCTTCTAGCTGCCGCTTTCTAAAACCTGTGTTGCTTATATGTTTTGGCTTCTTCTATTTTAAGGGGTACAGCGGAATTCAGAGAACACATTTTAGTTAAACTTTGTGTCTTGTGATTCTACTTAACATTTAAAATTAAAAATGCAGCGGAAATGAAAGGTCGTTCAAATTGCCGCTAAGATTTCAGCGTCATCGCTGGCGGCGCCTTATGTAGCTGCCGCAACTATTTACATTTAAAATGACGTTTTGCAGCTGACCACATTTTGTTGTGTTGTGGATTATTTGAGTGACTTGAGTGGTTTTAAGGGGGAAAATGATAGCTGTTTCAGAGAAATAAAGCTTTGAAAACATTTGCATATACGTGACCCTCCATCTCAAAAGAATGTTTTTTTTTTGAGTCAATTGGAAGTGAAATCCTTTACGGGCGTCCTGCCTGGCAAGCGCTGGGAAGTGCGGGACTTCCTGGTGAGTTGTGCGATCCAGGCTTACCCAATAAAATACCCCCAATCTACAGCATCGGCTGCTAGGGCACTTAGCACAAATTTCTGCTTGCTTTCGGCAAGTTCCTTGTCCCGAATTTGACTTAAACGCCATACGTACCTATCGCGTTGCACACGTATCCGTCGCCGGTGTATCCCGGGTTGCAAACGCACTTGGACCTGCCGAGCGTTTCGTCATAAGCGCAGGTGGCGCGGCTGTCACAATTGTCGGTTTTTGTACACGATACCACCTCGGGCACGCACGTGTAGCCGTCTCCCTCGAAGCCTTCGTTGCACGCGCACGCGTAAGTCTCTAAATTCTGCACGTAGACGCATTGGGCGTCCGCGTGGCAATTGTTCGACGCGTCGCATCCTGGCGTCGTTGTCACAGTTCCTCCCACATCCGGTACGCACTTGTCCGTTCCAGCTTCTTTCGCGTAACGTTCCGGACACCAGCACACCCCCAGGAAACATTGTTGGGTGACCTTGTCGGCGTCGCCGATTTGGGGGATCGACGTCGCCATGGTAGTGTCGGGAACAACGGTACTCTCATATTGAGGTTGGAGCCGGCAGAAGTAGCCGTCACCTTCGTAGCCTGGCTGGCAGGAGCACGAGTACCTCTGAGTAGTGCGGTCGATAGAGCATATACCGTAAGGCGAGCAGTTGTTGTTGACGTGACAGCCCTGGTTGGTGACCGGCCTGCACACGTTGCCGTCGCCCTTGAACCCCGCGATGCACCTGCAACCTGCGAAGTCCGCGTACTGTACGCATTCGGCGTTGTCCGCGCAGGCGACATCTGCGCACGTTTTAACGTGTTGGCACTCGAAGCCGCTGCCCTCGTATCCCGGGTTGCACACGCACGAGTAGCTGCCTGCCGAATTTAGATAGATCAATCCTATCTAACTTATGTACCGTTTTTAAAGTCTTACTAATAATGTTAAAGTCTTATCATATCTCATTAAGTTTATGTGTTCACTTATTTAACTTGACCCTACCTTTCAATCCGAAAAGCCTTACCAAAGGGTTGTATTCAACTCTTAAGCGTTATTTTACCTAACCAGGGTCATTTTTTAAATCTTGCTCTATTACCGCATTACTTTTTTACCTAAGTTTTAGTTTCGCTTCTGAAAGTCTTGTGCAACTTAATTAGCGTCAGAGCTCATTTTTTAAATACTTTACACCTTAAAAGCTTCACTTTAGAAGCTTTGTTCTATTCTTTAGGTTCTGGTTTCATTTCAGAAAGCCTTATCGTACTTAGCTTTGAGTGTTCATTTCTTAAAAAGGTGACAAATACAGTTGGTCGTTTTTTTATTTCTTCACGGACAAACACAGTAATAATAAAAATAATAATATATAGTTTAATGATCCAGTACTGACTTGGAAGGCTTAGATAGAACAACTTGCCAGATGTTTAAACTCCAACTCATCAACATCACGGCTTTATATCCCTAGAAAAGAAGGTGGCAGGGGTCTTCTAAATATAAGCAAAATTTGCAGAAACCAGGTCTCTAAAATTAGTGCGAAATTATTAGGATCCACAGACCGTATGATCCAGTCTATAAGAAATGCTGATAAAAACTTCACACCACTCAACTGAGGTATGCCAATAGTAACCGATACAACATCAACACTACATCAGCAAATACAAACTTGGAAGGAAAAAGCACTTGATGGTGAATACCCTCTAACAATAGAACTAGAAATGATGAAAAACATATATTGATAATCAACACCATTGATAAATGTAGGAAATGTAAAGAATCAATAGAATACATCATGGGCGGGTGTAGCGCACTAGTAGATAATGCTTATTTAGGTAGGCACCATCAACTGGCAAAAATAATACATCAGCAACTGGGCTTGAAATGGAAATTTTTTGCCGAAAGACACGCCTGTATTTTACAAATATACAGACAGGAACAAAAAGGGACAATCATTGATATTGCCATACCGTTGACCCCCAAGCTGAGAAAGTTCGTATATATAAAGACCTGACTATCCATTTAAAACAAATCTTTCGTCTTAACGAAATAACTATATGTCCATTGGTTATGTCAACGGAGGGAATTGTCACAAAAAATTTCAAGAAAAACCTGGAGAAACTAGACATGCAGAATAAAATCTTTGATGCATGACAAAGAGCTATAATACTCCAGACATGTCACATTTTTCGAAAATTTAGCACATTCAAAAGAACATTAAATAAGAACATAAATAGTAAATAAACCGGAGAAAAGCTTATGAAATATTAGCAAAAGAATATTATGTACATACATATATCAAAAGATAAATAAAAAATAAAATTTGGTGTATAACAGACTTACAAAAATCAGAACAAACTATATGGATCTTAACTAAAAACTTAATGAGTTGTAATAATAGAATAACTATTTTTAAAATCTATAAAGTATCTGCTGCTGAATAACTCATTCTTTTATTTTCTTTTTCTTTTTTCATTGTGGGGTCTATAATTTTGAATCACTTCAGGTACCACGGCGATAATTTTTGTTATTAAGTGAGAAAAGCATCTCTGACCTATAGTCTTGTCTCGCCTTGTTGCTCGCAGTGTTTGCCTTTGAGATCGTGCTCGAATAGAGGTAAGCTGTTCTTGCGTTTGTAATAATAATTCGTAATTTTCACAAAAAATAATTGTCTAACATCTAAGATCTTTGCCATTTCATAGAATGCTGAAAAACTTAGTTAAATCAAACCGTATATGATAATATTTAAAAAAAAATGTCGTCAAATAATGCCGTGTATATGTTCTCCACAACCGATTAAGTTATTTGTGAGACATCCTACATATATATACGCGATCGGGTACACGTACCTATCGTGTTGACGCACTGAGCGTTCAAGTCACACTCGTGCACGCCGTTCTGGCACTCGTTGATGTCGACGCACAAGTTAGCATCGCCGGATAGGATATGCTGGTATCCCGGGTTGCATACGCACCTGTACCTGTCAGATTCCACCACGCAGTTGCTGTTTTCACCGCATTTATGTTTGCCCTCCTCACACGGGTCGAATCCTGTCGATAGAGCCGAAAATGTGTTTATAAAGAGTTTGATGAACGAGCACGTAGTTTTTCAAAAATTAACGCTTTTATTTTATTTTTGGGCAGACTCAGGAGAAAAAAGCTACTTCGTTACGACGACCCCGTATATCATTTTGTACGGCAATGGCGCAGTTACCTCCCGCAGGGATGACGTCATTGCTCAAGCCAAATCGTATGATCTGCTCCCGGCTTTCGTAACTGATAAAGTTTCTGTCGACGTTTAAGTTCCAAGTTTCTCCGACAGAGACGTTCTTGTAGGGACAATGATCGAACTTGAAAGTCTGCTCGACCCTGAACGTGTTGACGTTCGTTTCTCCGCCTGGCCCGCTGAATTGGAACACCCTGTCCGAAGCGGTTTGTATCAAACCGGGACCAGTACGAGTATACTGTTCCCTGTACTCGTCCACCACAACCCTGGAGTCCGGAGGCAGGCTTGGAAGTTCTCCGTGGACATCAACATCAACCCGGAGCTGATCGAACACGTCTAACCCGGAAAACTTCTGCTTTACGGTCAGCTCCTGATTGGTGTTAATAAATTTGAGGCTCGCGGTGTGGTTAAAATGTCCGCCAGTGATTTGGAACCCGTTTTGAGCGCCACCTGTTGGCTTGGCGAATAGGTAACCTATGACCCCACCCAGGATTTGTAAAGTCTGCACGTCAGACCCGACGCTTTCCGGTATTTTAGAAATGGCGGTATACGCTCTGCCCTCGTTGGTGACTATATAAGACTGGAGGTCGAGGTTGTTGAGTCTCTCTCCGTTGATGACACCGTTGACTTTGCCCATCACTCTGAGCGGAGCGTCTGCGAAGATGGTGGTGGCGTCTCAGAGACTCAGGATCCGCGATACTTACTCGCCTTGACGCAGTACTTGCCGTCGCCGTAGTACCGCTGATTACACTCACAGCAGAAGCCTTCGTCGAAGTCGATGCACCGCGCCTGGCTGTGACACGCAGCGGGAGCTTCCGCGCAGGAACGCGGCGACGACGACTGACTACCTGAACGGGAAACTTTTATTTTAACAAACTTCTCATGACACTATGAAATACAGGTCGTTAATCGATCACGTTACACCCAAAGGCCACAGAAATCACAATCACAATAAAATGACACTTTGCGGGTCTAAATTGGAAATTACCACGTACCTTCGTTGTTAAAATCGGGTTCCAGAATCTCCGGTCCATCAATTTTGTAAATAAACTGACCGGGAAGGCCCATGTTTGTCCACCTGTTGGGCAAAATGATTTTGAATAGATGTACGTTGTATTTACTTTGCCTATTTACTTTTCGAGAGCCCGGACCTGTTCAGTGCCGCTTCCGGGTAAAGTGAACATTTTTCCGTTGACCGATAGAAAACCGACCTGCGCCCTTGCGTCGGGAAGGCCGGAATCGTCTCCGATACCCTGGATCCATTGAATGCCATTTTCCGGGTATAGGAATTCGGCGTAAGTCTCGATGCCGTTAGTAATGATCGCTACTTGGTAGGTGTTGAGTTTATCACTACCTTCCCGATAATAACCCACGTCTGCAAAACATAATAACATACATAAATTTAAAACTTTATCACTGCGTACAAAAAATTATTTTTTGCACAACCTGGCACCATCTAGCCATTCTATCTATGGCCATGGACAACTTAGAGCTTCGACTCATAGGTGGCACAAGGATGACTAAAGGCCCCCACAGACGCTCAGTTTTTTAATACAGGCCGCCTGTACAAACCTAGTTTGTGCAGGCATATCGGTGCATTTGTGTGAACGTCCGGCCAACTGCGCAGGCCGTTGGCCTGGCCTGAGCAAAATCAGACCGTGCTTGAATTTAGCCTGCGCAAACTTGGAAACCTGAGCGTGTGTGGACTCGTTCAGTTGATTTGTTCAGTTTTAAAGTTTATTTATTTAGAAACAGTTTTCACACAGAAATAAAAAGTCCGAAGCCTGTGATGTGTTGGTCGAAAAACTCAAAAAAGTTGATACGGAAGCAAATAGGGAAGCCGTGGTTAAAAAAATAAATAATTTAAGGAGTTCATTTAGGAAAGAATTAAATAAGTATTGAAAAGCAAAGTAAGTGGGCCGGTATAGAAGATATTTATACTCCAAACCTGTGGTATTAAGTGATCAAGAGAGACCACATGCCTCAACGAGTAACCTAGACGATGAAGAACATGGAATAAAGGCAATAGGATATTATTGAAACAGTAATACGGTCAGTGAAAAAAGTCTCTATACATGTTTTCCCCTTTATTAAGTATACCAAGATTAAACCCAGTAAATGGTAAAACGAACAACAAACAAAAGCAACAATAACCGTCAAATATCATAAAATTTCACATAAAATTTACTGGTATTTCAAATGTTTAAAAAAGAACAAACTGCAACAACTGCAAGCAAATTGATATGGGAGTAATCATTTCTTTTGAGTAACCAATCTTTGGTCCATGTGCTTCGTTGAACCAACCGTTGCTTTTTTTGGTTTTTCTTTATTCCATAGGCAAGCACAATGTGTCCGTGTCTCGAGGAGCCATTTTCTGTTACTAAGTATAGAAAAATCGTGCCAAAACTAGTGAGTGTGAATTTACCCAGTTGGCTGTATAGAAAGAACTGTGCTATAAAACTGCGTGTGTGGGACAGGCAATAGTACAGTTAAACTGCACAAATTGGCCTGTGCTAAAAAACTGAAAGTCTGTGGGGTCTTTAACAGCTTATTAGTCAGTTGGTCAAATAATAGAGGGCGTCGAACGTGAAATGTCAATTTTGAATACATATACTGTTCTTTCTCAGTGTTAACGAACATAGGTTAAAAAATGTTACGCATATACCGAGGAAGGATAACTGCCCACTAACCTTTCCAAGTGACGACGAACACGCTGGTCGCCTGGAAATCTGCGGAATCTACGAACGCCTCGTGTACGCTCTCCGTCGCTCTTTCCAAAACGTTCGCACTCTCCGTTTCGTAATACGATATTGTTCCCGATTTGCTGGTATCCACGTTCGCGTAGAACGGCGCTATAATCGCATAGTCCAGCGGGAATTCTATATTAATAAAGTGGGGTATTTCCGTTTGGAAAGACAGGAAACCATTGGAATTTACCTGGAACATTGAGAGTATAATTTTTTGGACGCAATATCAAAGGTCACGAGGACAGTTGCAGTAGCGGCCGTTGCCCCTTACATTGCTCTTATCACAGGCGTCCTATTTATTTGACCGTTAAATGAGCACGTATTTATCGATTAGATTTTCTCCCGTGCGAAGAAGGCTTTGAATTAAAGTGTTGCCCGAAAGGTGCATTAGCAAAATTGCTTCGCAGTAAAAAAAACAACAGGCATGCATATCAGTATATATATGTTGCCGCTATATAGCGTCATAGAGACGTCTATACGATGATATTGTAGTCGTCGACGTATTGTTGACGTCGGTAAAACGTAATTTTTTACACCCCTTTAGAACAATGCTAATTTTTTTTCATGAGCAACCAATTAATTAAACTAACCAATTTCTATGATCTATGCATATGATGTCCGGAATGGAACATAATATGCATAATATAAAATATATTGCTCGGCACAGCCAAAGTGCAGTCTATATAAAGATATGCTGCCGTTTGAAATTTGAGTGAAAACTTACGAAGACTGTGTCAAAACGGTCGCCGTAGAAAAGAACGGGCACTTTGAGCTTGATCTCTTCACTGGAAATGTCGTTGGATTGTGGTAAGTATAAAGCTCCTGGCGCCACCTCGTACAGAAGGTCGACCGGTATACAAGAGACGCCAGCGAATACCGAAAAAATCGCGCACCAAATTTTTATCTTCATTTTCCGCGACTACGGCAATAATAGAATAAAGGATCATCCAAGCAAGTCTGTTTAAGAAAAGAGTATCGCTACAGGCGGGTTCAGAGGGCAATACTTGTTTAAATTAAGACGCTGTTATTGCCACATTGTGTGTTATCTGTTAATATGCCGATAAAATTTAAGATTCAGATATAGAAAATCGAACAATTAAATTTTTATGAACAACAATTTTTAGAAAATATCTTAGAATAAGTTTCTAAGTGTTCTGATACATTTTTTTTTAAGAAAAAAAAAGAAACGCCCGAGCAGGGACTTGAACCCTGGACCCTTGGATTAAAAGTCCAATGCTCTACCGACTGAGCTACCCGGGCATGTGAAAATTATGCATAGAAGTTTATAAAACAGAAGACACCATTGTGAAGTTGAAAAAGATGTCAATTACTAAAAGCAATAACTAATGTAAAATTAAGAAATATAGATTGTTGCGCTTAATTCGACGATTTATTGAACAGCATTATGGAATATTTAAATTTCTTTTGTTAATTTGAGTTTACTTAACTACCATAACGACGCCGAACACATGAAACTCACCGTTCGTATTCTGTGGTGTTTTAAGATTGGCACCGTTTGGTTTCTAATGTAGGACAAATTTTTTGTCAGTAATAAATTCGAAAGAGCGATCTTTAAAGAAATGTGCAAATTTAACTCTTATAATATACGTTAGATAAGGAGCAACCATCATTTGGCGGAACAATGATAATCGACTTGGTAAGTCGGAGCACCAGTCGGGAATTATAAAACCTCCTCATTTCGGTAGCATTTCGCCCCAGTCTATACTCCGCAAATTACATCGCGCTAAACAAATACGAAAATTATTGTACGGTGGAAAGGTCCGCAAATTCGCGCTTTCGAGCTGTGAACATAACCTCTACATAACCTGACTATGTTTCCAGTTAGGTGGGTGCCCGACTCGACAAAATATCCCGTACTACTCGCCACAGGTCGACAGGGACTTCTTCTTCAACGCTAGTATGCAGGAAATAGTACCAGGCGTTTACCTAGGGAACTATTTCTCGGCACAAATGCATTGCTTGGGTAATTTGTTCGAAAACGGTGTGCGGTATATAATCTGCGTCCGGCAAGATGTTGAGGCGCACTTCATAAAACCGCAAGTGAGCGACCCGACATTCACGTACATGACCTTAGAGATAGCCGACAGTCACACGGAAAATATAATCAGATTTTTCCCCAAAGTTAAAGAGTTCATTGACGAAGCGCTTTCCAAAAATTTTAAAGTGCTTGTTCATGGAAACCAAGGCAATTCACGAAGCGCCACGTTAGTGATGGCGTATATCATGGAAAAGTATCATTTGAGCACGCTGTGAGTACTCAGTGCCTTGGAACCTGTGTTTAACCTTAATATTTTCAATTTTTAGGGAAGCCTTACAGTTTGTTAAGCAGAAGCGAGCATCAGTTAATCCGAACGAGGGTTTCCGCGCGCAGCTCATAGAATATGAGCCGATATACAAGGCGAGGCAGTCGTTGAGCGCGGGAGAGCCTTCATTGTCAAACGTTATTCGGCAAAAGAGGAAAAGCGAACATCTGGGCGAACCAGTAGAGTGCGATCTTGTGCCGCCACCGCCACCGAGCCCCGAAATACTCGACGCCAATTATGAAATGTATCACCGTCCTAATTTTATGGAATTTTCTATGGTCTGCGGCCGGGATTGCCGCGCTAAACGTCAGGTGCAAGTGTTTTCATAATCTACAATTGACAATTGCCAGTTTTTCGAAAGTAGTTGTTTACTACCATACAGTTTGATCTCTCCAAACTCTCCTTAATTTTTACATGAAACGTTGCGAGAATTGAACATTGTTTCACTGCCAGTAAATCCTCCATAAATTGTGCTGTAGTTCCGGTCAGAGTATTTTCTCCCACGCCTCTGATATTGTTCCATTGTTTTGATTGTTAGTGTGTAGTTGAGAGTAGCCTCCAGCTTTTGCCCTCCCTATTTTAGTGGAGGTGTCTGTAAATATCAAAAGAGGGAGATTATTTTTGTACTTTTGTAAAGACTCATGTGTTGGGTTTCTAGGTTAATAAAAAAAAAAGAATGTTCTACCTTTTATGTGCTTTTTTAGCGACTTTTCTAAACAATCCTTAAATATGGACGTCGCGTCACTCAATATTGTGGGAGTGTCCAGTGGCATTCACTACTAAATTAGTAAACCATTATATTACATGATAAACACAATTTTTGCAAGCAGAAATTGCGCTGAAAAATTTAAAATTTTTATAATAAAACCACTATTTAAAAAAGGTGACAAACACTTCTCAGAAAACTGTAGACCAGTATCACTTATAAGTAACAGCAAAATTTTTTGAGAAGGTCCAGTTCCTAGAGAAAAACAAAATATTAAAAAAAAATCAATATGGATTTCCGCAAGGTAAGTCTACAAAAAACACAATAGCCTGTTTAACTTCACACATTTTCAGCTCACAGGAAAACAATAAAAAAGTTCTTGCAGAGTTTCTCGATCCAATGCCTTTGACACAGTTGGTCATAAACTGATGTTGGAAACTTTAAAAATTATCTTTCAGGGATCCGTTTTAGGGCCTATATTCTTTACATAAATAATTTGTACCGTGTAAACACGTAAAAAAAAAATAAAGTCGACAGAATAGAGTACTTAGGAATAACTCAATTAAGGTGGAATAAACATTTACAAACAGTAGCAAACAACGTAAGACCAATGACCAAATTCAAATATTTTAGAAATATTTTAAATAAACACCAAATGTTAAGCCATTTACAATATGTTATTTTGGGATGGAAAGGAATACTGGATGTACATTTTGAAAAATGGTAAATTATGCAAAAATATTTCTTAAAAATAGTTTTCCAAAAAACTAGAAATAATCTTCTGTACAAATGATTAGGGAGTGGAAACGTTTCACGGTAAGGTATTTGTTTTCTAAATCAACTGTTTTAAATATTTTGGAAAACAAAACCGAACTACAAAATATAACTTATTCTTGCAATACAAGAAATAAAGAAAACGGAAATGTGATAACAAATAAGTGTAAAAAACAAATAGGCCAAAGATCTTGCACATTTTTGCTGGCCCATTTTTCTAATTTCGTAGGTGAAGATTTAAAGGAGGGATTAAGTGCTTTTAAAAAAATATCTCAAAAAATTTATTCTATCTGTAAAACTCGAAGCAATAAACAACTTCATAAATATAAATAAACGAAATATTAGAAAAAATATATATGTACAAGAATAAGTAAAAAAAAATAGACTTTGTTTTATATAAATTATGTAGCATTTGCTTTAAACATTTGTTAACGTCACTTTCTGCAATATACGGCAGAATAAATTTATATGTGTTCCCGCGCAACTTAAGTGTTTTAGGGAGAATTTTCATTTATATTGTGGATATACAAAATGTGATGTATTATTTGTAATTTAAGTTTTTCTTTGTCTACAGAATAAGACATATAATTATTATTATAACCTATAAACTAAAAAGAAAAATCAAGGTTTGGTAGAACGTTCATTTAATTCTTTAAGACTCGGGTAATAGCAGGTGAACAAAAAGTAATTCTGCGATCTTAAATTTTTCTTTAATGACTTCGCGATAGACTAACGGAAGAGTGCTTTTTTGCTCGCGACAAATCGCTAACCTCCAAAGATCGACAGAAAATTAATATAAAGGGAGAGGTATAACGCTTTATTCTCTAATCAAATATTACATAACGAATTATTTACATTTAAAATGGCGTCTAAAAAAATAATTTAACCGATTTTAGCGGGAATCAAAGCACACAACAAGTCTTTGTTCTGGTCGTCTCTTAGTTCCCATTTGATGTCGACAGTTACCTAAAAATTAAAAAATGACATCGCCTCAGCATCTTATTTTGCTTAACATACCCTTGGGTAAGTGCTGCTAATCGGCATGGTAGTGACGTATTTATACGTGCTGCCGTTTTCGACTGGACAAGTCACTCCAGAATCCTTGCAACCGTCCGGGTTGGGTAAATCGAATAAAACGGGGACGCCCAAAATGATGCCATGAACAACAGCTTGTAAAGAACTCGACTCCACATCTGAGAAATAGTTGGATTTCTAATTAATATCCACCTCGTCACTCACAAAATTTTACTTGAAAAACTATTTAAAAAATATTCGCTGGGTCTCTGAGATGCTCTGAGCACAGTTTACAGCAGTTTACAACAGTTGGTTGCCTAGCAGTGGTGGACTGTGGTTAGGAAATTAATGGCAGTTTCAGTACATTTATCTATGTTTCAGTGTAAAAAGAAATTAGTTCGCGAACGCAATTACCGTAATGAGTTTTTAGAGATACGACTTTGATGTTTCTCTGCGAGATACAAAAAAAAGTTTTCGTTAGGTTTACGAAACGCGCTCACGCGTAAGAAATTATTGAAGCCATTACGCGCGTCTCGTAATCTATTGGTCGCGATAAACACGATGTCAAAGGCCAACCCTTCCATTAAATATAGATGCACGCGCACGAAACCAATATTACGTTATTTCTGTTCTCAAGGTTACAAAATCCGCGGAAACTCATTTTTCCGTGGTTCGTTCGACATTCACACTCACTAGATTTAAAGTTTATTTCCATCGTGACGTTGTGGCGCCGCTTCAAAATACATCTCGCCGACGTCCCACAATTCGAAATATGTACCGAGATGATTTTACCATCGACTGAACCTAAAAACATATATTAGTTATAGTTTAAGCAAGCCCGCTGTGAGTTTGACCAATTATAATCTACTCACCGCAGTCCGTGTATAAAGCGAGGCCAGTGGACGCCGCGCACACTGCAATAAACAAAGCAATGCTCGTCGCAGTCGACATCCTCACCGTTGATGGGCAGTGGGTAAATAAATGTCAAACGCTTGCGACGACGCGATAATTTTGATCTGGGTGGGTCGGGATCAGAGGAAGCGGACGCCTCTTCCCCCCACCATCACGGCATGCGTTTATATGAGCTTTCAGGGAAATTGGAATAATTCGATTATAGGAGGGTCGGCTCTGCCTGTGGATTATCGCATTTAAGGGTGAACAGGCAGTAATGAAACTCTATGACCGTAATATCGTAAAAATTTATTAAGGTGTAATGTTATAAAATTTAAAAATACAATACTTCGCGCTGTGACAATTGTTTTCGAAAATGCGACATTTATAAAAAAAAAACCTAGCTAGTCGTAGATAAAAGAATGACGGTTAGTTGTGGTTGGCGAATCCATTTACGCGACCGAACAGAGACCAAACGGACAGGTTTGTTTGTCGGTCGCCACGGACCACTCGACGGATTAAAATCGTAAAATACGGAACACATACAGAAGACAAACAGGGAAAAAATTATTTAAAAAAAATCGCCTAAAGCGCGCTTACAGAAACTTGAACCCGCTTTTCCGTTCCATTTCGACAGATTTGCGATCGAATTTTTCGGCGATGTCCGGATCCATGTAGGCCTTGTGACTACCAACGACCCCCGATCTCATAAACTGACCTTCCGCGTTGTCGTTGGCCAACTTGAGTTTTTTGTGAAGCTCGAGCAGGGCGCTGAAGTTGACCGCAGGGTTGTTGCGCATGTTTTCAAAACTCAAGTGGTCGAAGAGGCGGTCGACCTGCGTGTCGCTAATTTTCTTGCCCAAAAAGTCCGCCACTTTATTAATGACCGCGCGCAAATCTGTTTTCATTTCGTCGTAGCGCAGGATCAAGAGGTTTTTGCGGTGGCGCTGCTCCCAGAAGCTGATCACGTGCTCCCACACGCCCCCGAACAGCGCTGGAAATACGCCAATGCGTCAATCATGGCATCTAACGGACATAGTCAAAAATAACCTTATCACTTACCGGTGCCGGTTAAAATTCGGTTGCACATGTACTCGAAAGAATGCCGGTAGCCAACGATATAGGTCAGGAAGTGGTAGAAAGACACGGCGACGTCCTTGGGTTCTCTTGTCACGTAGATAATCTGAAATTAATGGCTGGCGCACAATATTGATCACGATGAAAATTTACCTTTGGAGTTTTTTCTCCGGTCTGAATCTGCGACGGTAAAAGATTCCAGGGCAGGTGAGTTTTTATCACGATCGGATGTTTTTGTTCCTTAAGGAATTTTACCGAGTCCGCCCTGTATGCCGGCAATTCAACGTTCATTTTTTGGGCGAGCGGCCTAAGATCGAACATTGGCGTATCCCTGTAGACAGAAACAAGCTGATTCCATTTTATCTTCCGTGAAAAAAATTTACGCCGCAATCTAGTTAAGCTATGCCCATGAATAAAAAAAACGGACACAAAAACCACAGACAGTAAAGGTCAACAAACGCGGCACGTGGTACGCTACTTTGTTACCTTATACGATCCTGTTATCTCAAAAACCATTGCTTTATGAATCACACCTAATAAATAAATTCGTACGGAGGGTTAATATGGCGCTTACTCTAAATTGGGAGTGCGTTCCTGCAAAAGTCTTTTCGCGCCTTCGTAATCTAAATTGTTTACTATCATCCAAACCATTTCTAGAGTCCAGGTGGTGCCTAAAACAACCAACGTTTCTGACTGTGCTATTAAATTTGAGAGATATTTGACATGCACCTGTTTTATAATATCCACCGACCCACACGTCGTCGTTGTGTACTTCTAAATTCATTATTTCGCTGTACCATTTCAAGAAGTTTTCGGACATGGTCACCCCGTTGATACAGACTTTTTCAATTCCCGCCTCTTTTCGCGTGTAAGTGCCGTTTAGGTCGTGTTTTTCTGGAGTGTGCTTCTTTTTTTCTTGGCCGTTATTCATTTTTAGCTGCAACAATCGTAATATTTCGAATGCAACCCGTGAAAAAATATCCTTTTAAAAATATCTCGCGTAACTCTTACCCTGTTATCCGGAAACTTTTTAGGTATATAAAATAATTCCCAATAGGAAAGAGTCCTATATGCGGTCAGGTTAAAAACTCGGCAAACAGTAAAAATAAATCGTTTAAGCAAACATTTTTATCGGCGTTCGGGTTTAATCTTTTTTGCATACAACGGTGGAGCGGTTGCAAAAACCAACCGAAAAAACGCAATATTTTGGGCGTTCAAAAAACCGTGTTTTAAAATATTCAGCGCGAACGCAGAGTTGGTTGCCTAGGGTTCGAGAAAGAGAAAGGACTATTTGCACTCAGCTGGGCCTTGCGTTCCACCGTTCCGTTGCCGGCACTCTTTGTTTAAAATCATCAGCTAGAAAAGGAAAGGTGTTGTGAGTCGCGACGACACGTCACTGTTACGCGATGTTGCCGGTAGTGTTGAAAACATCTCGATATGTGTCCCAAATCGCAATTATTGGTTGATTTTGTCACATTTTTGAAAATTTTAATTCATTAATTATGGAAAACCCACTTACGTCTGATGTGCAAATCCAAAACAATTTCAAAGTCATTTGGGAAAGTTAAATGTTCGGATTAAGTTTGCGCACCACTTGGCAACAACGACACATATCTGCCATCGTGGCCGCTGATTTTGACAAGGGCCCCATTTACATCGCTTTGGAACAAACGGTTGGTTGTGCTGGGTGTTGTTTGGTATAGTTATTCGTGGTTTTAATTTCATTTCTTAGGTAAATTAATTTCGTCTAAATTGGATAACCGAATTGCTGATGCGTTGTTGCTTGTTTTAGAAATAAACTGACATGGATCAAGTGGTGAAATTCATCGAGCCAGGTCGGCAGTTCGCCAAAGACTCTATCAGGTTGGTGAAAAGATGCACCAAGCCAGACAGAAAAGGTAAAATTGGTTTTTTGTATGTACGCGATTGAAAACAATCCTGGACATTACACTTAATGGAAAAGAGGAAATTTAAGGTGGGACTCAGTGGGGTTCTTTCTGTTACAGAGTTTCAAAAAATTGCGATCGCGACAGCGATTGGTTTTTGCATCATGGGTTTCATCGGGTTCTTTGTGAAACTCATCCACATTCCTATCAATAACATCATCGTCGGCTCATAATATTGTTTATTTATTTGTTCATTACATATAATTAATTATGTTTTTTTTATGGAGTAGAGAGTAAATTATTTGATATTTAACCAGTGGTTTAATTTCGCACCCAGTTTCCATTATAAATATACCATGAACGCAGTTTGGAGGTTATATAGAAAGGAAAAGTAAAAGTGATGTTTTGCTTTTGTTAAAAATACAACTTTGTAAAATGCGTTTTCCTCTATAACGTACTAGACGAACGTAACGAAAGGAAGTCGACGTGTTAAGTTGCTAAGATTATAATTTTGTAAACACTCTTCTCATTGTGATCGCCCCTGTTTGTATTTTGCCACAGCATAATGACAAAAATTTATACGTAATAGTATATTATACAAGTGCGGTAAATGGTATTTGACTCACGAGTTTACTTGACACGAGCGGAGCGAGTTATTAATAAACGAATGAGTTAAAAAGTTCACCGAAAGTGTTGCATATTATACTTTTTCTACGACCGTTAGTTTTTGGGTAAATTTTCGCAAAACAACACGAATACATTCACTGACATGACCGCCAGAATTGACAAACGTCAAAATTCAAAACGAGGGAAATATCTACGAAAACATCAGATTGCTCCCAAATCCCTACGGTAAAATCCCGGAAATGTCCGAAGTGGCTCGGACATTTCCGTCGTGGGAAACGAAACGAAACGAAACTGACGTAGTAAAGTGGCGCTTCCCGCACGCTAGATCGGTGGGTAATTAGGTATTTTACAGACGCGAGTAGAAAAAGAATATTCCTATCGCACGCGGACTTATAGAAATAAAACTGGCGTCTTTAAGTTTAAATTTGCTTTTAATAAAAATATAACTTTATAAAGTAGTTTTTTTCTGTTACAACCTGTGCTAAGGCACTTGCGATGTAATGTGCGCTCGATTTTGACCCGTTTATGTACAGGTAACGAAATTCACTGACGTCTAATCCCTGAGCGATGCAGCGCTGTCATAGGTGTCGTTAACATCTACTTTACCGGCGCGTATCGCTCTCGGACCAGCATCGCAACTAGAATACTTGTGCGTAAATCTATTACCCATATTTGCAGCGCAAAGAAAAAAAAATAAACCGTTAAGTGATGGCACGTGACATAAACATAACCTAAAGCGAAACTACAAAACGTTAGACGTCCCGACATTTTATCACAATTTTAAACGTAGAAAAAGTTTACGTTTTGGGCCGCGGAAGATTTAACGGAACCTGACGCGACTTTTGCATGAAAAGAACGGGGTTCCGTATAGTTTTTTTTTCCCTTTTTAATGAAAAAGCCAGCGCGAATGTGGTGAAGAAGCCTCTTGAAGCAAATTATTCTGAATAATTGCCTAAGCACTACGATGAAAGACAACTTATCAACTAAAAAAAAAATGGCGTTAATAACGTTCCAATACGGAACCGAAAACAACCCGGAACAATGAACATCTCTCCAAAAAAGTACGTATAAAAATATATATTATTATAGATACAGCGTGTTCGCTTACAGACTAAACGAAGGTAGAGGTAAATAGAAAAAGGTACAAAATCTTACGATTAATAAAAATAGAATACAAATGTACAAGTGGAAAAACAGTATTCAATAAAGTAATAAATATTAACACGGAAAACGTACGTTAAAGTTCGGCAGTATACAAAAAAAACAGTTATTCAACGATAAATATAATAGAAAAAATCTTCTGGAATGCTTTCTGTTTCAACGAACGATAAATCTTTTAAAAACACATACTCAACAAATTGGCACATTTTCACGTCGAACTAATTTACTTTCAACAATAACCACCGACCACAGCTGTAAATGGCAAAGATCAGTTCTACCGCGTCGAATGTAACTCCCATTTTCTCCCTAGAATCGCAGAATCGCTGCGAGTTTAGTTCGAAGTGAAAACGTCAATAATATTATGGATATTGCCAAATAAAAATAATACGCATGTGCCTACTAATCAGATCTGGTAACAATTAAGGTTTAAACACACCGGATGAAGTTAAAATCCACTATGTACGCGAAACTTAACAGTAAATAAACATTTTAAAATTAGGCACGTGAGCTAAGGCTCTGCTTTCCTTTAGGGTGAAAAACTCGCGTTCACGAATCGAGAAGTAGGAATACTGAAACGCGATATGCATAAAAAAAACAAATCCTGAATCTCTACGGATTACAAAAAAAATGAACGCACCTTAGAGCGTGGACTAATGGTGCATAAATAACATGCGTCAACTATTTAGTCTGAGAACAAAATCAAATATAATTCAATAGCAACTTTACTCTGGTCGCATTATAAGTAGGGTGCAAGTCTGTGCAATGACCAACCAGAACCTACCACCCGTTTTCTCCATACTGGACGCGACAATTTAAATTTAAAAGAAGCAACAAAACAAACAATCGGTCATATTTTTGTGTTATCTCTCTGATACACCGCCAAAACCATCTTGTACCTTGTGGACCACAGAACGAAGTTTGTTTTCGTTCAAAGTCACGGACAACAGAAGGGCGCACAGAACAACGCGCCCCGAATTTTGGTTGGTACAGTTACTGAAGGCAATAAAAAAACCGCCGCGTGGACGTCCAGGAAAATATTGTTAAAAAAAAATACCCCCACGAAATAATTGTCGAAAAGCACTATCACAACCGACCCAAGCATTATAAGTAGCAATAAAGAGTCATCGACAGATGTCACTGGTCAGCAAGTATCATTAAGGTCAACGCCCAAGAGGGAGCAGAATCATAGAACTAGATCTGCTAGGCCATACAACCGTTGTCCAAGCCGCCGCTATAACTCTGTCCCCCGGAATAGTTGTGACACTGGCTGTCAAAAGAGTATGGGCTGTTGACGTCGTCCAGATTGGTAAAACTGGCGTCGTAGTCGCCTATTTCTTCGACCACTATGCTCGGCGGTTTGCTGTAATGGAGGGACGAACGCGTGTAAGTCACGTGATGGGCGGTCGTGGCGGATACGCTAGCTGGCCTGCTGTAAACCTGGCAATGATGTCAGATGTTAAAACCTTTTGGAAGGATACATCCATATTATCAAAATTTAATTTAAAAACTATAAAACTGTATAAAAATCAAATCTTAGATACCTCCAAATTATGGTTCCTATTGTAACACGGATTGACCGACGCAGGCCTGCTATACGAATGTGTCTCAATCACGGAAGACACCGGCGGCAACTTATACAGACTCTCCCTAGTAGCGGGGTCAATATTATGCTGACAGTGGGGCCTGTGCAGCGCCAACGCTTCGACTAACATCCGCTTCTGGTTCTGGAGTTCATGGAGCTGGCCTTTAAGATCGACGTTTTGTGTTTCTAAAGTTTCCGATTCGTGAATCAGGTTGGCGGTACGTTCGCGCTTCTTCAACCGGCATTTGGTGGCGGCGATTTTGTTGCGCTCCCTTCTCCTGCGCCGCCTTTCCTCATCTTCGGGCGTCAGCTGCGCGAAATTTAAATATCAACATTACCGCAGATTCATAGAGAGCACGGAAATGTCGAAAATAAATTCGGTGGTCTGTGCGGGCGTAATTTTTTCTCTGGCGCATCGATATAAGAATCACGCGGGGCACGCCTCGACATTTTGGGCGAAAGTATGGAACGAAATTGGAAAGCGGGCGCATAAAGTTCCGTTAATACGATTGAAAGCGACGAGAAAACAGAATAAAGGAGTGGGCCGTGCAATTTATTGCGAATTTGCCGAGCCTAATGTTACTCGAACTGTCAACTTATACAGGCGTTCGTTTTATTATGGGACAAAATGCAAACGACATAATACCATCCGTCCGACGTTTTCTTGAGATTATTGCCGCGATAAAAACAACATACTGATAACGAGACTGTTTTATTTTTCGGCCGGCGAAAATTCTAGAGTTCGGCATAATGTTTACCATCGGCACGATCGAAAACAGCTATCTCGCGGGCAAACAAACAGCCATTATTATGCAAAACACCCCGCCGAGGACTATAATTTATACGAACGTTCGATTGTGAACGAGTTGGCGTAGGGCCAACTCGCGACATCTGCCGTGCACCGCACGCAACGAAACCCGATCTATTTTTCTATTCCGTTGCCAAGCAAACATCGTCGACGTTTCAAATATGTTATCGAAATATCCCCTAACGACCGGATTTATTGCTTCTCGCATAAATATTTTCCGCCTCGTCGATTTTTTCGAGGTTACGCGAAAACATCTGGGCTCGTACCAATTTTCGTCACAGCCAGGGCGATCAATCTTACCCCGTTGCTTTCCTGTTTGATTTTATCGTCTTCAGACTCACTGTAGTCGCTTCTCAACCGTTTGACGGTGTCGAGGTCGAGAAGATCTTCAGCGTCGCTGTTATGTTTTCGTTTCTTCTGTTCGAGAGTCAACTTTAGTCCCGCCTTGATCAGCTGGGAACAGGTGTGCTGCACGCTCGGAGGATTTGTCGTCGGGGATTCTACCTGCGACAACACCTTTTCAAATTATTTCCTGCCTGTTGTTACAACTATGCTATACACATCTTTTGATTATAAGCAGATTTTAAATTAACGACACAGACCACAACACAATATGAAACAAAAAGTCCTTGGCCGCATGATCCTAGCAAACTTGGCCAACAGAAATAGAAGAAAGCAAGTCTAAGGCGCAGAGTTTATCTAAAGTGCAACACGAAATCGGTGTTCTGTGAATTGCTCTGAATTTACATTTTTTTAGAAGAATGCACACGCGCCTCGCGAGCGATTCTTTGCAGTGTTAATTTGGAGGTAGATATCACTTGAAAGTGCTAATTCTTTTTTTACGGTGGCCCTTTAGTGCTAGGTCCATATAAATCAAACGGCACTTACCTGGCTGCTGCTGGAACTATTCGAATCGCTACTCGATGCGCCGGGAAGTCCCGACGAAGCCAATTTGGGCGCGTCGTCGCCGAACTGGTAGTTGTCGAGGGGGTTGGTCATCGCGATCAGAGAGTTGAGGATTTCGGGGGTACGGGGAGTAGTGCACGCGCTCTCGACAATTAAGTTGCTGGCCGCGGTTGCGGCCGTCGCAGCCAAGTTCACGTTTAAATTATACATAATATCACCAGCGGGGAGGACCCTCTTAATTTTAATGTCTACACGTAAAATCACAGAAAGTTGGGGTGGGAGAGTCACTGGGTTGTAGGTTATCTCGGCAACGTCACGGCGGCTAGGCTGGGTGTCGTCTTCAGAGGCTCCGGTGACGGGCAACTGTAATCAAAAAGAAAAACATCGTTTTTTCTCTCCAGCTAGCTGCGTTCTATTTGAAAACGTGAATAGGATTTTCCTTAATCCTTGCCGATAGATAGGTAAATTAGTGGTTCCTTGAAATTTTGCGATAATTTCTCTAGTGTTTTCGAGGGATCTTATCGCGACTCCGCGGCGTTGTTTGTTTACGAGATCGGTGACGTCGCGGCGTTCCTGTCAACGCTCGCTATTGATGCGATCTTATCGATAGGTAACGGCGAAATACCTTTGACTTCAAGGAGCACGTCAAAATTTTGTAAAGTGATGCCGGATAAATGAGGAACTTGCAATCAGAAATAACCTTATAAATTAATTTTAAGGAAAATGTGAAAAACTTTTGTTATGTGTAATTTAAACTGAACTTTACTAAATTTACATGCAAATTTTGCTGATTTTGAACGATTCGTATATAATTGATCGACAAAAACTTTAAAGCATACCCCAAATTCGTTCGATTCAAATGTTATATAAAAGGTGTCTGGATTTGAATGGACTCTTCTCAAATAGCACACCTAATTCTGCCAATAGAGATTTTTATGTGACAAAAACACCACCATAATGCCGGGCGGAAACTATACAATTTATTTATTTCTTTATTACATACAAACTTGCAAAATGCAGAAGTAAATCACAGGTTTGGCCGCTACAAAAGTAAAAACTAAAAGTAAAAGCTTAGTTAAGGAGAACAAAAATTAAATAACAATAATAATACGTCCATAGTTGTGTGCTATTTAGACGAGTATTGATGCCAAAAATCCAATTTTTGACAGAATGGAGTTACAAGAACAACTCATCACGACGAGTTTAGGACACAATATAGGAGTTTTATAGAATTCACGTTTTGGAAAACTAATGAGGACCTCTTAATAAAGCCCAACATTTCGTAAGCCTTTGCAATTAGGTTGGACATATGATTGTTAAAGGTAAAGCCATTCTCGAAGAGCACACACCACATATGATACTGCTTTTTGGTTTTCATCCATCTAATTGGTAAAATGTAGGATCGCGAAGGCGGTGAACGAGATACTTAGACATTCTGAGAGATTGGGATCCATCCAGATTGAGTCAACCATTCTAAATCCTCCTGTAAACGCACTTGATCTTCACGCCTTGAAATAATCGAGAAAACTATTAGATCATAGGCAAAAAGAAGGTTATTAAAATTATGGAAACAGGCAGCATTGATAAATATGGGAAAGAATAGCGGCCTCCGACAAGTAATTTCCACTCCAGAAGTCGAACTATACCTTGCCCCCACAGTTTAGCAAGAAGCATGATCCACCCTATCAAAGACTTTGCAAACATCTGTGTAAACAGAGTCAATCTGATATCCCACCCACCATCACGTACGTAACCAAATTCAATTCAACGTTGTTGACCTTCCCGACTGAAAGCCATTTTGATGTTCTATAGTTCTGTTTTTGAAAAATTGAGTTATTAAGTTTTAAAACAACTTTGGTGTGGCACTTAATATGGATACGGATGTATGACATCCAACTTCGGCGGTTTCTCCTGTTTTATAGATGAGAACAATGTAACATTAAAAATGAGAGATAGAGGTCTTGTCAAGACGAACGCACAGCATATAAGCAATCAGGGAGTTGTTTGTATTTGATATTTGGTGGGTACGGTAATATTTTTGAATTGCAATATGAATTGGCATTTTTCATCACAAGTAGGTACTTAAGAATCGCATCTCGGCTTTGATTCATATTACAGGTGAATATTATTTCAAAATTGTATTGTTACTTGCGTTCTTAGGTCTTCAAAGAGAACGGGATTAATGTCATTTCTTAAATACCATAAAAGGGGGGCTTTTAAGTATCGGTTAATGAATTTCTTGAATTTTTATTTTTTTGACGTTCAGCGGGAAGAAAACAAAGTCTATATTTCAAGTCCAGTTCCACCATTTATACCACCGCAACTCTGTTCAACAAACACGAATTTTTTTTCACTTTTAACGACGTCACAAACAAATGTTGTGCCAGCGTTGCGTGGGTGCGGCGTGCGGGGCAGGGGGACTCGGTAATTTAATTATTTGCGCGTTTGCCATTAAAATGTTTTACCTCGTTTTAACTCGAAACACAAACAAACAACGAAACACAATGAGAAACGTTGTACAATAATAATGACGCGTCGCGGGATCGCAAGCAAATATTAATCATAAATCTCGCATGGATTTTTCAACGATTTTTGTAAAAGTTCGCTCATATCATCGCCAATCTCGAGAGGTATTCTTCTTCCGACGGTAACCTCGAACCGCGAAGGCCTCTCGCCTAGTTCACTTCACGGATTACTAATATTTAAACGCAGCCAGATTTTTCGAACGCGATTTATTGCGTATTGTTTAATTTTTAATAGCGGTGATAACGTGGCGAGGCCATTTTTAAAGAAAAAGATCTCGCCTAGAAAATTCGATTAATAATCAACATCATTGCTTTTTCAAACAGGAAATTAATTGAACTGAGGCATTTACTTGATGAAAATCCATTTATCAAAATAAATAAGAACTAAAAGTTCAGATTTTCACGAAATTATATATTATGACATGCCAATTGTAATGTAATATTTACAAACCACCTGCTACTATATATAAAATTATATTCTTTAGTTAAATTACATAAACAAGATATTCCCATTAGATCAGTCGTGTCTTATGTAACAGCTCCAGCAGTTAAACTGTCTACAAAATTAGTAAATATTTTAAAGTTCCACACAGATTTTAAACCAAAATTTGCAATAAAAAATTCTTTTGAATTAATCAACAAAATTAAAGATATAAAAAATCCCTTCTAACGCAACACTATTGTCTTTTGATGTACAAAACTTATTTCCCAGTATTCCACCTATGGATGTGCTAGATTTAGTAGATTTTACCCTAACTCGGAAACAGGTTAACCCATTGGTGAAGATTTATTAGATTGCTTAATAGTATCTTTAGACCAAAATTATTTTGCATTTAATGGACAGATTTATATCTCTAAAGAAGGTTTGATTATGGGAAACCCACTTAGTCCTTTGTTAGCCGAGATTTTTATGGATAATTTGGAAAACATCATACTAGAACATCCTTTAAGTAAAAGTTTTTTATGGTGGTATAGATACGTGGATGATATCTTTGCTTGCTTTGTTGGAACGGACAGACAATTGAATTCTTTTTTAAATTACATTAATTCATTACATAATCGTATAAAATTCACTATCGAGATTGAACAGGATAACACTATTAATCTTTTAGACTTAATTATTACAAAAGCGCAAAACAAATTAGATTTTTCAATATATCATAAACCTTCACACACGGACTCTTTTATACACAGACTTCTCAAGACGCCACTCTCGACAGAAAATTACAACAAAGAACTTTTCAAAACATTTGTCAAAATGTGGTTTAAAAATAGCTTTCAGAACTAACAACACAATAGGAAAGAAAATATTTAAAAAACAATAAAACGAAATGTCCAAAATCCCAAAAATCAGGTGTCTACAGGTTGAAATTTATATTGGATAAACAGGTAGATCCTTCAAGAAACGCATTAACGAACATAAAAGAGCGTTTAAAAACAATAGTTTAGATTCTAATTATGCTACACACTTAAACACAGAAAAATACATTTTTGACGACAATTTTGATATTTTACATGCAGCCACAAAAAGTAGAAAATTAAATTTATTGGAAGCCATGGAGACTAACAAAATGAGACATTCAAATGTATTGCTTAACGATTAATTAGATTTAAATACCTCTCCTTCATTGAACTTAAATTCTCACAACAACATTAATTAAGGTTTTATGGTCATTTTTCGGTATATATAGTAGCAGGTAGTTTGTAAATATTACATTTGATAAAGACGTTGTCGAAACAATTGTTATGTCATAGGAAATTAATACTGAACTTTACACACAAAGGGTTTGTTTAATGGTTCTTTGGCTAGTGCCGGAATAAATAAAAGAAGATTTTTGTGCACTGTAACAACGTCAACTTTTATAAGTTATGAAGTTGTTGACGCAAATTGTTGCGACCATGTTCAAATAAGCGCATAGTATTTTCTAGCCATGAGGTCACTGCTTACCCAGGTTGGTTTTATTATTATTATTATAACAAGGAAAATCCAACAAAATGTCGGAATGCAATGGAACCATGAGCTTCGTGATGTTTAATTATCGTTATCATGTATATTGCAAAAAAATTTGGTATAACACATATTGCACTAAACCGGATTTTTTTTTTTTTAAGAGTCAGACTGCTAGTATTGCAACACTAGCCATAACTCTGTGATACCGAATAATTAAAATACATCAATTTTCAGGAAAAATTACGTAAATATCTCAACTCAGTCAGTTCGGGGGTGACTATATAGTTATGAGATAGTATGTTGTGGCTTTACTATGGTAAAAACTGATGAGCCGCAGGCGGAATTGATATTTCCGTAGAGAAGGCAATGATTTTCCGCCCCGCCACTCACTAACCTGCATATTGTGTCATTTTCTTTCTAAAATGGGAATTGGACATACTTAACTCGTTTTCTCAGAACTAAAACTACTCAAAAGTAATTAGAACTAACCATTAGTTAACACAAGATTTTAAATCGCGCGCATGCGCATGTTGAATGGTCCTTTCTCAATTTTTCTTTTAAATATTTGCTTCGTGAGTTCCTGTATTATAAGCATAGACAGAGCCTCTATATCTCTAGTAGTTATATGACGCTGTACGAAAATATCATAGCCACCTGCGGCCCAACAATTTTTGAAGTATATGGGTAAGAAATTGCCTTGGATTTAAACGTGTAAAAAAAAGTAACCGACATTTTATCAACTTTAAGCTTGAAGCTGGGCGTCGTGTACTCTGTTTTTTAATCGCAGTCAATATTTTCATATAAATTAAATTTGTTGTTTATACTGTATGAAAAAGAACATGTAATTTATTATTAAAAGCATAAAACTTATTATCCCCGCATTATTT